TGATTATCAACAAACTACGGGAAAAAATGTTGGAACTAGTGGTAACCAACCAAGTGGGAATGCAACAACAGGAACTGATAAATTAGCACCAAATCCTTTAGATTTACCAAATACTGATGATATTCTTAGGTAAAAAAAAGAAAACTTTGTTTTTTTAATCTTTTTAATATTTAGATATGTTCTTGAACGACAAAATGCATTAAGTTGGTTAAATTTAGATCCGGTGAGTGGAAGTCGTTGTTCTTGTTTACCTATACATATGCAAGCAATTCATCGCCTAGCAGAATCAATTGGTGCAATTTTTGGTTCTTCCTAGTAAAATTTTTATTAAATTTATTTTGATCATCAAAAAGTATATATTTGCATTTTTAAAGCATTTATTTGGCATCTTTATTTTTCTTCTCATTTTTTTTATTTTTCTCATGTTTTTGTATTGTTTTAAAGATTGAGACTTCCCTAAATTTAAAAATATATTTATTGTAAATAATATATGAAGAATAATTTTAAAAAATAAATTTATTTTAATTCAAAAAAATATATTCTTTGGTTGTGTTTTGTATAATTTTTCTTTTATATTTTATCTATTTCTTCATCCTCTGCCAATAAGAAACACGGGTTTTTGTTGTATTTTTATCTAAATTTCAATTTTGAACTAAATTTATTGTTGTTTCCTTTCTTTTCCCAAAGATTTATTTTGCATTCATTTTTAGCCTTCCTTCCACCTCTTCTTAAATAAATTCCAAAACTTAGCCTTTAGCACCAAACAAAAGACCACTTTTTATAGTAATACACACACAATTTTTTTGTATTTTTTAATCGAAATATTTTTATATGTTCAAATTGATGATTATTTTTAATTATATATTTTTAAATTTTCAAATAAATTATATATAAAAATTTTTAATTAAATGTAAACTAAACCTCTTTGTTTTGTTTTTCTTTGCTTTGATTATAAATATAAAAAAAATAAATTTATATCAAAAATAATTTTTTCTCTCCCCCATCTCGATCTTCAACATGGTGCTTCGAAATATATTTCTATTTTTTAAACAATTTGTTTTATTTTTAACGGAGCACAACACGAGAAGACCAGACAGGAATTAAATATTTTTTAAAAAATAAATTAACAATATTGTTGGAGGGGGGGGGAGAGGGGGGGTTTCTTGATAAATTCTGTTAGGAGAGGTTTTTTTAAATTTTAAAATATTTTTTTTCTTTTGCGCGTTGTTATGGTTTCTTTTTTAAGGAAATATATTAAAAAGATTGTGTTTAATTTAAATAAAAGTTTGGGAAATGTAGTAGAATCCTGATATAATACATATGTCTCTCAATTCGATCCTGAAGGAGAGGTTTATAAAAAATAAAAGGTTAAAAAATTATATGTATATAAATATTTGTTTTGAGGAAATAAAAAAAGAATTCGTTTTCAATTTTTTATAAATAATTTTGTATTTAATAATTAAAATCAAAACTGAAATAAATATTCAAAAGAAAAATTTAAAACAAAAATAAAATATTGAAAGAAATAAAAAGATTTTTAAAAAAATAATAATAATAAAGCACTTTTATTGGTATTTTTCTTAAATTAATTTTTGTAAAAGTTTATAGTAAGTAGGAGGCAGTTGGAGGGAGATAAGCCTTTGAAAAAAAGATTTTTAAAATAAATTTATCTTTCATCATTATGTAAATGGAAAAATGTCTGACATTTATATAAAAATAATTATAATTATTTTTTAAAATAAGAAGAGAAAAAGACTTCTACTACTAAAATACTTAAATATATTTTTTGTTGCCATAGATACTAATCAAGGAGTTGAAATGGAAATAAATGAAAATGTACAAATATTTTTAGCAGTTAGTTGTACTACTAACTAATTATTACAGGAAAATCTAAATTAAAAATATAGGCGTGCTTTCTCTTGTAGTCATCTCTCTTGCCTTCGGCGTTACAAAACAAAATACAGATCAAAACATTAATCAAAAGATTCTTTAAAAATATTATTGACTTAAAAGTAAGAGAGGTCCTTGTTGGATATTTTGATGAATATGCATATTTTTAACATGATTTGTCTTAAAATTAAAATAAACATCGAAGACTTTTCATCCATTCGACGCTGTATCCCACGGAAGGAATTGTTGTTGTCAGAATTTACATATGTTGTCCTCTCCATTTATGGTTTCATCATCTGCGGCCAAAGGATATTTTACAGACTTAGTTGCCTTGCTTAGAAATAAATACAGTCATGGTAATCAAAAAAGAAATTTCAAAACAAATCCTAAAGATTTTATTTGTAATCCACAACCCCTACAAATTAAACTGTGAAGGGAACCCGCAAAATTTCGCATTTTTACCACATTTTTCTCTGCTTATTTTGCTTCCGGATTTTTATGGATTTTCGGTAAGCACATTGCAAAAAATCGTCCAAAGTTTATATACATTTATTTACATAACTTATATGATAGCAAAACAACAAAATAACGGGATGAATACAATATAGAGAAAAGATTTAGCCTAATACATACATACAAGTGTTATTTATTTTTGTTATTTATTAGATTTTCATTCCTTTCTTCTTTTTCACTTTCCATCGTGTGCCGTCCACAGTTCTTTACCATCAACTAACACCCGGAATATCTGACCAACAACTTCCAGCCCATAGAAGCGATGTGTACCTGCCTCAATATCTTCACTTTTGCCAGACGACTTTGGACAACTCTGATGATGTCCACCAGCATATTCAGATGAAGATTGAGTCTAAAAATTGAATATATATTTTAGCATATTCAATTAAAAATTACTTTCTCGGCGGCAGATTCCTTGACAACACTACAAGACCCCTTTCTCGATCGCATCATCTGTTCCCTCAGTGCTGCACTAAAACAGCAAGGTCTCGCTCCCCTTTCCTTCTTTTCTTCTTCAGCAAGGAACTTGTCCACACTGTGCACCTTCACCTGGAAATTTAATGAATTAGATTTGTAAATAATCCGAAAATAATCTACCGCGCTAGGATGCAATGGACGTGCTGCGCTGAAGAAGCTCCTACCACTACACGTAGATCTAATATCGCTGTACTTCTCCGGCAATGGAAGGCGCATTGATTTCTCCTGCCAAGATAGAGGTTCTGACTCTTCAACAGCATAGTCGTAAACTTGAGAACACTCTGACTGTGCGTCGATGAAACGCAATGATGGTTCGTCATCCAGAGGTATTATAGCAGTCCTTGTTCCTTTGACAACAGCAGCTCTTCTACTCGTACCGCCTCTTTGAGCTAATCCTCCTCTTGGTGGTAGACGACTGCTTCTCTTTACTTTGCTGTTGTCAACTTCGTCCTTGCTTCCTTCTTGTTCTTCTTGTGTCGAAGATACCGATGGTGTACGTTGTCCTCGACCACGTGAAGAAGCTACCACAGAGAACATTCTGCGAAGCTAAAATAATTTGCTTAAAGATTTTAAATATTTAAAATAAACGCACCGACGACTTTTCATTCATTCGACGCTGTATCCCACGGAAGGAATTGGTGTTGTCAGAATTTATGTTGTCCTCGCCATTTATGGTTTCATCATCTGCGACCAAAGGATGTTTTGCAGTCTTCGTTGCCTTGACCAAACAAGTACAGCCACAAATCTTCTCATTCTCGTCCAATCTCAGCGACGAAGATGACGATCTTGCAGTTCTTGTTGCCTTTACCACCTTACAACAGGCACATGCGGGCGGAAGTCGGGCACTTTTTGCAGCTTTGACCAATAGATTAGGCTAAAAATAAAAGAATTATTTTGGATTTTAAAAATAATTTTAAACTAAAAAATAACCTTCTTTTCCTTTGTTCGTCCTTTATTAGAACGGCTACTGTCCATATTCGATGAAGTCCTCCCGAAACGAAGTCGACGCAGGAATGTTGACAGTAGAAGGCAAGTTTATAGTTGAGTTGAAATGGAGCTGAAGTGAGGGAAAAAGTCTGGCTTTTATAGTATAGCTTTTGTCTTCGTTCCAAACAATTACAGCCACAAATGTTATCATTATTTTATCCAATCTTAGCGATGAAGATGACGATTTTGCAGTTATTGTTGCAGTTACCACATTTTCGAGAATAAATAAATGGAGGATTTTAAAGTTCCGGGATTTCAAAAAAAATTTTAAAAATGGCAGGCTAACCTACAAATAAACTAATTTCTTCGACTAAGTAGCAGATTTTTTTGAATTATAAATCTTTGTTGTATTTCGAGAGTTTTTAATTTTCTAATAAGTACCTTCTTTCCCTTTTTCCTACACTAATTCTTAAAATATATTTATTAAAAAATCATTATATCAATTTTAATAATAGAATATTTTAGAATCAATATAAAAAATAAATCGAGAGAGAGTAAAACACCGGGTTTGAATCCGATAGCTAGTCTTTTTTGTCTATATTGAGGCAAGGGTTTGGGCTTATTAACCAAAAAGTTTGGAGTCGCTCTGGCAATCACTCGTTCGGCAATAATGGAAAATCTCACCTAAGGGGACGCGAATTTTTGCCTAAAATTTTGCGTTCAACTCTGTAAAGTTGATTCAACTTCCTGCCTTCAACTTTCGAAGTTTGGTCACTTCGAAAATTCTTAATTACCGTATTTACTCTGGTAATTCCCCAGGGGGATTATTGTTTCAACCCATCCCCAGGGTGGGGAATTAATAGAGACTGGGGAATTAATAAAGACTGGGGAATTACTAGAGTAAATACGGTATATCTGTTCCTTATTTGCTTCTCTATCATTTAAATTTTATTTAATATCATTATCAATAATTTCAATAAAGTTATGGCAAAAATAAGGTGCCCGGATTCTTTTGGCTTTGTACCTACATATAACTGATTGTACCTAAAAATAGAAACATTAAATACCTCTTCTCTCTAAATTACCCCCTCCAGGGTAATTATTAGAGTATTAAGGTAATCTTGTAAAAAACATTTAAAAATTTATTTTTAAAATAATTTTTTGATATATAATTTCTTAAAAAAAATTAATTTTTATTTTCTTTCTTTCCATCGTTGAATTTCTTTTCCTGTTTTGTCAACAAAAATTAAAGAATCACTGGGAATTAATGAAATTTTTGAAGAAATTTCAGGCGAAATTAAATTTTCCATAAAATTAGAAGGTAATAAAATTTCGTTGTTTTCAGGTAAATAAAAATAAGGAGAAGAAAGAAATTGGGAAGAAGGAGGGAGAATAACTGTTAAATTTAATTTAAATTAATAAATATTTAAATAAATATATTACCATTTCTTCTTTTTAGTGATGATTGTGATGATCTTTTTCCAAATCTAACCAAACTATTCCTCATTGCTTTTTTGTCGTTTCTCATTTTCCATCTAAAAAAAATTAAATAAATTTAATTTTTTCCATTTCATTTATTTTTTCCGATAATTTAATGGAAAATTTAAATAATCAAAAATTAAATTTACGTTGGAATAATTCCTTCTTCATCATTTATTAAAGGTTTTGCAGAAGAAAATAAAATATTAAAAATTAAAAAGAAAAAAATAATTAAATTAAATATTTTTAATTTTTTTGTAGTAATTAGTATATCCATAATTCTGAAAGAGAAAGAATATATTTATTTATTTATTTATTTATTCATTTAATTTATTTATTTTTTAAATGACGCTAAACTTTGTCATCATTTATGGGGACACTTTTACTAAAAAAGGGAAAAAAAGAGAAAAAAACTGAAACAATTTTAAATAAATTTAGTGACGAGAGCATTTGTCTCCACAAAAAGTTTTTAGAAAAAAAAAGTTTGTTTTCTAAAATATACATATTTTTAAAAAAAATATTAAAAGAAAATAAATTTAAATATAGAAATAAATAATTGAAGAAAAAAAGGTGTATTATTTAGGGTTATTAAATTGGAAGGAGGGGGAGGGGATGGAGGGGGAGGGGGAGGGAGGGTACTAAAATGAGACAATCCTTGTCACAACAATTACCTACTTATATTTATTAAAAATTATTGGGGATATGTAAATATACTAGCTTTTAAGTCGTATCTATTGACCAACCTAAATTAAGTTTTAACAGGTATAAACTAGAGAAATGACTGAAAAGCCTAAACGATTCTCGATAACCGGGATTTCTGTTCGAATCTAGCCTAGCCCGATCTTCGAAGTCTCGGCACGGTCTTTAAATGAGGTCCGTTTGTATTTGTATCTATACACTTACGGGACCAAGCCCGACCCCGACACAAGATCACAAAAAATAAGAAAGAAAATATCAAAAATTAAAGATTATTTTGTTCTAATTATTTATTTAAATTATTTAAAATACATACAGTAGTCGACATAAAGATAGGGACAAGAGTAATTTAAATGAAAATTGACTATTTTTCGGTCTAAAAATACATTCTATATATCAATCGAAAGCTCTATTCGTATCTCAGTTGACATGTTTCTGCATTTTTCATGAAATTGAAAATTGGCCGAGATAATCCGGATCTACCGGATATCCCAAATCCCACAGCCTCGGAAAAAATTTTCGGAAAAAATTTAACAAACCCATTTGATAAAGCATATTTTTGTGAGTATGTATCACAAAACCGCTTAAAAATATCTCTTTCCGGACCAGAGATATGATTTTTTGAAAATCGCATTTTTCGCTTAAAAATTGAATTTTTTGAAAAATAGACGAAAAATGCGATTTTCAAAAAATCATATCTCTGGTCCGGAAAGAGATATTTTTAAGCGGTTTTGTGATACATACTCACAAAAATATGCTTTATCAAATGGGTTTGTTAAATTTTTTCCGAAAATTTTTTCCGAGGCTGTGGGATTTGGGATATCCGGTAGATCCGGATTATCTCGGCCAATTTTCAATTTCATGAAAAATGCAGAAACATGTCAACTGAGATACGAATAGAGCTTTCGATTGATATATAGAATGTATTTTTAGACCGAAAAATAGTCAATTTTCATTTAAATTACTCTTGTCCCTATCTTTATGTCGACGACTGTAATTCCTTTTTAAATTTTTTAGACAAAAATTGTTTTCAAGTTTAAAATAAAAATGCATGAAAATTCTTTCTTTACTTGTTAAAATTTTAAAAGTATTTTTTAAGGATATTTAAACACAAAAACTTTGTTTGGCAATTACAAATTTTAAAGTGAGGGAGGGAAAAAGTTGGAAGGGAAAGTTGGAGAAGAAGGGTGGAAGAATTGGGTGGTGGACTTTTCAATTATATATTTCTCTCTCTTTTCTTCAAAATAACCCCCCTTCCCTTCCTTTAAGTATTTTTAAAATTATTTTTTGTTTAAAAAATGAAAAAATTTTGTTGGTGACGAGAGTAGTAGGGCCTTCCAAGCATTCCAAGAATTTTTGATAACTTTCTTTTTTCCTTGTGAGAGTTTTTACGCATCAATGGCTTTTTTGACATTTCAACAAAAATGCTTGTGGGAGCGGAGAATAAATAAATATAAGCTTTTTTAAAATCTTTAAAAGTCTTTAGGGAATATTATATGTTTATTGACACTTTTAACTTTTTAAACAAAGGCAAAAGTCATTTTCTGGTAATTTTCCTTTCTTCTTCTTTTGCTGAAAAGGAAGAAAAAAAGGAAGTTGAAGGAAAGAAAGTTGGAATATTTTAAAAGGAAGAAGAGAAGAGACGGGAAGGGATGGGATTTGTGTGTGGATGTATGTGTGTGAAGGTGGGAAGAAAAAAAAGGGAAGAAAGAAGTGATTTGGAAAAAAGAGAAGGGGAATGATGTTATTTTAAATAAAAAAAAGTTTTTTTTAATATAAGTATTAAATATATTCGTCACTTTTTTTGTTTTATTAGCCCCCAGTGACAGTCCAAAACTTAAAAAGAAACAAAAAAAGGCGAATATTTATTGCCATTTTTATTGTATCAATTTTATAATAAAAATTAATTAAATTTAAATTAAATAAAAAATTTATTTTATTTTTGCAATTTTTAATCTTTAAATAAATAAAAAGAAATACAAAAATAAATTTAATAAAAACATCTGTGCCAATCCCACCCCCCCTCCCCCTCTAACTCACAATTTAATTTAATAAAAAAATATTTTTAGCAACATTAAATAAAAATTTAAAACAATTTATATACAAAAATATATCCAAAAATTATTTAGAATCAAAAAAAATGTTTTTTCTTTAAGAAAGTCAAACCTTACTTAAATATAGGGTTTTAAACGAGACTAAATATTTAAGCAAACTTTTATGTAAAATGAAGATAATGGAAGAAAAGATATATATATACAATTACCTTCAAAAATAAATTAACACGAATTTATTAGTCAATTAAAATAAAAATTTAGAGGAAATATTAAATGTGAATGATCGGTTTACAGAACTAAACCCCGGTGTTTTTAGTTAATTAACCGAAACAGAAACCCGGACAGCAAAAATACACTCTTAAAGAGGGAAACTTTTCAAATATTAAAATTTAAAAATATTTTTATCAATTTTTTTCAAATAAATTGGTATTAAAAGTAGTATTTGGTATTAATAGTAGAAAAGATGAAAATATATTTATATATATATAGTATACATTTTCTTTCAGATTGTTAAGATTTTTTAAAGTTTAACTTTACTTAAAACTTTAATTTTAAAACTTTGAGGTCAAGGGTTTAAGGTAAATTCAGGTAAAAAAGTCAGCTTAAAACCGTAAAATTTAGTGTAAATATTAATTATTTTTAAAATTTTATTTAATTATTTCCATTTTTTGACTATTTTGTTTTAATTCTTCTTCTTCATCCTCTAAATATTTTCTTTTTTTATAAGGAAATATTCCATACAAAACAACAGCCCCAATAACCAATACCTTTTTTAAAATAAAAATTAGACAAAATTAAATATTTTTTAATTTTAACTGCTCCTCCAATAAAAAGTAAAGAAGGAAAATTTGAAAAAAGTAAAATTGAAGCAATTGTGGCTACAACCTTAAAAAATAATTTTTACAAAAAATTAAATTTAATTTAAAATTACAATAGAAACAGAAGTTCCAAAAGCTTTTAATATATTATCTGCATATTTAATTACAATAGCAACAACTAAACCACCAAGAGCTAATTTTTAAAAGAAAAAAATTTTTAATTAACGAAGAAAAAGCTACCTTGAAGTAAAACAGCCATCCAAACAATTAAATCAAAACCTTGCATAAATCCTTTTATTTTAACTTTTTCACTATCATTTACCTTTAAAATAATTAATTAAAAAAAACTCCCAAAAAAGAATTTAAAAGAAAAAAATTGGAAATTAAGTTGTCAAAAAATCGAAATTAAAAATTTTTGGAATTTAAGGAATAATTTAAACAGACGAGAAAATTAATTAATTAATTTTTATTTAATTAAAATTAACCCACCCAAATAACAAAAAGACCAATCGGAATAGAAAGAAAAGCTAATTGTGTATTTCTCAACCAAATAGAAACATCATTAGATTTTAATATTTTTTCCAAATAAATACCCGCAAAACCCGAAAGAATGCAAGCAATAATTATTGAAATAAAGCCAATAAATGGATTTTGAATATGTTGGTGATGGGTAAGGGAGGTGGAGGAGGAGGAATTGTTTAAAATTTCTTTTTTAATTTTAAATTAAAAATATATATTTAATTAAAAAAGAAAACCTTTATTTGTATTATTTACCACAAAATTAGTTAAATTTAAATTATTTAAATTAATTATTGTTGTTGTATTTAAATTATTATTGTTAATTAATTGTTGCTTATTTTTATTTGCACTCTTTAAAAATAAATCTTTTTAAATTTAATTTAAAAATATTTACAATTTGTACAATAGCAACACCCAAAATTAAAACAATTAAAGAAATCCATTGTTGAATTGAAAGTTTTCTTTTTAGAATTAAAACAGTAAATATTGCTGTTGTAAGGATTTTTAGTTGATAAGTAACCTAGGGATTTTTTAAAATTAAATTTGGAATAAATTAAAAAACCATATAAGTCCCAGCATCTAAATTCTCGACTGCCTAAAAATATTTAAATTAAAAAAATATTTTTTTAATTTCCTCACCACATATAAAAGAAAATTTTGAATAACATAAATAAATGCAGGTATTCCAACTTTGAGTGTATCCAAAAAATTTGTAAAAAAATGCTTTTTAATTAAACAAAATGCCCTTTTAAATAATTTTAATTATTTAAATTTTAAATTAAATTAAAAAACTTTTTATTATTTCCAGTAATTACAAAAAATAAAATTAAAGAAGTAAAGAATTTAACAATTTCATTAAAAAATACAGCTACCTAAAAATAAAATATTATTTAAAAATTAATTTTTTTCAAACAGTTTTGAGGAATGGCGGATTTATTGAAGGATTTCTTGTTGTTGCATAACGCATAAGCAATACCTTTTTTTAAATAAATTTATTTTTAAATTTAATTAATTACTTGTGAAGTATTTTGTACAACAAGCACAAATAAACTTGCATATTTAATTAAATGAACTAAAAAATAAATTAAACTTTTTCCTCAATAATTTTTTAAAATTCAAATTAGAGTTGTGTTCCGAACCTCTGGGGAAGAAGAATCAAACAACGGGGTTTTAGGATTAGCAGAAAGTATCTGGATTTTGAAGTGAACTTAGGGGGGGGGAGGAGGGAGGTTTCCAAATTTTACAAAAAATTTTGATAGATAAAATAAAACTTGAATACTTCAATTAACAGCAAATATTTCTATAGCCCTCCAAACATTTTAATTTAAATTCAAAAATTACTCTTACATTTTTTAGGAATTTCCCTCGTTATCCCCTTTTTAACATTTTCTTCTTCTTTTTCTTCTTCTTTACATTTTTCTTCTTCATTATCATCAAAATATGTTTGGCCATTATTTAAATTTTTTAATTCTTCACAAGAGGTATTTATATTTATATTGAGATCTTCACCATTAATACTAGATGTAAAAGCAGGCATTCACTACACTCAAATTAATTTTTAATTAAAAAATAATTAAAAATATTTTTTTTTGATTTTAATTACAAAATTTATTTTAAAAAAGATTTATTTTTATTTAAATATAAAGTCAATTAATGTAGAGTAAAATCATCAAAATTAAAAAATAAGAGAGAAATATTTAAGTGAATTTATAATTTATTTTAATCACAAATATATATAGAAAACCAAAAATGGAAGTTCTGCAAAAAATAAATAAAATAAAGAACATTAAAATTTAATTTTATCAATTATTTTAATCTAAAACACGAGGTTTTTTTTAAATTATTTTTATCATTAAACGAGTCTTGTGTTTTCTTTTTGTTCTTTATTTTTGATTTATTCTTTTTTTAAATGATTTTTTGAAAGTCAAAAAAGATAAAGAAATATAAAAAAGGAGAAAGTTTTTATAGAAAGAGAACAATTAAAAATATATTAATTATTATGTCAAAAATTAAAAAAATTATTTTATTTTTTATTTAAAAAAAATAACAAAAATAGAAAAACAACCCGAATAAAAAATATAAATTAGTGTAAGACAATTAATGCACTAGAGAATATAGTAGTGGATATACAATTAATTCTCGTTATAATCCCGTACAGGACTCGAAGGAATAATATCCTTTGAGGGGTTGGGGCCAACTGAACGCCATCAAACTTTGATTGGCTATAACTTTTTTACTCTTGATCCAATATGAATAAACTTATCTCATTCGAAATATAAAATTATATCATTCATAAAAAGTAATAGCGGAACAAATTTGCCTGGCGTTCAGTTGGCCCGTTCCAACCTTAGAATTATAGAATATAAATTAGTCAAAAATTTAATTTTAAAATTAAAACAAATATTTTAACACAACAAAATTTTTGGTAAAATTGAACTTTGTACCCTCTTTATTTCTCCACAAAGTGAAAAAATGGTTCGCGTTAATTTATGGCGATAAGTATCCAGCGTATCCAGCTCTGATTTTTAGAGCAGAGCTTTAAAAAATTATTTTTCTATTTCCATAAAAGATTATACTGGAGTACAGTGAACTTATTACCCATCATATTTTAGATCTGACCATTTTCCCACTTTATGGATGGGAAAGAGGGAGGTGCCGAGTTCAATTTTACCAAATTTTTGTCTTTAAAATAAATATAAAAAAGTAATTAAGAGTAGGAAAGAAATTGGAGAATTTCTTAAATTTCCTCTCATAAAATTATTTATTTATGCTGGACAACCCTTTTCTGGAGGTATTTTTCTTCCCTTTTTATTATTTAATTGTGTTGAATATATTCCAAAAAATCGAAGAATTTGTGTTGACGAAGAATAAAGAAATATCGATAAAATAACTAAAGTAGCCCCCAATGTAAAAAGTAAACTTGGTTTAAAACCAAAAAATTGAATAGATCCAAGAGTTGCCAAAATAATTGCAACAGAAGTAGCAAAATTTTTGGCAATATTGTCTGCATATTTCAAACAAACAGCAACAGAAAGTCCACCAACGGCATACCAAAAAGCTGTTGTCCAAACTACAATATCCCAACCATACATAAAACCGTGTTCTGATATTTTAGAGCCGTCCTAAGGTTAAAAAATAACAAAAATAATTTTAAAAAATTTTTATGTTCTGCTAAATAAATTTTGAGATTGTGTCTATTACGTGTTTTGTAAAGTTGAATAAATCCATCGAACACGAAGTAATGAATGATTTAATAAAATTATTTATTTTCAAAGTTGGGGTCCTCAATTTTTATTCGGGACTAGTTTGTCTAGTTTCTGAAATTAAAAAAAAGGCAAAAACTAGGAAAAATTAACATAAGTAAATTTCTCCGAAAAATTTTAAATATTGAAAACTAAATTTAAATAAATAATTACAAACTTGGATCATTGTAGCCAAAAAGCTTGAAGGAATTGAAAAAACAGCCATTTGAATGTTCTAAAAATTTGAAAAAAAATTTTTAGTCAGTAAAATATGTATTTTAATCTAAAAAATAAAAAAATACAAACTCTCATCCAAAGAGAAACAGGCGCCGATCCTTTCAAAATTTTTTCAAAAAATACTCCAGAAAATCCAGAAAGTCCACAAGCAATACTTGCAGCAATAAATCCTTTTTAAAAACATTTTTTGTAATTCTATTATTAAAAAACCTGTCAAAACATTTTGTTCACTCATAACATTTTTTCTTTCAGTATTTTGTTTTTGTTCGTCCTCGGGTTGCATTTGTACTAAACAAACACCAATAAACAAAATAATTAAAGAAATCCATTGGGCACGAAGTAATGAACGATTTAATAAAATTATTGAAAAAATTGCTGCCGAGAAGATTTTTAATTGAGAAATTATCTTTTTAAAAAATAAATTAATTTTAAAATTTAAAAATAAAAAAAACCATAAAAGTAGCAGCATTTAAATGAGAAGCAGCAGTGTAGAATAAATTATTTTGTAAAATATAAAGCATTGATGGCAAGCAAACTTTTAAAGTATCCTTTGGCTGTTCAAAAACTTGTTTTTTAATTAATTCAAAACCGCTAAATTTTTTTAAAAAATTTAAAAAATAACTAAAAAAAACCTTAAAAATCCCTCTGGAGAGGAAGATTCTGAATGAAAAACAACCAAAAGACAAACACAAAGTTTAATAACTTCAGTCCAAAAAACAGCAACAGTCGAAAAATACATTTCTTTAACATCCCTAACCTTTTATTGGAATTTAAAAAGAAAAAATAATTTAAATAAAAAAATACTCGAGAATATCGAAGAAGTAATGCATGGACAGCATTTTGAACAGTTAACCAAATAAGTACACCTAATTTAATTGAAGCATTAAATGAAGATGGTTGTGTTGTTCTACGAACTTCTACTAAACCCATCTAAAATTTAAAAAATATTTTCTTAATTTATTTGAAGAAAAGAAAAATATTTTTCCCGCTCTCCCTTCCATGCCTTTTACTCAAAAATAGATAAAATCTAAAAATACGCAAACATATACACATCCGTGTTTAAATAAATCAGATAAATAAAAGGATTCAAAATTTAAATTAATTTTTAAAAACCAATAGAGGATTTAAAAAAAGGAGAAGCTTTAAAAACACTCAAAAACTTAATAATTACCAATTTTTCATTATTAATTTCCCTTTCAATTTTTCCATTTTCAATCATAATTCCTTTAAGGTCTGTTGTCGTTTGATCATTTAATAAAGGTATTTGATCATTATTTTTGTCTAAATTCCCAAGTCCAATCAATCTTTCATTTGCCATTTAAATTAAATAAATAAATCTGAAAATTACAAAAATTTAATTAATTCCAAAAATTAAGTCAACTAAAATTTTGATAAAAATGGTTAGACAAAACTTTAATTTTTTGATGATGTGGATTCGTGTTGGAATTTTGGATGAAATTCATGTGTTGACAATAGAAAAAAATAAAAAAACTTTTTTAAAATAAAAGTCGATATAAAAGAAATTTAATCGTTTAAATTTAAAAAAAATAAATTTTTTTGTAAAATTTTTTATCAAAATTACAAACATAAAATAAATAATTAACAAATTTTGGCATTTAAATAAATATGTAAATAATTTTTGGATGAAACTGAAAATTTCTTTACAAATTGAAAAATTGTAAAATATATTCCGAAATGCTTTAATAGACCCACATTCTTTATTTAAAGCCCGCTACCTAATATAAGCACACCCTACGAGAGGATCGAAAAATAGAAGAAAATGTGGGGGTTCTTTTAAAGTATTTGGGTAAATAAAAATTAATTTTTAGACAAAAAACATTTTTCTTAAATTTTGTGGATATTGTATGTATTTTTTAGAGACTGGACTTGAATAATCGATATCTCGAAATATCTTGATTTTTAAACAAAATCTAGTTTAATCCTTCAAATAACTTTTTTTGTTAATATTCCACAATTTATTAAAAAAATATTTTTTTATTACATAAAATACTTTCAACCCCCCCCCCCTCTCTACAATAATTTCCCTTCTTTAATTTTTTTAACTTCAATTAAATTTTCTTTAGCTTTAGTATATTTAACTACACATTCTCTACACATAGCTCTATATAATTCTTCCCCTCCAATTATTTCAACCCTTTTATTTGTAGATAATCGAAAAGTAAAAGATGCTGATTGCCCACAATGACAGACTGCATTTAATTTTTCAATTTTTTCTGCATTTGGAATTAATTTTGTAACATTTGGAAATGGCTTTAAAAAAAGAAAAATAATTATGTTTAAATCTCTTACTTCTTGTTTATAATCTCCATTTAATGCTGCTATAATTACTATTTTCCCAATATCAGCCAAATCTTGTGCATATTTAACTAAATCTTTAAACTAAAAATTAATTTTTTTAATTATTTTAATTAAAAAAACTAAACAAATTGCCCTTCATCAATTCCAATAACATTATAATTTTTAATTGTTTCGTAAATTTCTTCAATATTTTCAGCTAAAAATGCTTCCATTTTTCGACTTAAATTTTAAATATTTATCTCTTTTTCTAATTTAAAATTCAAAACTGATCATGTGTGCATGCCTGTGTAGAATCATAACGTATATCGTGTCGATATTTAATTATTGCTACTGAACGTCCAGCAAGTGTGTGTCTTGTTGCTAAACGAAAAAGTTCTGTTCTGAAAATTAAAATTAATTTTTTGGAAAATAAACAAAAAAAAACAAACGTTTTCCCGCTAAACATTGGCCCTAAATTAATTTTAAAAATAATTTTTAAAAAAATTTATATTATACCAATAATTAATTGAATACATCCTCTTTGATGACACAAACATTCAGACATTTAAAAGAAAATTATCTAAAAATTAATTATTTCTTTTTATTCTAAACGGTTAATAATTTAAAAAAAATTAATTCTTTTAGCTTCGTTTGGAATTATTCAAATTTAAATTTGTCATCAAAAATTAATTGTCATTCTGTTTTATTTTAATAAAAAATGACGAAAAGACCAAAGTTGCTGATCTTGTGCCCATTTAAAATGTACAAAGATCCTCTCCTTACTTAAACTTTGTTTCTCATAATTTTTAAAAAAATTATTATGAAAATTTTTTTATTCCTGGAATGTAGAATGTATAAAATTGCAAACTTTTTATATTAAATAAATAAAGAAAAAAACAAGTATTTATTTTATGAAAATTAGCATTTATAATAAAAATCTTGTAAATATATTCTTCTTTAATTAATTAAATATAGATAAAAATCTTTCATTCCTTTTTAATTTAAAATAAAGACAATACCTAGAACACAAAATACTTTACAAACTTATTAGATACATATATTTTTATAAATTTTTTATTAAATGGATTTTTACAAATATAATAAAAATAAGTATAAATTATATTTTTGTTTAAGCAGATATTTACAGTGCTGGAAAAATAGTCCGGGTTATAAGGAACTCATGGAGATAAGGCTAAGAATTTAAATAAGTTATCAGGGAGTTTTTGAGCATCTTTAATGTAAAGTAGATTTTGTTGTCTGGTATATACATAAATATTACAAAGTCAAGAATTTAAAAATTTATCCCTATTTAGAATGTATATATTAAATACCTACTCGATTTTTACGTGGTCAAAATAATAAAAATGTAGGTAAAAACCTTTAAAAATTTTCATTTAATGCAACAAGTCAAGATTCAAAAAAACTTAAACTGCATTAAATCTCGACTTCGAAATTTAAATAAATATGTATATTAAAATTTTATTCAAAAAACAAATTTAATATTTTAAAATGAAGAAAGAAAAGAAAATAATTTTTTAATAATTAAAGGGAATGATTGGAAAGAGAATGAGTTAAAGGCTATGAAATTTTAAAAATTGTTAAAGGATTAAATAAATAATTTTAAATAATTATTGTTAGGCGATTAATTTTAGTTTAGAAAAAATTAATTTGTAATTGATGATTCTATGCTTCAATATTTCACCCATAATGTTAAATTTGCTTTAATTTTTCAAGGCTACTGGAAAAATGGATTAATTCTCGTTTATTTTGAATATCTACTGGAAAATAATAAAATAAAAATTTAAAAAATAATTTAAATTTAAAATTATCAAAAATATTTTAATTAAAATTACTTAATTATTTATTTCTCGTTTTCTTTGCTTTAAAAAACTAAAAAATATGTTTAAATATCGTTACTTTTTAACTAAAAAAAAGTCAGTAGTTTTGTATAACAATTTGTTGTTATTTTTAAAAAAAAGTAAAGGATTATCATTGTTAAAACTATTTATTTAATACTTTTTAACATACTAAATCACTCTCTCAATGTAAAAAAACATAATGGATTGCCTTTTCTGTCCTCCTCTATTTATTGTTAAAAAATATTTTATTTTTTAATCAACAAAAATCAAAAAATCTATGCCCTTAAACGATTCAACAATAGTCGATACAGTTTTACGTTCTGATCCAGCTTCTGTTCATTGGTTTAATAAATGCCTTTCAACTCGTTCATTAAGATTAACAACTACAGATTTAGATGATTTCCTTTTACGTTATATTTTTCCTTTTCAATTTACTGGTTTTTTTAAATTTAAAATAATAAATTTAAAATTATTTTTTTTAATTTAAAAATAGTTGGAATAATAGGGAATACTTTAATTCTTTATGTTTTATTATCTCCTGAAATGAGAAATAGAGCAAATGATATGGTTAGTTTGTATATTTTATTTTGGAATAAATAAATGCTTTAATTATTTAAAATAATGACATTTTCTTAACATATTTTTCTGTATATGTGTAAAAAACGAATTAAAAAATTTATAATTAAAGTTTAATGGTAAATAATATATTTTTTTATTTATGAGATGTCTGTAATATTTTTAGTTCTTAATTTTAGCTTGATTTTGAAAAAATAAATTTAAAGTTTTGTTAGAGTTTAATTTGAAAGGTTAATAATGAAAAAAATTTTTATCACACAAATTTTTATTTCTTTATTTATTTCTAGCTGGCAGCAGTTTCTCTCTCAGATTTAGCATTTTTCTTTGCAATGTTACCTCATTCATTAGCATTATTTTTAAGTAATAATATACATTTTCGTTATCCATATTTGGTAATTAATTTAAAAAAATAAATTAATTTTTAAATTTAAATAAAAGTTACATAAACAAGGACTTTCAGCTATAAATAATTGGCTTTCAGCAATATCCTCAATGTATTTAAATTATTTAAAAGTTTTAAAATAAATTATTTAGATTAATATTAGCGGTTACAATGGAACGTTTTTTAGTTATACGTGCTCCATTAAGGTCAAGAAAATATTGGAATAAATCACAAAGACAATGTTTTTTCTTATTAATTTTTTTAGGAACATGTAAATTATATTAATTAAAAAAATAATTTCTTTTTTTTCTTCAAGTTCTTCTAATTATTTATCATTTTTTTGAATATGTTAGTTTTATATTTTAAAAAAAAATCTAAAAAAAAATTTCTTTTAAAAGGATTGCCAACTTGCTCATTTTTGTAACGGAACACAAATTTATATGTTTTGTTATTCAGCTGGAACAAGAACACACCCTGGATCTGTATGTGTTGTTTTTAACTAAAAGATATGATTGTCTTTTTATAAATATTTAGCCATGGGATAAATTAAGTTCTGTACGGACATCTTTAATTAGAAGAATGTTGATACAAACAGGCACAATTTGCAATGCTATATTTGTTTGTTGTTAATTTATATTTTATTTCAACTAAAAAATAAACTCCCTCCCTCCCCAAAGATATTCCATTAAAAATAATTTTGGTTAACAAATCTCGATATTAATGGAGGAGACATCCTATCAAAATTATAAATTTTATAAAATTATTATTATTTTTAAAAAAAGGTTGTATTTGTCCCTGTATTTTCTGTCGGTAATTTAATTATTTAAATATTTAAAATATAATTATTTTTCAAGCAATTTTAAATATTTTATTAATCCGTCAATTACGTTTAAATGATAAAATAGTCCGTACATCCTCACAAAATTCAACAGTTCAAGGATTAATTCCCACGCAACAAGTTTTTATAAAATAAAAATTAAATATTTTTTAAATTTTAGAAAAATAGAAGGCATATTACTTTAACTGGTAATTAAATATTTAAATTAATTTATGTATTTAAATAAAAGTAATAACAATTTCAACTTGTTTTGCAATAAGTCATGGACCATCAGCAATTTTCTCTCTTTGGGAACTTTTAATTGGTTATAAAGTAAATAAATAAAAATATTTTTTCTAAATTAATTTTTTTTTCTAGTCAAATAATCAACAAATATTTACAGCAATTTCAATTGCCAATGGATTTGTGTTAACCGGGAAAACTTTAAATTTTTTATTATTTTGTTTAAGTTCTGCACATTTTAGGAAAAAATGTTTAAAAATATTTTTTAAAAAATTTAAAAAGGTTTTTTTAATTAAAAAGAAAATAATTTGTTTATTTTAGAAAAGACAAAACTCTTCTTCAATTGAAAGATTTCAACAATCTCGTTTAGAAAACAAAATTCAAAAAGAACAAAAAACTCAGAAATTAAGTATTTTAACTTTAAATGAAATTGGGAATGAAGAATTTATTTAAAGAGAAAATTAATAATGAGAGAGAATAGACCGAAAATTTATTTATAAATACAAAATATTTTAAAGGTTATTCAAGAAAATAAAATTTTTTTGTAAAAAGTAAAGTAAAAACATATAGTAAAGACTGCTGAAAAGTATATGGCCAAGGATGTTGTGAGATTTATTATTAAAAAATCATGCCTATAAAACGGGCATATTTTTCTATAAATTTATAATCATTTTAAAGCTAAAAATGGAATAAAAAAGTATTTAAATCTTGCGGTTTAAGCACTAACAAAATTAGTGCTCCACCCCTTGGCCATATATACTTTTGCCCCAGACTGTACATATATTTATATCCACAGATTAACAAAACATATTAATGGGCTTATATTAATTTAAATAAATACAATAAAGAAAATAGAAAAGTAGGAAAAAAGAAAAAAATGTTGAAAAAAAGAACGAAATATATTTTACAAATTTTGATAATAGGAAGCGATTATCTTAAATTAAAAATTAATTCATTTAAAAAATTTAAACTTACTTTCCAAGCATTTTCTGGCATAAATCCTTTTGGAGGGTTTTTTCCTTCTTTTGCTAATTTTCTAATCATTGTCCCACTAATAAATTGAAAATCTTCACTTCGTTTTTCATCAAAAAATGCCATACACCCAGCCTTTTTATCATAAGCAGCTACTTGAAATGGAATAATTTCTAGGCCAGGTAATGCTGGTGCCATTGAAAGGACCTTTTAGAAAATTATTTTAAAAAAACTTTAAAAGAAGCCTCATCAGTTTAACAAAATTTTAAAATTATCGTCAAAATAATTTAAGAAGGTGTCCTAAATTTATTCATCATTTGAGGCTAATTGTAAGGAAATAAAATTTAAATTACAAGAAGAAAACCCAAGGTTTAACCAACTTAACCACAAGATAACTTTGTCAAATTATTTAAATCAGTTATAAATATTTTAATAAGTCTTAAAAATATAAATTAAAATACTTTAGCCCCATGACTAGGTTCATAAAGAGAATCTCCAGTTAAATTATCAGCAATTCCAGCAGGATCTCTACCAACAATATAAGCATCAACTCCACATGTAAGTCTAGCACGTGCATGCCATTGAACTTCTGTAGGGCCAGCATAACACATTGGGGAAGGAAAGATTGACAAAATTGTCTTCAAAATTTATTTTTAATTTAATTAAATTATATACCCCTACCCCACCCCCTACCCATATATACCCCCCTCCCCCTTCCCTTACCCATTCTTTATTAATTATTCCATTTTCTAAAACAGCCAAATGTTGTTTAATTCTAATATTTAAAGGAACATCGTCATCCTTTGTCCAACCCCCAAGAGGATGTAAAAGCAACATTGGATTTTTATATCCTTTTAAAAGTAATTCTTCTCTTGTTTTAGACATTAATAAAGCATGTCCATTGTGTATTGGATTTCTTAATTGAAAAGCAAAAACACAATCGCATTGTTTTTCTTCAAATATTTGTTTAAGTTCTGAAGGTGTTTTTCTATATTCATCTAAACCATCATTATAAATAATTCTTTCAAATACCTTTTAAAAATAAATAATTTTTAAAATATTAAAATTAAGGCTCGGAGGCGGGAAATTTAGTTTCAAGTTTAAAAATGGTATAACTCATATACCGAATATTTTGAGGTATAGGGGAGACGGGAGAGGTTTTGGGTAATTGTTCAGGATACGGTTATCTCTCAAAAAATATATTTTTTTAATTATTTACTAATTAGTAGTTGTCCTCAATGATTTAATTAATATTTATTTATAAATTTTAAATATTTCTTTTTCTTTTAAAGAAAAATATTTACTTAATTTCAACTCAAAATTAATTAAAATCACCTTTAAATCCCCACCAATTAGCCAATCACCACTTTCCATAATTAATTTAATCCCCGGATGCCCATTTTCAATTTCCTTCTCTTCAACAAAATGTCCAAATTGTCTATGGATTCTTTCCTTTTTTCGATGAGGGAATATTTCTACATCCTTCAAAACTCCAATTAATTTATTTTTAAATATTAATTGAATTTTTGGTTTTAAATAAAGTTTTGATTTAATTAAATTTGCTTGGTTATCAAAAATTGGTAAAACTATGGGGATTGTTTGATTAATTGGGCCTAACATTGGAAATTGATCTTCTTCTTCTTCTTGACAACTAAATAAAAAATAATTTTCAGAATTTTTTTCTCAAAATCTTTACTTAAAATCCCCCTCCTTCCTTTCCCCATTTATTTGGCATTTCTTTTTTAAATCAAATATTTGTCCAAAATGTAAACATTGAAGATATTGACGTTCTCTCATAAATCCAGCCAAAGGAGATGCCCAACCTTCTGCCAAAACCTTTTTAAGAAATTAAAAAAAAAATTTTTAAATTAAATCAGGCTCTAACCTGAATCCACTGTAAATCAATTTCTGAAATTTCAATTTTAAAATTTAAATTATCGTCAATTTCTTCAATTAATTTATTTTGTTCTTCTTTATTAAATTCGAAAAGTTGACGAATTGGTTGTCCACATAATTGATACATTGCCTCAAAAAATTAAAAAAAATTAATTTTTAATTTCTCAAAAAACAACTTCTTCAGGCAAAATTTTCTTTTCGTAAAGAAAATTAAAAACTTTTTGGATTGATTCAATTTCTGTTTCTTCCCCAGAATTTAAAATTAAATCAGGCTCTAAAGGAGGTTCATAAGCACTATCTACACCAGTAAATTCTTTAATTTCTCCGGCTCTGGCTTTTTTATATAATTCTAAAATTTAAAGAAAATAATTTTTTGTTAATTAAAAACAACTTTTTGGATCTCTAGCTTCACAAATTTCTAAAGATGTATTGATGTAAATTTCAAAGAATGGAATATTGTCCTAAAAATTAAATAAATTTTGGATATCTTTCTAAATTTTTTTCCGTTTTATTTTAATTAACAGGTAAATGAATATCTCTTTTTAATTAGAAAAAAATATTTTTTTGAAAGAAAAAAGTAAAAGTTTAGCCACCTACTGAGCTACCTGGGTGACAATTTTTGCTTTTCCTTAAAAATCGTTTAACACCCGCCTAAACATTTTAAATTTTACTAAATGAAGAATAACTTTAATAATTTTTTAAAATAATTTCCCCTCCTTAAAAAAACCACCAACTTGTTCATGTATTCTTCTTGCAAAATCCCTGTCAACTTTGAAAGGAGAAATAAAACTAGCCAAGACAACCATTCCCGAATCTCCAAATAATTTCGCAACTTCCCCAACACGTCTAATATTTTCAGCTCTATCTGTTTTACTAAACCCTAAATTTCTGCATAATCCATGTCTAACATTATCTCCATCAAGACTGTAAGAAGGAATTCCCAACTAAAAAAATTTAAATTATTTTTTTTTAATTCAAAATTATCTCCACTTTAATTAATGTTTTTTCTAAAGCAAAAGCAATTGTTGTTTTTCCAGCACCAGAAAGTCCAGTAAACCAAAGTGTACACCCTCTATAACCCGAGTAACGACCTAGCACATTAGAACGATCTTCACGTGTAACTTTATGTTGTTGGAAAGTAACATTTGTTGCCATATTGAAAACTGACTTTAAAAAAATATTTTTAAGTAAATATTTAAAAAGTTTGAAGAGAGTGTTATGTTTAACGAGGGAACTTTATTTGGAGCTTAGTTTAGATTAATTATATGAATATTCCAATCACAAAGAGATGTTTGAATTTCTGTTTAGAATATATTTTGATAACCCTCGGGATGCATAGACGAGCTAAATCTTATTAAAAACTTACAATTTTAAAGCCTTTCATTCCTTCTGTTATCTAAAACTTTTTTTACCAAATATTTAAATACTAGAACACGATTCCAAAAAAGGTATATATACCCTATACACATTTAAATATACACACATTTTAGACCAAAAACCAAACAATAAAAAAACTTACCGGAAGCCTTAATCTTTTGCGTGGTGATTGTGCCATAATGTTCTCGTTATCTTCAAATTGACTTTGCTGTCGCCAATAGCATGGAGAGTAAATTGCTTTTGTCGATGTAGTCATTAATAGAATTTATGAAGAAAAGGAATGTAAAAAAGGTAGAGATATAAAAAAGGAAGAAGGATTAGCTTTATATTATAAAGCTTTTAAATGCTGCTAAATATAAATAAAATAAATATGTAGAGGATTAGTTAGTGGTTATTATAAATTGGAATTATAATTAATTAGTTTGTGTTCATAGAATCGTGAATATTTAATTTTAGCAAAAATATTATTGTAGACAAATGTGTATTTGTTGGGAAAGAATTGAAATTACCTAAATTTTTCGATTAATTTACCCCCCCCCCCCCCTCTTCTCTCAATTGCCCTTCAATCGTTCAAATGTCAGAACTCAAATACCTCACTCAATTAATTACCACTTTTGGCGTGAGGTTGAAAAAATAATTTAAGAATAATATAATCGAAATTGCAAATTTTTGTAAATAAATTAACGAAAATACCGAAGTAAAATGTAAAGTATTCAATTATAGATAAAATAAGATTATAAAAATATTTTTTAAATCATAACATAGTTAATTAAAAAAACATTTATACACAAATATTTTTATTAACAAACACACAAGGCTTATTTAAGAAAATAATTAATGTATTTCTAAAATAATTTAAATATATACTGGGCGGCGATGAGATAAACTCATTTATTAATCAATTAATGTGTACATAATAGCGTTGGGTGATCTGGATATCCGGATCCAAAAAATGATATTCAAAAATTTATCAATATCTGGCAACCCTATTAGTAAATACTGAGTATTCAGACATTTTCTGGGACAAAATCTTTAAAGCCGACCAACTTTCAGTTTTATAAAACGAAAAAAGACTTTAGTTAATTAACTAGAAAACGCATGACTTTTTGAACTAAAAATGTTTACATAATTAATAAAGCTATAAATTTATAATTGGAAAAATAAAATTCTCTTCAACGGGTGGAATTTAAAAAATAACATTTTTTAAAGCTTAATACAAATAAATTTATCAATAAAATTATTAATGTGTAAATAACTGCCGATGAAAGACAAAGTTGTGGAAATAATTCAAGTGTTTAAAAAAATTAATTTACATAAGATCATACCTGTATTAAAGAAATTTTAAGTAAAAAATGCAGAAAAAAATTAAACAATACATATATTATTCAATAACTTTTAAATAAAATTAAATTAAAAAATAAAATTAATTTAAATAAAATTATTAAATACTTATAAAAATTCTTGATAAACCTAATTTAGTTGGCTAATAATTTGGCTAATTTGAGATTGTTAAAAATGGTCTTTGTTTAGTGTAAAAATACTAAAAATAAAAATTTAAGCTCTTTAGGAAAAAGATATTTAAATTTATTCAAATGGGATTTCGTCTGGCTAATCATAATTTTGGCATGTATCATTTTGAAATGGACGAACAATTCGTCTCGTTTAGTTTAATTGTAAAATGATCCATCAGGACGACTACGTCGCAGACCAACTCTGTCCCGAGGTTTTTTTGGATAAAATTTTTTTGTTTCTCAAATATTCAGAATAAAATATAAAAGAAATTATTCAGACTAATATCCAAAAATGGAGAAAAGGAAAGGTAATACGTCGGTCCATTAGAATTGTGTAATTGTAAAATGATACAGTAACGAACTTGAGCAAACTAAATGTAATATTGAAAAGAAAAAGAAATGATTCCAAATTACTGACTAGGAATATTTATAAAAATATTAAACATGTAAGAAAAAAATAAGAGATTCCCATTTTGGCAGTAAAAGTTAAAATAAAAATGTAAGAATTTTATGCCCAAGCAAATTTAACGATTAAAATTACAAGATAAAAATAATTTGAAAAACTAGAAAAATATAAAAATGAGATAACAAAATAATTGGAAGACAATTTCCCTTCGAACTCAAAATTCAATTTTAAACAATTCAACATACACTCGATGGGAAATATGGTTAATAAATGGAATTCGAGAGATGGATACCATCTCTAAATACAACATTAATAACCTACAAATTGATTTGAAATTTATTTTATTCGTTAATATAAAAAATTTCATATTAGGGAGGGATTTTATGTTAAAATTACACCTAATAAAAAACAAAACAAACGAAAAAGCTTTATTGAAACAAATTTCATTGAAGATGGTTGATTATACGATTGATTGTCAGCTATATAAAGTGGTTTTTCAAAACTAAATATGTGAAAAATGCTTAGTTTATCAAACAGAAAAATGGCACTTTTTTAAATAACAAAATTAGATACTCGATAAAATCAAAAATAGTATAGAGTGCCAAATTTTGATAAAAATTAAGCATTAATTGCAAGAGTAACTTTAAATTAACGTATGATTGTATATTTTTACTTTTTTATTGACGAAACGAGAATAGGAATGAAAAAAAGGAGAATGAATTTACGGCCTCCTCTACATATCCAAATATTCATTTTGTGTAAACAAACGTAATTAGCCATAATTTCATTATTCAATATCTGCGAGACATTGAATGGCGCACAGGCGAGTATTCATAAATGCCACGTTCACGAGACCGCGAACGGCTTGGTGAACGACGATGGCGTTTGCTGGTGCGAATAGGAGAGCGTGAACGCTCACGACGATGTTTTCGAGAACCTCCACCAGCTATGCCACTGCTGTATGATTTAGCTTCAATGCCATTCAGTGTATCCTAATTAAAATGAAGAAATAACATTATTAAAGAAATGAAAAAATGATAGATTGGAGTTCAAGAAATTATAAAGTGAAAAGCTTTTTTGAGTGTTTATAACAAAAGTGAAACCGTTTTAAAAAGAAAACCGGAATTGTCGAAGATAAGCAAGAATGGAAAAACAGATCAAAATAAAGAAATTTGGGCCAAAGTCATCTAAATATTAATCAGTAGAGCTTGGATTTAACGTAGCAAAAATCATCATTTCAGCGCCACAAGCAAAGGTTACGCAATTTTGGAACGCCAAGAAAAGAATTCTTATATCATTTCAGCAAAATTTTTTTAACCATTTCAAAAAAAAAAACAAAAGTCTAAATCAAAGATCAAAATTTTGAAACAGCTGTTCGAACCCTTTACAAGCTCGTAATCAGACTTACTTTCTGGATCAAAAAATTAAATTTGAGTGTCGCAGGCGAAAATAACATCATTCAAAAAAATTTGCACGTTTCTAGTATAAAATCAAAATTTTTATTTTCTGAATTCAATGTCAAAATATGCATAAAAATGTCTTATACGCTAAACCGAAAAGAGTGTCCTTTTGTGCATGCATGCACAAAAACAAGTAGACAAAAATAAGCATTTGCATAAAAATCCAGACCCTACTAATTAGTCAAATAATAAAATTAAACAGACAAAGAAGCTTAACTAACTTTAAAACCGCAATAAGAACAATGAGAAAGTGATAAAAAAATTTTTTTGATAAAAAATCTAATTAAAACATTCACTCAAAAAAGGTACCTGTGGGAGTACTAAAAAAAGGTACTGGTTTGGAATAACCCACAAGTACCAAATAAAAAAGTTAATAAGGTTACTGAATTTTCAAAAATGTAAATTAACCTGAAGTGTGTTAATCAACAGCTTGCAGCGATCATCGTGTGCCACACGTGACTGACGAATTAGAGAAATAGCAGTTACCAATGTTTCAATAGCAGACGCGTAATCTCCACCAGCAGCATCACTTACGGCTCGATGTATAGCAGAAGAAGAAACTGTCTAAAAATAATTATTCAAAAATTTGGCTGATAATGCCCACTTGGTTACGAGTCATGATCTCTTGAAATTCCACTTCCGACATCATTGATCCATTTTCTGGATGACCATAAACTCCAGCGGCACCATGAGCTTAAAGTAAGATTTCTAATTTTAATAAGAAAAATTGATTTATTTTAACAAAAATTTATGAAAGTAAAAATGTATTACACCCACCAAAATTAGGATAAACTTGCGGATTGATGTGTGCACCTGATGGAAATCCAGGTTGAGGCTGAACAGATTGCATTCCAACACCAGCTGATACTTGACTGATATCAGGCGGTCTGTATTGTACACGATGCTGCGGTTGCTGCTGCTGTTGTTGCAACATTTGTTGGTTAGACACAGCCATTACACCTGCTGAGGTCATTGTCATGGGTGGTGGAGCTGCAGTGTTAACACCTTAAGTGTGAAAAATAAAAATATTTTGGATAAATTTAATTATTATTAGGATTCCTAAAAGGACTAGCCTAATGTAGAAAAAGACGGGGGAGGTCGACTCATTGCCTGTTGAAGGGCTTGTTGCTGGGAAGTGTTAGTTAGAGGTGGCTGGTGATGGACAATACCACCAATGGGAGGTGGAGCTGAGGCCGCCGCCGCCGCTAAATTCTGGCGTTGTTGGTTAGCTGCAGCAACAGCTGCCGCCTGTTGTTGTTGTTGCATTAAAAGAGCCGCAGCAGCTGCCTGTTGTTGATGGTGGGCAGCAACGGCCATAGCTGCAATTTGTTGTTGCTGTTGTTGCGGGTGCTGTTGTTGAACTATTACAGCAGTTGTATTGTTCATTGGATTAGGCGTACCTGATGGCATAACAGAACCAGTAGAAACATTAGACATAAGACCAACTGAAGCAGCTTGTTGTGGGCGCACATTATGAGGAAAGCCAACTGGTGGAGGCACATTAACTGTTGTTACGGAGGTAGGAACTGGTGGAGCATTAAAATTCAAGCTTAGAAGACTAGTTGGCTGAGAGTGTGGTGGTTGCGGAACAACAGGTCTCGCCAAATGAGCCAAATTAATAGAAGACATAAGTTGCGGCACAGGAGCACCGTTAGTGCCAATACGAATTGTGCCAATATTCACAATCTTTTCTTCCTTTACAGGGTTGTCACGACTACGCTCTCGATCACCACTCTTCTGAAAAATAAACGCAGCGTATAAAACTAACATAAATACACATACTTGGTCATAACGTTTAGTTGCTTCTTCTAACTTAGCCAATGATTGTTTAGTATAGGGCAAGACGACGAGATTCTGCTCGTGCACTTGTTTGTTTGGCAATTTCTCCATAAGAGTTTTGACAGACGGCTCACTTCCAAAAACAGCAAGAGCAAACCCTTTGCTTTGACCATTGTTGCGATTCTCGTAGAATTTAATATCAATCAAATCATCGATACCAAAGGTTTGGACAATTTTCTGAAAATTTGGAAATATGAAATTTAAATGGTTTAGGTGCATATTTTAACAAATAAGTAGGTAATCCTGCAGAATCTGGGAGACACCTTAAAAACATCTTAAAAATTATTATTTTTTTCTCAAAATAATTTTATATAGGTAATCGACCATGCTTTTCAAGAATATGAGTTTAGAATTCGTTTATTTCGAACCCCGGACCCGATTTCGACCAAGTCGAAAGTCGTGGTAAAAATTCGATATTAAAATTTTAGGGCTAATCTAATACGCGTATTCGAGCTGAGTCGAATGCCACCGAAATCACCGCGATCCGACTCCATAGGGCCGAGTTACAGACCCCCGAAATTTGAAAATTTTTGGGATCAAAAAATCGAAAATCCAAATAATAGCTCATTCGTGAGAACTCGACGAGCTGGGTCGTATGACACTAGAATCAACCCGATTGAATGATTCTGAACAAAGTTATGACCAACGGAATTTTCGGTGGAAAAACGGTGGGCATATACTTAAGCCCCCCAAATCATGTATATGATAAAAATCATAGATAAAATGTCACATTTGACAAAATCTGATATCAGATTCGTGATCAGCATGGTCGATTACCTACTATATAATATTATTTTGAGAAAAAAATAATAATTTTTAAGATGTTTTTAAGGTGTCTCCCAGATTCTGCAGGATTACCAATAAGGGTAGTACACATCATTAATGAATTCACACCAGTATACTGCAAATAATGGAATCTAGCAGAGGAGATATGTATCGAGAGAAAGAAAAATATACCTTATTTTATAATTTGACTACTAGGACTAATGTTAATACGAGAGTCAGGGATGCAGTGCAGTACAAGAGTACATTACCCCTAAAAAGTACATTACCCCACATAAATTCCGAAAAGTTTAGAGATCACCAGTTAAAATCAAATTTAATCAACGTGAAAATAAACCTCAAGTTCTACATCAGTTGTCCACCATGTCATGTTTCCAATATAACAACAATAACGCTTGCCTGCCGCTTGTTGCGTGGCAGCTGGCTCAGCTTTCACCACAACGGAATGCTTCCTAGATACAGAATTTTGCAAGTGATCTTCAGTTGATTCCCTCTTTTCATTAACTGGACCAGATGGCTCAATCGCAGCATCATACAGATCATCACCTTCCGATTCCTTTTTGCTAAAGTTTGGAACTTTTAATTAAAATTCTAAAAATAAAAATATCATACAGAGTAATTTTCTCATCATCATCGTCGCCTAAAACCTCTTTCTCGTCGAGATCTTCAAGGTTTAACATATCTTCTCCTTCAAGAATATCCTCGCCGATATTATTAAGCTCTGACTCCATTAGCAAATTGCAATTGTATCTAAGAAACAATCTGCTAAAATATGTGGATAATTAATGAGACAAAAGTTCAAAAAAAAGACTGATCAGATACGATCATTTTTTAAACCCCGAACAAAAGTGAATTTTATCCTTATCCGACTATTGATCGTCTGATCATACTTTTCACGTAAAAAATAATTCGCAGAATTAAACCAACAAAGTTGTAAAAATTATTTAGAATGAAAGAAAAATGAGAAAGACATGCCAAAAAAGAGCCCCAGAGTGAATTGGCCTAGACTGTAACGGCATTACCGTACACCATTATACTACTGTATTTATCGCTTTGAAACTTTTCTAACCCTAAATATTAAATAGTTCGTCAATAATGAGTTCGTCAATGATATATTCGTCAAAACCAGTTCGTCAATGATTAGTCCGTCAATAAAATGTGCCAAACTTAAATTGTTTCAGTTCGTCAACGCTAATGTAAAAACATTTAAAAATAAATTGTAAAATGGTGATTTTCAGAAGATAATACTTTTTCTCTTGTTTCTCTCAAAATAAATAAAAAAACTTTTAATAATAATTAAAAAATATACATATGTATAATAATCCCGGTATTTGTGTGTTATTAACGAACAAATTTATGCGGATAACATATAAATATGCGTAAATATTTTAACAAAAATAATTTTAAAGATTCGAAAATAATAATAGCTCTTCCTTTACATTTTACAAATTAAGAAATGTGACAATTTTGTTTATGTTTTCTTGATTCGTCTCTATTTTTTGTCAAAACTGACAAATTATTTATAGGAAAATTGTTTTTTCTTTTTGATTCTGATTTAGCAATGGCAAAATAATTATGAAGGAATCGAGCATTTGCAGATAAAAATAGTTCATCATCAACATCACTTTCAGAACTTAATAAATTATTTTTATCTTCTTCATCATTATCTGTTATTTCGCTTTCCGAAGAGAAAATAAAAGAAGAATTTCTTAAAAAAATATTTTTTTGAGAAAAATTTAGAAAAAATAACTTTTGAGTTCTGCTTGTAGTGGGTAGTTGATTTAAAAAATTATTGTTAATTTGTAATGTACAAGAAGGGCTGGTTTGATTGGAAAGTGGTGAATATTTCTAAATAATTTTTTAATAAAAATAATTATTTTTATTTATTTATTTACTTCATTATTTTCATTAATTTCTTTAATAAATCTCCAATCTTTTTTTCTTTGATAACCATCCATACTTTTACTTCTCTGCTTTGAAAATGTTTTTCTTGGAATTTTGTTTTTAACTAAATTTCTATAAAATTTAAATTTTTTTAAATATTTACTTTTAGAATTTTCCCCATTATTTAATGTTTTCTTAGTGTTGACAGAAAATGATGAACAAGGTGAATCTTAAAAATATAAGGAAAAAATATTTATTTTCTTTTACCTATTTCATCATTATTTGAATATTCACTTTTAAAACTACTTGAAGTACTTTTATTTGTTCCAAATATTTTCTCAAAATTTGTTTTTCTTTTAGGCATTGAAGGAGCTACAGTCTCATAGAAATTTTCTGATGATGATGAACGTTTGATAAATGATGGAGGTAAAGGAGGGGGGCCATTTATTGGAAGAGGAGGGGGAGGGGAAAAGGAAGGAGGGGGCTTTTGTTTATTCCAATTAATTGTTTTTGCTATTGAGACATTTTTTGGATAATTTTTAAGCAAACTTTCATTAAATTCTGATTTTGTTGGAGAAGGAGAAAAAGAAGAGGAAATTGTAGAAGAAGAAGATAATGAAGGAAGAGGAGAAGGAGGAGGGGAATTAATTAAATAATTTTGTCTTCTTTTTTTACAATAATTACAAAATAATTGGTTATTAATTAATGAATAAGGCAATCCAATTAAAGCTCTCTATAAATAAATATATGTATAAGGCAAATGTCCAGCTCACTGTCCACATGTCATTTTGCAGACATGTGGACAGCAAACTGGACACTTAAAATAATTATTTAATTGATTATTAAATTACTTTACAAACAGAACAACAAAAACAATTAGAATTTATATGCCATTTAAAGGAGTTTTCATTCTAAATTTAAAAAAAATTTTGGGAAAAATTAAAGAAATAAACTTTAGCAACAATATGTGGATAATCACAAGGAATTTTAACAAAACAAGTTGCACAATAATTATTTGAAGAAGAAGAATTATTTTGACAGCAATCCAAACAAAAAGGAAATTCTTTTTTATTTTCTTTTAAAATTTTCATCTTTTTAAAAAAAATAATTTCTTTTTTTTTAAATATTTATTTATTAACCACATATTGACAACCAGCCAATGGTTGATTACATTTTATACAACAAAAATGATTTAAATGCCAAGTTTTTCCTTCAGCTTCCGTACATTCCTCCCCAAATATTAACTAAAAAATTTTTTTTAATTATTTTTCTTTTTAATTTTCTTAAATTTTCCCTACAAAATTTTATAAAAAAAATAACTACTTCATCACAATCAGCACAACGAGGCTTGGTTAATTCTGCATGGTGACGACCACAAAAAATACTTTTTTTTTTAAATATTAAATTATTTTTAATTAAATTTAAAAAACTTGTCTTGATGTGCAAAATAAATTAAATTAACCAATAATTCTTTACATTCAACACAAACAAAACAATTTGGATGCCAATGGGCATATACTCCAAAATGGGTAATTGCAGTAATTGCTAAGGTTTTTGATTCAATTGGGGATTTACACTAAATTTATTTTTAAATTATAATTTTATTTTTATTTTTATTAAAATGATATACAAAAATAACTGGAGACTTATTTAATATATACATACTAACTTATTTTAAAAATTAATTAAAAACAAAGATTATTTAATTTTCACAATTTTTATAAAATTAAAAAAAAATTATTGAAAAATTAAATTAAAAATATATTTATATGTACCTGTCTACAATATATTTTTTCTCCAACAATTTTTTTAGGACTTCCTTGTCCAAAATAATTTTGTTTTCTTTTAACAATAAATTCTTTAAATTCGCTATATTCTTTTTTATTTTTAATATTTAAACAAAAATTTTTAGAAAAATCTTGTAAAGGTAATTGGTATTTAATTATTTTATTTAAATTTAATGAAGAAGAATTGGTAATCTTTAAATAAATTAATTTAAATAATTTAATTAATTATAATTTTACATTTTTTGTTTTTAAAGTTATCCAAGAATAATAATAATCTATTGCACAACCTTTTAAATAAATATTTATTTATTTTCAAAAAAAAAATCACCAGAATCATCATCATCCTCACTACTTTCCACCAAAATTTTATTTTTTCTGTGTCGATTAAATTTTCTAAAATTTAAAATTTTAACGTTGTCTTTAATTATTTGTTGGTTTTTATTTAAATTTAAATTCATTTATTTTTTAAATAAAAACTAGAAGGGAAAGAATTAAATTTAACAAATTTTAGAGAAGGGGATCTTCAAGAGGCTAAGAGATGTGATATATTTCTGATTTACCTTTACTTCCTTTCTCATTTACCTCATTTATCGGGGCCGAAATAAAAAATAAAATATTCAATATATACATACATAGTTCCTATTTTTTTACTTCTTTTAATCTTTTATTATAAAATAAATAAATTATTTGTGAATGACCTTATGGGTTAAGGTCAAAAGAAAGAGAATATAACCGCCGCCTTTTATTCTCTTTATCTTTTTATTTTCTAAAAACGAATGAAAAAAAGAATAAATATGTAAATAATTTGGAAAAGGATATTATTTATTTATTTAAAAAAAAACTTTAAATGAATTAAATTAATTTTTTAAAAATATTTACTACTAAAATAAGAAAAAAAGGCGATAAAAGTTTTACAAAAAATATTTTTAATAAAGAAGAATTTCTAAAAAGAAGATAAATTGAGGCGCCACAAAATTAATTCATTTTACTAAAAATTTGCGGGGAATTCTTTTCTTCTTTTTTCTTTTAAAGAAAATTCCAAGTTTTTGGTTATTGACCAGTGTAACAAATAAAAACAAAAAAATTTATATAAAATCCCAAAGGGCAAAATATTTTTATCAAAAAATTTAATAAAATAAAAAAATAAATATATTTAATTTTGATTAGGAAATAATTCTAAAAAAATATTTGGGGTTTTTTTAAATGTAGAAAAAAAAATAAATTTAAAAATATTTGCATAAGAATATACAAGAAAAAATATTTTTTTGAAAAGGAAGAAATAGCAAAATAAAATAATTTTTTACAAATTGTTTTCAGTAAAGGCCAAAAAGAATTTTTACATTTTTTTTGTTTTTTTTGTTTTATTTTTTGAAGAGTTTTCGATAAAAAATTAAAAGTCCTTGAAAGAAAATATTTTTTAAAATTAATTTTTAAAAATTGAAGAAAAAAAATAAATTTATTTTTAATTAAAATATAAAAAAAAATTATTTTATTTTTTAAAATCCAGATAAAAAAAGAAATATAAATAATCAACAACAACGATTGGTCATTTATTTAAAAAATATTAAATATTTTTTTAATAATAAATTTTTGAAAGAGAATATTTTAAATATTTTTTAGAATTTAAAAAAAAAAGAAAATATTTTTAATTAAAAACTGAAAAACTTTTTATTTATTAATTTTGGAAAAACAATTTTCTGAAGGTTAAATAACTTTAAAATTAAAAATCACAGTTGGATTAAAATAAAATTAAAAATTGTGAACACACACTTTGGAAAATTAAAAAAATATATATGAAATTTATTTGATAAAATACAACATCCCCTCCCCCTCCCCGACTCCTCCTCTAGAAAAAATAAAAGATTTATTTTTATATTAATTTAACACTTTTGATTTGGATTTAGACAATTAAACAATTTAAAACAGAAAAAGGTTTTGAATTCTGAATTTTCATTTTTGATTAATAAACTCTAAATTGTTGATTAAATATTATAAATAAATAAATAATTGTGTGACTGACCATTACTTACTTGATTTCTTTCTTTCTTTAGGACATGTGGTGGTTGGTAGAAAATAATAAAAATGTGAAAAAGAGAAAGCGATTGGCTGGTTTTAATTCTAAAATATGTGCAAATAAATAAATATATAAAAATGTTTTGGTTAGTTTTATATTTATTTATTAGCTTTAAAAATTGATATATTTAATTACTTTTATCTACTTTTATTTATTTTTAATATAATTTTGTGTGATAATAAGTGGACTGTTCAAATAAATAATTAAGAGGGCCCCTCACAAAACAGTCAAATAAAAATGTGTTGTCGTTGAAGATAGAAATAGAAAAATAATGTTTTTAAGGCACTTTCTTGCATATTTGAAAGTTCATATTTTGTGATATTTACATATTTTTTGCTAAACTTTGTGTAAATTTGGGAATTACAATCAAAATTTTTTCTTGTTTTTTATTTAAAAATATTTTAGAATATCTACAAAATTTTCTAAAATTGGAAAATAAAATTTAAATAAATTTTTTATTTAAATGATTGCGCAATTTAGATTATTTAAATATAAACTTTCAAAAATAAATTCCCAAAGGGAAAGCTTTTGCCTGATGGAAAGGAAATAAAAAATAAATAAAATTTTTGTCTCCTTCTTCAATCAAATAAAACATTTATTTTTTCCTCAATTTTAGCGCGACAAAATTGAAACTGAAAAAATGACATTAAAGAGAAAATAATTTTTTGATAATTATTAAAAGTTTCTTAAATTGAAATAACTAAAAAAAATTTTTTAAATTTATTTTATGTTCATCAATTTAATTTTTTATACTCGAAAGTATACAAAAATTTTACAAAAAAAGCCCGTCTAAATTTTTTTAAAAACTCGAGCCAAAAATTTTGGGATTTGGCTATAGTTTAGTATACCGGAAGTAGTTTCGATACAAAATAAATACCATTCGATTCGTCTCGACGAGCTGAGTCGAACGGTAACATTATTTTTTCCAGGAATGAATGTGGACGGAGATATAAGTCCCTGAAAATCGAAAAACCATAGAGGTGAGTAAGCTCATTTAAAAGAGCTCGTCGAGACGAATCGAATGGATATGTTTTGTATCGAAGCTTTATCCTAGGATTTTATAATTATTCTTATTTAATTAAATTTATTTTTTCTTTAATTTAAATTAAAAACAATTAAAAATAAAAAAATATTTAATTTAATTTAATATTTATTCAAAATTTAAAATGATTTATGTGAATCCATAACTCTCTTATGCAGCTGTTCCAATTGTCTACCCATCTGGCGATAAATATTTGAAATAGGTGTTACTTTACGTTCATAAGCCTGTCCAATTATTGCAAAAAAGTCAATAAAAGCCTACAAAATTTTTAGTTTTAATTTTATTTTTAATTTTAATTTCTTCACTTTAGTTAAATTAAATGGAGTCATCATTTCAGATGTTCGGTAATCTTGAGGGAAAGTGTGGTGATAATTATGTCCTCCTTCCCCAACAGCCAATATTGTTGTCCAAACCTTTTTTAACACAAAAATCTTTTCTTAATTCATTTAAAACTTACAGACTCTGCAGGGCTTATATTAACATCATAAGGTCTATAACCAAATCTTTAAAAGAAATTATTTTTTTAATTTTTATTTTATATAAATTTACTTGTGTGCAACACTATTTATGAGCCAAGTAGCATGTAAAGCAAAACAATATCGAAATGCAGCCCCAGTTAAGAAAGCTGTTAAAGGCTTTTCTCCCCAAAAATAAACGGGAATTACTGTCGGCATTAAAAAACAAAATATAAAAACCAACAAAAGATAATATCTTTAAAAAATAATTAATTAATTTTTAATTAATTTATTTGGTACTTTTCCGTTATATGCCCAACAAATTTTTACCAGCAATAATTCTGTTGGTTGTAATTTTGTTTAGACTCTAGATATTCGACTCAGCTCGAGGAGCTCCTTCGAATTTTTGTCATCAAATAATAATCCTGGTCTCCCATATCATTTTTCAACTTTCGGGGACCTGTATCTCGGGCTGCAGACATTTCCAATCGAAGAGTGTGGTACAATTCGACTTAGACCGACGATACAAATCGAAAGATATAAAAATCGAACGACTTTGTAACCGGCCACTGGCTAAAGTAAAGTCAGAGAATTTTTGGGCATATAACGGAAAAGTACCATTTATTTATTTTTTTACTTTCGTTGAAATCGAAGTACTGGATCACCAAACAAATCACTTAAATCAAGTCCAGCTCCTTTAGCTTTAACTTGTGGATGTTTTTTAACCAACAGCCAACCCATGTGTGCAAAAAACAATCCTCTATTAACATTATGAGGGTCAGCATTTGTGTCAGACCATTTATGGTGACATCTATGGTCTCTTGCCCATTCAATTATATCATTTTGAAAAGCAATACAATTAAGTACCATTAATAATGTACGTAAAGGAAAACGAGCTTTATATGACTTTTAAAGAAGAAAGGGAAATTAAGTTTAAATTTTCCTTTCAAATTTACTCGATGTGCCCATAAACGATGTGCCCCAGCAGTTATTCCCATACCACTAAAAATCCAAAGAAAAATAGTCCAAATAAAAGTTAACCAATTTGCATTAAATAAAAAATGCCAAAATCCTTGTAATGCAGCCAAATGTAAAATTGTAAATAAAAAAACATTTCTCCAAACAATTTTTGGTTTAAAATTATCCTTTAAAACAAAATTTTAAAATAAAAATTAAAATTAACTAAACTAATTTTGTTTGTTCTTGTATAATTAAAGAATCCTCCAAATCTGCAGCCAAAAATTGTTTTTCAATTGAAAATTCTTTTTCTTTGTTAGTAGACATTTTAATTAAAAATATTTTCTTTAAAAATTAGAAAATAAATAAATATAGAATAAATAAATGTGAAAAAAAATAAAAAAAAAGAATGGGGCCACCTTTTCCTTTAAAAAATGAATAAAAATTTAGGAAAATGTAATCAGCAAATAAAATAAAAAAATGTGAAAAGCACCCGACCAATTAATTAATTTATGTAATTTAAATTTATTGATAGTATTTATTTCAACATTAATTAACTGATGATATTTTGTTTTTCTTAGAAAATTTTTGGATTTAAAATTAAATAGAAGATATAAAAATTGAGTAAAAATAAAATTATTTTTAAAAATTAATAAAATTTAACTAAAATTTAATAAAAAATTGTTGTGTAATGGTGTTATAATAATGTGTGGCGGAGTATAAATAAAAGGCAAAAAATACCTAGCTTTTTTTGTATAAACGTTATTCAGGTGCCCGTCGGCTTAGACAAAGCTCGGGCAATCTTCGGACATAAAATAAATATTTTAATTAAAATTAATTAAAGTTAGCCAAAGGTGTCTCCATGTTTTTACGTATTTTTGCCGAAATTTTGCAAATTTTGGCATTTTTGAAAAATTTTTATTTAAAGATTACTAAAATATTTTCGTAAAAAAATTTTCTAAAATATTTTTGAAATGAAAAAAATTTGTATATGTGAAGGATAAAATTAAATTATTTAAACTTTTATTATAATAATTTTAATCATTATTTCTGTTAAAATTTTGTCAAAATTTTTTACACATTTGTGGAAATTCTATCTTAATTTAAATATTTCAAATAAATAACCATTAAACATTTGTTATTTATTTATTGACCACAACAATCTAAATAAATATATTCTCTTTAAATTCTTTTTACTATTTACTTAAAAGAATAAAAGATTTTAAACAGTTGCTTTATTGAAGAAAGTTTTGAGAAAAAATAATTATTTTGGTCATTTTACTGAATGAACAAAATTTTATTCAATAAATATTTAAAATATACAAAATGGCTAATTATAATACAAAAAATACAAAAATAACTTCTTCTGATGGACAACAACAAAGAAAAGCAGAACTTGAAAGACGCCGTTCAATTCGAACAATTATTGCTAGGTTTTTTAAAAAAAATAAATATTTTTTTGGGGGGAATTTTCTGTTTGAGTTAGAAAGGGATGAATTTTTGTAGAATTAAAAATTTTTTTGTTTAAATTAATTTAAATATTTAAAGTTATGAGGCTGAAGAAGAAGCATTTTTAAAAGAATTGGTAGTTTTAAAAATTAATTTTTATTAAAAAAATTATTTTAAAGGAGAAAATGCAAGCAGAATGTGAAGAAGAAAATTTAACTAAATTAAATAATCTAACATTAAATTCCTCTAATGAAAAACAAAAATTAATAGAAAATGAGGAACAACAACCAGCGATAATGCTCGGTTTTGTTTTTGAAATTATTAAAAAAAATATTGGGTATTTTTCTGTTATGCCCGCAAATTCTTGGCTGTCTTTCAATTTTTATATCTTCCGTTTTGTTCGTCGATCTAAGCAGAATTGTATCTCACTATCTATGGTCGGAAATGCCTGCGGATCGAAATACAGGCAACCGAAAATTTAAAAATCAAAGGGAAGACTAAGCTCATTTTTGGGGGCGAGCATATAAATGACAGCTCATTCGAAAGAGCTCCTCGAGCTGAGTCGATTGACACTAAAATTAACGTGATTCTTTAATAGTAACAAAATTACGACCCACTAAATCTTCGCTACAAATACTTAAGTAACCAAAATATTATTTTTAAAGGAACATTGTGTACATTACTTGGTGAAATAACAAAATTACAAAAACAAAATAATCGTTTAAAACATCGTTTAAAAAATAAAAATAAATTAAAAAATAAAGAAGATGAAGAAGGAGGAGGAGAAGATGAAAATAAAAAAGAAATTTTAAATAAAAATAAAAATAATTTATTATCAAATTATTTAATTAAAAGTGGATGTACAGCAGCTATTTGTTCTTTACCTAGTAAACGTTTATTTAATAATGTTGGAAATAATTTGTCTAAAAAAACAACAAATATTGATGGAGAAGGAAATACAACAAATAGTTTTTGTTTTCCTTTATTACAAGTTTTTTTTGAAAATAAACAAAAATATTTTTCTTTAAAGAAATCTTCCGGAAATTCTACAAGTTGTTCTTCTGCAGTTAGTGAATTATTTTCAAGGCAAAAAAGATTATTAATTAATAACTGTAATGGTGGAGGAGGAGAAGGCACAATTGGTGGAAGATTTTTAACAATGAGTGGAAGTGGTGGAAGTAGAGGGGCACAGGAACAGCTTAGTCCTTTACCTCCAATAAATAAAGTAAAAATGATTTTTTATGAAAATATAATATGGTCATGGTTAGAACTTTGTACCCTAGGTGTTGTAGCTTCAAATAAAAGTTTTACCTCGTTAAATAAACCAACTTAATTATTGTGACAGTTGATCTAATTTTTAATGATACTTGTTATTAAATATAGTAGTAAGAAAGGTACAAGCTTAGTTAGCACTGCTTAAATATATTTAAATACCGTATTTTCTCTAAAATAAGCCCCGGGGCTTATTTTTTTCGATCGACCTCTAGAGGGGGCTTATTTTAGAGGGGGGCTTATTTTGGAGGGGGGGGGGGCTTATTTTTTCGATGTCTAAATTTTTGAAAAACTGAATTTTTTACTAAACATTTAGAACGAATTTTTCTAAAATTCAATAAGATTCATCCTATACTAAATCTCTTCAAGAAAAATCCTTGTCCAAAAACTCATCAAGTACTCTGTCAATTGATCCTTCAGCTTAGATAAGCCTTTAAGTTGGAGATATCGGAGGATTAAGGTGAATATTGAGACATTTATAGGAAGCATTTTGTGTTTTGAGAATTAGTATTTTGGTGGATTAAGTGATGTCGGGGAGATAAAGGTTAAAATGCAGTTTCAGAAATTAAAAGAATTATCAATGGATTTGATGGGATTTAGAGGATCCTCGATATCTATGTACGTTGATCCCTTTATATATCTGTTAATCTTCCAAATACACTTCTAACCAATTCTAATCCTTCTATATCCCTCCTGGAGACTCAACTGAAGAGGACACAAAAATTAATCAACAATTAAAAATTTTCTGGGGGAGGGGGCTTATTTTAGAGGGGGGCTTATTTTGGAGGGGGGGCTTATTTTAGAGAAAATACGGTATATTTTTATTTCTTTAAAAAAGATTGGTTGTGTAAATAGTTTATCAGTAAGTGCTTATTCTGCCGATCTTTCCTCTGATTCTTCCGGACTTTGCCGTAAAAATTTTGCATTAAATAATCAAATAAATAATCAACCAAAATTGGGTGAATCTGAATTATTATTTGATGATGAATGGGAATTGGAGAACTGTGAAAAAGGTTAAAGGAAATAAAAGGAAAAAAAGGAAATCTTCCTTCAATTTTTAAGATTTAAATAATTCAAATTTTAATCATCGACGTAAAATGGAAAGACGTGCAGATGAACAACAACAACAACAATTTCTTCGTCTTTCGAATTCCTTAACTTCAGGAACAAGCCTTTCTGTAGGAAGTAGCAGTGCAAGTTCTTCAGTTATTTTTAATTAATTTAAATTTAAATTTCAATTTCTTTTTAAAGGTAGAACCTCCAATAAATACAAATAATTTAATGACTTCTTCAAAAAATAGTCTTCTTGAACTTTTTGGATTTGGTGCTTCTTCTAGGCGAAATCAATGGAGAAAACAATTAAATAATAATTTAAATAAACAACAATCATCAATATCAAAAATTGTAGATAATTTAGTAATTAATACACGGAAAGTTGGGGGTGGAAATAAAAAAAGAAGAAAAGGAAAAAATGAAGAAAATGAAGAAGGAGGAAATAATAAAAGACATTCTACAGCATTATTAATGTTTTCTAATGAAAATACTGATGGATATTCTTCTTCTTCTGGAGGAGGAGGAGGAGGGGGGAATTTAACAGATAGTCAAATAAAAATAGAATCAGAACCTTCTAATAAACAACAATTTTTAATTAAATGTAGAAATAATAAAAATAATAATAAACGTCCACAAAGCTGTTTTTTGGAAACAAATAAGAATAATAATAAATTAATAATTAAAGAGTTTTGTAAAGAAGATAAAGAAGGAAAATTTAAAATAAAGTTTGTGTTTGTTTTTTAAATATAGGTAGTTAGTTGGTAAACGGTGGGGAATCGAGTATATAGGGGGGATATAGTAAATTATAAAAAATTAAGATGATACTTGAAGCTTTTAAAAATGTGTGTGTGTGGGAGGGGGGGATAGAAGGATTTTTAGTAGGATGGATGTAGGATTCTTGATATGTATTAGTTTCAAAATAAATTTTAAATTTAAAGTACTAACCACCACCAAAGACAACAACAAAATTCAGAAAATGATGAAATTAAATTAGAAATCCAATTACTAAAATCTAGGTAATTAATTAAATTTAATAATTTAAATTAATTTAATTAAAAACAAAAGAAATGCTCGATTAATTGACCAACTTAGAGAAAAATCCTCTTTAATTTCTTCATCAGATTCAAAAATAAATAATTTAATAAAAGAATTAAAACAATTAAAATGCCAACAATATTTTAACCAAAAAATTGGAAATATTTGTTTTAAAACAATTTTATTTTGCGAAATTGAAGAAAATATAAAAAAATTAAATGAAAAAATAAATAAACAAATTAATGAACAATTACAAATAATTAAATTGGAAACACAAAAATATCAAAAAATTAATTTAAATGCTAACGTTAAAGATAAACAGGTGAGTGTTTTTAATTAATTAAAGAAAATATTTATTATGTAAAAGAAATTAAAATCCGGTCTCTAATAATAAGTTTGTTTTAAAAATAGAAGTATCTTTTGGACATCCCCCTCTTCCCCTCTTAAACATTGGCCGACGGATAAAAAACATTTTTTAAATTGAGGTATAGTTGTTGTGTTTGAGGTTTATATGAGGGTTGCCAAAGCCGACGAGTACATGTGTACACAAAGGGTTATCACGTATAGAAAGTACAATTGAAGAGGGGGGAGGGTTGTAGACTGGAGAGGCAGAACAATAATAATTATTAACTTACTAATTGTTAATGGGGGTTTTTTGTTCATACACAACAATATGTACTTATTAAAATCTCCCAACTTAATTTTATTTACAAAGGCTTTACAAGAAGCATTAGAACAAGTAGAAAAACTTCAAAGGAAAATATTTAATTTAATTCAAAATAACCACCACCAACAACAATTAAATAATAATTATTTCGAATTAATTCCTTCTTATGACGCCTTATATTCTTTTGCTGCTGGACTTGTTAAAAAATTAGGGCAAATGCGTTCTTTATTGTCGAGAAAATGTTTTGATGAATTTCAAAATGAATTGGAAATAAATATATTAAAAGGGCAATTATTAATTGCTAATTTACAAGTAAAGATTGGAGTACAAGTAATCCCCCCTTTTTTTTATTTTTTTAAAGATAGAAAGACAACATTTTCAATTACAAATAGAAAACCCTTCTAAAAAACAATATTCAACATTTCTCAATCGCCGTTCAATTTCCTTTAATGGAACATCTTTTATTGAAAGAATTTCTAATTCAAAAATTAAATATTTTCTTCCATCTAAATTATATTTACAACAAAAAAATAAAAGAAAAGAAGCAATTGGCTTTGATTCTTTAGTTGAATTTAATGAACAAGTAATTAAATTAAATATATTTTAATTAATTATTTAAATTTTAAAAGAGTATTGAAATGGAATTTTTACGTTTATTTGATTCCGCCTGGAATTTATCGAGAATTTGTGATAATAAAGAAGAAAATAATAATAATAAACAAATAATTAATTCAAAAACAAAAATAATATCTTTAACTAAAGAACAACAACAACAATTTTCGACAGAAAATTTTAAAGGAAAAATTTTACAAAGAAAAACACAAAGTGGTGGGTAGTAAAGAATTTTTTTGGTACTACATACATATTTCTTTATCTCCCCAAATATTTCTCCTTTCTCTAAAAAATTACATTCGGGTTACTGTTAAAGGATTATGACAATTTATACGGTAAGCTCTTGTTTTTTGAGCCAATAGTCAGGTATCGCGATTGTGTGCTATAGGGTTGCGCCCCGAGCCTTCGGGGTTGAAAATGTCGGGGGTCGGGGTTAGTCGGGGTCGTGGTGCAACCCTAGTGTGCTATAACTCTGGGCGAGTATAGCTCTTTATTTATTTAAGGGAATCGGGTAAACACTATTGCAATTATCACTTTGACCCATGTGTACTTTTTGTGGAGTAAGGAAGAAAGGTTAAGAAAAATAAAATCTGAGGAGATAACCAAATAAGTAGTGCCAAATATTTTTTAATTTAAAAAATTATATTTTTTGAAGGAAACATTACTCTTACTAATTCACAAAATAATCAGCAACAATTTAAATGGTTACAATCATCTACTTCCTCCCCTCCGCCACTTCTTTTCCCACTTCCCCCACCTTCATCCCCACCAAAACAACAAAATATCAACAAACATTTATTAAACGAATTTATTCCAAATTATTCCCCTTCTGGCACTCCAATATTTACAAATAAATATTTACAAAATAATTATTTTAATGAACAAAAAGTTTTTTTTAATTTAAAAATAATTATTTTTTTATTTAAAGTTAAATAACCGTTCACGTCCAATACTTGTTAGACAAAATTCTACAACTAAAAATGAATATGATTTGGAAAATAAGTATTAAATTTAAATTAATTTTTAATTAAAAAAATTATTTTTTTAACAGCTCTTCATTAAAAATTCAAAATTTAATTTCTTCAAAAACAACAGAAAAACAAAATACTAATTTTACTACTAAATCAATTCTACATCCACCAACACCTTCAGCACCTCCAATCTCTTTATTATTAAATTCTTTAACAATAAGTAGAAGTGGAAGTCAAACAAAACTTCCACAATTTAATAAAGTTTAATTTTAAATTTCCCTTCCTTTCCTCCCTTTCTCACATTATTTTTCTTTTTTTTAGAATTTACTAATCGACAACAATCACAACCAATTAATTTCTTCTTCAAAATTAAATAATTCTAATAAAATACAAAATAATAATTTAATTAATTTTCCTCCCCCAACTTCCTCTACTCGAAGACCTTTAACTCGTTCTGGTGCTTGTACAGGGGGAGGAAGTCGTTCCCCAACCCCAAAACAATTAAATAATGAAAATAATAATAAAGTATGTATTTCTTCTTTTTAATTTTTATTTGTTTTTTAAAAGTCAAAATCTCCATTTCCATCAAATTATGGCGGAAATCGTTCAGCAAGTACGAGTCGATTACCTAAAGCTGTTGGTAGTAATACTACAAATATACATCAAATAATTGTTTGTTTTTAAAGGAAATACTTCCCTTTAGACATTAATTCCACAGAAATTCTTTTTTTATTCACAATTAGAGGGGAGCCCTTTGTTTACAAGGGGGGAGCCCTTTGTATAATTTTCATATGATGCATATCATTCACTAGAGTTAAAAAATTACTATTTTGTAAATAGATAATGTATCTAATATTTTATCATCCCCCCCCCATTCTTTGAATTAATTGAATAATCTCTTTAAATAATTTTTTAAAAAAAGGACGATCCTCAACAACAACAAAATACTTCTGATCAATTTTCTAATATCGGACAAATGCCCAAAGCTGTTAAGAAAGCGGGCAATTCTTGGCTTAGTAGACTTCGACGTAAATCTGTTTCTAATACAGCTACAAATAATTAAAAATAATTTTTTAAAAAATATTTTTTTTAATTTTATTTTGTTCTCTCTAATTTTAAAATAAAATCTTTTTATAATTTTTATTTTCTTTCTTTCTTTAAAGTATAAGAATTTTCTGGAAAAATGTGTGATTTAATTATATACCAATTAAACGTTAAAAGAAAAAAAATTTCTTGTTGACCAGCCAAATAAATTGGTTAAATGCCATAATTCGACAACTGTTGTTTAAATAAAAAGAATTTTGTTTGTTTTATTTAAAAAAAATTTATTTAACAATTAATTTGCACTTAACTTTTGTTTTTCTTTTTTTTTATATTTTGTGAAATTTTAAATCACAAGGATTTCTTAAAACGTGATTAGGGTTTGTTTAAATTTGTAAATTGACGCAATTCTGGTCATATTTTTTTTTGATTTAGTGTAAAAATATGTTTATATTTTAAATAGGCTCTGATTCAAAACATTTTTTTTTAGTTTTTGTTGGCTAATGAGACTGGAATTTTCTTTATAGAATCATTAGCTATTTGTAGAAACTTCACCGGCCTTAGATTAATTTACACATAAAATTTAAACTGCAACATTCTTTTAAAAAGTTTTTTTTTAATTTTACTTATTTGTACTTAAATATTTCGTGTCCGGTTAACTCATCTACTCGTTAACTCATCTACACGGCCAAAAACGTTCAACTCATCTAAACGGCTAAAATTCCTTAACTCATCTACACGGCCAAAAAGGGATCAACTCATCTAATCGTTAACTCATCTAATCGTTAACTCATCTACACGGCCAAAAAGGGTTAACTCATCTAATCGTTAACTCATCTAATCCTTAACTCATCTACACGGCCAAAAAGGGTCAACTCATCCAATCCGAAACGAGACTATTGAGTAACGGCCGTTTGAGTCTTTGGCCGTCTGAGTCTTTGGCCGTCTGAGTCTCCGGCCGTCTGAGTCTCTGGCCGTTTGAGTCTCTGGCCGTTTGAGTCTCTGGCCGTTTGAGTGGTAAGTTGAGTCCATGGGTAAGTTGAGTCCATGACCAGTTGAGTTCATGGGCAGTTGAGTCCATGACCAGTTGAGTCCATGGCCAGTTGAGTCCATGACCAGTTGAGTCCATGACCAGTTGAGTCCATGGGCAGTTGAGTCCATGACCAGTTGAGTCCATGACCAGTTGAGTCCATGGCCAGTTGAGTCCATGGCCAGTTGAGTCCATGACCAGTTGAGTCTCAACCGGCGGTACTCTACTGGCCATGGACTCAAACGGCCGGTACTCAATAGTCTAGTTCCGAAGGATTGGATGAGTTGACCCTTTTTGGCCGTGTAGATGAGTTAAGGATTAGATGAGTTAACGATTGGATGAGTTAACCCTTTTTGGCCGTGTAGATGAGTTAAGGATTAGATGAGTTAACGATTAGATGAGTTAACCCTTTTTGGCCGAGTAGATGAGTTAACGAATAGATGAGTTAACGATTAGATGAGTTGTATAGGAGCCAAATATTTGAACTTTAATTGAAAAATTTTTTTCATTTTCTCTAAATTATTTTTTTCAATTTACAATATTAGTATTTAAAAAATTGGAAAATCATCCAGATTTTTTTTACATATTTTGGGTTAAGGGAAGCTAACAAATTTTATAAGCCTTCAAATAAGCATAAAGAATACTCTAAATTGGGTGAAAACATTTTTTGGATTAAATAATTTTAATTAAAAAATAATTAATTATTTTTAGATTATTTTTATTTAAATTTACTTTAAAAATGGTTAATGGTGAATTACTTAAAAAGCAAATACAGCAATTTAAATTAGGAAAGGATGCTGCCGCCGATTATTATAAAGAGTTTTAAATAATTAATTTTTAAGAAAATTTAAATTTTAAAGACTTTTTTCTAAACATTCTGATGTTGCTGATGCTTATGGAGGTGTTGATCCAGAAACAGTAAAAAGAAATAAATAAAATATAATTAATATAAATTTAAATAGGTTGGAAGGTCACAACGTTATATAATGATGGCAATGAATGAAATACAAGTACTCTTTTCTTTTTTAAAAGTTAATTAAATTAATTTTTAGGCTTTAATGCAATTACCCGAACATGTTAAAGATGAACGTTCTTGGCGTTCTTCTCTCTCAAATGTTAAGGAACATTACAGTGACAGTGATGTTCCTTTATCTAATTTTATTGTAAATTCTCTTTTTTAATTTATAATTTCAAAAATAAATTTCTCTTTTTTAAAGAAAACAAAAGATGCTTGGTTGGCAATTATGCAAAAATATGCTGGGGGATTAAGCGCTGAACAAAAAAAGGAATGGGAAGAATTATTTACCAAAGCCTCTTCTGATATGAAAAAATGGGGATGGATTTAAATAAATGAAGAAAAAAAAATTAATTTTTAGATGGAGAATTTAATTACTTATAAAAATTAATAATTTTATAGTTTAAAATTAAATGTAAGTAAAGAATATATGTATTTGTTTGTATTTATTGCTCATTTTGGCAAATATTTCTCGCTTATTATTTGGATTGGTCATAAAAAAAGAAATTTCAAAACAAATCTTAAAAATTTTATTTGTAATGCCCAACCCCAGGTACAAATTAAACTGTGAAAGGGAACCCGCAAAATTTGCATTTTTCTCTGCTTATTTTGCTGCCGGATTTTTATGGATTTTCGGTAAGCACATTTCAAGAAATCGTCCAAAATACATTTATGTACAATCAAAACAATGATAGCCTATATACATTTATTTACATAACTTATCATATGATAGCAAAACAACAAAATGACTGGATGAATACAATATAGAGAAAAGATTTAGCCTAATACATAAATACAAGTGTTATTTATTTTTGTTATTTATTAGATTTTCATTCCTTTCTTCTTTTTCACTTTGCATCGTGTGCTGTCCACAGTTCTTTACCATCAACTAACACCCGGAATATCTGACCAACAACTTCCAGCCCATAGAAGCGATGTGTACCTGCCTCAATATCTTCACTTCTGCCAGACGACTTTGGACAACTCTGATGATGTCCACCAGCATATTCAGATGAAGATTGAGTCTAAAAATTGAATATATAATTATTATTTTGAGCATATTCAATTAAAAATTACTTTCTCGGCGGCAGATTCCTTGACAACACTACAAGACCCCTTCCTCGATCGCAACATCTGTTCCCTCAGTGCTGCACTAAAACAGCAAGGTCTCGCTCCCCTTTCCTTCTTTTCTTCTTCAGCAAGGAACTTCTCCACACTGTGCACCTTCACCTGCAAATTTAATGAATTAGATTTGTAAATAATCCGAAAATAACATACCGCGCTGGGATGCAATGGACGTGCTGCGCTGAAGAAGCTCCTACCACTACACGTAGATCTAATGTCGCTGTACTTCTCCGGCAATGGAAGGCGCATTGATTTCTCCTGCCAAGATACAGGTTCTGACTCTTCAACAGTATAGTCGTAAACTTGAGAACACTCTGACTGTGCGTCGATGAAACGCATTGATGGCTCGTCATCCAGAGGTATTATGGCAGTCCTTGTTCCTTTGACAACAGCAGTTCTTCCACTCGTACCGCCTCTTTGAGCTAATCCTCCTCTTGGTGGTAGACGACTGCTTCTCTTTACTTTGCTGTTGTCAACTTCGTCCTTGCTTCCTTCTTGTTCTTCTTGTGTCGAAGATACTGATGGTGTACGTTGTCCTCGACCACGTGAAGAAGCTACCACAGAGAACATTCTGCGAAGCTAAAAAAAGTTGTTTAAAAATTTTAAATATTTAAAATAAACGCACCGAAGACTTTTCATTCATTCGACGCTGTATCCCACGGAAGGAATTGTTGTTGTCAGAATTTATGTTGTCCTCGCCATTTATGGTTTCATCATCTGCGACCAAAGGATGTTTTGCAGTCTTCGTTGCCTTGACCAAACAAGCACAGCCACAACCGTCATCATTCTCGTCCAATCTCAACGACGAAGATGTCGCTCTTGCAGTTCTTGTTGCCTTTACCAGCTTACAACAGGCACATGCGGGCGGAAGTCGGGCACTTTTTGCAGCTTTGACCAATAGATTAGGCTAAAAATAAAAGAATTATTTTGAATTTTAAAAATAATTTTAAACTAAAAAATAACCTTCTTTTCCTTTGTTCGTCCTTTATTAGAACGGCTACTGTCCATATTCGATGAAGTCCTCCCGAAACGAAGTCGATGCAGGAATTGTTGACAGTAGAAGGCAAGTTTATAGTTGAGTTGAAATGGAGCTGAAGTGAGGGAAAAAGTCTGGCTTTTATAGTATGCTTTTTGTCTTCGTTCCAAACAAATACAGCCACAAATGTTATCATAATTATTATCCAATCTTAGCGATGAAGATGACGATTTTGTAGTAATTTTGTAAAATTATAAACAAAATTGAGTATAAAATGAAAATTTTGCAAAAAATGTCGACGCATGAATTAAAGAAATAAAAAAAATTTCTCTAAAAATTTTGAGAGATTAATTGGTATACTGTATAATGATGTCAAACTGTCCTCTAAAAGATATATGAACATATCATTTGGGTGCGCGAGAATAAAAAATTTCTTTTTCTACATTTCTCTCAAAATTTTTTAAAAAATGTGTTAATTATTTTATTTTTGTTTAGATGATTTTTGTTAATTCTCCAATTGTTCGTTTACCAACATTTTCGAGATGTGTTAATTTAGAACATTCCCCAATTTCTTCAATTCTAATAGGCCCTGCAGTTAAATTACTTCTTTTAAAATATAATCTAAATTTAGAAAATATTAAAAAAAGATCTGGACCAAAAAGTAATATTTTAAAAAGGTTTGTCTTTTAACTTTTAATTTAAAATTTATTTATTTAGTGATGTACTTAAATATATTTTTGATACAAATTTAACTCCTATATCCTTACAACAAAATAAATTATCAACAAAAGATTTATTGTTAAAAGACAAACAAAAACAATCTTTTCCCGAAATTCCTTTTTCTTTTGAACAAAAAGAAGAGAATAATTCAAAAGTTTGTATTTATTTTTTAAATTAATTTTTAATTATTTTTTAAGATTCCTCATTCTTATTTATCTACAAGTATTTCTTTTTCAAAAATTAAAAAATTGAGTAATCAATTAAAACTTTTCTCTTCTGTTGACTTTCCAATTGAAAGTTTTGTTGTTTATTGCTGTGCACAGGCATTAAAGGTTTTTTTTAAATTAATTTTTTAAATAAAATTTCTTTAAGTCTGTGCCAGAAATTAATGTTTTTTGGAATGAAAATAATTATTTACAAAAATCTGCAAATATCAATATTTCAATTTTGGATGAAAACAAAATTCCAATTATTTTTAATTTTGCCGACAAAATTGGTTTGGAAATGATTGCTAAATTATTAAAAGAAAATAAAAATTTGAAAGAAGAAATGAAGAGGACATTTAGGTATTTTTTAAAAATAATTTTTTATTTTTTATATTTTAATTTTTTTTTAAAGTATTTTTAATTTATCAAAATTAAATATTTCCAAATTTACTTCAATTATAACTCCCCCACAAACATCAATCCTCACAATTGGATCGACAAATGAAAGTTTAAATTTAACTTTATGTTATGATGCTAGAGCAATACAAGAAGAGGATTGTTGCCGATTTTTAAATATTTTAAATTTAAATTTGGCTGAACCAAATTTAAATTTATTTTTGAATGATAAAATAAATTTGGAAGATAATTTTGAAGAAGAAGAGGAAGAAGAAAGTGATGAAAAGAATTTAAATAAATTTGTTAATAAAGGTAAAATATTTATATAAAGTAATTTTTTTATTTATTTATTTTTCAGATTCTAATGACATTGAGTTGGAGATTTTAACAAAATTATTATAGGAAAGAGATTTTTAGTAAAAATTATTGTAGTATTTAGAATTATTTAATAAAAATATTTATTGACTGTTAGTTTTTAAAAAATAAATTTAGTTTTTATTTTTTCTTAATTTTGTTTAAAAGGTTTGTCAGACTTTTTAAAATTTTTTTGAGTTAGCAAAGAATTTTTTATAGAGAAAATACATTTTAAGATTATATTTTCCCTTTTACATTTTTATTCGTTTCTATGGCAGCAAAGAAAATAACTTTTTAGATTATACCCTTTAATGACAAATAAATGTTTTAATTGGTTTTTTTTCTTTTAAAAAATATTTTTTTAGATTTTTAAAATTTTAAAAACAATTTTTTAAAGAAAAAAATGGAATCAGAATCAACTGTTCCTCCTCCTCCCCCACGTCTTTGGTCTTTTTCAAGTGTTCGATTAGCTATAGCAATTTCTTTAGCACTTTCACTTGCAATTGAAGGTTTAATGAGGAGTAATATAAATATGGTTTGTGAAAAAGTTTTTGTTTAAAAAGATTTATTTTTATTTTTTTAAGGCAATGGTTTGTATGGTTAATAGAACAGCTATTTTAGAAGAAGAATTTAAATTAAATAATTATTTTAATAATTCTTTAAAAATTGAAGAAAAACAAATTTTAAAAGAAATACAAAATGAATGTAAAAATTCTTTTGAAAAAGAAAATAAAAGTGTTGTTGATTATGTTTGTTTGTTTTTAAAATTAAAATTAAATATTTTTTTAAAGATTGGTGGAGATTTAATAATTACAAAACAACAACAATCTTTAATTTTTACTTCTTTTTATTTGGGTGGTTTAATTATAATTTTGCCTGGATCATTTCTTTGTGATTGGCTAGGTCCAACTCAATTAGTTTTTCATGGGGCTTTGTTAAATGTTATCGGTTAATTTTTAAATATTATTTTTTAAATTACTATTTTAGGTACTTTTATAACACCTTTTATTGCACGCCAAATGAAACCAATGGCTTTGGCTTTTGTCCGCTTTTTGATGGGCTGTGGACAAGTAAGTAAATTATAGGTACTATTGCATTATACGTCATGTGTCCGCAAAATTTTTTCCTTTCTTTTTCCCCTCTGATAAGGATTAAAAAATGTTTAAGAATTAATAATTATCATGGATTAATTTAATCAAAATAAGGCAGTCAATATGAGAAAGAAGTCATTTTTAATTAGTTTTCAAATAGGGTTGTTGGCGACCGGTTATTAACCGGTACCCTCGGTTTTCGGTTATCGCCGGTTTTCGACCCCCGGTTTTCGGTTCCGGTTTTTGATTTACCCCCGGTTTTTGGTTAACCGGGACCGGTTTTTGGACAAATTTTCATCGAGAATATCCCATTAAGATGTTGTCACATTCTAACGCTTTTAAATAAATATTCGATACACTAGTAGCTGAATAATTTACAAATGTCAACAATTTAAGCCAAAAATCTTCCATTTTCAGCGCCGCAGGCGAAAATTTTGAGAATTTTGGAAGGCCAGAAGACAGACATCTTCCATTTTTAGCGCCGCAGGCGAAAATTTTGAGAATTTTGGAAGGCCAGAAGACAGACATCTTCCATTTTTAGCGCCGCAGGCGAAAATTTGAGGATTTTAGGTCTTAGCAGAAAAATAATGACATTTTATACTAAAAACTACAAGAAAATATAAAAAATCCTCATAATCTTTAAAAGACCACAAAAATCCGTAAATCCACATTTTTAAAAATAATCCTCATCACCCTATCAAAAAACCACAAAATGAGGAAAAATCCGCAGAAATCGAAGCCCTGGTATATAGCGAGATAAAGTTGGCTGATTTTGAATATTAGGAGGGTAGAGGGATTAGAGTATATCGATGATAGGTGGGTGGATTAATATCGATGATCGGGGGATCGATGATCGGGGGATTTTTGATGAATAATTGTGATTAAGAGGCGTCGTCGAAAGATTTGTACGTCCGATCATGGATTTGAACCTCACCCCACAGAATATTAAATGAAAATCTTCATTTTTTGCGCCGCAGGCGAAAATTTCGAGAATTTTGGAAGGCTTCTATGTAAAATTTCTTGCTTTTTTTGAAAAGGTCAAAAAGGGGCATTGTAAAAAAGAGGGCGAAAAAATCAAAGAGGGGACAAATGCCCCCTAAAGTTGGCAAAAGGTAAAACTCGAAAAAAGGTAACTCCAAAAAACTCGAAAAAAAGACAACCCTATTTAAAAGAAACTTTATCGAGTCAAGTTCATCACTTAAACCACTTAACCACACATCTCAAGTAATAAAATTGAAAGAAATTATATTTATCGAAAAAGAAAAGGAAGGAAATAATTTGGCGAACTCTATTTTGGGAGTTAAAATGTCACAAAAATCTCAAAAAAATTCCATCTTTAGGGGTGTATCTTTAAAACCGAAACCGGTCGGTTTTGGTCACCGGTTTTCGGTTATCGCCGGTTTTCGACCCCCGGTTTTCGGTTCCGGTTAATTCGCCAAAAACACCGGTTAACGGTTCCGGTTCCGGTTCGGTTAACCGTCCGCCAACAACCCTATTTTCAAAGTTATTTTCAGATCAATGAATTTCAGATTTCCAGATCAACTTCCGAAATATTTACATCACGCATTTTTTATTTTGAATTTTTATAAAGTATGTAAGACGGTGTTATGTCTGAACATTTGGCGGTATAATGCGATAGTACCATAAACTATATTTTTTTGTTCGGAGGATTAAATTAAATTTTTTAAATATTTTAAGGGTATATTAGTCCCTTGTGTTAATGTTCTTATAGCTCATTGGTTTCCACTTGCTGAAAAAAGTACAGGTAAAAATAATTTAAAAAAATCTTTATTCATTCAAAATTTAAAGCAATAGCAATATCTACAACAGGCAATCAGATTTCTGTTATTATTGCAATGTTTTTAACTGCTGAACTTTGTGTTTTGGAGTTTTTGGGTGGTTGGGCATCTGCTTTTTATATTTATGGTATTTTATTTTTAAAAAATTAATTTTTTTTATTAAATTAATATTTTGGCGTGATTGGCGTTATTTTTTGTATTGTTTGGTTATTAATTGTTAGAGATTATCCAATAAATAGTAAAAGAATTAAACATGCAGAACTTTGTTTAATTCAAGAAATTGATGGAACTTTTAATGAATTAAAGGAACAAAAATTACAAAGAAAAGTTAATCCAAAAGAGGTTTTTTAAAGAAAATTTTCCTTTTAATTTAAATTTATTTTTTTAGGTTCCATGGAGAAAAATTCTTTCTTCTTTAGTTGTTTGGTCAACTGGTATGAGTTCTTTTAGTCAAAATTTTATGAATGTTGGAATTGTTGTTTATTTACCTACTTATTACCAAAATGTTCTGGGAATGGATTTGACCGCGGTAAAAAATTAAAAACAAACAAAAAAATTATTTCATTATGCTGTACTTACATAAAAATCGCGCGCGTCTTGCGTCAGAAAAGATAATGGAAAAAGAGGAGGGAAAATGGCGTTTTGCCTCTCATGATTTTGAAAGTTAGAATGTTTTCTGTTGCAAAACGCAAAGTGACTTTTATGCAAGTCACTTTGCAAAAAAGGCATTCACCCAACTTTAATATTGTTGAATTAAAATAATATTAAAAGGGTAACCAGTCAAAGTCCTATGGTTACTTAAAAGCGTTCATTTTATTAGATGCTCAAACAATTATTTTAGAATGGTTTAATGTCAGCATTGCCTTTTGTTGTTCAACTTGTTACAAAAATATGGTTTGCTGCAGTGAGTGATTGGATAAAACGAAAAGAATTAATGACTTCTACTGCTGTCACAAAATTATTTAATTTAATTGGTTTTTTTGTGTTTTCTAATTTAAAATTATTTTATTTTTAAAGGCAGTTTTGGTGCAGGTGCATGCTTTGTACTTCTTTCATTTTGTGATTGTTCAACTCCTTATTTAGCTATTGGGTTGGCAATTACTGCTGTTGGTCTTAGTTCAGGATTTATTCCTGGTTATAATACAAGGTAATATAGACCAACCAGACTTTGAGAATCTCGAAAAATTACATTGAAATTTTTCGATACTTCAAAACACTTAAAATTTTGAAAAAAGGTCCGAATTTAAAGGAGTGGTTAAATTAGTTAAAAGACTATTTTCTATATAAAATTAAAACTCGATTGAGATCTCGTCTCGGTCTGTTTCTACAAAGTAATGTATATTTTTCTAAAAAAATTTTTTAATCAAAGTGTTGTTTGTATAGCACCGAGATATACTTCTTCTATAGCTTCATTTAGCCGATTACTTGGTCAAATTGCATCAGTTGCATCAGTATTTAAAAAAGATTTAAATTTTACATTTTAATTTTATAGCCATATATGATTGGACTAATCGTTGTTAAAGTAAAAAGATATTTTTTGATTTTAAATATATTATATTAAGGGTACAAAACAAGAATGGCAATTTGCATTTTGGGTAATGGCTTTTATTCTTATAAGCACTGGTCTTTTATTCCAATTTTTTGGTTCAGGTTTACTTAAATACATTTTTCAAAAGATCCTTAGACTTTAGCAAGTATCCAAGAATGGGCAACTCATCATCCCACTATGCCTATGTCAAAGGAAAATAAAGATGAAGAGCCCCTCTGTGAATGTGACCAGTCATTAATGGAGAAGACAGAAAAATCAGAAAATAATGACAATAACAAAATTCTGACAGAAAAATTAAATAGCATGGGCATTAGCTAGAGGAACAGCGGTGGTGGCTAAAATATGCACCCCGAACTTTTGTTTAGGGGTCAGTATAGGAAAGAAAATATTTTAATCTAAAAAATGACTAAAATTCGCCACTCGTTTCTCTATACGCCATTTCTTTATACAATCATTCACACATTCCACAAAATTTACCAATTTATTTTGCACCATTTCCGGGTTTAACTACTTTTTATTCATGACCTTTTTCAATTTTCCTATTTTACGCATCGAGATATCTAATTCTTTTGTTTGAATTAAGAATAGCTTTTAATCCCTTATTCAGAATTAGCTTTTAATGATGTTTATAAATTTTGTACAAATTACGAATGAAAGTTTTCTAAGAATGTTTAAAAATAAATTTAATGTCTAATGTACATCAATTCCATCGGATCCTCTGACATTGCCTTCAAAAAATTCTAAGACGGTTTGAGTTTGTTGCTTAATTTCTATTTTAACTGAAATTTACAATTAATACATATATAACAAGTGCTAAGCAATGACGTATTCTGGAAGCTTGGGGCTTGAGAATAATTTAAAAAATTAAATTCCTCTTTAGCCGTAAGATTATAAAATGTAAAACATGGGATTTGTGAAAATTTGGCGTTTAGACTGGTGTAGGATTAGCGCACAGTAATATACTATACCCCCTTCCGAAATCCGACATTGGGCAAATCTTTAAGCTAAATATATACCGGATCCTTGCTGCTTCTGTTTTGGTAAATCATCACTTCTCGTAACTCTAATTTTTGTTGAAGTCCCTTTAGGTTTATGTCGGGGATACGCTGAATCGGTGTGAACTGTCCGAATATGTGTTCGTAAATTGAAATCAAGAGAAAATCGCTTGGTACATCCTTCAAAATTGCAAACAAATGGCTTCTCGCCCGAATGGACCAGTAAATGTCTTTTTAATTTAGAACGTTCTATAAATGAACGATGACATTGCTGGCAAACGTGTTGTCTGGGCCCATGAATTTGGAGATGTTTACGCATTGAACTTTTATTTGAAAATGTTTTCTGAAATATTAAAAAAAATGGCAGAAATGTTATCCCCCTACCCACAGACAAGAAAATTCAAACCTGACAGCCTTTATAAGAACATGGGATTTGTGCAAAAGTAACTGTTTCATTGATAATATCTCCTTCGTTTCTAACTCTGCGCATCTTCTGAGGGTTCCTGCTTTCAGTACATTCTAATTTTTAAAATAAACGTTGGTTTTTAAACAAAAAAAACCTGAATTACCTTCGGAAGAGACAAATGAATTACTTGAATTAATCAATGCATCACGGTTTTTGGCACCTACAGAATTAATTAAAGAATCATCCAAAGAGAGGGAAGTTCCAATTTCAACAGGAACTTGTATCTGTTCCTCATTATGAATAGTTGAAGTTGTTACAATTGTTTGCCGTCTTTGCCTGCTAGTAACTACAAAAGCTGTTGAAGATTTTGGTGCTAAAGGTGGAACACTTGTTCGTAGGCTTGAATTTGTCAATATTTGGTTATTATTATTACCAAAAAGGAGCATATGTGTTGAAGGTACTTCTAAAAAATTTTGAAAACCATGCGGACAAACCAAATGTGGTTTAAGACGTCCAACAGAATTAAATTCTGAACCAATCCCCGCTTCAACAAGAACACTACGGACCTAAAAAAATAATTTACTAAAAATATTTAAAGAAACAAACTGGTTTGTTTGGATCAATATTAGCAGAAACAAGTAAATTTTCCAATTCTTCCTTAGAGCGGGCCAATGGAACCGTAGCAGACGAACGGCGACGGTCTGTTATTTTTGGTCTTTGCTGTTGGTTTGACTTTCCCGAAGAATGGGGAGAAAATGGTCGATAACGCCTAATAGGTGCTGGTTGTTGTTCATGGTTGCTAATGCCAGCCTCGAGAACCGATATAGAACGGACAGGTGAGAGGACATGTGGCCTTTTGGATTCATTCTCCATTTGTTGAAGAATTGAAAAGGCACTAGAAAAATATTTAATATTCTTAATAAGGTAAAATAAATTTTACTGATCATTAAAACGAATTTCTGACGGTTCATTTGAGTGTTCACTCATTAATGTGTTTTCTTCTAGCTGAATTATTGGAGAAAAAAGTCGTTGATGGTGTTCATCAGTTGGATCACAAAGTGCAGGATTCCCACATGTAGAAGCAACAACTGCTGTTAATGTTGGCTCACAACAAGAAATTAAACCACCGCTACATCTCTGAATAGAAGGTGATCTACTTTCAGTCCCAAAGTCATCCAAAGATTTAGTTGGACTTTGTAAAAGTATTGCCCTCTGAAAATAGAATAAAGATTTAACATTATATGTATTAATTTACCTGTTGATAAGGACCATTGTTATTAAAGCCAGATCTAAAATTGTTTGGAAATCCTGTAACAGTTGAAAAGGAAGCGAATGAAGTATTATTGTTTGTATTGCTATCAATATTTCCACTATTTTTGTTGCTACTCAAATTAGAAAATCCACTGTGTTGATAAAATTTCCTATCAACAAATTTATCCAGGACCATATCATCAAATAATTTAAAGAAAAATAGTATAAATAAATTAGTTCAGTCGTCTAAATTAAATAATTAATTTTGTTCATTCAATTGATAAATAATCTAAATAGCAAAATTTATTAAAGCATAAATTATTAGAATCCAGTAAAATAATTTCTCTGGGTCCGGAAACCAGACTTGGATTTCTTCTAGTATAATAATTATATGCACAACAAGCACAATGGAAATTTCGAAGCTCTACTCGAGACTGAATCGGTGATACTAAAACGTACTTCTCACTTTACGGCCCACTTCGTCGTGACCACTTTGCCTCAGGCCACTTCGTCATAATTTCTTTAAATTGCCCCTAAATTTTGTCTTTCTTTACTAACAAATTGTTTCGACATTTAGGGATAAGAGGATTTGGGAAGAGATATAAAGAAATTTAAACGATGACCGCCAATTTCAATATCAATGTAAAAAGTTCTAGCTTATCAAGACTTGCGCTAAGCGCTCACCTGCTTCATTCCAGTCTGCGCGGTTCAGTCCCGGCATCTTGTATAGAGGTCTGAACTAAAGAGCAGAATGTAATACCAACAGTATTTTTCAGTATTTCCTTGTATTATGGACGGATTTCAATACGGTACAAAATTCTGATCTCTAGTCTGAAGAGTCGGGACCAGACATGCACGAAACTCCAAAATTTTTTCAGACGAAACGAAACGAAACAAAATTTTTTAAAAATCGTTTCGTTAACGAAACGAGACGAAACAGTAAAAATTTAGCGAAACGAAACGAAACATTTTAATTTTCAAAAAATTTAATAAAAACGGTTTTATTTTATTAATCATTCGTTTTTAAACACGTTAATAGGCCAGTTATGGCCTATTATTGATCTAATAGCTTAGCGGGACCTTAAATTGTGGTCCCAGGCTACAAAACTTTCGCGTGTTGACTCATAATCCACTATATCAGCTCTCTCTCTCTCTCTCTTGACTCATAATCCACTATACTCTTGCGCCTGCCCTGATTGGCATTAAGAGGTAGATCGATTCTATATGCCTAATCTAGCATAGAATTTGAGCTTTGCATATTAAAAAAACAAAATCAAACGAGAAATTCAAAAAAATATAGTGAATTATGCGCCGTAGGCGCTTAAAATCCAGATTTCAGCGCCGCAGGCAAAAATTTTTTGAATTTTGATCACTAAATAGGAAAATTTTTCAGTTTTTGGGTAATATTTTGGTCTAAAAATGGGTAATGTTTCGTTAACGAAACAGAGGTGTTTCGTTAACAAAACGAAACGAAACAAACTAAAAAGTGTTTCGTCACGAAACGAGACGAAACAGGAAAAAACATAACGAAACTAACGAAACAACGAAACGAAACGTTTCGTGCATGTCTGGTCGGGACCTGGTCCAATTTACTGGTTTTTTGAAGAGGCTGGATAAAACTTGGAAGTTTAAATCCTAACGGTTTCTTTGAGTATCTAAAAATCTCCTCAAATCTTTATATTATTCTTCAAATCCTATTCTCGATTTATATGAAGATTCAGCGCGACTTTATACAGTTTTATTTATCTGTGGTTTTCACTTTGATTTTTAATTTTACTCTTTGACTGGTGCACTTTAATTTTATATGGAAACACTTTAATTTTATTTTGAATGATAGGTTACAAAAATTTGAGAAAGCATCTTTATCGATACTTAGTTAGAAAAAATAAAAAATCTATATCTCAATATCGAGATCTCGATACACTGAAAATTAACGTAAAACGGGAGTAAGCATATATTAAAAATTAAATTAAAATATCGATCAATTATTTCAATAAATTCGTTTATTGTCCATGGTTGGTGTTGAAAGTGTTGACATTTTTGTAGTATAACTGTTCCTTCTCGTTTCATCTAACAGAGTTTGTTGTCTGTAATTATTTGTTTCTTCAAAGCTAACTGCGAGTGGGGAAATAGGAATAAGTCCAGAAGAGAGACGTTGACTTGGTTGTTCGAGGGATTGCTGTTGTTGAATTCTTGCAGCTCGAGTTGGTGAGTAAGAACGTCGAAGTGAAGCGTGACGGGCTAATCGCAATGTTTCCCGATCATATCCAAGTCTATATATTTATTTAATGAAAAAAGAAGAGTTTTTAAAAATACAACTTCATATAATAAATAACAGTTTGAACTAATTGACGCCAAGCTAGTAATGTTTCTTTACATTCTTCGCCAGCTGAAATACCTTCTACAATACATTCAGCAAAAATATTCCAATATTCAGGTTTAAAACCATTTTCTAAAGGGAATGTTGCATGTTTTCTTTAAAATTATTTTTTAAAAACTATATCAAAATTATTCCTTTACTTTCCTAATTTTTCAGCATTTTCTGTTACAAGTGAAAAATCATCCAAATTTCTGACAACAAAATCCAAAGTATCAGCAAATCTGTTAAACAAATTGAAAAAGAATATTTTTCATTTTAAGATTAAGTACAAATTTGTGTGGGAAACAAAATTTGAATCAGTTCTTAAACGCCTTCCAGCTATATTTTGTTCAACTCCAAATGCCGATTTAAGTTCTTCAGCTTCTCCAAAAATTGCTTCAAAAAAGGGAAAGCATTAATTGAAATTAATAATAAAATAAAAATAAGATTTAAATTCTTATAATTTATTAGGAATAAAAATTAATAGAAAAAACATTTACATGCAAAAATATCTTTAACAACACGGCTTTTCGGTGTTCGTCTTCCCCACGATTTTATAATTAAATGGCATTGTCGTGGAGTTAATCTTTTTGGCTTTCCATTGCTTCTAGATACAGTAACAACACTTGACCACCTTCTTGCTCTTCGAGTTCTTTCATTTAACATTCCTCCATTTATTCCAATTAAATTCCCCCCACTATCCCCCCCTCCACTTCGATTATCATAATTTAAAGGTTTTTTTGAACTTTGTTGAAATTCTGAACGTCTTCTATTAATTCTATTATTATTAATAGAAATAATTGGTGTGTTATTATTATTGTTTTGTATTGAAGATGGAGAGAATTTTGAAGAATTTAATTTATTTATTGAAATAGTATTAGAATTATTATTAGAATTATCATTAAATTCTGTATTAATTATTGACCCATTTTGTTTGTTGCCCATTAAAAAATAATAATTTTTTTTATTTTTTTAAAGAAGAAACTAATGGATTAGTAAGTAGTTTAAAGTAGTAGTTTTGTTTGAAAAACTAAAAAAAATTCCAAGACGAATGGAAATTTGTATATAAAAATTAAATGAAATTGTGTAAAATTTAATTAAAATATTCTCACATTTTTAAGATTTAAAATAGAATATATAAATATATTCACTATTCAAAGAAAATCCTTATTTAGGTTAAAATAATTAACAAAAAAGTTTTATTTATTTCCGTTTTTTTTATTTATTTATTTATTTATTTATTTATAAGACAATCACAGGTACATATATGTACACTAATGTGATAAAAAAATAAAAATGTCAATAATAAAATAACTAGGTAAATTAAAACATGGAAAAATTCCGTCATATGTCCCGGAAACCAATTCGGACAAATGATATGTCATTCGAAAGAGCTCAACGAGCTGAGTCGAACGACACCAAAATTAGCTGGGGGACTTACCTATGGGCCAAGATATAGGTCCCCGAAAATCGAAAAACCATAGGGGGGAGGGAGTAAGCTCAATTTTGGGGTGAAAAATTTGATATTTTGAATGATAGCTCATTCGAAAGAGCTCCTCGAGCTGAGTCGAATGACACCAAAATCAACGAAATCCGACTTGATTGGACCGAGATATAGACCCCTAAATATCAAAGATCCAACAGGGCGATTTTTGGAATAAAAAATTTTTTTTACAAATAATAGCTCATTCGAAAGAGCTCGTCGATCTGAGTCGAATTAAACCAAAATCACCGTGATCGAACAAGATTAGACAAAGTTATGACACAAAAAACAAAAACCGAAACCTATGGGGCGTCGGCGAGGCGCTTGTGCAAAACCCCGCGCTTCGCGCGGGGTTTTGCGGCACGCGCCTCGCGGGGAGTCTACGGGCGCTGGGTCTGGGCTCGTAACATAGACCTATTCCTATCTCCCTTGCTCTGGACGTATTTGGGGCCTCCGTAGCAGCAAAAATCTCCACAGATCCCATAGGTAAGGAGCTAAAACAAATACTCATAACTTTGTCAAATCAAGTCGGATTTTGTTGATTTTGGTGTCATTCGAATCAGCTCGACGAACTCTTTAGAATGAGCTATTATTTTCATATTCGAATTTTTTACCCCAAAAAAGTGCTTGGTCCCCCCTATGGTTTTTCGATTTTCGAGGACCAATATCTCGGCCCATAGGTGAGTCCCCCAGCTAATTTTGGTGTCATTCGACTCAGCTCGTTGAGCTCTTTCGAATGACATATCATTTGTCCGAATCGGTTTCCGGGACATATGACGGAATTTTACCTAAAACATAAAAAATGGAAAATTAAAAAAATATAAAAAAAATTTTATTTACTCCACTCCAGACAGCCTAAGTAAATCTATTTCTTTTGTATATATTTTTTGTATATATTTCTTTTGTATATATTTTTGTATATATTTGAAAATAATTTAGGTAAAAATATATTAAATCAAAAAACATTTATTTCTTTTTAACAAATTGTTAATAATAAAAAAGAAAAGGAAATATATTTTAGCTTTTGAATGAATTCTTGAAAAATAAAAAAAAAGTACTTTTGAGGAAAGATTGAATTTGGCCCTTAAGGGCATCTAAAAAAACAAATAAAAAAAATTTTTGTTAGGTTAGTTTATGTAATATTCTTTCTCTCTTTCCTTCTTTAAATTAAATATAAAAAGTTTTTTTTTCACTTTTTAACATTCTAATTTTTTGATAGAAAATATTTAAAATAAATAAAAACAAAATTTTATAAAATTATGTACTCTTTAAATAATTCTTGTACATATTTCTTTATTTTCTTCTCGTTAATTAAAAGAAGAACTTTTTCGTTTAATTTCTTCCAATTTTTTTGCTCCCCAAAGGAATTCAACAAAAAATATTTTTTTATAATTTATTTTTTAATTCCATTTTTATTAAAGGTTTTTTAGATTGAAGAAGTTCAGGCTTTTGAAAAACAGTTAAATCAATAATATCAAAATCTTCCTAAAATATTAAATTAATTTTTAGAAATTTTATTTTATTTTACCTTTTCTTTTAAATTTTTAATTAATTCTTTTATTTCTTTATTTTCTTTATTTAATTCAAAACATCTTTTAAGGTCAAAATAAGCTTTTTTATTTAATCCAATTTTATTTAAAGCAATAGCACGTCTAAAAATTGAATAAAAATTTTTTTATAAAAATATTTGGGTATTTCGAATTTTGTGTTTTTTTCTTGCCTTTAATTTTCTTTTTATTAATCTTTGTCTAATTTACCCACAAAAACATATAAAGGGGGGGTATACCCAAGGGTATACATCAAATCCCCCAATATACATACATTAACTTCGTTTTTTAACAAACATTTTGACAAATGAATCCATTTAACTGTTTGAATAAATTAAAAATCTTTAACAATAAAGGAAAAGTAAATAAAAAATAAAGTTGATGTTCAGAATAATTTGATGTTTTTTGGGGGGGGGGGGGGGGGGGGGGATTGGAGGGTACAGTCCAAAACGGCACAAAGCCATAACTTGCTGGGAAATGTTTAGCACTTATCAATTTTGATACCAATCTCCTTAGCTCGATGAGAGGAATCGTTTAATATTAAATTTGATAAAATTAGGAAATTTTGAAGTAAGTTATGGCCGCGCGCCGTTGTGGGCGTGTCCCGGATTGGATAAGAAAAATTGAGTAGCAAATAAAAACGTTCAAAATATCCAAACATTTAATTACCTAAATAAAGCTTTTGAATTAAATTCTCTTTGTAAAGCCCCACAAGCATCCATATAAGCTTTCTCTGGTCTAGAAAATTAACTTTTACAAAAAAAAATGGTAAATTTTAATAATTTACTTGTGTAAATTTAAATAAGTTTGAGCCCTATTTGACCAAATAATTGAATTTTCTGGATTAGATTCAATAGCTAAAGTGTAAAAATGAATTGATTTATTGTAAAGTTTTTGTTTAAAACATTCATTTCCTTTAATTTTTAATTGTTCTGAAATATCCATTTTTTACTTAAAAAATAAATATTTAAAATAATTTATTTTTTAGAAAATATTCCAAGTTTTTTAACTTTATAAAAATAAAATATAAACAACAAAATAATTTATATTTAAATATATCCACAAAACAAATAACAAAATAAATATACAAATTTCTCGTTAATTTTTAGAAATATTCCTTAAAATATTTAAATTAATGTTAAAAAAATAGAAAAGGCGTATATTTAATTAATTCCATTTAAAAACCCGAAAGAAAAAGTTCTTTTACTCTTCTTTTAATTTACTTAAACTTCCCATGCCTTATAAAATTTCCCATTCGAGAATCTTCCAATAACGAACGAACCATATAAACCTTAAAAAATTATTTATACAAAATGCGGTTATATATTGAATTAAAGGGAGGTTTGGATTTTTTATTTATATTTTTTTTTCAAATTTTTGATTTTTGTGGTTGGACTAACTTAAGCGTAAAAGGTAAAAATAAAAATATAGGAAAGATATGAGTAAAGAATCCAAACCCCGCCCTTCATTCCCGAAAATTTTAATTTTAAATTTACCTGAACACAACTAGCAAATATAAGACAAAATAAATTAATTGCACTCCAAAAATTAATTCTTTCAAAAGCAACCTAAAAATTAAATTTAAAAATTTTGAAAATAAATAAACTTCAATAGAAGAACGATCTCTAGCTTCTACCGCACGAAATTGTGATTGCATACGTTCAATTTCATTTAAATTGCCTTTGACTTTGTTAGTGACTCTCTAAAATTAATTTTATTTTATAAATTAATTGAAAGTAGGGAAAATATGTAATTTTAAATTTGTTTTAAGATCACTAAATTTTTAAATCTTCAACATATTAAAGGTGGATTTTGAATAAAGGTTAGTAATGGAATAATATAAGAAGGTTATGAGAAGTGTACAAAAATCAGAATTCTAGCCTCCTAAATAATTTCCAAACTTACTTATGCCTCCTAACTATTCGTATTTTAAAGAAGGTACTGAAAAAGAAAAAGGTGAGAGATAACGGATAATTACTAAAGAATGATTAAAAAGATTTTCATGAAGTAAAATAATTTCAGAAAAATTCCCTTTTAGACTCTTGTAATTAAATTTAAATAACAAACACTGAATGTCTCAAATTGTTCGGCCAATAATCCACTGTCTTTAGCAGATAATTTCATGTCATAATCACTCAAATAATTTCCATCTTTATCCAACAAAAATATTTCAAAAAACACCTTTAAAATAAAAAACCCTTTCTAAAATTCAATTAAAAAGTGTATACTCTTTTATCACTGCTATAGCTAAATGAATTGTCAAAACAAAAAGCATAATCTCCTCTTCCATGATTTGGCTCATCAAGAATAATTCTAAAAATATTTTTTTACAAAATTATTTAAGAAATACTTGTGTGATCCATCAGTTTTTTGTTGTTCAGAAGCAATAATTATTCCACTAGGTGATTTAAGAATAAAAGAAATATCATTTTCGCCCCCTTCGATAACCTTTATTAAATTAAAATAATTTTAAAAAAATATTTTAAACAAAATACCTGATAATCAACTTCAAAAGAATTATATTTCAAATTAACAATTGGCTGATAAATACATTCTACTTTGCCTGCCGGAACAAAAATTGCCATAATAATCTCTTCTTGTTGTGGTGGGGTTTGTATTGGAGGGGTAACACTTTCAGGTAATTGTTGCTCTCCCCAACAATTAAAAATAAATAAAATTAATAAAGAAAAATAATTAAATAACCACATCTAAATAAATAAATAAATAAATTTTTAATTTAAAGACGATAAATAATAAATATTACGTATAAATTAGATAAAAATTTAAGAAAAATTTTATAAAAGTTGTTATTCCATCGAGACACCACGTTTGGGCGCTCCCGATAGGGCGCGGCACTTTTTGGGCGCTAGTTGATAAGTTTTTCCCCAAATTACTAAAAAATGTTTTCCAAAAAGTGTGTCTTTCAAGATCATCTACAGGGTCTAGAAACAGGATTTTAGATTCTCTTTATTCTCTTTATGCCGGTCCTATTCTCTTCATGCCGGTCCTACCTTGATCCTGTACGATTTCACCCCTGTAAAAGTAATTTCTGGGCTCCAGTTGAATTTACTCAACGGACTCTGTGGTTTTCCGGGTCAAAAATTTTTTTTATTAATTACAAGATTTTAAATTTCAATGAAAAAGATTCACTTCGCCGATTTAAATATTAAACACCGTGGAAATCCAAAGCAAACCTTAGCTAATGTAAAACGAGCTGTGAGAATGGGATATGATGCTGTGGTTAATTTTTAAAAAATTCTGAATATTTTTTATTTTTTTTAATTTTAGGTTATTAATATTGACATTGGAAGGTATTCTCAAGTAGATATTGATGTAAGTATATTTAATTAATTAAAAATTTTATTTTTTGTTAAAGAATTACTATTTAAATTAAATTTAAGAATTTACAACAACCACCGAATAAAAAGAAAAAAATTCAACAGAAAAAGGAAGAAAATGAAGAAGAATCTTTAACAGAAACAATAATTCCAGATCCATTTATTTTAAATGAATCAGAATTAGATATTTCTACTCTTTTGCAAAACGGGAAAAGTTTTCGCCAATTTAGGTTTTTTTAAATTTTAAATTAATTTTTATTAAAAAATATTTTAGTCGTTTAACGGTAACATTAGACGAAAATTCTGTACATAAATTTCAACACGATGCGAGGGTTAAGAAATATGATATTAGTTAGTAATTTTTTAATTAAAAATTTAAAAGTTTTTTAAAAAGTTGCTGTTCGTGTTCCAAATGAACAATTACTTTTAACATTACAAAGGAAAGGAGACTTTGTTGATTTGGTTACTCTTGATGGAATTTATAGGGAAGTTGGAGGTATTTCTTGGTTATTTAAACAAAAAATTGTTCAAAGTTGTGTTAATGTTGGTATTTATTTTGAGATAACTTATTCTAGAGCATTGCAAGGTTCTGAAAGGAGAAGACAAGTTTTTTTTTGAAAATTTTTGTTAAAGTAAACAGTCTTTTATTTTAGTTTTTCTCATGTGCAAGAAAATTAATTGAAATTACAAGAGGTGGTAATGGAGTTATTTTAAGTAGTGGAGCTGATGAAACTGTTTGTAAATTTAAAATTTATTTTTTGATTTTTTTTTTAAGATTTCACTACGAGCTCCTTATGATGTTGGAAATTTAAGTACACTTTTTGGACTGCCTCTAATGTCTGGAAGGAAATTAATTTCAGGTAATTTTATTTTAAACGATTTTTTATAACAACAAATCCCTAAATTTAGAAAATGCCCAGAATGTATTACTTAGGGCTCAGACACGCAAAACAATTAAAGGGGCAATACATGTCACCAATTTTTCAACAGAAAGCCCGATTATTCCCTCTGCTACTGGTCAAAATTCTGCCCAAATGCTTAAACAATTATCAAAAATTGAAGAATTCAAAGCTGAAATGAATGAAATAAACGAATCAAGTTTGAATTTATGACAAAATTTTTACTTATTTTTTTTAGTTTGTTATTGTTTTAAATAAAGTTATTGACTAAAAATTTTTTTTATAAATTTATACATTAAAAAAATTTAAATATATTTTATACAAGATAAAAAAAGCCTCTAATGAAGTAACGGCTACCCAATGTCATTCAAAGTAATAATTCATGAACCAATAAATCGCCATTGACAGCAAAGATTAATGCTGAATTGCCAGCTCTTCCACCCCATGAATTGCTGTAGACTACTCTCGGAAAGTCAACTCCATTGGTAGAATTGCAATTGGAAGTTTCCCTAATTTGGTTATGGACTGCTGGACTACGTACAACACATAACAACTAAAAATTTTAAACAATTCTTTCAAATTAATTGTTGTAAATACCTCCCCAGTATGTAAAGACCAACCACGAACAATTAAATCTTCGCCAACAGCAAATATAAATTGTTCATTTGCATCAACGAAACAAGGAAGTTTATGTGAAGAATTGAGATGTCCAGACTCCATTTGTGTTAATACTTTCTTTGTTCGAATATCCCAAAGTTTTATCTTCCCATCAAAATTTTCACTCAACAACGTATTTGGCTTTTTGCACAAAGTATGAACGAAACCAGATGAAGCAGAATCAACAAATTCACCGACACAATGATTCGAGTGCATTCGAAGGTCCAACAAAGAAATGTTTGCAGATTTACGACCAAAGAAAAGATTATTTCCGTCCAGAAATTGAAAAAAAAAACATTTTAATGAATTGACACTAAAACCTTTGAAAAAGCACACGAAATTACATTTCTTCCCCCGCTGGATACAGAGAAATTCTGCCCAGAAAGAACATTAAATATTCGAGCATTTCTTTCCATTCCAACACATATCTAAAATAATCTAAATTTTAAAAATGATTTTTTTACTTTCATATGGTGAGAATTAAAACAGAGTGACCAAATAGGTTCAGTTGATGTCCATTCGGAGTTGTAAATGGGAGAGCTCATCGATTCACGGCCCTTAAATTTTTTTATAAAAAATAGAAAAGAGATAAAAAATAACTTCTTCACTCAAATTAAATTCAATAGGTCGTAAATGTACATTACATTTTGTGACAATTCGCGGGGGAAACTTGTCACAAACCGAGTTGTAAAAGGAACTAGCTGTAGCAAAAAGAAGACAAGTAACATCTCTGTCTAAAATTTTAAGGAAGAATTTTTATTCTTTCAGAAAAAATGTCAGTAAAAACCTGCGGGAGCCAGTACCATATCGACAAGTACTTGATTTGTTGTTTCTAGACAAATTCCATTATCAAGAGGATCAAATTGCAATCTTAACAAGTAAACAAAATTTAAAAACAATAAACAAAAAATAACCCATAGGTGTTACAAGAAAAGCGTCCATTTGTGTCGAATAATTTTTTAGGATTTTCATCCAAAAGTTGAGCGTGTCTTCTTAAAAACTAATTATAGAACAAAAATAATTTAACAACCTTGCTTGTTCAGAATTTGAATGGACTTTAAAAGACAATACTCGCGAACATTGATTATGTCCATAGAAAATATCATTCCGCTGAGTTGACCAACACCCTAACAAAGTTTTCCCATCTTCAGAAACATCCAAAAACTGGCAACTGTCAAAACGTTGTGACCAACTATCCGAAACCTCAAAATAATTTAATTTTACTTTTATTTTTGATAAAACCTCAGAACTATAGCTAGGTGTTTGCTTAACAGACCGTAATCTTGACTCTTCAATTAAACGTAAATTCGTACCCCTACATGAACCAAAAATTTGAAGCCCGGCCAAAGCATTCGGCAAACTTATGTTGTTAAATTTTCGGGGAGAATTATTTGAATTAGAACATTTTAAGATTTCTGAATTAACTGCCAACTTTCGTAAATGTAATAAAGTTGAGCCAGAAGGCTAAATTAAATATGTATTTTTAGTTAAATAATAAGTGAAAAAGGTTAACCTGTCCCGGAACATTATCCAAAATTTTATAATATTTTTTGCTGCTTGGATCATAGGAATATCTTTAAATTTTCAAACTTTATAATTAAAATATCCATCAAAATACCCTGGTAAATCACTAAGTTCAGCAGATCTTGTCTGAATGTTTGTGGTAGTTGTTGGGGAAGTATTTGATGTTAAAGTCTCAAAATGTTTTCCTGACCGATTTTGCCCTCTGTAAATAATTCTTTTTTGTTGGTGGTGGTGGAGACTGGCTAAAGAAGATTGACTTTCTTCATTTGGAGGATTATTCCGATTTCTGTTACTATTCCAACAATTTCTATTATTAAATCCATTATTGTTGCCTTCAAATCGGAATCGCTGACGCTTTACAGGAGTAATAGAAGTGGAAGAAGAAGATCCTTGAACTTCTAATTGAGGTTGACGGAAATGATTCTTTTCATGCTTAAATTTAATAAATTATTGAAATTAAAAAAATATATTTTCATACATTTCGAGAACGACTTTCTACTTTAGATGAAGTTAAATTTGAATGATTCATAATAAGTATGTACTAACAAAAAATAATTGAACAATTAACTAAATCTGTTAATTAAAACGTAAAAATCAGTATCTTGCAATTAGAAAGATTTGAAAAAAATTTTTGTCAACAGAGAAAATAAAAAAGAAACTAGAAAATCCGAGATCGAGACTAGGAAATGTGTGAGACCTCGATTTCGTGATCCTCTAGTTTTAACTAGGACAGGTCTATGCGTTCAATCTTCGAATGTCATTGATATTGAAAATTTAATGAAAATTTTCCTTGTTTTTTGTGATACATATTTTGTTAGCTACTTAATGAATAAAATACTTTAAAAACTTTTCGAATTTCTATAATTTGCAAGATTTTGTTTTTTTCCTATTAAATACATACATATGTAAATGAGGAATAAAAGGCATCAGATCATCCATCAGACTACTGAACCATTAGATGCTTTATGTACAAATAAAGACAGATCTAGAATTGCAATTACTGGAAGGACAGGTTTAAATATATTTTTTGTTATTTTAAAAAGATTTTTAGTTGTAAAAGTTTTTTCTTCGAGTGATGGGAAGTTTGAATTAATAGCTGAAAGAAACAAGCCGAGAAAGACTATGTACTTTTCGGGCAGCATTGCTTGGTGTCCTTTAAGAGGTAAGTTTGTTTTAATTAATAAATTCCATTTTTAAATTTGTAATGGAGAGAGGGGAGGTGTATTTATTTTCTGTGGACAGTTTTTGCGAAAAATTCCGCAAAAATTGTTCGCAGAAAATACCTTCCGTTACAAATGTCTTACATTTTGCCTATCCTATATTAATTATAGAAAATTTGATTGCTGTTACTTCTTCCGTTGGAGCGATTTATCTTTGGGACCCAGAAACCACTCATAGTAATACAGCTGTTTGATTCAACAATGTCACTTTTTTAGTGGAGTGCTCCTACAAGGCACACAAACAACTTGTCACTAAAGTTTGTTTCAGTGAATTCAATGAGAATATTCTTGTTAGCGGATCAAAAGATTCTACTGTTTGGTTGTATGATTTGAGATGTGCTGAACCAAGCTTATGTTTCGCGTAAATTTTTATTTGATAATTTGGGTGATAATTGGATATAAATTTATATTGTGTTAATATTCTATTACATTTTATTTTTTTAGAAGCAATCAAGACGATTCAATTAGAGGTTTTTTTTAAATTTTGCAAACTTTATTTTTCCTTTAGACATTCAATTCTGCATGGAAAGCAAATTGCAAGATACATTTGTTACTGCTGGGGACAGTGGTACTATTCGCTTTTGGGATGCACGACGGCCAGATAAACCTTCAAAGTATTTCTAAAACTTTTTTAAAACACATTTTTATTTAATTTTAGAGAATTTATTGCGCACAGTTCACAGATTTACAGGTTTTTATTTCAAATTGCATTAGTTTTGGCTTAATTTTAGTATAGCGTTAAATCCACAAATCCAATCGAAAAATCTTATTGCTACAGCTGGTCGTGATAAATATATTCGTATTTGGGATTGGTCTAAAAATATGCCGCAGTTTCTTTATACTGTGGAAATGATGGCAATTGTAACTCGTGTTTCTTGGTGTCCGGACAACTCTTGGTATTTTTTAATTTAAATTTGCAGTCCCTTTCCCCACTCTCTCCCTTGTTACGGGCTTTCAATTGAAAATAACCTTCGAGATAGTCACAGATTTTGCATAAATTTTACCTTTTTATTAGGCATGTAGCTTGTTGTTTTGCACCTCCAAGTGGTTTTGTTTCTTCAGACAATACTATCTATGTTTGGGATATTCGTCGACCATTTATTCCTTTTGCATCCTTTGATGCACATACAAAAACATGCACTGGTAATTTATTTATTGTAAAATAATTTTTAAATTATTTTTAAATAGATATGTCATGGCCAAAATATGGAACAGGTGGAACATTTCTTTCTTGTGGAAAGGATGGCAAATTGATCATTAACTTCACGAATGCGCCCCTTAGACCTTTTATTTATGCAAATAATGTTGCACTAGATACAAACACTTCGTCAACTGATGAATTCATTGTCGCTGGTAATTCTTTCCATTATTTATTTTGGGTTTCTACTTTTGTTTAAGTCCCATCTTCTCGTCGAAAAGGCAGCCCTTTGCTTATGGATCACTTTGATTCTTTTCGTCGTCGATCTCCAAGTATGATTTTCTCTATATCACCATCTGATCCTCTTCTAATGCCTGTCAAAGCTCTGTCATATTTTGCTTCAAAGTTTTTTATATTTCAAAGCAAATCTATCTTTATTTAGTTATAAAATTACTGGAGATTCCATTTCCGAACTTTGTGATTATAACGGTCGGGTAGCTGAATATATTTATAGGTAAAGTGTTCTTAATAATTTTATTATTATACAATAATTTCTTAAGGGACAGTTTAGCATATACTTGGAGGGTGACTGGTTTATTGGCCTTACAAGGGGATATTGGAACAACATTGTCTCATTATACTAATCGGCATGCTCATTTAGTATCCTCTTTTGATAATGGTAATCCTAATTTGTAAAAATTTTTCTAAATTTAATTTACATTTTTATTCAAATTTTAGGCCAAAATGGATCATTTGAACGTCTACCGGTTGATCATTTTACTCCAAATTCGAACAAAGCATTTTTTGAATATACTACTAAAAAAGAACAGCCAAAACAAGCAATGGAATGCATATCAAATGTTCACGAATCTGAAGTTTCAATGCCTCCAATTCCCGGATCACTGCCATCTCATAATGAATTAAATACAAATGATTTACTTTTTGGAGATTTAAATTTTGGAAGTGTTACAGATGATGAAGAGTCACATTCAATTAATTGGAGGTGTTTTTTAGTTAAAATAATTTTGAATTTAATTTTCTAGATCTATTGCCACTTCTACTTTCATAAATTGCTCACAACTTAATGAGGAGGTTTTCGATATGGGAAGGAGAAAATACAACAAAAATCAGCTTCTCAATTTTTTTGGTGATTATCGTCCACATCATCATCATTTCCACCGTTCTTCAACACGAAAAAATCGCCTTCCTTCTCGTATAGCTGAAGATCTTGAATTAGCTTTATCCTCCATGAATTTAATAGAAAGAGAAGAAATTAATAATCGGAGATTATTTGGAAAAACAAAGGAAGAAAATGAGGAGAAAGATGATGATGGTTTAATTGTTGCAAGTATTAGTACATTATCTAATTCATCGGATAATGATATAGGACAATCAGCATCTGTTGAAGGAGACAGAGATTTTATTGAAAATGTAAAGGATATATCAACAAAGACTGCTGTTTCTGATAGTGAAGGAGCTGATTCACAATTTCGTAAATATTTAAATTTTTTAATTAAAATTAGCAATGTTCTTACAGAAATTGAATTAGAAACTAGCTTTTCATGTTTATCACAATGTACACATAAACAGTGTTCTTCCTTTCAATTTGACATATTGCCTTCACTTAAATCTTTGCTTGAATTCTTTTCAGATTTAGTTAGTTTTTAATTAAATTTGGGGGGATTTTTTTTTAATTTTAGGGTGATGTTCAAATGTGTGCAACGATTTGTATGGTTTTTGGACAGAAAATTGTTGATTATAAATTAGTTACTCCAAGTCAAGTAGATATTTGGTTTCTCGCTTATATAGGTACAATATTTTTAAAGAATTTTTATTTTAATTTTTAAGAGATTCTCGAAAGGCTGAGTTTGTGGCGTGTTTCAGCATTTTTCGTCAAAAAGTGTTACCGTGCGAGAATTAACCAATTAAGCAATGAAGTAAAAATATTTAGGATTTCTTAAAATAGATTACCTTTCAGAGTACATTTGTCAAAATTTGGTGTCCCCATTGTCGGAGTACATCAACACGTGCAAGTATGCGATGTTTGAAATGCAGGCATTTCTACAACTATACTTGTACTATTTGGTTAGTATTTAGTTTGAGGCACGAGGCAAAGGGTGCCTCCCTGGGGACGGGCTGAATCCTAGTATGTAATATAAGTTTTGGTTTCGGCTTCTATACATTAAAGCGGAAAATTCTGGGTGTAGATGTGGAAGTACCCAATTTAAGAATAAATTTTTTAGTGAGACAAATGTTCGTGGTATTTGGTCGAGCTGTGCAGAATGTGGTTTGTCTTAATCGGAATCAAGTCTAAATTAAGTACTTTTTAAAGGTCATGGGGGTCATTTGCTTCACATGGAAGAGTGGTTTAGCCAGTCAGAATTTTGTCCTGTTGTGGGGTGCGGACATGTTTGTACAAAAACAATAAAAGAAAGGAATAAATAAAATCAAAAATTCTTTCACATTTATGTACATACATATTTAAAAAATTAATAATTTATTGTCTAGATAAATAGAATATCGTTATTAGTTCCATATTTCTGTACTTTTGTTTAAAGAGGTTTTGATAGCATCAGATCCTGAGTATATTTTGTACTTTTCGTTAGCGTTGTACATCTTATCCTTTTCTTTTAATTTTCAGTTATTTTTAGATTATTTTTCCATACTTTTATGTTAGCACCATACAGAAGAGTAAGAGTACGTCCATTACTTTGGCGACAAACGACATTAGAAAAATATTTAACAACTCCAATATTTGGTATTGTTGGGGCAATTGCATTACATTATAACAATTGGAGTTTCTTTAAACAAGAGAATATTTATGATCATGATGGACCAGAAAAAGATGCAAAGGTAGGGTTTTAATAGTTTTTAAGAATAGGGTCTTTTCTGGTATATACTTACATTTATTTTTCTCAAAAAATTGTAAAAAAAATTTAAGGAAAAATTATTAAATTTTATAAATTTTAGTGGATGCCAATTCGTAAACAAGAAATAATTCGACATCTTAAAATTGGGGCATACTTTGCGACGGCTGGAACATTATTCTTTTTGTTAATGAGAATTAGTAATTTAAATATTTTTTTTACATAATTTTAAAATTTTTAGGAAAGAAATTCACTGTAATACCCAAAAATGATGTTATGGTTGAAAATGTAATTGAAAAATAAATATTTTTTTAATTAATTAAATTTAGTTTTTAATTGATGTTGGGTTTGGTGTTCCTTTAGGAGGGCTTCCTGTTGAAATTGTTTATTATCTTCGGTCAATTAAAGATGAAGAGAATAGGAAAAAGATTGTTGCAGTTTAGTAATTTGTTGTTTTTTTGTAAATAAATTAATTAAAAATTTTTTAAGTTTTTTTAAAATATTTAAATTTATTTTTATATTTTTAATTGTTTTTTGTCTTTCAATTAAAAAAAAATTTTTTTAATTAATTAATTAATGGCAACTAGATCATTACTTGACCGTTTTATGAGCTCTTATGGAATTGGAATAACTTTTGGTGTATTTGGTGCAATGTCCTGGCATCATTTAAATCGTTATCAATTTCATCATATTAATAAAAAAATGGAAGAAGAGTATAGAGAAAATGGTTATCCTAAATATTTAAAGAAAGAATTACGAGCAAAGGTTTTCTTTTTTTTTAATAAAAATATTTTTTAAATTAAATAATTTAGTGGGCGGAAATACGCCGTAAAGAAATACTGCAACAATTAAAGATGTGTGGGTATGTTTTTGGTGTTGCTGGAATGATGGCGATTATTATTAGAATTTGTAAGCTTTTTTTAATTAAAAAAATTTTTTTAATTAAATTAAAGCTCGAAGAACATTTCGACAAATTCCTTCTCCAACAAAAGAAAATCGTTTACCAATTAGCGATACAACAGCAGGTAAATAATTTTAAATGTAAGTAATTTAAATGTATGTACAGCATTTGTTTTTGGTGCTTTATTAATTAATGGCCCTTATTTCCTTTTTGATTATTGGGAAGGGGAAAGAATTGCTAAATGGAAAGCTGGAAAGGAAGAAAAAGGCAAAATTAAAAATAATTAGAAAAATTTATTTTGTAAGTTTTTGTTATTTAAATAATTATTTGAAAAAAAAATAATTTTTGTTTTAAAATAAAAATAAATTAAAAATATAATATATATTTTGTAACAATATATTCTTTTATTTTTCAATTTTTTGTTTATCCAATTTTGCTTCCAAACATAAAAATTCAGCCCACAATAGAGGTATGGGAATAGAAAATAAATGAAAGAATGAATGAGCATCAAAAATCCAAAAAATTGGAGGAAAATCAAAAAAAGCATCGAAAGAGGCTGACAAAAAACTAATAAACAACTTTAAAAGAATAAATTATTTTAAAATTAATTTAAATAAACTAACCGTTAAAATTAAAATTAATAAAGATATTCTTTTCTTTCCTTTTAGATATTCAAAAAATATCCAAAATAAAAATATAAATCCAGTCAATAATCCAATTAAAATACAACATTTCATATGAAATGAATAATTAAATAAAGGCTTTTTTAAAATAAATAATTATTTTTTAAATTAAAATTTACTTTTGAATAAATATTTGTTAAATACCCAAAATAAAAAGAAATAAATCCAATTGATAAAATATTTTGTTTTTCTTTAAAATATTCAGAAAAACAAAAACAAACAGAAATATAAAAAGTATATAAAATTAAAGTAAATGCTGCACAATAATCAAAAATTTCAGTTATCCAATGGTCACAAATATGGAAAGTAATTGAAGCTATCCTTTAAATTTTTAAATAAAATATTTTTTAATTCCAAACAACAAAAGGTACTTTTCCGTTATACGACCGCAAACTGAGTGCCAGCCAATTTTGATCGTCAACTTTTTAATGAGCGATCAGACCTGATCGATCAAGTTGCATAAAAGATACCTCTTATTGAGTGCTTTCGAATGCTATAAAAACATTTGTATAGGATCAGGCATCAAAATGTTATAACCGATAAAATTCGGTTTACACTCAGTTTGCGGTCGTATAACGGAAAAGTACCCAAAAAAATAACCAAGTAATTATTCCAATATTTCCAAATCCCAACCATTTATTTAAATGTTTCCAATTATTTTTTATTTTCCTTTTAATTTTTTGTTTCATTTTCCAAAAGGAAAAAGCATTTAAAAGTGAAAAGAATGTGGAAGCAGGTTCCTAAGAAATAAGAGAAATTTAAATTTAAAAACAAAAATTACTTGTATATTGGCTAAATAAATATTTCCAATTTTAATTTTAATTGGAGTAAAAGGCCATTTCCCATTAAATTTTGGAATTTGTTTTTTTGAAATTCTAAAATGTTCAACAGTATTCCAAATACATTTTTGTCTGCATCTTTTAAGTAATTTAAATTATTTTCGAAATTAAAAATAATTTTCTTTTTTACTTAAAACATTTTTCATTAGCCCACCAAGTAAATTGAAAATATTTAAATTCTGGACAGTTAAATAAATCTTTGCATTTAAATATACAATAATTAAAATATGGAGAAATATCTCCATTTGATAATGAAATTTTATTAATAAAAAAATTAATTAAAATAAATAAAAGAAAATAAATATTAGTAATTTTTATAAACATTTAAATTAATTAATTAATGAGAAGAAATGAGAAGAATTATTTATTTTTTAAGTTTACATACTTTTTGTATTTACATATGTAGTAATGTATAGATTTATGCACAGCATTTTTTGCTTAATTGACATACAAAATAAGTTGAAAACTTTTTCTTCTCTCTTCTTCTTTTTCTTAGTTTAAAATAAAATAAATCTCCTATTGACGACAATTTATGCAGTGTAGAATTATAAAGGAATTTTAAGCAAAATATATCCCCAAAAATTAATCTCCCTTTCTAATTTATTTCAAATATTTTGTAACCCAAAGGGATAACTTTTAAAAAGAATTGTTTGTAAAAGATATATTTTCTTAATTTTAGATTCATTATATTTTTCTGATTAATATTATTCTAAAATTTTAATTTCAAAAATGAGTGATGAAATAAATTTGGTAATATTTTTTAAAAAAAGTTTTTTAATTTTTAATTTAAGAAATGGCTTAGTTGGAATGCCCACCGACCATGTATTTTACTTAAATTCGATCATCTTCATATTTTATTGGATTGTATTGTTGGAATGGATTCATTAACTTCTTTTTTGCCGTGTCCACTTGTTCGTAGGTTTGTTAAAAATTAAAAAAAGAATTTTTTTTTGTAATTTTTTAGTAATCGAATTTCTTGGCAAAAGAAAGTACATCCATATGGAAAAGATGTTATTCCGATACTTAAACAAATTAATGATTTAGTTTATGTTGAATTGACACCAGAAATGAGGACTGTTAAAGTTAAGGACTGTTAAAAGTTTTTTTTAAATTTATTTTTTTTAGTTTAAAGATGTTGATCCTTCCTCTTTAGATGCCATTTTAATATCTAATAGTTCAAGTTTTATAGCACTTCCTTTTATTACAGAGGGGACTGGCTTTAAAGGTGTTGTTTATGCTACAGAACCAATTGTTCAACTTAGCAAGTAATTTTTAATTTTATTTTTAATTAATTAATTATTTTTTAAAAGACTTTTAATGGAAGATTTGTGTGATATTTTTGAACAAATTGACAGACCTTTAATTGATGAATGGTCCTGGAAAAATATATCAAAGTTTTTAAATTTTTTTAAAATTTATTTTAATTTAATTTTTCAAGTTCTTTCCCCAATCCTCCAAATAGCGATCCAAATTTTTGGAAATCTTTTTATAAAAGAATTGATATAGAAAATTGTATGAAGAGAGTTAAACTTTTATTTTTTCGACAAGAAATTGTAATTTAATTTTAATTTATTTTTTAAATTTGTTTTTCAAGGCTTTAAGTGAAGATCTTCGAATAACCCCTTATAGTAGTGGACATTCTATCGGTTCTTGTAATTGGCTATTATCTACAAATCAACATAAAATTGGGTATTTTGCTGCTTCTTCACTCCGCCCTTCCCATCCAAAACCAATGGAATTAAATTCTTTTAACAATCTTGATGCATTAATTCTTACTTCAATTCACACAAATGATCAAAGTCCGGATATAACGGTTTTGTTTTCTTTTCAAAAAAATTTTAAAAAATTATTTTGAAGGTATATAAATTCACTTCAGCTGTTGTAGAAACTCTCAAAATTGGTGGAAATGTTCTTATTCCAGTTATTTCGACTGGACTTATTTATGATTTATTTGAAATAATTGTTAAAGCAATTGAAGTGGTAATTGATATTTTGCTTTTTAATTTTTAAAAAATAATTTTTAGAATAATCTTTCTCGAAATATTCCTGTTTATTTCATTTCTTCAATTGCTGAAAGTAGTTTAGAATTTGCAAATATTTTTTCTGAATGGCTTTCTGACGATAAAGGGGCGAGAGTTTATAAACCAGAAGAACCATTTTATCATTCTGAGGTTTTTTCTGTTTAATTTTTAATTTTATTTTTTTCTAAATTTTTAGATGCTTCGTAACCGTCGTATTCGTGTTTATGATTCTTTACATGGCCCTTTCTCTAAAGAATGTCGACAACCATCCATTGTATTTGCTGGACATCCGTCATTGCGATTTGGGGAAATTGTTCATTTATTAGATCTTTGGGGAGGAAATTCTAAAAATGCAATAATGATGATAGACCCCGATTATCCTTTGGAGACTTATTATTCTCCTTACAAAACTTTGGCAATTCGTGCCTATTACTTTCCAATAGAAACTCGTCTAGATTGTAATCAAGTTTTTAATAAGGTTTTTTAAATATTTTTTTGAAGAAGAAATATTCTTTTAAAAAAAAAGATAATCAAAGATCTGTCACCCAAACAAGTTTTATATCCGGAGGAATATTCCTCCTCTTTCTCAACTTTAAATGCACTTCCAATTCCAACTATTTGTTTTAAACAAAATGAGGAATTTAAATTAAAAATAATTTCAAATACCCAAACAAAACAAATTTTATTAAAAAGAAAAGAAAATGAAGATTTGCCAACTTGTATTCCATGGAAAAGGGTTAAAGTTGATTATGAAGTTTTAAAACATTTAAAATTAAAACAAAAGTTTGATGGGTTATGTCCAATAAAAGGACATATTTCTGCAACAAATAATCAATTGGAATTTAATGTAAAATTAATTTTTTTAAATAATTTTAATTTTTTTAAAAAGTTTAATTCTAAAACAAACAAAAATGAAAAGAAAATTTCAAAACAAAAATTTATTGGACGTTTAAATGTTGCAACGTTTAAAGAATTATTAGAAAAGCGTGAATTTCAATGTGAATTAATTCAGGTATTTAGAAGGAGAACTTTTAAAATTATTTTAATTTTTTTTCTTTAGACGGGAGATGAAGAAACATTAATTATTGTATGTTTTTTTATTTTTTATATATAATTATTTTAAAGAAAAATTATTCTGCTCGTATTCGAATAATTCAAGGAGGTCGCCGAACTTTAATAAATTGTTCAGATGAAATAAAAAGGAAAGAAATTCAATTAGCTGTTCATGTAAAGAATTTAAATTAAATTTAAAATTTATTTTTTTAAATTTTTAAGGAATGTTTAACTAAATTTGTTAGTCCTGAATTAATTAATGAAACAAACAACAAAATATAAATTATTTATAGATTTTTGTCCAGTTTGTTAGATCTCATAAATTGTTAAATATTTTATTTATTTTTTGATTTTATAGAATTTTTATTTTTTCTAAATATTTTTTTAAAATTATTCTTTTTTTGGTAATAGTGTCGTTTCCCAGCCCCCTTTTTTTCCTCCCAATTTTCTACCCTATGTTTGTACGGAATGGTCAAATTTTCCCCTTTCTTTCATCAAATTTGCCTTTCCATATTTTGCCTAAAAACAATCAAAAAGCTTGGTGTTTCTCTTGGTGTTTCTCTCAACGCCCCCAATCATCCATACATCTTTCTCTGATGGTTGTCTGCCTCTTTTATATTTTCGTCTCACAACAACAGTCTTTCATTTTTATTAATTGGGAAAATGATTCTTCTCATTACTCTAATACTCATTTAAATATCACAAATTAATCTTTTTTGATTGTTTTTAGGCAAAATATGGAAAGGCAAATTTGATGAAAGAAAGGGGAAAATTTGACCATTCCGTACAAACATAGGGTAGAAAATTGGGAGGAAAAAAGGGGGCTGGGAAACGACACTATTACCCTTTTTTTTTCTAAAAAAATATTTTTTTAAAGGTTTAATGAATTTGTTTTGCCAAACAAAAACAATTATAATTTTTAGAATAGCACCTAGACTTGAGGTATGCACTTTAAGGTGTCGTAATGATGGAAAAATTTATTGGCCAGGAAGTGGAATTCGAACGAAAAAAGAAAATTGAGGAAGAAGTTAATTTTATTTTAAATAAATTTTGAAAATTAAAATTTTTAGGCAAAATGTTTGCGTGATAAAAAATGGCCTGAAGAACATCCTTTTAAATATACAATTTTTGGATCGAGAAGTGTTTCTGCTGAAACTTTGCAGCATTATAGTGACAGAAAATCTGGAAAAGGATATGTTGATTTTGGTTTTTTTTAAATTATTTTTACAAATATTTTTTGTTAAGCTCTCAATCGTCCATTTATAAAAACTGCCTTTCGTCAAATGTTACCTTATTATCTTATTCCAATAAGTATTTTGTTGGTTATACTTCTTGTTGACTTTAATTGGTTATTTTTTAAATAAATTTTTTTAATTAAATTTTTTGTTAAAGGTTTTGGCACAATGGTCGAAGAATGTATGACAAATATTTTAAAACAGAAGCAGCGGAAGAAGAAGAAAATGAAAAAATTAACGGAGAGAATATTAATCAATCAAAAATTTTACCTTTTGAGGATGATAACGAGTTATTTGTTGCAGGTTCTATTATGCTTGTAATTGTTGCTTTAGTTATTATATTTTTAAATATGATATAAAAGAAAAAATTTGTTTTTGTTAAAAATTAATAGAAAAATTTAAAAATATTCAAATATTTAATATTTTAAAAATAATAAAAGTTAATGAAAAAGCTGATGAATGTTCAATTGTTGGAAAGAAAAAGAAGAAAAAAATTGGGTTTAGAGAAAGAAGGATAATTCATTATGAGGTTTAGTTTTAAAATAATTTTTATTTCTAAATAATTTTAGGACCGTCTTCGTGCTTATTCCTCTCCAGATAAAATTTTTCGTTATTTTGCCACAATTAAATTAATTAATGAAGATGGGACTTTTGATATTTTTATGACACCCGAAGATTTTGTCCGTTCATTAACACCGTTTTTGTTTTTTTAAATAAATTTATTTAAAATTTTTATTTTAGAGGAGTAATGCAGCCAAGAAAATATGGATTGGATAAATATAAAATAATTAATACAAATGAGGTTAAAAATTTAAATTAAAAAAAATAATTTTGAAGATTTTGGAAAGAAAAAATAAAAATAATATTTTTAATTGGTTATCTGATAATGGAGGGTTAATTAATTTTGGAGATTATCTTTTTTTGATGACTTTACTTTCAGGTTTTTAAATTTAAAAATAAATTAATTATTTTATTTTTCAGCTTCTCCAAGTGAATTTAAATTGGCTTTTTATGTTTTTGATTTAAATGGAGACGGAGAATTGGATAGACAGGTTTTTGACTTGGAAAATTAAAAAAAGAAAAGAAATTTTTTAAAGGAATTTGAACGTGTTCAAGAATTAATTTTAAGTCAGTCAAATATTGGACAGAGACATAGAGATCACATTACTGGGGCTGGAACTTTTACAAAATCGGGAAAACATTCAGTAATTTTTTGAAAATTTTAATTAATTAATTTTTAGGCAATTACTAGGCATTTTTTTGGTTATGATAATTTACAGAAATTAAATATTGATGAATTTTTAGAATTTCAAGTAATTTTTAAAAAAAATATTTTTTTAATAAAATATATTTATTTTAGAAGAATTTACATTATGATATTTTAAAGGTAAAAATAAAAAAAAGAATTTTAAATTTTTTTTTAAATTTTTAGATAGAATTTGAAAGAAGAGATCCAGAATCTGATCCTGTTGGAATTATATCAGAGGTTATTTTTAAAAAATTTTATTTTATTTAAAATTCCTCTCAAAAGGTCTCATTTGCTCAATTATTAATGATACATTCTGATTTACCCGAAAAACGGCAAAAAAGAATGCTTAAACGTGTTAAACGGAAATATAGGAAAGAAATAATTAATAAAAAGGTAAATATTTAAATTTAATTACTATTCAATTATTCTCACATTTTTTTCTTTTCTCCTAAAAATTATTAACGTAATTTGTATAGAATGCTGAAAACAAAGATTTTTTCGGAACATTAATCGTTAAAATACAAATATTTGGGTTCTCAGAACTTTATAACTAATTTTAATTAATTTCTTGGATTATTCAAATTTATAAAATTAAACAATTTTTAATATTTTCACTTTTACAAAACAACAAATTTGTTGTTTTAGAAGGAGAGAATAAAATGAAAGAAAAAAAATGTGAAGAGATGATAAATATTTTAAAAATATTTTAATTAAAAGGGTGTTTCTTTTGAAGAAGTTGATAATTTTTTTGCTTTTATTTATCATATTGATAAAGTTGATTTGGCTTTACATTTTTACAAATTAGCAGGAAAACCACTTTCTAAAGAATTAATTAAAGTAATTTTTAAATTTAAATTCAAAATGTTTTAATTATTTTTAGAGAGTAGCTAGTAAAATAACAAATGTTGAATTAAGTGATACAGTTGTTGATATAGTTGTGACATTATTTGATGAAAATGGGGTAAAATTAAATAAATTTAAATTAAAAATATTTAAAGGATGGGGAATTATCTCAAAAAGAATTTATTTTAATTATGAAACAAAGAAAACAGAGAGGGTTGGAACGCCCAAAAGATACAGGCTTAACGCGTTTACTTGATGCTTTGTGGGTTTGTGCTAAAGGCCAATTAAATATACCTTCACACAATGAAGACAATAAGAAGAATTTTAAATAAATGGAATTTGTAGGCATGCCGAAATTTGCGGGCTCGAGATTTGATCTTAATCATATATCCGTTTTGAGTCTACACTGGGTAGTGTTTGGAAATTTGTAACAAAATTGATGCTCGTACAAATAACAGGGAAAAATAAGTTATGCATGAAGTACGTGTACTTGAAATTTCCAAACACTAGTCCCCTAGGCTAATCTAAGAAATTTCCAAAATAATTTTCGTTTCTTGGAGTTCGCAAGTTTCGGCCACAATTTTTTCTATATAAAAAAGCTAATTACTCTAAAATATTTTTATGTTAGATCATTTTAATATATTTTTAAAATTAATAAAGATTCTAGTTTAAAATCTCCAATAAATAAATAAATAATTTAAATTAACGTCCAATATTCAATAATGTTTGTCTAACAGCTCCTTGTACCAATCTTTTAGCATATAATTCATCCAATTTAAAATAAGTTTGTACTTTAACATAACGTTCATGAATTGATAATCTTTTTTTAATTTTTAAAATTTAAATAAATTTAAATTTACTTTGGACTTCTCAAAACAACTCCTTTCATTGAAGGCAATATTAACCCCATTTGAAGTATTTCTGTTAAAAGTTTTTCTAAAAATTCTGCTCCAAAAAGTCCCAAATCTCCAAATGTGTTTTGGTCAACATCGTGAACATTTGCCTCAATTAAACGAAAATCTAAATTTTCAACACTCGCATTTCCCAATATTTGTGTTTTCTTTTATTTAAATTAAAAAATAATTACAAGTATTTTTATTTATTTACTTCTATCCATAAATTAACATTAGAAGTTAATGTAGTTTCTGAACGAAGAATTTGTTCTTTTTGTTGGGTAATATTTTTTGGACGTGCATACTAATTTTTAAATTATTTATTTTAATTAAAAACTTCTAAACTAAATCCATTTTTCCGTGTAATCTAAAACGAGCTTTTCCTTCCACAAAAACCATTATTGGGGCTTTTTTGGCAGAATAATGAATTTCAACTTCTCGGTCGGGGAATTGATGTCCTAATGAACCTAAATATTCTCCAATACAAAAACCTGTTTGGCAAGTTGTTTTTAATATATCTTTTAATCGAGGTGATGACTTTAAAAAAATATTTTTAGATTTTAAAAATAAATTTTGGAAATGATTAAAAAATAAACAGTCAAAAAATATGAGGGGTAAATGAAGAGAAATATTTAAAAGAAATATTTACTTCAGGTCCAACAATAATATCCATATATTTTTGTTTATAAGCATGATAAAGCATTGAATTAGCTTTTTAAAAATATTTAAATTTAAAAACAAATTAATTAGAACCAATATAATCAGTCCCAAAAAATTCAGCCATATGAACACCTTGTGGTTGAGGGATTAAAACGTTTGGAGCAAAAAAAGGAGTTTCTCCAATTCCGTTAAATGAAATTTCCCCAAAAGATTTTATCATAATAGTTCCCTTTTAATTGAATTTATTTTTAAAATTATTATTATAATTTCTATATTTACTTGACTAACAAAAGGACTGTCAATTAATGCAAAATTTAAAATTAAATTTTTATTTTGTAAATTTGAAATAAAATTAAGTAAAGAAGAATTGGAGGGGAATGCTTCTTTTAATAAATTAATTGAAGAGGAAGAAGAGGAATTAAATAATTGGTGTTGTTTTGGGGGAGGGGGAATTCTTCTTTGTCGTCGATTTCTTCTTTTTTTATTTAAATTTTCTTCTGTATTTCCAATTCCAAAACTTTTTCCAATTAAATCTAATTGACGTTCATTTATTCTAATTTTTAAAGGCATTGTTAAAAGTATTGAATTTAAATCATTATTTATTATTCCCTCGATCATTTGACATATACGCTGTTCTACTGTTGGCTATTTTTTAAATTTAAATAAAAATAATTTTTTTATTTAACCTTAAAATGTGCAATTAAAAATGCTTTAAAAGTATCTAAAAAATAAATTTTAAATTTAAAAATAAAATTAAAAATTACTTATAAAAAAATCAGTAATAACCCCACTATTTCGAACATTTAAATCAACATAGCCAACTTGGGCAGCACAAAAAAGTAATTGAACTTGGGGGGATCCTTGTAAATTTCTAACTAATTTAAAATTAGAATATTTAATTTATTTAATTTAAAATAACCTAAACATTTTAACAGAAATACTTAAACTTAAATGTCCAAGTAAGGATTCAAATTGGCCTTTAAAAAATAAATTAATAAATTTATTTATCTCTCTAAAAATACCTTGTATAGGCACAGAAGGTAAAAGTAAAGCCCCATTTAAACGAGCCTCAAAATTTCCATTTGAACTTTAAAAAAGATTTATTCCTTCCTTTTTTTCTCCTCTAAAATACCGTAAATGCATTTTACTCATTCTCCAAGTAAAAGTATCTGGAGTAATTAAATCTAAAGAATAATCAACTGGGGGCCAATACTTTGAGACATAAGCACCAAATATTGATACCTTTTTTTATTTAAAATAATTATTTAAATTTAAATTAATTTACTTGTCCAGAATCAATTGTTTCTGTAATTGTTGGTAAACTTTGAAGAAGAAATAATTTTTTTTTAATTAAATTAATTTTAATTAATTTATACTTAATTTTAAATATTTCATCATTAACTACTTTCATTCCAATTTCTCTCAAATAAGCCAATCCTGTAGGCATTACTCTAACAAAAAACCCTCCATTCCCGATATTTGTATTTTGCTTTAAAAATTAATTTAATTAATTTTTAATTTAAACAAACAAAAAGTAAAGGGGAAATATCTGGATATTGTTGTTGTTGTTGGTTAATATTTGGTGGTTGAGAAGAAGAAAAAATATTATCTTTTTGGGCATAAATATTTAATGTTTTAATTAAGAAGTAGAAGATGATGAAGAACATTTCTTTTTTTATAAAAAAAATATTAATTATTTTATATTAAAATAAAGTTAAAAATTATTTGGATTACTAAAATTATTTCCAAAATTAAAATTAAAAAAATTTTTTATTCAATTGGTTAGGAATGCAAACATGTGTTTTGTCTAAGGGAAAAATAAAAATTTTGAATCCAAAAACAGGCAAAAGTAAAAATATTTTTAAAATTTACCGAATAAATTTTGTTTGTTTGTTTAGTTGTCCACTATTCAAACCATTTTTTCTTCTGTCCAATTTACTGGCCTTCCTTTCTCTTTTTTTCTGTTCCACTAATTTATCCTCCTCCAAAACATTAAATGATTATCTTCTTTCTTTTAGTTTTTTGATCGTCTTTATTTTGTGGATGAAAATAAAAAATATTTAAACAAAAATAAATATCCATCCATCTATACATCCCCCTCCTCTTTCCCCTCCATCCATTCATTTATTCAATTGACCATCACAAAAATGGTGGCGAGCTAATAATCCTTTTCTTCCTGACAAAATCGTTCAATCACAACTATTTAATACACACAAATACACGCTTTTTTTTAAAAAAAGGAAGAAGTTATCTACACACCAAAAATGTAATTGAGAGGAAAAAAATAATTTAAAAAAAAATTTATTTAGGAGGATTAAATAAAATAAACAATTTTTAAATATGAATAACTTTATTTAAGGTTATATCTCCACACAATCTATCAATCATTGCTTGTTCTTGCCAACTAATTAACTAAAAAAATAAATTTAAAAGATATATTTAAATATTTACTTGTGTATTATTATCTTGTGAATGATGTCTACTATTAATTAAAGGATTATTTAATTGTTTTTTTAAATCATTAGTAAATTCTTCTCTTTTTTCTTCTTCATTTTTAATATATTTATTGTCAGTTTCTTTTAATTTAAATTCCAAATAATGACTAACTGTCGAAGCAACAAAAGCATCCCCCAAAACATTTATACTCGTTCTAATCCTGTCAAGTAGCCAATCTGCAGTAATTACTAAAGGAATATCTTTTACAGGCAAACCAACAGTCGATAAAATAACAAAAATAGAGACTAAACCGGCTGGGACAGAATTTAAACCTAAAGAGGCTATTGTGGCTATAAAACTGTTTTTTAATTAAATTAATTAATTTTTAATTTAAATTACCTAACAGTAATTACTTCTGTCAAAGTTAAAGTTACATTATTTAATTGGGCTATAAAAATAACAGCAACAGCTTCGTATAAAGCATTTCCATCCTTTTTTAATTATTTTTTAAAAAATTAAAATTAATTAATAACCATATTTATTGTTGAACCTAAAGGAAGTACAAAACGAGTAATTCGACTGTCTATATTTAAATTCTCTTCCATACAACGCATCGAAACAGGCTTTTTAAATTTAAATTTAAATATTATTTAAACAAATTTAAAATAAATTTTCTCTAATTAAATAATTCCCTTCTTTTTTTTATTATAATAAAGGGGGGGGGGGGATGAACAGAGAAAATTTAAAAAATTATTTCTTTTTACCAAAGCAGCCCCTCCAGACGCCGTTCCAAAAGCAGTAACCAAAGCTTGTAACATCCCTTTAGCAACCTTTTAATTTTAATTTTAAATTTATTTATTTTTTAATTAAAAAAACTTTTAAAGGATTTTTTCTTGTAAATAAAAAATAAATTAGCGGCATTGTTAAAAATGTGTGGATAAATAAAGAACTTAAAACAGTAAAAACATAAAGAAGTAAAATTGCTGCTGTATCGCTTAACTTTAAAATTAAATAAATTTTAATTTTTTAATTTAAATTTTACATTAGTTAATTCAAGTAAATTTCCAGCAATTAAACTAACAATTCCTACTTTAAAAATTAATTAATTTATTTAATTTAAATAAAACAAACAAGGTGTTAACCACATAAATATACCAACTAATTGCATTATTACTGCCTTTTTAAATTAATTAAAATAATTTTTATTTTTTTCCTTTTTACCTCTAAAATAATAAAAAATTCAACAATAATTTTAGCCCTTTCACCCAATTGAGATATAACAATTCCAAATCCAGTACAAAAAACAATAATTCCTTTTTTAATTTATTCCTTTATTTAAATTTCCCCTTTAATTAACCTAAAATATTCATTCCATTTATATTTTCTATTTTTTTCCTATAAATTAAAGTAAAATCATTATTTTGGGACGAATTGTCTTGTTTTTTATTTCCAGTCCTTTTATTTAATGGAAAATAATATTTTGTTTGTGTTCTCTGCATTGTTGCTTGAATTACATTTTCTGGGAACATATTCCTTTAAATTAAAAATACTTATTTTATCCCCCCCCCTCCCTTAAAATTACCTAATAACATCCAAAAATGTGTCTAAAGGGGAAATTGGATTATGTTGAATTTCTAAATAAGCCAATTCTTGTTTAATCGCTGGATCACCTGGATGGATAACCAAAACAAGTAAAATACCTGTCTTTAAATAAATGTTTAAATTTTAATTATTTAATTCTACTACCATAGTAGCAAATAAAGTAGTTATTACATAATACCCAACAGTAAATAAACTCATTTGACCAGATTCTTTAGCATCCATTTGTGCTAATGCTTAATAAAAAGGAATTTTTGGGAAAAAGAAAAATTAAAAACCAGAAACAAGAGAAGAAAAAATTAAAGGTAAAATCATTAATTTCAAAACTTGCATAAATATTTCTCCTTCAGAACAAAAGAAAAATAATTTTTTAAAATAATTTTAACAAAAAAACCGGGAAAATTAATTAATCGAACAGATTCCTGACTTAAATTCATTCCACGAAAAGCAAATCCAATAATTAATCCAACAAAAACAGAAGAAATAGTTAAAGATAAAAGTAAATGTGTTTTGAATATTTTAATTAATCTTTGAAAAACACGCCGAATATCTAATAATAATTTAACAGATAAAAGTAGTTATGCCGGTATTTCTCTTTTAGATAATGCAAAAAGGTTATTTTAAGGAGACTTGAAGTGAACCAGCTTAACAGGATTGCTGTGTAAGATTAGCAGATCCTGAGAAATTTCCGTATATCCAATCCGAATATCCGATCTCTTTTTTGGGATCCGGATATTAAAATTAATTCAACAAACTTTTTTTATTTTTAAAATTTTCTTTTAACTTACTTGAACGTCTAGTAATTCGACGGATAATTTGTGAATGATTATTAGTCATTTGTTAACAAATATTATATATTTTAATTTTATTTAAAAAATTATTTAAATTTTTTTAAACAAAAAAGGGAGAAAGGGAAAGGAAACAATATACATACTTTTAATTCTTAAATAATCTTTTTTTCCTTTCTATTATCAAAATAGTTATATCGATCTATTTTCGGTAATACTTAACATTAGAAAATTGCTGCCAGACAAGGGAAAACAAAACAATTTAAAGAGAATAATTACTTTTTATTTTTTTGTTTTAAATAAAATTTTAATTTAATACAATTTTTAAATAAAAATATTTTTATTTCTTTTTAAACCATTTTGGCAAACAAGGAGCATTCTCTCTTGCTTTCTTACGTTTTATAATATCCTTATCTAATTGAGAATTGTTGTCTTCTTGAATATTTTTAATTAAATTGTTTTCTCCAATTAAATAATTTTGTGATTGGTAAATTGAATTATTTGATAACCTAAAAATAAAGAAAATTATTTTTGAAAAGGTACTACATATTCGGTTATCTCCCTATATGTCCGCAAATGTTTGTCCATAACTTTTTTCCTTGTTCTTCTCATAAAGATTAAAAAAAGGGGGAAAAACAAAAGACTTTCTAAACTTAATAATTATTCAACAGAAAATGATTATAGGAAAAGAGCCTTAAGCTATAGCGATAAGTACCTAGCTCTTTGTATTAGAACCATAACTCTCGGTGCTTAAACCCCTCTATTCCTTTAAAGATTTTATACTAAAACAATGCACCTATTACAAATATGTAGAGATGTGGGGAGATAATCGGATAGTATCATTGAAAATATTCTTAAGTAATTAAGTTAATCCTCCTAAATAAAGACAAAAAATTTTCTTTGTTCTAAAAAACCTTTTTTTAAGTGTTTTATAATTAAATTCTCTCCCTAAATAAATTTAAATAAACAAAAAACCAACCATTGTTTACTAATTAATTCAGCTTCTTCTTCAGAAATATTTTTAATATTTTTCGTATTATTTAACAATTCATCCAAAGAATTAAAAGTAATTAAATTATCAATTGGATGTATAACAATACAAGCTTTAGGTGCAATATTTGAATTTAAAAGATTTATTTGATTATTTTCTAATTTTTTCATCAAATATTTTAATTGAAATTCTCCAATAAATAAATGTTCAATTAAAAAATCGAATATATTAGAAACTTTAAAAAATAAAAATTAATTTAAAAAAATTATTTAAAAAAACCTGGTTCAATAGATAAAAACAATGCTTGTATTATATATTTTCCAAAAAGTTTAAAACGAATAACACAATTCTTCCAAGCATTTTCACGTTGTTTTTTGTTTTGTTCTTCCAAATATTTTCGAGGAATTAATGCTTGTTCATTGTTACTATTTAAAAATAAATATTAAATTTTTTTAATTTTTTATCAAATTTATATTTTCATTCTAAAATTAAAAAACCTTTTTTCAGTTAAAAGCTTTTGCATATTCGCCACATCTTGTGCTGTAATTTCAAAAAACTTATCGTCTTCAGAATTATCGGCAGCGATTGACGAATTTTCGTCTCTTAAAGAAGGTGGAATTAATTCAAAAATAACAGCATTTCTGTCAATTTGTGGAACATCCATTGGAATTTAAAAAATAATTTCTAACAATAAGAGAATTTTGAAGGGAAATGAAAAATAAATAAAATATGGTTTTTAATTTACCAATAATTAATCATTTAAATAAACAAAAAAGGTATTTTACCGGCAAAAAAAACAATAAAAATATATTTAAATAATTCCAGACCCGGTCACGGATAGTGATCTTAGTATCCATATCTGGATATTTACGGCGGATACAAGCGCATATCCGCAGGCATTTTGATATTATCTGTATCCATATCCATGACCAGGTCTGAATAATTCAATGTTTGCTACAAATAAGTACATAAAAACATTGATTGAAGTAAAAATACCAAATCAAAAAAAGAAATATAATTATTTTTATTAAATTTTTCTTTTATTTTTATAAATAGTCAATATCTATTATTAGCCATTCTAGCTAATGGCGATTCATATTCATTATTTTTTCGTTTTTCTCGAAGGCTAATAGTTGAAGAAGTAGAAACATTTTCCTCTTGTTGTTGTTGTTTTGGGGGAGATTCTGACCTTCTAATATTCTGTTGATTATGTTCTCGATAATGTTGTTGGTGGTGGTGGTGGTGATAATTAGTAGAATATCTTCCACGCCTTCCACGATAACCTAAAGAAATAATTAAAAAATTTTAGAAAAAGAAATAACGGTAATATTGAATCTGACAGCCCTCATTTTTTCCTCCCCAAGTCTTTTTCCTATCTACAGAAAGGTGACTTTTCTTCTTTCTTCCAACCCAATTGCCTTTCTATATTTTGCTTACAAACAATCAAAAGGAATTAGTTTTTTCCCCAACGGATGGAAGGAAAGAAAATTAAGATTGAAGAAAGGAAAATGTCTGACCATTCTGTAACTATGTATTAGGAAAAACCTTGGGGAGGAAAAAATGGGGCCTGTCAAGTTCATTATTGCCGAAATAACCTCTAGAATATTGATATGATGGAAAAGACGAAGTTTCCGAATGTATTTTTTCGAAAGAACTATTTGAAGATTTAGATGGATCAATTGAAGAAGAACAAGGTAATTGTTCAGTATTGAATGTTTGAGCTTCTAAGTTTTGATGGGAAGATGTTACAATCTGATTGATTTGTTGATATGTTGATGGGGGAGGTGTAGAAAAATTTTGTGGTAATTGTTGTTGTTGTTGTTGCAGTGAAAAGGGAGGAGGTGGAGGAGGAACAGTAAAAAATTGATTTCCCATTGGATTTCCTTTAAAATAAATTTTTATTTTAAAAAATTTAAATAATTTACCCGGTAGAAAAGCAGGTGGTGGTGGTAATTGAAAGTTTATAGTAGGTGGAGGTAACCCCAATTGTTGACGAATACCTAATTGTGTTGAAAACAATTGAGAGGATTGTTCACAATTCTGCTGTTGTTTAGCAGCTGCCTCTAATGCAGCCATTTGCTTTTTAACTAATTCCGCCTCATCTAAAGAAGATGTTGAAGATATTCTAAAATTTGGAGTTTTATTAATGCAGCTTTGTTTGGCTGAAAAAAATAAAATTACCCAGATATTTCCCGCTTTCTTCGAGGGTCTTTTGTACGAGGATCTTGCAATCCAGTTTCATAATTAATATCACTGATAGCTTCACGTTTTTCAATCTCCTTTTTAATTTGTTCTGTTGGAGTAAATATTCCTTCATTAAAATTATTTTTTTGTTGATTTGCTTGTTGTTGTTCCAATGTTTTCGAAACTAAATCAAATTGTTTTTCTGCAATTTTTCGTAAACGTGGATCAGAATTAGATGAAGAAATTTGCTAAAAACAAAAATATTTAAAATTTAAATAAAAAATATACCTGAACTAATTTTATATCAAAATGCATATCAGAACATTCAGTTAATGGTGACAAATCAACTAAATGCAATTTCCATTCACGAACTACTGGAATTAAAGCTGCAGGTTTATCTTCATTTTCTTGTTGATGTTCAGGAGCAAAAACAGGAGAGGCGGGTGACTCTTTAAATTAAAACAAAAATAATTTTTGAATATTTCTTTAAAAAAGTATAAAAATGATTAATAAATTATCTGAGTTTTCGTTAATGTTTTTATTGTTTTTTTTAATTTTTAAAATAATTTTTATAAAAACCTTCAATAATATTTGTTGTTGAATCCGAAAGTTCAACATTTGCAAGTAAATCCAAAGTATTTGTTTCCTCTCGTTTAATATTTGTTATGGCAATAGGGGGTTGTGGAGGGGGAGGGCTATTTTGTTTAGTTATTTGTTCAAGCATTTGGTTTATATTAAATCCTCCAGTATTTGTTGCTGGTTTTAATTCAATTTCTTCTATTTCTGTTTTAGTAATTAATTGTTGTTGATCTTCAATATTTGATTGAGAAACTTCTTTCTTTTTTGGAGGAGGTGGAGGAGGAGGAGAACGTTGTAATGAATTATCTCGAAAACCTCCTTTTGCTGACTGTTTAAAAAATTTAATTTTATAATGCAAAATTTATAATGCATAAAATCCGGTCTATTTTAATAAACGAAGAATTAAAAATACCTAGTCAAACAAAAATTATAATACATAAAGATAAAAATTGGATAAAATATCCTACCGTAGGCCCAGTCTGTTGTGACTGCTGAAGAATTGCTGTAAGCATTGCTTGTGCCTGTGCAGCAGCACTCGAAGGACCAAGCAAAGAAGGCTGATGAGGAAAATGTGGACCAGCAACTTGATGGACTTGTTGTTGTAATTGTTGAAATGATGGAGGAGGTTGTGATTGTTGGGGAGGTTGATTGGAAGGTGTTGTTTGTGTTGATACTGGATTGAAGAACCCAAAAGTAGCAGATGATGATGAACTTGCAGGCAAAGGAAGAGGACTTCCACCACCGTAAAATTTAAAATTATTAGAAAGATTTAAATAGGTGTATAAAATGAGGATTTAAATTTTAATACCGTATTTCCTAAAATAGTACTCCCGGGAGTACTATTTTTCAACCCTCCTCCAAAGGGGAGTACTATTTAAGGGGGGAGTACTAATTCAGGGGGGAGTATTATTTTTCAACCTACCTCCATGATTTATCTTAGGAAAATTTGTCTCAAAATTTTAAATGTTTAAATCAATTAGAGTTCGTAATTTGAAAAATGCCGGATCCAAATTTGGATTTTCAAGAAATGTGGATTCCAAATTAGTATAAAATTGAGCAACTTGCGAGACTTTTAAACACAAGTGACTTAAAATAGGGTTATTGAGGGAAAGCAAAAAGGATATTAGTGGATTTGGAGTGATATCCAGGGGTATAATGGGATTTTAAGCGATTAAGAGATATCGATAGATTAAGTTGGATGTCGAAAAAATTATCAGGATTGAGAAGGATATTGACGTTTTAGCGGATTAGTAGGGATGCCAGGTAATTTTTGATTAAAAGCGATATCGTGAGATTTGAGGGGATAAAGTTGATATTAAAATATAATAAAATGATTATCAATAATAATAAAATGATATTAATAAAATGATTATCAATTAATTTTTTGGGATATAGTGGAAATATCTCTGTCTAGGAATTTATCAGGGGGTTAACTAGTCTCGTGTGTATCCCTCTATTAACTAATCTCATAGGGTTAACTAATCTTGTGTGTATTCCCCTCAAATCCCTTCATCAAACCTTAATCCAATGATATCTTTTAAATCCTACTTGATCAATCCAGAACCCATTTTATCATCAGATATCAATCCCTTTATATCCCCCAAAATCCACTTTTACCCCACCAATTAACCGGATTGTATTTCTTTAATCTCCGAAAAATTTTAGGTTAAAATTTCAGTTCGTTTTCGGTTAACCGAAGGCTTTCCGGTTTTGTTTATCGGAGAATCAAGTGAAACCGACAACGCTACTTAGAATAAATAAAATAATTCAATGAGTCTCTTTTTATTTTTTCAAATATAGGAGAAAAATTTTTAGGGGGGAGTGCTATTTTAGGGGGAGTACTAATTCAGGGGGGAGTACTATTTTTCAACCCTCCTCTAAAGGGGAGTACTATTTAAGGGGGGAGTGCTAATTCAGGGGGGAGTACTATTTCAGGAAATACGGTATATTTGTCAAGAATAGTCTCTTTTACTTGTGAATGTATGCCTTGTTTATAGAAAAGTAAAATACAAGAATTATATTTAATTTAATAATAACCTAGGGGCGGAGGCATAACAAGTCCAGGTGGAGGAATTGATGGTTGTTGTTGCTGTACACATATTCCTCCAGTTTCCTCATTGAGCATACTTAAAATTAAAAGTATTTGTTAAAATTAAAAATAAATTACTTTATTTCAGAAGATCCTTGATGTAAATTTTCAGGTGAAAGTGGATGTCCAGGAATAGAACTTTCATTCAGTGAATGTTGTTGCTTTTTAAAAAATGGCTGTTGTTGAGGTGGCTGTGGAGCACCCAACCCAATTTGTTGATGTGGATTACGATGAAATTGACGCTAATATTTATTTAAAAATAAAAGAATAAATTTCAAAAAATACCTGAGGTGCCTGTGGGGCTTGCGATTGAGGGAAATTCTGACCACCAATTTGATCATGATAAGGCCCTTGAAAGCGCGGACGAAAAAATGGACGAATACCTCTACCCATATGTGGAGTTTGTTGTTGTGGAACATCAAAACGTGGATGCTGTTGTTGTGGTGGACGTGTTAATCCAAGTTTTTCTTCTTCGAGTATCTTTATTGAAATAAAAATATTAAAAATTAAATGAAATACATACTTTGTCCATAATTGGTCTGCTAACATCATCCAAAGGTTCATGAGAGAAAGAACCTTTAAAAATTGATAATTAAAATTTAAAAAAAAGTACATTGTTCCTTAGAACATTCTCCTTTATGAAAAGCTTTACAAGGCCATTCACCATGCATTAATTGACAAAAAAGTCCCTTCAAAATTCCAAATATTTATTTAAAAATAAATATAAAAACCTTTTTGCAATATCCTTGTTGGTAGTATCTACATAATTCCGGTCGACGATGAGAATCACCAGTTAAATGACTAAAAGTACATTGATCACCATCACGACAAAACCCCTCACGGAAGAATTTGCAAATTAAACGGGGAAAGAAGGGACGTCCACCTCTATAACCCCATCCTTGTGTTCGCCCTCCTCTTCCACCTCTATCTCCTCCAGAATAAAATTGGTGAGGGAAATCCCCTTCCTCACCACCTCTGTGTGACCGAGAAGACCAAGGACCATTTTCATCGTATGGAGGAAAATTCTGAAATGGAAAATTATCAAAAATTAAAGAGAAAAATTAAAAATTTACATCAAAGTTTTCATCTTTTTGTACAAATCCATCTCCACTAGGCGGCCCCGCACTTCCATAAAATGGACGATAACGTTTTGCAGCACTTCCATAAGGAGTATCAAAATCTTCTGATTCATGCGGGAATTGTGATCTGGCAGATATATTAACTGGTGGACTTTGTGAGCGATGACGTCTAAATTTTAAATAAAATGAAAAAATTTTTGATTAAAAAATGTTTGAGAGAAATAACGGAAACAATTTGCGATACATAATTATTTACAATAATTTCAACTCCCGACAAGCCCGAAAGGTTAATATCATAAACAACAATACCGTATTGCATTATTGTTTACGATTTAATTAGTAAACCAACAACTTAAATTGCACTGTCCCTCATTCCGCAGGACTTTCAGTTTATTGTTCCCCCTCTCTCTTTCTCTCATTCTTTTACCTTTTATTTCCTTCAAATTGTCTCTCTTCTGAGAATCCAAGTGAAGGTGATGTTTGGCGATTAAAATGTGATTGTTGAATAGAAGAACGTCGAAAATCATTATCATCTGAGTAATGTTGAAGATGAGGACTTTGTTTATCTTGCGGAGATGGACTTTCAATTGTATTAGAATCTATTCCTCTAAAATCTTTATCATCATCAATTTGTTGTTGTTGGGTTACAGAAATTTCTGTTTGTTTTTTTAATGGCAATTGTTCAGAAGATTTGCTAAAATCTTTTTCTTCGTCTTCTTCAATCATTGGTGATGTTCTAATTGGGGATATATCCCCTCCACCAGATGGGGAATTCATTCGACCTCCTCGACGAGAATTGTAATGATGGGGATTATGAATACCTCCACGAATACAAGCATTCCAGGAATCAAGCATTTCTTCCTCTTGTTGGTCATTATTTCTCTAAGAAAAATTTGAAATAATTTTTTTTAATATGTATGTAGGGTAGGGATATATTTTTTAAAAATTTCCCCCAATAATTAATTATTTTTTATATTTAAATATTTTCTCTCGATTTTATTTTCCCTCATTTCTTTTATAATTATTCATTTATTTCTAAATTTCTTTTTTATTTTTTCTTTTTTTATTTTTATTATTTCTCTTCATCATTTTCATTATTTTTTAAAATTCCCTCGAAGTTTATCAACTCAATTTTCCCTCGAAATTGACTCAACCCCCCCCCCCTCCCCCTCCCCAATTCTCTACCATTGCAACACGTCCATCAAAATCACGATAACGAGCATTTGAATCATTCCCACCCCTTGAAAATCTACTACTACCAATTGAACCACGTCCACTTCCCCCATGATGACCGCCAGAAAAACCGAAAGCTAAAGAATAAATTTAAGTTTTTATTTTTTTTTCCAAAAGAAAATTTTACATTTCCGCCAAGAACTACTTCCCCTTTGAAATTCAGACTTTAATTGTTGTTCAGAAGATTGTAACGAAGAAGAATGATTTAGAGACGATTCTTTATTTTCTTTTATTTTTTCTATTTCTGATATTTTTTGTTTTATTTCCTTTTGTTGTTTTTCTTCTTTTTTAATTATTATCTGATTTTTTTCCTCTTCATCATCCATAATTTCCCCTTCTTCAGGTTCACCTTCCCCAATAGCTTCAATACTTTCTTTATCTTCTTTTATAAATTCTTCTTCCATTTTTTGTTGAATAAATTAAAAGAAAATATTTTAAATAAATGAGCAAAAAAAGAGAAATCTAAAAAGGAAGAAAAAAAAATTTAAAGAATAATTAAGGAATTAAAAGTTTAATTAATTATGTTTATATTTTCCTTTCCAAATTTAAAAATTGTCTTAAATAGTATTTAATGTTAATAATATTTTACTCCAAATATTTTTGTATATCCAAACATGTATTACACTCTATATATTTTTTATTATTTCAAAACTTTAAAATTCTTCCTTAAATGAAAATATCCGAAATAAAGCTAAGAAATGATTTTAGAATTAAAAATATTGTCAGAATTTAAAATGTTTTAATAAAACTTTAATAAAGTTGTTTTTAATTAAAAATTAGAAATAATTATTTTTAAATAAATTCCAACAAAAAATCCTTTTGGGGGATTTTGGGATCTACATTGCTTTTAAATAATTTCCTTGGCGCAATAAAAATTAATTTGGCATTATGAAATTTTAAAATTTAACGTCTCATATGTAAAAGCCGGGACTAATTATGTGAATATGTATTACATGAATAAAGTTATTAAAAATACTGTTAAAATAAATTAACTGAAGGAAAGCATTTTATGAAAAAAATTTTGCCAGCATTTTGAAATTCAAGAAAATACGGACTGAAACGGGAATTAATTTTTTGGAACACCCATTTACAAATAGGTAATTAAGTTAACAAATATAGTATATTTATATATGTACTTCTGTTGACTTTCCCCTCTATCTAAAAAATTTCTAAAGTTAAAGTATGTATATTCTTTATAATATTCTTTCGCTTTCTCTTAAAATATATTCTCTTCCCTCATTTATGTGTACCAGAGGTGGGTCAACAAGGGAAATGACGAAGGTGCCGGAAATCGGAACTGTCGGAAATCGGAAATGCCAGGCGATAAAATGCCATAAAATAAAATGTCAACAAATAACATTTATTAAAATGGACAACAAGGATGTAGAGCGGCAAGTTATGGTGCATAATTGGATTTGGTTGGATATCGGGAGGCGAATTTGGTCGAAAAACGTCGGAAAAAATCGGAATTCCGACCCACCTCTGGCGTGCACCTCATGACAATTCTTTGAAGTTAGAGGAAAATCAACAAAGTATGTATTATTTAACAGAATATCATGCGCCTTATTCATTAAATACTTAATACTAAAACTTCAAATTAGAAAGGATGGGAGCCCATAACGCCGCCATTTCCCCGCCAATTTGGATTAAAATTTTCCCCTTGCCAAACATTCCGAATAATTCATAATATCATTCGAAAGCTTTTTATACGCAAATTCCTCATCTTCATGGATCTTACGAGCTTAAAATCCAACAGAAAGCAGTATGTATATTTTAGATAGAAATGGTTGCTAAATAAATTATGTACATACGCTTCGAAATGATGAAAATGCGGTGGTTAGATGTCCGAATTTTACGCATAATATGCTTACAAAAATTTAACCATATACCTGCGATCTCGAAGTTGAAATATTTAAAAATAAAAAATTAAAGAAATAATATATAGTAAGTTAAATCATCGACCTAAGCCTTACTCCCCAACCCCAAATTTACTTAAAATGCCATAAAATTTCATTTATGTAAAACTCTTGATCCAAACATTAAAATCTGATCAAATTTTTATTTTTTAAGTTTTTATAGTAGTATTTCATTTAATTTTATTAATTTTTAGAAGATTTTCGGCGGGTTTCTCCATAAACTAAAGTAAGGACACAACTATTTTCCAACGATATTCGACAACGTTATGGTGGGCGATGTGAAGCAGGATGATAAACAAGCCTCTGCATACACAACATTTTTGGTTGCGTCCCCATTAATGTGACTAGTGAATGTATGTATGACACTATACTATTTAATTTTTCTTTTCTCTAATATTTAAAGCTTTTATGTACATTTCCATGGCGGTAGCGAGCGAAAAAAGTATTAGTGCGCCTGGTCAATCGATATTCAATTACATTGTTTAAAAAAATTTACGAAAGAGATGGAGTGGTTCACCGTAAGACAATTAGTCGAATAGAACTTAAGAGTTAGTCAGGGATCGACCGCAGCGAAGTTAGGAATAGGCTTATCGACTGAAAATCAGTATGGAATAAAATTTATAAAAAATTAAGTGCCTGATAAAAAATGTGGAACTTATGCAGATTAGGAACACACCTCCATTTGTTCGCAAGCTCAAAATGGTCAAAGTAAAACTATAGGAGCCGGCGAGATGCTTGTTCAAAACCCCGCGCTTCGCGCGGGGTTTTGCGGCACGCGTTCGCGGGAATCAATGGTTGCACGGGTTGTACGCAGCATCACAAGCCTATTGTTAGCCTGCGGATAAATGGGTGATTGGCGAATAATTGGGGGTAATAATGGGGTAGGGGACGACTCAGAGTCGCCGATTCAGAGTCGCCGATTCAGAGTAGCCGATTCAGAGTAGGGACAATTCAGAGTCCGCCGATTCAGAGTAGGGACTATTCAGAGTAGCCGATTCAGAGTACGTGGAAAAGGGGACGATTCAGAGTACATAGAATAAAATACCCTAAAAATCGAAATTTTTGGAAAGGAATTGATTTATTTTTTTGCTTTTTATTCTTTTTTGTTTTCTTTTATTGTTCTAGAGAGAAAATCAACAATTTGCACAACCAACGGCAATTAGTTAATGGAAGAAATTAATTTTTAATAAAAATTTAAAATTTTTAAAATTTTCTTTAATTTTTCAAATTTCTCCAAATTCCTGCAAAAACTTACAAAAACTTAAATCGATGAAGTTTCTACTCTATTTTGCGAGGTTTTTTAAAAGAATTTTTGTTTTATTTTTTGAAATTTTTTTGTCCCCAAACGGCCCTCCTTAGGGCCACAAATTTACTAAGTTAAACGAGGACAATGACTACTATTATTTATTTTTTGATAAATTTTTGTATATTTGAATCATTTTTTAATAAAAATTTTATTCCCTGAAGAAAAAAAGTTGAGGCCAAAACTTTACCCTAAGGTCGTTAACGCCTAAGAAAAGCCTAGAGTTAACAAGCGGCTAGCCTTTAAAATGTTCCTCAGATCGTAGGATGTAAGAAAAACCAGAAAATTCCCAAGAAAACCTGATTTTCTATGACCGAAAATTTATGTACTCTGAATCGTCCCCTTTTCCCCGTACTCTGAATCGGCTACTCTGAATTGTCCCTACTCTGAATAGTCCCTACTCTGAATCGGCTACTCTGAATCGGCGACTCTGAATCGGCGACTCTGAATCGACCTTTTCCCGTAATAATGGGATTGTTTTGCGAATAAATGGGGTGTGTATGTAAACTTAAGTTCCAGATCATAGATAAAAAAAGTGTTAGTTAAAATCTGAGTTTAAATTCGTGATCAGCCCCAAAAATTACCCTAGAAAATATATTTGTTAGATTTTTAAATTTATTTTTGGTAGGGACCACAAAACCGAAGGATTGCCGCGATTGTGAGACTGTTAACTCCGGGTCCATTTCATAAAGGTTACTCACAAAAAGTTAATAAACCAAAAGGTCAACCAAAATATTTTATTGATTTCATCTATGTATGTAGAATGTGCTCAATCTTTTGATTTCTTCAAAATGATAAAAGAATTGATACGAAAATAAAATCCCTGTTACTCCGAGATTTATATTTTTAATTTTGTACATGTTTTTGGAATATTAAATAGACCCGAATTACACCATACTGTTTTAAAGACAATTTTTTGGTAATTTATTTAATATTTAAACTTTTTATAGTATATTTGCATTATTCATGGAAATATGGAAATGAATAAGAAAATAAAAGGAATGAATAATTCAAAGAAAAAAAACAAACAAAGTTTTTTGAATATATCTTGATATAATTTTTGGAGAAATTTATATAAAGAAATGATGCTTCTAAAGCGTTTATGTGATTTATTTTAAAGAAAGAATGTATAAATACTTGACCGGCCATATATTCTTTTAAAATTATTTTGCAATTTAAAATATAAAAATAAATATACTTTTTAGTTTCCATTTTTAGGAAAGAATTTTTTAAAAGAGGAATTTAATACTTAATAATAAAATAATTTTTATTTTTATGTTCAATTTCCATTTGTCACTTCCCGAACGTTTGGCATAAAGTCACGGGCCATAAGACAAGCAAAGACCGTCATAACCATTTTTGATTTTACCTTAAAAATTATTTTAAAGAAATCTTTTTTTTAAAAAAACCTCCACAATATCCTCTGGCAATGCATATATTTTTGCTCCAATTTTTCTACCAGCAGTTATTGCATATTTTGCATTATCCAAATTATTCTTTGAATATTTAAATTAATTTAAATAAAAAATTTTTAAAATTAACCTGACTATTTCCATCACATTTGACAATATTATAGTCAATCGTGCCTGGTTTTATCGCTTCAATTAAATCAAGAAAAATACGAGCATTTGAAATAGACGGGTCTTGGAAACTTTTTAAACGATTTGAATTTCCAACAGATTCCAATTTTTGGTTTACCCAAGCAATTATTTCCTAAAAAGGAAAAAAATATTTTATAAAATTTAAAAAAAAACTTTGTCAGTTGCCATTGATTCCTCACTTTGTGTACATTTAGCCAATATAGTTAAAGTATATGCACGCATTAATTGCCAAACAAGTGCTAAATAATTTAGAAAAAACATTTTACAAAAAAACCTAAAGTCAAAGTCGGATTAGCATCATAAATATCCTTTCCTTGAATTCCAACCAACGAAAATCGAAGTTGTTTTCCTAATTCAACAGCATAATTACAATTCTGAATTTGATCCATCATTCCTCGAATTTTATGGAATTTTTGAACAACAACCTTCCAATTAACTATTCCTGGACGAATTGCATCATATAACTATAAAAATTAAAATATTAAGAAATAAAATTTTAAAGAATAAATGTGATCCCAGAATCAAAGAGAAGAGTATTCAAAAATGTTTAAAAATTCTTTTAAAAACCTGAAAAATAACTAATCCATTCTGTAAATCATAATAAATATAATTAACAAAAGGATCAACACCAAGACTGTTCATCCAATTTCTATAAGTTTTCTCTTCACGTGTCTCTTCTTGAATGTCAGTAATTTCAGCTGGAAATTTTAAATTTTTACAAAAAATATTTAAAAAAAACAAACGTATTTCGTCAGCTCCAGGTTCAGGCAATCCCGGGTATTTATTAAATAAATTAGCAACAAAAGCCAAATTCAATTTATAATTTCCTTTGCAAACATCTTCTGCAGTCACAAATTCTCTACAGTTTATTTTATTTGCCTCGGAAAGCATTGAATTTGCACGTCTTATATCATCATTTTGTTGTAATGGAGCTAATGAAACACCCGCAGATTTAGGAGCAATTTGATGAAGTAAATAAGTATAAATTTCAGAATCGGAAATGTCGGTTGTAAAATTAGCAAGACGACGTTGAATTCCAGCCCTTTCAAGATGATAATTAACCCATCGGATTAAAATCTGTTCCGGCTTCAATTTTCTCAAATCATCAAGTGTTTCACCTTCTTGTAAAAGTCTAAATAACCCAGGAACGTGTACAAGATCAATTTCTCGAAAAAGGCCAATCTATTTTTAATTAATTTAATTTAAAAAAAACAACCAAACAAACCCTAATTATTTGCCATAAAAGACCAAGAACCAAATGAGGCTTCCCTTTAGATAAATCATCACCATCAATATTAACAATATTACAACCAATTGCTTGGGCAGACATTAAAGCCAAAGTAAGATTCTCCAATCGAGTATAAGTATTCAAATTTGTTTTGTTAAGACAACGTTCATCAATTGTTTCTGGTACAGCCAAATTAATCATTTTGCTTTAAAAATAAAATATATGCAAACTAAAAAAGAAAAGGAAAATCTGTTAAAGATAAGGGGAAAATATCTCAAATATTTTTATTATAATTTTAAGCCAAAATTCTCATTCCACACAATTTAAATATTAAAAAAACCCATTTCCTTACCAAATAATTAGTCCATCACGAATTTTCGTGTAAAGATCGCCCCCCTCCGGATTGACTGGGAGAAGTGATTTCAAATCAGAATCCTCTGACAGACTACTATTTATCCAATTAGAAAATGCCAATTCTTCCTCAACTCGAATTGTATGAACAATTTCATCGGCTCCATGTTCGGCCATCCCCTGAAGTTGATAAGCCCCAGTAACACTTCCAATTCGATTCTTCCATCGCGAAATTTCTGCATTTCGTTGTGAATCAATTTCATCAAAAATAATAATAAATTTATCATAACTTATTTGTTTATTTCCAGAATTATAACGCTCTAATAAATCTCTGGCCTAAAAAATTTTTTTAATTATTAAAAAAAATTCATTTCAAATATATTACTTGATAACCAGGTACATCAATTCCAAGAATTTTCAAAGCTCCATTTAATTCATCATTTGTTATATATCCACTACCCCCATTTTGTATTAACTAAAAAAACAAAATAAAAATTTAATAAAATAAAATTAGACACCGTTGGATAGTGCTCCTTTAATTGCTCAATTTGATCATTGGAAAAAGGCATATCTTTGTTTAAAATAATTTGATAATTAAAAAATAAATCTGAAAATTATTGGTAAATAATGTATAAATGTCGACGGAATTTTTCAGAATAAGCTACTATTGCCCCCCCCCTCTCCCAGACCATATTCGGAATCCAAAGCAACACGAAAGAAAATAGATTTTTGTAAACAGAAACAAGTTTTTCGAATAAATACTTGTAAAATACATGTATATTTTGTGATATGTAAAATAATAAATAGAAACCCAACTTAATAAGAAAAGTGAAAAGAAATATACTAAAGACAAAAATGGCCATAAATGCATCCGGGATGTCACAACAAAAGATATATTTATAGATTTATATACACGTTTATATTGTGGTTTTATTAAATAGAAAGCTGACCGGGAATTTTAGTTTAATAAAAAAAGGGAGAGAAATGTTTAAAAATATTGAGTAACGGTTGCATTCCAAAAATATGTGAAAAAGAGAGAGGAGGACAATTTGGCGAAGTTATTTATTTATTTACTATTAGTCAATATTTATTTTTGAAAGAACAAAGATGATCTCTCAAAAAATGAGTTTAATTAAAATGTTGAATCATTGGGGTGAAATGAATTTAAATGAAGATATAAATATTATGTAAATAAAATAGATGAAAATTAAATGAAAAAATAAACGAAAATAAATGAAAATTAATTAATTTCCATAGTAAATAAAAATTACAAGGTTTAGGGGGATTTACCTAAAAACTAAGGGAATTTGTTGAAAAAGAAAAATTTAAAAATAATAATTTGTTAAATTAAATACAACGGTGTCACCCATTTTAATGTTTTTAAAGCACCCATTAACGTGTACAGAGAAAATCTGTAAAATATTTTTAAAAAAAGCGTTAGCACATCCTCATCGTTCGTTAATCCTTCAAAACACTTTTCTCTCCTTTGCTGATCTCTTCATATATTTTTTTTGTTAATCCATAAATAGACCGACAGGAGCTACTTTTTGCTTAATGCTTATATATGCTCTTACAATAATGGCGCGCACATTTCCTTCATTTTATTTGAAAACAAAAATTCATTAATGGCTCTTTAAAGTAAATTAAAAAGAAAAAATAAAGTAAAGAAAAACAAATCAAAATGTATAAACAAAAAATCAAAATGTTTAAATTTTTTTCTCTCATTTTTTACAAAAATTTTTAACTATAATAATTCATTTATTTTTGTACATTCTTCTTCCTTCTCCAATTCTTCATCAAAATCACCAGTCACAGATTCCATTTCCACGTCAGCCTCGTCTTCATCATCTTCACTATCAAATGATGACCTATCATCATTGGAGGAAATAAGTGTTTTTTGTTGTTTTTCTGTGTTATTTTTGTTGGCAATTCTTCTATTCATTTCTAATAATGAATAAGCACCTTTTGATGTTTTAACCTTTTTCTTTAATTTCTTTTTAATTTTTGACGAGTTTTGAGTATTTCCTTTACCTTTTTTAAAATAAAAAAAATTTCAAAAAATAAAAGATTAACCATTAATTGAACTTCTATATTCAATAATTTGCCTTTGACGCCCTTCTTTTTGAATTTTGAAAAATAAAATTAAAAACAATAAAAAAGCAATTGAGAAAAGTCCAATTTTGAATGAAAAGGAAGGAGAAATATCTAAAAATAATTAATTAGAATATTTTTTAAAATTTCAAAAGAAAAACTTTGTTTCCAAAAAATAAATTTCCCAATTAATTCTCCAAAAGATAAAGAAAGAATATAACAAAAAGAAATATCCAAATGTGAACATTTTGAATAATTAATATACCAAACATAAAGAAAAAGTGGAAAATTAGAAGAAAATGACTAAAAAAGAAAATTAAATTTAAAAAAAATTAATTTCCTTACCAAAATTGCCAAATCAAAAATATTACTAAAATGCTCAGGTAAACTTAATTTAAGTAAAATACTGGAAGTAATTAAAATAAAATACAAAAAATAAAATAAATTTGAGCGTATTGAAAGATCCGGCCTGAAAAATAAAAATTAAAAAAAATAATTCTTTAAAAATTACCAAAAAACAAAAGGAAGTCTAAATATTAACAAAAATAACCAAAACAAAACATTTTGAATATTTTCAAAATTATTTTCTTTATTAAAATAAATAGAATGTTGAGCAATAAAGGAAGAAGTAAAATGTAAAGTCATAATAAAAAATAAAAGAATTTGACAAATAAAAGATGTAGATACTTGTAACTATTTAAAAAAATTAAAAAAAAATTTTTTAAATATACCTCATTAAAATAATTATTTTTTGAAATTTTTTGTTGAGGAGACCCTAAAGGTTGACCAAGAAAACAACAAAAACCAAACAAAATTGGCAAAACAAAAATTAATAAAATAAATAAAAATTCATTGAAAAATAAATATTTAATGAAAATAAACTTAAAGAAAAAAAATTAATTAGAATAATTAATTATTTAAAATAATAAAACCTCTTCCAAAAAATTTTCTGTTTTGTTGAGTATTTTTATTTGTTTTTCATTAATTTCAGAATTATTTAATAAATTATTTTTTTCCAAATTAATTTGAATTGAAGAAGATAAAAAAGCACAAAAAGCAATAAATGAATAAACAATAAAAATAACACGGCCAAAATTAATTTTCCAACGTGGAATAATTAATAAAATAACTTTACAAAAATAAATAATTTCTAAAAAATATTTAAAAAACCTCTTTCAATTGTTGCAATTAAAAATGATTGACTAGCATTAAATAAAATAATATTTAAATAACCAAAATTTAAAATTTTTTCGCTTTTATCAATCAAAAATAAAGCAAAAATTGTTACAAAAGTTAGCATCACAGAAAGTAAAAGAAAAAATGAATTTAAATTAAATTTAAATAAACTGAAGGTTGCTGAAAAAAAGAAAGTTTTAAAAAAAATTATTTTAAATAAAAACCAAAATAAGAGCCAAGTAAAATAAATATTGAATTAATTAAAATCTAAAAAATAATTTTAAATAAAGAATTTATTTAAAATATTTACATTAATTCCATCAAAATTTGTTTCAAAATTTGATTCTTTTAACGTTAATGAAAATCCCTAATTTTATTTTTAAAATAAATAATTTAAAAAAAATACCAAAAATCCAGCAGCAGAGAGAAGAGAAATAAATTCACAAAAATTTGGATTAGAATGGCAATTATTGTTTGAAGAATAAAAAATTGTTTGGTCCTTTTTTGTTTCAGAAGATGACTAAAATTAAAAAAATATATTTTATATTTAAAAAAAAACAAACAGTTTTGTTAATAAAATCTTTATCTTCATCTGTGCTGCTTTCACTCAAAGAAATTTTATTTAAAGCAACATTTAATGAAACTCGATGAAATTTACGTTTCTTGTCAACAAACCGATTACTTTTAATTTTTGTTGTTAAATTATCATTAGGAGTTTCGCGTTCAAGAATTCCTAGTCGACTAAGAATATCAACTTCACAATTGTTTTCAACTCGCATATTTAAATATATCTAAATGTCAAAAAACTTAAAACAATAATCGGTAATAGGTCGTTTCCGGACCCCTTTTTCCTCCACAAGTTTATTTCTATATACACAGAGTCTGACTTTTTCCTTTCTTCCAAACAAGGGGGAATAAAACAATCCTTTTTGATTGTTTGTAGGCAAAAGGCAAGTTCGATGGAAGAAAGGATAAAGTTTGACCATTATCTGAATGAATTAGAAAAACTTGGGCTAAAAAGTAGGACCGGAAACGACACTATCATCCAATAATCCTATATCAAATTTTAGAATTCCTATTTTGTTTGTTTGTGAGCAGCTTTGAATTTTGTGAGACTTTTGGCGCTGTGTTTGGCATTATGTTTATTTTTGATTAAAAATGACAGAATGCCCAATTAAAGAAAATAGTGTGTATTTAGAGACACATTTGGACATTTAGCGTAATGTCCAAATGTCAAAAATGCCTTTCTCGAAATGTCCACTTGTTAAAACCCCCGAAAATTTTGGAATTCTGATAGTTTGTTTATTGATTTGTGTTTTTGACACGTTGATTAATTTACTTTTATTTTGATTAATTTTATTTTAATGTCACAATTTTAGATATTTGAATGCAATATTAAATGTTTATTTTTGCATTATTCGCTTTATTTTTCCCATTTTATCAGGCGCAACAGACAGAACTCACATTGTTCGATGGATTAAAAGTTGTTTCAGCGACAAGAAATGTAGATATAACATCACAAATTGTCAAGGTTTATTTAAATAAGTTTAACTTTATAATTATTAACAAACAATTTTTACCCTTATTTTTCAACCTGTTCACTTTAATGTTTTAGGTTAAGACAGAGTTTGAATTAAAAAATGAGGGAAAGGAGGATGTTTCTTTTTTTGTAAATGTCATTACTGAGGACGAAGCAAAACATTTGTCTTGGATGGTTGCTTTTGAAACTGGGAAGGAAACAGGAAAATTCCGTGTCTCACGTGTAATTTTGCAAATCATTAAAACTCAATCAATTTTTAAAAAAGGCTAAGGTGAAAGGTGCGCCAGATGGTTTTATTTTCCACAAATTGGAGTTGCTTAATCTTTTATCGACTGGTTCTGCAATTAAAGTTACTGTTGAATATGCATTGACTGAATATTTAGTTCCACATCCCAAGGAAATTATTCAATCTGAAAATCAGTAAATTTTCTTATTTTTGGTTTATTTTTACGCTAATTCATTTTAGGCTTGTTCTTTATTCGGGATTGGCAAACATCCCGTCAGCGTATTCGCTATTGAAAGAGACGTGTATTTACAAAGTCGGTTCTGTTCAGCCTATTGCTTTTACTGATGTTTCTTTGAGCAAATATGCATCAGGCAAAATCACTTATGGACCTTATGAGAATTCCAAACCTTATACGAAGGTGCTAATTTTATTTAAAATTTTAAAATATTATAATTAGAAACCGATTACTATTCATTGTGAAAATAATTCTCCTTTCCTTGTTGCCACAAAGGTTGATCGAGTTATCGAGGTTTTTTAAACACAAATTGATTTAAAAGTTTAATAATTTTTTTAGATTTCTCATTGGGGTGGGAATTTGGCTGTCGAGGAGAATGTTGAAATTGTTAACAAAGGAGCATTTTTAAAGGGGTCATTTTCTCGATTAGATTTTCAAATGGACAGACGAGGAATGAAACAGCCTGTAGTTCGTAGTTTTAAGGTAAATTACAGTTTCTATTTTTTAAATTTTTGATCAATTATATGACATTTTCAGTCAATTCTTCCACCAGCAACACGTGACATTTACTATAGAGATGAAATTGGTAATATATCTACTTCCAGTGTTTATCCTCGAAACGATCGTGTTGAAGTTGAACTTCGTCCACGTTTTCCTTTGTTCGGGGGTTGGCGGGTAACTTAAAAATATATTTTTTTTCTTAAATGTTTTTATAAGACAAACTATGTTCTCGGTTATAACATTCCAAGTTCCTCATTTTTGCACTCTTCTGGATCAAATTATGCGCTTAGAATGAAAATGATGGACAGACTTTTTGACAATGCTGTTGTGCAAAAACTTCGTCTTAAAATTATTTTACCAGAAATGAGCTCGTAATTATTTAATTTTTTATCTAAAATACATTCTTTGTGTTTTTAGAAATATAAAATTGGTTACGCCCTACTCTGTTAAACGTTTGCCTGACGAAACTTATAAGACTTATTTGGATACATTTGGCCGTCCTGTCGTAGTGATTGAAAAGGAAAATTTGATAAACAACCATATCCAAACATTTACGGCAAATTACAATGTTTTATATCAAAAAATTAAATTCTATTTTTTAGCTTTATTATGAATTTGATCGTGTTTATTTAATTCGGGAACCGCTAATGGTGATCTGTGCATTTTTGTTGCTCTTTTTGATTTCAATTATATTGTTCCGTTTGGATTTTAGCATTGAAAGCGCGGTAGGTTATTAAAATGTTTTTAATGAGGGTGAAGATAAGAAGCTCCTGTTGATAAAGTTTTAACCTTTAGAAATTATGGGGTCCATATATTGTAACTTTATGATTTATTTTTCAGGAACGAATAAAAGAAGTTGGTCATGTGAAGAAAGATTAAATTATTAAAAATTAAAATGAATGTTGATAAAAATATTTGTTGATAATATATACATAATAATGTGTTTTTCTGTTAATTTTAATTTATTTTAAATGTTGAGCTTTAATGATTGACTTAAAATTGAAAAATATTTTTAAATTTGGCAATTTTATTTATTTTTATCTTTAAATGAATTCAATTTGTTTTAATTTTTTAGAAATTATGGCATCTGTTAGTGGTGCTGCAGCTGCTTCTGCTAAGGTTTTGTCTGAAAAATATTCCAAGGAAACTTTATTTCATAGAAACTTGTCGCAATTGTTACAGGAGGTGCTTCTGGATTAGGTAAAGCAACAGTTAAGTATCTTACTGGAAAAGGCTACAATGTTGGATTATTTGATTTACCATCCTCGGAAGGTTCTAAACTTGCTGAAGAGATTGGCTCGGGGATTGTGCAATTTCGACCTTTGGATGTAAATTTTTGAATTTTGTGTACTTCATTTCTTGATTTACTCGTGAATGGATATATGTATTGGTATTTATTCTAGAATGTAAAACGATGTAGTACCAAATTGTTACTCCCTTGCTGTCGTTAATATTTTCTTTCAGGTTTCGTCAGAAGATCAAGTGAAAGAGGCCGTTGATTCGATAGCCGGTCAGTTTGGTCAGCTCAATTTGGTTGTGAACTGTGCAGGTGTTGCTTTTGCCCAGAAACTGTATTCAACCACGAAGGCTGATTTTATGAAACGCGAGCGAATTGATAAAATAATTAAGGTTATTATTATCCAAATATTTGAAAAGTGATTTTAAAATTCTTTGTTTTTAAAGGTTAATCTTTACGGGACAATTAATGTAATTCAATATAGCTTGCCTCATTTAATTGCCAGCACTCCAGATGAGAACAACCAAAGAGGTTTAGTAATTAATACATCATCAATTGCTGCATTTGAAGGACAGTCAGGACAGGTTTTCAGTTTTCTCTTTATATTTTAATAAATAATTTAGTCTTTATATTCTGCCACAAAAGGCGCCATTGCTTCAATGACATTGCCGCTTGCACGAGATTATGCTGTACCTGGTATTCGTTTTGTTACAATTGCACCTGGGCTTTTTGAGACTCCACTTATGGATTCGTTGCCAGATAAGGTTTTGGTTTATGAAAATGCTCTTTAAAATTCTTTGATTAGGCGAAAAAGTTTTTGGGAAAGCTTGTTTTGAGCCCGCAGCGTTTGGGGTATCCTGAGGAGTTTGCGGCTTTAGTTGGACATATCGTTGAAAATCCCTATATAAATGGAGAAGTTATTCGTTTGGGTAAGTTATTTAATTTTTGATTTATTTATACATATGTATTAAATTCAGATGGTGGTCTTCGAATGTCACCTTAATAGATATATGAATTTCTGAAATTTTTGCACTTTTAAATTAATTATTTGTTATTTTAAAATAAATTGTTAATTTTATTCTTTAATTAATTATTTTGTTATGTAACAATATATTATTTTGCTCTTGCACAATTCTTCCATTTTTGAGGCTTTATTTATCATAAACCAGTTTTAGTGGTAGATTGCCTCCTGGTTTTTAATTAAAAAGTATCTTTTGTTAATTATATTTGTTTTTAGGATTTTAGACTAGCTAATCTATTATTGATGTCATTTTGTTTTCTATGAAGATTTAAGTTCAAAAGTTTCCGTTGTAATAATAGATACGATGTGATATAATAGTGATCGATTAGGATAAAAACAATTTTGGTTTAATTTATTATGTTACATATCCTTTACATTTAAATTAGTAAATAACAGGGGTGGCTTTGTTTAAAATTGAAAAGCGGAAACTAAAAAGCATTGCGGATGCGGAAGAAAATTTTTTGCTTGTTAATCTATGTAATACGTGTCGTAACAATTTTTTGCTTTAATTATAAGACATTTGTAAAAGGTTTTATTTAGGAAAAACTGCACGCATTTAACTTAAAACCTGAATTCTTTTAAATTAAATTACATTTCTTCATTTTAGGTGGCAGAATTATTAGATTAGATTTATAATAAAAATGGAATTAGCGGTAGGCAGTAACAATACACAAATAGATAAGCATCATTTGGTAATGGAAAAGGATCAGAGAGTTCGTTACAAATTTTGTACGACAGATTATGAGGTTGACAATACATTACCAGATTCACAAAATTCAAGTATTCAATCACGTTCACCTCGGTGTGAGGCTTTTGTAATGACTGGAGATAAGATGCTTAATTTAAATCCAAAAATTTCTCCAAGTTATGCTAAGGTTGGTACTTTTTACTTTCGTTCTTTTTCTTTATTAGTTTATCTCTTGGCATCCAATTTGTCAGAAAAAGATAATTATTCAGCATCTTTTGTACTCCGTGCAAGACAATACATCAATTTTTGTTTTGCGCGACAGTTTTTTGTTGTACAGCTCCATTCAGTATTTCGTGAATGGTAGTTATGTCCCCTTCTCTATTTTAAGTACATGATTGATATTTCGATAAGGTTTTTCATGTAGATGGAAATAGTTGACATTTTTGTTTCTCCACTTTATAAAAATGTGTCGATTCCCTCATGTTTTTTTCCCTTTACTGATTGGATGCCACGGGGTAAAAGGTTACAATAATTTAGGAAGAAAAATATTTAAAATTACCCTAAGGTTTCTAATTGTTAACTATTTTATTTGATTCACGTCAGATGTGTCATGATCAGCTTCCGCCTGCTGTTCATGTTGAACCTGAAAAAAAGCTCAAAAATGAAAATCATTTTGATCACTTCCCTTCAATGCACAAAAACAACCATGGACGTATACGCAGTGCTATAATGCTTGGGACTTCAGAAGAGAATAGTCAAATTGATTTTTCAACAAAACCTGAATCACATTCTGAGAAAGACGAGGAAAAAGTTTCTGAAATATTAAAAGAAGTTCAGGATGATACTTCAAATAATAAAAATTTTGAGGTTTTGTTTTTCAATTAAAATATTTTTGAAGATATCTTTTTTTAGTCAGAGAGTTCGTGTATTAATGTTATTCCGGCCGATCCTTCAAATATACCACAATTTCAAAATTCAGAGAATAATTTTCTTGGAAATGATTTTTCTATTAATCTTCCACAACAACAAAATAATTTAACATTTAATGCTCCTTTAATTAGCAGTTCAACAATTTCCAGGTATTTTGTCTAATAATTTATTTATTACTTTTTTAAAGATTAATTTCTTCAAATCAATCACAAAGTATGCCTGCTAGTCCAGCAAGAGTTTTTACAAATAAGCAAACAAATTTAATTGAACAAGCACTTATTGCTGCTACTGAAAAAGGTCAAAATATAAATTTAGATGATGAAATTCCAGCACAAGTTTGCTCTTCTTCATGTAAAAAATTTTAATAAATTTTTACAAAAAATCATTTTTTAGTATCTATGCAAAGTTCTGCCGGTACAATGCCTTTATTATATTCATCTTATCCACCAGAAACAATTTCTCGTCTTGCCAGACATCTTTTTACTCATCAAGAAGGAATTAAAATTGCTGCTTTTCTTGTTAAAACGTATTTAATAATTTAAAAAATTTTTAATTTTTATTGATTTTAGTGATGATCTTTCAATGAAAATTGCCAGAGAATTTGTTAATCTTTTTAATTTTGCCGGTCTTCGAATTGATGCCGCTCTTCAGGCATTTTCTTCGCGTGTACAGCTTTGTGACGAATTTGGTGATAAAGCTCAATTATTGGCACATTTTGCACATCGATATTTTGAATGTAATCCTGTAATCTTTAAAAATGTTGAAGAAGTTCATGCTTTGTCTTGTGCTCTCATTTCTTTAAATAATTCTTTACAGGGAAATGTAAAAGATTTTTTAAATTTAATTTTAAAGATAAATTTATTATCAGGCAAATAATGTCAATATACGTGATTTTATAAATGATTTAACAAATAGTGGATTTAAATTTGATGCAGCAATGTTAAAAGATCTTTTCATAACAATTAGAAATCAGCCTTTTAATAAACAGGAAACTCAAGTTTTTCGTCTAAAGAAATTTTCTCTAAAATTTTTATTTTAGTTGTCTCAATTTAATACAAATTCTACATTTAAAGAAAAAAGATTAAGTAAAATTATTTTTAATAAGAAAAGTGAATCAAGTATAAAAACTTCTTCCTTTGTTAATCCAGTAGAGCAACAAGTTGATTATAAACGTGGATGGTTAATGAAAAAATCTCTTTATGATGTTGATGGAAAAAGAAGTTTTATATTTTTTAAATGATTTTTACATAAAAAATTATTTTTTAGCGCCTATTGGTCGAAGAAAATGGCAAATGTTATATGCTACAATTAGAGGAATGGTTATTTATTTACATCAAGATGAAAATTCTTTTTCATGTCGAAATCGTTATTTAACTTATAAAAATTGTATTTTAATCCATCATTCACTTGCTGAGGTTTTTTTATTTAAAAGATTTTATAAATTTAATTTTTAGGTTCCAAAAGATTATACAAAAAAGAAGAATGTTTTTCGTCTAAAAACTGCTAATTTTGGTGAATTTCTTTTTCAAACAAGTGATTCAACTGAAGTTGAAAAGTGGATTGATGCAATAAATTATGTTGCTGCTGCTTTTTCTGCTCCTGTTTTACCAACTCCAGGTATTTTTTTTAATTAAGAGTTGAAGAAGTATTTTTTGTTTAAAACTATTTAATTTCATTTTTATTTTTGATTTTTCTAGTTGGTGCTAACAAAACCTTCATCTTTTGTAAACCAAAATATTCTTCAACACCGACTCATTTATCTTTGGTGATATCTCTTCTTTTAATTTATTTAATTTAAAAATATTTTAGGTAGACCAATTACATGCTCATGAACAAAGATTAGAAGAAACAAAAGAAAGTTTAACAAATCTTCAACAATGTGCTCCTCCTATCAAATCGAAAGGAAAACTAGTTTATGACTATTTTTATAAAGAACGTTTTTTGGACAGTGAGGTTTTTAAAATAAAAATTAGTTTAAAATTTATACTTTTTAATATTAGAAAGAAAGATATATTTGTTATATAAATGTTTTAAGGTATTTTTAATTAATTATAATTTAAATTTTAAAATAAAAATTTAGAGAAAAATTAAATGCTGGCACAAAAGTAATTAATAATTGTGACACAAATTCACAAACATTTAATGCCAAAAAGGAGAATTCGACAGCAACTTTTGTTTTTTAAATTAGATAGAGGTAATTTGAATAGGTTAATTAAATTTGTAGAGATTTTGTTTTAATTTTGAAATTGCTAGTCTTCTAAAGATTTTTTTAAATTATTGTCACAAAATCAACGAATTGCTATTCATTCTTTTAATATTGTGCTCTTAAAATTAAATTTATCCATATAAACAATAATGCCATAATTATTAATTTTTGAATATTGTGGAAAGAAAATGCCTAATTTAATTTTCGTGCTTATTACTATTTTATTGGCCAAATAAAATTCTTTTTTAAATTTATCTAAATCTTTACTTTTTACAAATTTTAAATTAAAGTTACACAAAAAATCATCGACCAATAAAATAAATTATTTATTTTCTTTTAATGCTTTATTTATTTTCGAATTGTCATAATTCTTGGATTCTGTTTTGCATATCAGAATCCTTAATAAAATATTGTTTAATGTCAGAGCTGTTTCGAAATTTTGACTTTTAATATTTTAAAAATTTTTTTGTTTCGAAGCAGCTCTGTTTAAATCCCTACCAAATTATTTTCATAAAATAATTGCTGTACTTTCATTGCCTCTGTTTGCCTTTAATTTAATTTGATAAAATTTTAATAAAAATAAATTCATTTTTTTTAAATAAATTATTTGTTTATCTCTTTTACATATTTAATAATTTATAAATTAAATTTATTTTTTCCTTAAATTTGCTAAAAAACGATATGACTTTGGCTTACTCTAAGGATGGTTTAAATCCAATGTCTTTTGGTGATTCAAATCTAAATCCAATGATGGAAAGATTGAGATATCAAAGAGCTTCCGGAAGGTTAGTTTTGGTTATAAAAATTCTTTTTTTATTCTTATAGGTTCTGTGACGCGTGTATTTTTGTGAAGGACAGAATGTTTAGTGCCCATCGGTCAATACTTGCTTCTCATAGCCCGTATTTTGATTCTGTTCTTCGATTTGATAAAATTACAAAAGAAAAGGTTCGATTAATTTATTTGCTTTGTTTATTTAAATATTTAAAGATTGTTGTAAACTGTCAAGAACCTTTGGTATTTGAACGGATTCTTAATTATATGTATAGTGGAACAGTGCAAATAGACAGAGACGTTGTTGTTGAAATGTTAAAGTTGGCTAATAATTTATTGGTTATCTTAGTTATTTTTTAATTTATAAATTTTATTTCAGATGCTTAGACTTAAAAATCTCTGTGCTGATTATCTTATGCGGTATATTGATGTCTCTAATTGTTTATGTGTTAGAGATCTAGCAACTCGTTACAATTTACCGCGTTTACATACTCGAGCTTCTGAATTCTTTGATAGCAATATAAGTGGATGTTTGTTAGAGAATACAGATTTACTTGAATATGAAGCTTCACAACTTCTTTCACTTTTGGAAGAAGCTCAGCATATAAATAATGTTCCTCCAGATGTTTATTTAAGGTATTATATTTTTAAGTTGATTAATTAAATTTTTTACTATATTAAATTAATATTAGTTTAATTATTCGTTGGGTTGGATATAAACTTTCTGAACGGGAACAGCTTTTTCCCTTTTTACTTGGAAGATGCAATATTCAGCAAATATTGCCTGCAAAGCTTGAACGTCTTCTTGATTTTAATCCTTTTTTCAATCAATCAGAAATTTCACTTCATGCTATTTTACAAGAAATGTATTCAATTATTTTCTTTATTTTAATATATTTAATTTTTTAAAGGCATAATCAAGGTATTCAAATGCCTAAATATGAATTGCGGTATAGAAATCTTGTACAACGAATTTGTGGAGATAAAAATTCAGAAGTAACTCAACGACGCCGAAGTTGTTCAGTTACTGGGTTGGGAGGTGGAAACATTACCGGTAGTCAACATTATGTCAATTCATCTTTGGATATAAAACGTTCACATGTTGGTATTGACGAAGATGAAGATGATCCCGAATTTGTGTCAGAGATTGGACATTTTTCAACACAACAATGCACAAACTTTCAATCAAATCTACAACGTCCATGTGAATCTGAAACTGCAATTTCCAATAGTAATTCAGCAATGCGGCAATGCCCTTCTGGTTCTCTCAAATTAAAAATACATTTGCCTGTGAAACAAAAACAATTTCTCGATAAATCAATGAATCGTAGATTGATAGGTTAATTTAAAGTTAAAATTTTTTTAATAGGAAAGCTTTTTAGGATTAAAATTGTATCGAAAATCAATTGCTTCTGCTACTGGGAAAGCATTTCGACGAAGAGGAAGACCACCAAAGCTACGACCACCTAGGCCTCTCACTGACTTTACAGGCGTTGATGAGGAGCCTAATTCGATTTTCTTCGAATTTGCTGAAGAAACAGAAGGATCAATTCCAGCTGTTGTTTTTGATGAGGAAGAAGATGAATTTGACCCCGAAAGAGTTGAATTTTTTGAAGCACAGGTAATCAAATAAAAACCAGATGATCTTTTTTTTTATCATTTTTAGAATGAGCAACAGATTCGCCAAAATTTGTTTACTAGTGGAAAACAAAAAAGTTTAGAGAAAAATCCATTAAATAATGAAATTGAAAGAGATTTTTCAAATAAAGCTCTGTCAATGCAATGCCCACATTGTTCTTTTTCTACTCACCATGGAATTATCCATTTACGCAAACATATAATTGCAACACATTCAAAAAATGTTCTCTATGTTTGTAATAGTAAGTTGAATTTATGTAGAATATTTATAGTAATTTATTAAAATTTTTGTTTGTCAATTTGAATGTCGATGGAATAAACAATTTTATCAACATATGCGCCAAATACATTTTCCAGGTCCTCCATATCAATGTGATTATCATTCAGGTTATATAGTAAATAAAATATATTTGATGAAAGTATTTTTAGAATGTGATTCGTGTACTTATTCTGTTGATAGACTTCCTGTTTTGCTTACTCATCGTTTAATTCATACAAATGAAAAACCTCTTAAATGTCCTGATTGTTCTTTTCGATGTCGTAACAAATCTAACATGATTGTTCATTATCGTTTACATTCTGGAGAGAAACCTTTTCAATGCAATATTTGTTCAAAGTAAATAAATTTTAAAAAATTTAAACTTATAAAATAATTTCTATAGGCGTTTTGTTCTTAAAAGAACTTTAGAAAATCATTCAATTACACACCAAGACGAACGACCATTTCTTTGTGATCAATGCAATTTTAGTACTAAATATCAATCTCATTTAATATCTCATAAACGAATTCAGTTTAGTTTATTTTTATGTTTTAAATCTTTTTTTTTTAGTTCTGGTGATTTATATCGATGCCATATTCCTGATTGTGATTATTCATCACCAAAGAAAAGTCAACTTGCTGCTCATTTAAGAACTCACTTAAATGGTTATTTTAAATTATATAAATATAATAAAATCTAATTTTAGTGCGTTCACATAAATGTCGGACATGTCACCGTTCTTTCATTGAAAAATCTCATTTGGTAAGACATGAACGTATTCATTTGGAAGAAAAACCATTTAAATGTCAAAATTGTGATTATGCTTCATCTAGACGAGACAAATTAAAAGAACATATTATTAAACACCACAATAATCAAGGAAATAATACTAAACTTTTGAAACGTAGATACCGCCGTGCTCGCCAATTACAACAATTAATCGCACAAGGAAAGGTTAAAAACGTTGAATCATTTTTAAAAAATTTAATTTTTTTAAGTTATTGCCATCTACTGCTTCATCAGAGCCTTCTACATCAAATCCTCAACAACCATCACAAACTAACTTCTTTCGTCCTATAATGATTAATGACCAACAACAACAACATATTAATCAACAACACCAAAAATCCCGACAATTTTGTCAAAATAATTCAAATCAAAATCAATTTTTAGGACAACAACAGCCTCAGAATAGATTTGTATATAGTAATTTAGAGGCTTTAAATGTTGCTGGATATAGTGGATCTATGGCTATGATTTCTGGAGGAAGTCAACAGGAATATCCACAGCAACCACAACAATGCCATCAAATGGTTGTTAAATATAAATATTCTCTCAATTCTTATTTTTGTAACAGAATCGTCCACTTTCTGTGCAGCCAATAATGGTAACTAATAATTGTGGTCCTACTGATTTAGTGAGCCCTTCATGTTTTTCTATGGCTACAGACTTTCAAGATAATATATGCAATTCTGGATCGATTAGAATGAATGTACAATTGCAGCAACAACAACAACCAACACAGATTACAAATTCCATTGGTCAACAAAATTCTAGGTAACTGAGGATAAGAAATAATATATGTAAATCTTTTCAGAGCTACTCCAAACACTAGTGCATTAAGCACTCCAGGTCCACCTTCTATGGCAATGCTTGATAATACTGGAAATAATGGGTCATGTTCACAACCCCAGCAGCAATTTCATCGAGAACTACAAAATTTAGCGAATGCTAACTTCTTTCCCCAATTCGACCCTCATAAACAACAGCAATACCAAGGAAGTGTTGGTGCTGTTGGTCCACAGATGTTGGGTACTGGTCTTCTCTTCTCGAGTGCACAGCTATTTTGCGATCCTCATAACACACAACATCAGCAGCCACAACAACAACAACAAATGCCCATCGATCAACAACACGAGCAACAACAGTTGCAACAGCAATTGAATCGGCCAATGAGTTTACCAAATTATGGTGAGATTTAAGATCAAATTGTTAAGTATAGATTTCTTTTTAGGTGCTGGTAATAACGTAAATATTCAACAGCTACAACAAGAATCACATCATTCACATATGGATCAACAAAAACAAGATTTACACAATTATCAGAATTTAGAACAGACTTTGAATATTGAACAATGGCAGGAACAACAACATTAATGGGTGATTTTAACAATCTAAAATGTATTAGTAAGAATTTTATATACTCGACAATTAAAAAAACTTTTTAATTAAAAATAACTTGAATTTACTATACATTTATCTAAACGTAAGAATCTAAATAAAAAAATTTTTTATTTGTTTAAACAACAAATTAACATTAATGTATTAAATTCTAATACTTTCTTTTCATTTTAAACTTTACTTGTTTATTACAAAACTATTTACATTTAAAGTTTAGGAGAACAGACGTGAGATAAATCATAAAATAGATAAAAAAATGAATGGCCAAAGAATTTCTCATTGGTATTTCCCTATTTTACATTTAATTTCAGTCTTTCCCTCTAATATTAATTTAAAATGAATTGGGGAATTCTTTTTTTGATAAATCATAAGGCTGGTAAAAATATGGAAATTTTTTAAAATATATTTCCTAGTTAGAAAAAAAATATTGATTCCCATATATGTGATTACCAGCCATAAGAATATTTGTTTAATCTCTTAAAAATAATTTTTTTATAATCATTTTGTACGAAGAATCATTCTTAAATTGATATTTTTTACGCTAAAATTTTATATTTTTTATTTTAATAAAGTAGATTACTAAATGTTTAGTTATTTTACACAAAGTAAATTTACTTTTTATCTAACAAGAATCTAGGGGAGAATTGGGGCTTTCCAATTTTTTTTTATCAATGTCTGAATAAATATAAAGAAGATGGTTGCTATGTAGTATGTTTAGTAGTAAAATAAGTAATTAATAAGGGGTTTTCTGTTTGGTTTTGGATTTTCTGAAGGATTTGTTAAAACCGCATCTTCTTTAAATATACTTTATTACCTTTTCAATTAAATTAAAAGTTACTAATGATTAATTATAGAAATATTTTTCATATTTTTTTACTAATCTCTATTTAATATTTTTTTAATAAAAAATTAAATCATTTCTTTGATAATCTTTAAAAAAACGAAATTATTTTTAGTTTCTATTTATTTTTATATTTACTAATTATTTTATAAAAATTATTTAATTTTTAAATGGATTTTACAACAATTAATGGTAACAATAATAATTATCAAAAACAAATTGAGGATACTAATTGGGCAGAAAATGATTTAAATATTATTGATGGACAAACAATTGATGAATTATTTAAACAAGGAATTGGATTAACTTATAATGATTTTAGTTGAGATTTTATTATTAAAAAAATTATTTATTTTTAAAAAAGATATACTTCCTGGATTTATTGACTTTGTTGTAACTGATGTAGATTTAACAACAAATTTAACTAAAATGATTAAACTTAATACACCCCTAGTTTCTTCCCCAATGGACACTGTGACTGAGAGCGGTTAATTTTTAAATATTTTTTTAAATTTTAGTTTAAAATTTTTTTGTAGAAATGGCTATTGCAATGGCGGTTTTTAGATTATTTTTAAATTAAAAAAAAAAATAATTTTTAAAGTTAAATGGTGGAATTGGGATTATTCATGCAAATTTTCAATCTGCACAGGCATCCTTTTAATTTTAAAAAAATTAATAAAAATTTTAGGACCAAGCAGCTGAAATTATTAAAGTAAAAAGATATAAACAAGGATTTATTTCAAGTCCTCAATGTATTCGTGAAACTGACACAATTTGGGATTTGATGGAAATTAAAAGGAAATTTGGGTAAATTTTTTCAAATTCTTAAAAAAATTCTTTTAAAGATTTACTGGTACTCCAGTTACTTCAACAGGATATGTCGGGTCAAAATTACTTGGTTAGAAAGTTTTGAATTTGAATAAAATTTATTTTTAATTTTTCTTTTAAGGATTGGTTACTTCTAGAGATATAGACTTTATTAGAAGGGAGAATTATGCAACTACAAGAATTGCAGATGTAATGGTTCCAAGGGATCGTTTAATTGTTGGTGACAAAAACTTGACACTTTTACAAACTTACACAATTTTAGAAAAGGAAAAGAAAGGTTTTTTGGAATTTTATACAAATAAAAGTTTTTTAAAGGAAAACTTCCAATTGTCAATGAAAATGATGAATTAATATCTTTAATTGCTCGTTCTGATTTAAAAAAGGCGAGAGAATTTCCTCGAAGTTCAATTGATAATAAAAAACAATTAATGGTTGGGGCAGCTGTAAATACAAGAGAAGGGGCTAAAGAAACAATTAAAGAATTGGTTAAAGCTGGAGTTGATGTTCTTGTTATTGTATAAAATTTTAAAGAAATTTTTTAAAAATATTTTTATTTTAGGATTCTTCTAACGGTGCAAGTATATATCAATTAGAATTACTTTCCTGGATTAAACAAAATTTTCCTGAATGGCCACAAGTAATTGCTGGAAATGGTTTTTTTGGAAATATTTTTTAATTTTATTATTTTAAATAAAGTTGTAACAATGAATCAAGCTAAATTACTTATTGACGGAGGGGCAGATGCTTTACGTGTTGGAATGGGTAGTGGAAGTATTTGCACAACACAAGAAGTTTGTTTTTTTTCTTAATAAATTTTCGGGTTGTTATGAGTCATAATGGTGACTATTTATAAGAAAAGTATAGTGTTTGGAATAATGATAAAAGGGAACTGGAACGATGATACAAAAATTTTCGGGTATTTCTATTCATCCAAAAGTTGATAAGTTTTATCTGCAAGTTATGATTTTTATTTTTTTTAAAAAATTTTTTACCTGTTAATTTAAATGAACCAATTATTATTAAACTTATTATTTAATATTTAAAATATTATTTAGGTTTGTGCTGTTGGTCGTGCACAGGGTTCTGCTGGTTTGTTTTTTAATATTATAGATCATAATATTTTTTAATTAGTTTATAATGTTTCTCGATATGCAAGATTAAGAGGAGTGCCAGTAATTGCAGATGGAGGAATTAGAGATATTGGGTTTATTTTCCTTTAAAATTTATACAAACAAAAAATATATTCTATAGTTATATAACAAAAGCAATGGCATTAGGCGCCTCAACTGCAATGATGGGTGGATTGTTGGCTGGAACAAACGAAGCTCCAGGCGAATATTTTTGGGGCTCAACAGGTGTACGTCTAAAGAAATACAGAGGAATGGGTTCTTTGGATGCTATGGAGACAAATGCTACAAGTCAAGAAAGATATTTTACAGGGTTTTTTTTTAATTTAAATATTTTAAAATTATATTTTTAGTGGAAATGAAAATATAAAAGTGGCACAGGGGGTTTCTGCAGCTCAACGTGATAGAGGTCTGTTTCTTTTTTTGAATACATGAATACTATATTTTTATTCAGGTAGCTGTTTCAAATATGTTCCATATATTATTCGTGGTATCCAGCATGGACTTCAAGATATTGGTGTTCGTAATTTTGATGAATTAAGGTAAAATAAAATATTAAAAAATATATAAAATAATTTAGAAAGGGAATTGACAGTGGAAAAATTAGATTGGAACGTCGAACACATAATGCACAACTCGAAGGGGGAATACATTCAATACATTCGTAAATATTACTTTAAAAAATAACATATATTTAAAAATATTTTCAGTCATGTTAAGCCTGGAATTTAAACGAAGAATTTTCTGATGAAAAGATTGCAGCTTATTCCAATTATTTCGTTAATAAACCTGCCATTTTATTTTTATATTTTCCTATTTTAGAGAATTACAAAACTTTTTAAAATTCCATTTTATTAATTCTTTCAAATTATAAATTTATTTATTTTCATGAAATAAATATCTATTATAGAAGATTAAAATGTTTAATACAGCGAGTTATGGAATTTAGATTACAAGATTTTTCGGTCAACCGCAAGATTTTTGATAAAAAATTATGGTTCATAAACGATTTTAATTTATAGTAGAAAGAAAATGAAAGAAAAAGATTTATCAACTGAAAATACCGAAGGGTACTTTTCGGTTTTGCCACACCCCTCCCATATATTCGCAGGGTATATCTTCTATTTTTCCTTAATTTGTACAGAAAGGTCAGTCTTCTTCCTCAATTTTACCCGTGGCATGTTCAAAGAGACCGGTTCGGCTCCAAATCCGGGCCGGCAAATTTTTTACACCGGATTTGGGAGGTTATGGAATCTTCTCAGTTTCCCTAAATTATTGGACTTTTCCTGCTAGTATTTGAACAGCCAAACATCCAGCTTTAAAGCGCATTAGGACGTTTCAGTTCCTAATTCCTCGCAATATTAAAGAATTTTTCCTCACAACATTAAAGTTTTGTAATTTTTATCACACGCTGATTGCGAGTTTATATTATATAACTATTTAAAAACCTTGTAGGAGTTCACTTTTATATAATAATTTATTCAGAAATATTCTTTATTTCATGGAAAAATACAAGCGCAAAAGAGTAAAAATTTTTTAAAATTATTTATATTTCCTTTATATTCAGGAAGAGGAAGAGAAAGGACTTTTGGAGGAGGCATATGAAGAATTTCGTGAAACATTCGAAGATGGAATTGTCAAGACCTCAAAAATATTCATTCGTGGCGATGTTGTTAATCCTGATAAAACAGGTTTTATTAAGTTTTCTTTGGCTTTTTTGTTTCTGGACGGATTGGGTTGACTATAGGGGGTAAAAATCGGTGATAATAGTCGGGTTTATGTTTTTCCTTTTTCTCATTTTTTCATCTCCCCATAAAAGAAATGTTGAAGAAGTGCCTCGATTAGGTTTTTTCTAAAGCGTTTAACTACATGAGTAAAATTAACCTTATATCATTTTAAACAAAATTTAATTAAGATTCGAATATTCAAAAATCAACAGTTTATAAACCAGCCCCTGTTATTCAAATAAAAAATAATTTGGAAGTTGCGAAAAAATTGGCTCAAGAAACTGCGAAGAAAATAATGAGCAGTGTAGATAGTAATCCACAAAAAGATAAACAACAACAAATTCTTCCTGAACAAGATCATACTTTAAATCGACCATCGAAACCTGGGAATGCTAACAAAATTGAAAAGTCAAGGCTAACAAACCTTGAGGCTTTCAAAGAAGAACTTAAACAGTTTTTATTTTAAATTTTGTTTCTAAATAATTATTTTCTTCTTTTTTAGAATGCAGGCAATGCGGGATGAAAGAAAAGGTCTTCGGCAACATTTAAAAGAAAAGTTGGGTGTTCCAGAAGAAGAATTAAATAGAATTGCCCCAACACTTGATGCTCCTTATTTTGGTTCTGGTATGCCTGTAAATGTTGATTATGAACATGATCCAACAACAACAAATCTTTATGTTTGTAATCTTCCACCCGACGTTTGTTTAAAATATTTTAATTATATTTATTATTTTTTAGTGTAAACTTGAAGATATATTTGAAACATTTGGATCATTTGGGTAAATAGTTATTTTTAATTAAAAAAAGATTTTGAACGATTTATCTGAAAGATAAAAACTGTTAAATGATGCAAACCGATTTCATTTGAAAAAATTTGAATATTGTAAGAGAAGTCAAAAAATTTCAACTTTTTTTAGCCCACTTGCTTCAGCAAAAATTCTGTTTCCCAAGCCCGAAGAAGAGCGTTATAGGGCAACATTGAGTGGATTTGTTGCTTTTATGGTTGTCTTTTGTTTTTATTTTATCTAATAATTTTTAATAGAGCCGTTTGGATGCCGAACGTTCGATGTATTCTATGCATGGTGATGTTTATCGAGGTTGCGAACTTCGCGTTTCATGGGCTAGACCTGTCACAATGCCACCACTAGTTTGCTTTTTTATTTATAAAAATATATATTTTGTTTAAGCCTTTCTATGTTCCTCCACCTCTCCGAGAATTGGCTATGCCTGATCCACCATCCGGGCTTCCTTTTAACGCGAAACCTCAAACTGAAGAATTGCGTGTTTTTCTCAAAAAATATCATGATTTACCGAAGTTGAATTCAACGCTCGATACTAACGATGTGGAAATGTGCAGAGACTACAAAAAGGTTTTTTCAAATTTGTTAAATGCTGGCTTTCACGCAATCGTATTTTATATGTTTTTAACAAAAATAATTGAACTTCTAAATTTGAAAAAAAATTACTTGTTCACGTTCTTCTAACTATAGATGATAGAGAACTCGACTGTTCGGGTCGTCGTCCCCACAGAAAGGTATTCTAATTATTTGACTTCTTGTGCAACTGGCAGAATACAAATAAACAACAATTTTCAATTAATATTAAAATATTAAAAATTTGTAGAAAAAATTTAGAATTTATTTTCTTAAATTTAGACCGTTATTGCAACTAATTCATCGAGTAGTGGAATTCTTGGTTCGTTCTGGCCCTTTGTTTGAAGCGATTTTAATGGCGAAAGAACGTCAAAACCCAATGTATCGGTAAGAAGTTATTTTGGAAATTTTTAAAATTTTGACTGTTCGGGGGGATCTTAATTACCCTCGTATTTTATACAAATTTAAATGGTCTAAATTTCTACTCAACTATTTAAAGTCTATTAATCATGAATTTTTGTATATTTAATTAAATTTCGGGTTGGTCAAAGTACTAACTTTTAACAACTATATCGAAATATTTGGCCAATTATCCCCTCAATTTTTGTTGAGGGGTTACAATAAATACTCTAAATAATTTCAAAATTTTTAATAAAATTATTATTTTTTGTTTTCTCTTCGACAATCACCACCCAACGCATGTTTATTATCGTTGGCGTCTCTACTCTACAATGCAAGGCGATGATCGAACTAAATGGCGTCTCGACAAATTTAAAATGTTTGAAGGCGGAAGTTGGTGGCAACCACCACCACATGCTTTATTTGAATTAGGAATGCCTCCACAACTTTATAATACCGCCTATGTACCGAAAAGACGTCGTTCTAATGACAAAAAACAAGCTAATAATGTACATAAACGATCATCATCAACAGAAAAGAAAATAGGAGAAGAAAAAGAAGAAACTGATGAAAGTAAGGAACGTGTTGAACGAAGGAAAAAAGCTTTAAAAAATATTGCCGAAAAAGAAGAACAGCGAAAACGACTTAAAGGTGTGTTGAATGATCAATCACGAGAAGAATTAGAGAATCTACTCAGGAATTTGACACCAGAAAAAGTTTACTAAATTACATTTTTAACTATTTTGATTTAATTTTGTTTTAATAGATTGCTATTGGTGATGCGATGGTATGGTGTTTAGATCATGCAGAATGTTCAAAGGAAATTACACAATGCATTTTCGAGTCATTGTGCATAAAAGAAACACCGCTACATAGAAAGGTAATTTAATAAAAAAATTCTATTTTTTTCAACAACAAAAAGATTTTAAGAATTTAATACAAAAATATTTTAGATTGCTCGAATTTACCTAGTATCGGATATTTTAGCAAATTGTGCTGTTCGAGTGAAAGATGCATTTTATTATCGTCAACATTTTGGTGACTATCTGTTAAAAATTTTCTCTGAACTCAATGAAGCACTTGATTCAATTGAAAGTCGGTTAAAAGCTGAACAGGTTTCTAAAAAAATATTTTGGAGTATAAATATTTAAGTTTCGACAACGCGTCATGCTTTGTTTTCGGAATTGGGAGGACCATGCTGTTTACCCAACACAAGACTTAATCAAATGGCAGAATGTTTTCTTGGGCCTTTTAAAGGTTAGTTCAATTTAATTAATCCAAAATTTTTACTAAAAAGACTGACGGCGGAATTGATTCTTCAATTGATGGAGAGCCTATACCACAAGAAGAGGATGAGGATCTTGATGGATTGCCGATTCAGGAAGAAGATGATGACATAGACGGTATGCCTATGCCTGATGATGTTGGATCAGACGGTGATTTGGATGGAATTCCGATTGTCAACGATGAAGAGGATGACAGCAAACGTTTTACAACCGGATCATGGAGCACGGTTTTAATTTTATTTTTTGAATATTGACTTATTAATATTATTTTTAAGTTGGAACCAGTCGAACAAAAATCTGAAGATATTCAACACGCTCGATCCAAATGGGAATCAATTGAAATCAGTCGATGGGAACAACAACAAAATGCAATTACAGACAACAAAAATAATTCAAAATTAAAAGCATTTGATTCAGAAGAGGGGTATCACGATGACCGGACAGATAGGAAACGATGCAGATTATCAAAGTTAACTCCGTCGCCAGAGCCTAAAGAAAGCAAGAATCATATTACAGCGTCTAATTCAAATGATGATGAAGAACGGAGGCAAATGCTTAGAGAAATAGAAGTTTGTATTGAGTAAAAAAAGCATAACTTCTCAAAATATTTTTACCAGATTAAAGTGATGAAACTACAGGACAAATTAGAAGCTGATGGAAATACATTACAATCAGAAATGGATTTGGAAGTATCAAAGTACAGACAAAAACTGGTTCAAAGAATGGAAGAAAAATTAGGAACGATACAGCACCGACGTAAGCATTCGCCCAGTCGTTCAGAGTCCAAGCAACATCCTCGTGAGAATTCACCTATTCATTCACGCGAATCGGGAACGAGACACCGTCGTGAACGTTCACGCTCACCAATCAGAACTAGCAGACGCCATAGACGTTCACCCGATCGTTCACGCTATCGTGGCTCGCCTATACGCCATACAGCATCTCGACGGCATTGATGATGCGCGTTGTGAATGTGGAGTATTAAGGACAAATACATTCTTATTTATCTTTTAATCTCGTCTTGACAATAAAAATAAGGCTGAAGTTGACTCTTAGAATATAGACCCGAATGTTTCATTTTGGAAAAGATTCTGGTAGGTACTTATCATTTGATAAAATCCCGCATAATCCACGAATCAACGATTTTTCGCCAAAGTCTAAAGACGGACTCCAAAAAGTCGCTCCTTGTTGGGGCGGCTTTTCCCGTCTGAGCTACTTTCTCATAATCAAAAGTCGAACAGCTCCGGGTGTAGTATAAATGATAAGTACCCAGGTATTACACATAACTGAAACAAATAGTTGTATTTCTATACATTGTAGTATTTTTTAATCAAATGATCAATTTTGCAACTTGTTTTACATTGAAAGATGGTGCTGATACACGGACTTTTCCAGGAACTAATTGAATTAACCGGTCGTCCCCGGTCTGTGCCTTGAGTAATGTTCGTTCGGCCAAAGTCAAGGACTTATTTTGCTAAAAATATGTTTATATTAGAATCGAAAATTTTAAGTCACTTACGGCAAAAAGTTCAAGAGCCATTTTCACAGCTTTCCCTCGTTTGCAACTTCCTGGTGTAATTTTTACCTGGAGAACCAGCAAATGAGAATTAATTTTTTTTATCAAACCTTAAGTTTGAACTTATTCATTGCTGTGTATGGTGCACAAACAGGAACTGCAAATTCAGGCTCGTCTTCATTTGATAGGTGCCCAGTTAAGGAGTCTATAAGGTCGTTTTCGTTCATTTCCCCTAAAGCCTCTTCATCGCTTGCTTTGTTTTCGTCTTCATTATCTTTTTCATTACCATTTTTGATGCTGGATTCATTTACCTTATCATTTTGCGTCGATGTACTCCCAGTAACGCGAACCTTAAACAAAAATTATTTAAACATATTAAATCCAACCTTAACATCAGGAAAGTCTTCTGCCCCTTCTACCGTATCGGAATCACTGCTTCCTTCAATTAATTCATCTTCCAAATAAATTACAGATTCATTATCATTTTGTGTGTTTTTGTCAGGTGTTTTCTTTTCTTTTATCTTTCTGGCTTCTACCGATTCATCATCCAGTTTAAACATTAATCCTTAAAAAGAGGATCGAAGATTTTAATTTATTTGACTAACCAAATCCTAATTGGAGAGGACAACTGGGGAGGAAGTTTCGTTTTCCTCTAATCATAAATGAACCAGCAACTAAATATTCACCCGCTGGGGCAGTTCTTGATACCTAAAACAATTTGAAAGTTTTTCATATTTTAACCAGAAATACCTGATCATGCCGTACCCACCAAGCAGTAACTGAAACATTTGCTTCCCAAGCAGAAGAAAAACAAACCGCAAAGGTTCCTGCTTCGTTCAAAGTTTTATGTGGTGGCGTCCATTCCTCGGAGGAATGATTTTCTCTATTCCTTATAATTACTGAGGATCCACCTCTAAATAAAATTAAAAAATAATTTAATTTAAAAATACTGTATTTCTGCATGAACATAAATATCTCCTGGTCGCATATAACGCTTAACTAACAATTCATTTTGTTGAGCATCACGACCAGCCAAAATCAAAAAACCATCGGAGCTTACAAACTAAACAAATTTATGATTAAATTTTAGAAAATTCTTACCCAAAGAAATTTTTCAAACCAGTAAGTTTTTCGAGCATGAATAATATTTGTTTTCCTAACTTTAGTCTAAAACATTTAAAAAAAGTGATCAACTTTAAAAGCATACAAACCTGTGTAGATTTAATATCAGCTTTTAATTTGGCTGATTTAACTGCTGATTTTAATGCTTTATTTGTAGCAGCTTCTGTTTTTTCTTTTTTCTGTTCGGCTGCTCTCTTCTCTTCGAATTGACGTCGGGCATTTTGTTCTGCATTTAAAGATAAATCCAATTCCACGTTTAATTCTTTATCTGATTCATCATATGGATTCGCAAGGCGCATTGTAAATCTTGTTAATATTTAATTTGAGTAAACTATATAGTACAGCTATAGTGATATGGTAGAAAACTTAAAATGGGTTTTCCGAAGGGAATTTTAAACTAGAGAAATATTTCAATTACACCGGACAAATAATAAACAATATATAGTCATAAAATTATAGAAGACGTATAAAAATTATAACAGACTCTACAAAAGTGCGCAAAGTTATAGAACTTTTCGATTTGGAGGGTCGGAGCCGAAAAAAGCCAAAAATTGGCAATATGTTATCAACCATGATCTACACGAAGTATAATTTTTATCTAAAAATTTGTTCGAGCGGTTCCCTTGTAAACAACCCCAACCGATCTAAATCAAATAAATCTAACCGATTTGTTTCTAACTTCAATTTGCATATCAATCTTGCTGCAGGCTGTTCTCCCATATTTGCTAGTTCCTCTAACCACAAACCAACTCCCGTTTTTGGAACTAATTTAGGTCCTCGATTGTTTGCGGCTAATGATTTGTTGACTTTTTTGAGATTATCTAAAGCTGTTCTAAAAAATCCTTTAAAAAATATTTTTAATAGAATCCAACCTAACAATCAAAAGTGCTTGTTCCACTAAATCTTTACTGTAAATAATAAATTCTCCTCGTCTTTTCTGAATTTCTTTTATTTCATTCAATGATTGTATTCTTTTTTGATGGTCACGTTTTATATTCTAAAAAATTAATGTTTGCAAGAGAAACATTAATTTACATTTAATTTTCTATTAGCTTCTTTTTCAACTCCCCCATCCTGCTGTTTGCTTTTTCGTGCTTCATTTGTCCAATAATATTTGTCAATTGCTTCACTAAATGTTTTTGTTTCAAGAATATGCAAATTATTAAGAGATTTATCGCGAAATTGGATAAAATCATAAGGGAAGTATTCCTTTAAAATTTATTTAATAATCGACTATAAAAATAAAAACCTTAAATAACTGGATTGGAGTGCCTTCTTCGCCTTCCTTTTCCTCATATGCAATAAATCCCCCATGTGATGAGGATGTAATATCATCAGCCACCTTTTGTGCCTCTTCCAAAATCTTAGCAATTATTTTAACGCCCTCATCATTTACTGGAATATCAGTACCAATCTTAACGAAAAATATTCTTTAAAAATTTACTAACGATAGTCTGTTCATAACATAAACACACACATTGGGATCAGCCCAGAAGGTCAACACCCATGAGGTCTTGAGCAAGACCCAGGACCAAATGGTCATAGATTCTAACACGAAGGAGTATTTTACTAAACCCGCAAATAATTTCAGAAAAGTCAAATTGCCTATTGTTGGATTATTTTTCAATCTACCGTTCTTTTACTTTATTTTGATTGTCAAATGAAGTAATCTACACTTTTGATTGATAAGAAATGTAAAGATTTATCTTGAAACGCAAGTAGGGACAGTAGTTATGTATGAATAAATTCGCTAATAACCTGTGCCGCCAAAGGAACACCAATCTTTATAAAAACATGATCGAGAAGAAGTGCTCCAAAAGGAACATTACAAACCAACGATTTTTTAAGTGAATCACCCTTCTTCCCTTCCAACAAAAGCAAAATATTTTCATCTGTTGGTCTGAATTGTGAAGATTGTCTCGCTTGTTCAAGAGGATACCTAGTAAATGATACAAAAAAAATAAAAAAAAATAAAATTAAACCTTTCCCTAACAGAAAATCGAACATCTGTATCATGATCAGTTCTCGGCCTTAATATATTCAAAATTGTATATTCATGGTCTGTTAGGACAACATTTCCTCTATCATATAGTTCAACAATTACATGACAACTTCGTTCCTCTTCTCCAAATTTCAAATCAACAATTCGATCAATACCGACCTTAAAAATAAAAATAGGTAAAATTTCGAGAACCCGCCTATTTGAGAAATGATAATTTTGAAAAATGCTTAAACGTCGGAAAACGGCAAATGTCCAGTTGGTTATTCACTTGTATGAAAAGAGAATGCGTACTTTTCATTCCCACATTTCATTTTTTGCATAAGAATAAGAGTTAATGGAGTGTATATTTTTTCAGTTTGTAAAAGAGAACATAATAATGATAAAGTAAAAATATATTTATTTTACAATCTTCAATTGTAATCCTTAATTAATATCATTGGTCCCGAGAAAAAATGAGCAAAAATGCTCTTGCGATATTTTTAAGGCCTGAAGTAGGTCGATAGACATCGAAATTATAAAGTTTCGAGAACTCTAAACGGATTTATGATCAATGAAGTACACGTTTGTAAAATAAAATTAACACTTCAATATAATTTAAATTTTAATTAAATTTGGTACTTTTCCGTTATGCCACCTCCCCTTAAATTAATGCTCAAAATGTCATATATGGGGTAATAAAAGGTGCTGAGTTAAACGGTACCACTCTTTTTCCCCGGAGATGTTTGTGGATTGAGATGAGTGCTCGAAATGGTCAAAAACCATAGGTTAATTTTGGGGTAAAAAATTCGAATACGCAAATACAAGCAGATTCAAAAGAGCTCATCGAGCTGAGTTGAATGACACCAAAATCTCCGAAATCTGATTTGGTTTGACCGAGATTCAGGTCCCTAAAAATTGAAGAACCACACAATTTTTTGTATTGTAACTCGGACCAATTTTGTTTAACCACGTTGATTTTGGTGTCATTCGATTCAGCTCGACGAGCTCTTTCGATTGAGGTATTATTCGAATTTTTTACCCAAGATCGAGCTTACTCCCCCCTATGGTTTTTCGATTTTCGGGGACCTATAACTCGGTTCAGAATCATTTCCTGAAATTGGTAATGGTACCGTTCGACTCAGCACCTTTTATTACCCCATATATGACATTTTGAGCATTAATTTAGGGGGAGGTGGCATAACGGAAAAGTACCTTAAATTTTAATAATTATTAAAAATTTACCTGAGAAACATTAGTTAAACGTTTGCTTCTAATGTGTTTGCGAAATTTCATACTAAATCCTGATGGTATAACAGCTTTTGGCCATTCACATTTTGTTACATGTATACGAATTCCAGACTCGAAAAGAATAAAAGCTTTCTCATTTGGTCTAAAGAAATATATAAAAATAAACAATTTGATAAAAACCTTTGTAATTTTAGCAAATAAGTTTTTGAATTTATATCATAAACATTTGATAATCTCATTCCCTTTAAATTATTTAAATCATGCAAAACTGCGCAGAGATCGAATGTAGCGAATTTTGTCTTCATTTATTTAGAAATTCACAAAATAATCTAAAAAATAAAAATTTAAAAAAGGGATCTTTAAGAAAAGGGGATTTTCAATTTTTTGACAGAAAAGGAAAACAGCTGAAACATCCCCGCATTTGTCGGTGGGGAATGATTCCGCGCCCACGATTCAGCACCAACTCAGTCCCGCACACGAATACTTAGGCATAGGCCATTTAGACGCAAGGTAATTCTGAACAAAAAAGTGCGAAAACCCGCCGTTTCAGTCCCAATGATATTTAGCCAGGGATGTGCGATAATATTTTCGCGTGGCGCGCCAAGCGCCAATTTTTCATATCACGCCAAACGCCAGAACGCCAAAATCGGCCAAAAATCACGCCAAAACGCCAAAAATTTTAGGTAAATAGAGGCCCAAAACTCAGTGTTCTTATTTTTTGCGCCGCAGGCAAAATTTTTAAAGAAAAGTTCATATTTTGAACACTCTTCCCCCATTCCTTGAAAAAATTTCAATCATTGGGGTGTAAATTTTTGGCGTTTTGGCGCGCCAAAAAATGAAAATCTCGCCAAGCACCAAAATCGGCCAAAAATCACGCCAAAACGCCATGACGCTCATTCCTGATTTAGGTCACAGCTTTATTATCTTTGTTGATATTTAGTTTTGTTTGATATTCGCAATGTTAAGTGAGTTTGGTTTCCGTAAAGATGCTCGACTTCCAAAACAAATCCGTAATATATTATATCAAACGGGTATTTATTCACATGCTGATGGCTCTGCTTATATTGAACAAGGAGGTACAAAGGTTTCTTTATTATTTATTATTTTAAAAATTTATTTAAGGTTCTTTGCGCTGTCTATGGACCTCGAGAGGGGCGGATGAAATCAAGAATTCAAGAAGAGTCAGCAATAGTTGTTTGTCAATATAGCCAATCAACGTTTTCTGTGCCAGACCGTCGAAACCGTCCACGTGGTGACAGAAGAGGAAATACTAATTCGCGGTTGCTTGAACGCGCCTTTGAGGCTGTTATTTTTGTTAATTTGTATCCACGCAGTCAAATCGACATTTTTTTCGAAGTTATTGAGGCAAGTTTTAAACATAAAAGTTAAAGGTTAAAGTTTTTCTAAAGTTTTTATTTTTTAGGCCGATGGTGGGAATTTAGCAGCGTGCGTAAATGCGGGGAGTTTGGCATTAGCTGATGCCGGGATTCCAATGCGAGGACTTCCTTCCGCAGTAGAATGTGGTTGTGTTGATGGAGTTTCTTGTACAGATACAAGTTCTCGTGAACAAAGTGAATTAATTCCTCGTATTACAATTGCTACAGTTGGTATGTTTTTAATTTGTTAGAAAATAAATTTTCTAAATATTTAAAAGGTGGAAGAGAAGAGATTATACTTATATCATTAAAGAATTTGGTACATAAAAGTCATTTGACAGAATTTCTCAAATCTGCAATAGATGCTTGTGCACAAATTCACTCATGTCTGGAAGCGGCTGTTTTTGAAAGCGTTAAAACTGCACATCGTTTATAACATTTTTAAAATGATTTCTCTTTTAATTTATTTCTTCATTCTCTGATTATTCACGATACATCTAAAAAACAAATCTTTTTTCGCTCACCGACAAGTTTTTATGTAAAAGATTACTGACAGTGGTGATTCTCTAATAAGTTCAGTTTAATTTTAAGAATAATCAGAGACATTTGATTATTTTACAACAAAAATAAATTCTTTTCTACCAAAATTTGTTACGTTTTATTTAAAGAATAAATTTTATTTACATAATTTAAAGACTAAATTGTAATCTGAAAAATATTTATATACCTAAACATAGCATTTGTTTAATTTAATTAAAATTTTGTTTCTAAAATTTTACATTTAACTAAAAACAAATGCGAATTGTAATGAATAATGGTTGGCGATTTTTTCCGTTTGTGAAACATGGGATTGACATGTTTTATATATCAAAGTTTCAGGCTCGGGGGATTGTCAGGTTTCTAAAATATACAATAAAATTTTTATATTATGGTTATCCGGGATTGACGTAATACTTTAACAATATTTGGACTTTAAATTAACCTTGTTTTAGTATTAACAAATTTTTTATTAAAAGGTAAATAATTTTTCTCTGCAAAATAATTTTTTGAAAAGCTTTAAATTTAGTTTTGCGTCAACAGCTAAAGTATCAAATAAAGAAGTTAATATCCAGAAAATCGAAAATGTTTCATCTGATGAAACACTTCAATTGTCAGCTTTTATTGATCAATTATTAATTCAACCAATTGAAAGTATTTCTCCAAAAAAGAATGTTTGTTTATTTAATTATAAAAAATGTTTTTCCTTTAAGAATCTGTCAAATCCTATAAATTTTCACCGGCAATTAATGAAAGCAAGTGGATATTGGAATTCATTAGTACAATTTGATGAATTATTATCTTCAGCAACTGTCAACAAATTTTGCAAGGATTTAAAAGGATTGGATATGAAATCTGTTGTATTTTTATTAATTTATTTTGGAAATGAAAGAATTTGTCATGAAAATATTTTGGAACCTCTGTGCAGACGAATAGAAGAATTGTGGGTATTTTTATCAAACCTTTTATGTTTATTTACTTTAATTCTTTATTTAAAATATTTACATTTTATTTTTCAATTATTTTTAGTATTCCTCTAAATGATCCAATTCTTGTCAGTAATATCTTACAATCATTACTACGACTTGGCTGGTATGACGCACGGCTAGTCACTAAATTAAAACATGAAATATTAGAGTTTCGGGATGACATTTATTCACTTCAGTTTCCTCTTGCATTGCTTGGTATGTTTTTTATTTAATTTTAATGTAAAAATTTAATTATTCTATGGGTCCTTTTATAAAAATTCCGCTTTTTCAAAAATCCTTAATTAAAATTTTCGAATCATTTTTAAGTCATGAGATTAGACTACATCCCTGTGTTTTAAGTGAATGTGTGTAACAGCTCGTGAATTTTTTCTTTTCCCTCTCTAATAAGGCTACAAAATAACATTTAAAAATCACATAAAAATATTTATTACTCAAAAACAAAAATAAGCAAACTTTGTGAAATACCTATTTATCTTGTTTAAGGAATTTCATATTTTTAGAATTTTTCTGGAAATTTGTTTCTATCAATTTATAAATAATTTTAGTCTTTTTTCCATCATTCTCATTATATTTATTTTAAAGTTTTTAATTAGACATTCTTTAATAATACATTTAATATTTGTTTTTAATAGCACGTTTTCACCTAACTGATCGGCATTTTTGGCGTCAGATTGTTGAATCGCTTGAACCAAAATTGGAATCCAAACAAATACCGTAAATTAATTTTATTTGATAAGTTACATTAATTTATTTAGAACTTTATTATTATATAATATCGCAAAAGCTTTTGCTCTTACAAATGTTGATTGTCGTTTAACATTTCCATTTGTTCAAGCACTTATCAAAAACTTTTCTACAAATTCAGCAAAGTTTTTTTATTAAAAATATTTTTTATTTATTTTAATTTAAAAAGTGATTGGCTTGAATTTGCGTATATTTTGACTTGCTTAAATTCCCTAAACAATTCTGTTGCTGAATCTGTTCTTAATAAAAACTTTGTTAATGAAATCAAAACGAATTTTCAATTTAAACTGTATTTTATAAAAAATTTTAAATTTTGTTTAAAAAATTTTTTACATATAAGTGAAAAAGAGCGTGCTTACAACAATTTGCGATTAAAAACAATTTCTTGTGCAGCTAAATTAGAATTGCCAAATTATAAAGGACCATTCTTTGTTGACAACTTGACACCCAAGGTTTGAGAAATTTTAATAAATTTTATCTTTTTTAAAATGGTGGGTGGAGTTTTCCATTAAACTCACGGCAAAGATTGCCTTGTGACAATTTTTGACGATTACGAATTTTCCAAAAATTAGAAAAGTTCATCATTTTAAATTTAATCATTTTTTGGTTTAAATTCTCAACTTTTTATTATTCCTATATTTTTCTATTTTATTTTTAAAAGGAAACACGGCGTTTGTTAAAAACCAAATTCACAGCTGAAGGAATGGAAGCATTTTCAAACTTTGAAATTTTAATGCGTCTTGTTGTTTTACCTAATGTATTGTTTAATTTTAGAAGAATTTTTAAAATAAAAACCTCAAATTTTTTTTGTAAAATTTTACAGTTATACAGTACTGGACAAGAATGGCATGAAGCAACTGGTGTTATAATTGAAGGTCGATGTTTTGTCGATGTCTCTAAAAGGGAATTTATTCCTTTATCTAAAATTCAAACTGAAAGGAAGCAAGGAACAATATGCAAAGAAATAGCGATTCTTTTCTTTACTAAAAGACAATTAACAAAAATTTATGATCCAACAGAGGAAATTGGACCAGTTAGATTAGTTGGTGTCTGCCAAACGTATGTTAATTTTCTTTTGTATTTTTTTAATATTTGGGGTTGGATTTTCCGTGTTTTGGAATTCCTCGTTTTACCCCTCACCCGGATTTTCTAGTCAAATAAATTTAGAATATAATCCTTGTTTCGATAAAATAATTTAAAATTTTTTAAACTTTTCCAGAGGTATACGACTCTTGAAGAAAGCTGGTCTCCATCCTGTTGTGTTTACTGAGGAACAATTTCAATCATTCGATGACGAGCGAACTAAAGTTGAATATATTCGTAATAGGCTGCTTGATCTTTCTGAAGATTTTCATGAAAATAATTGGCTTTTAGATGAAGCAAATGTAAAGAAAACAAATAATTTTTATGATAGATAATATTGTTAAAATGATTATATTATATGTAGGAATTTAACATAAAGTTTATTATAAAATATTTGCTTTTCAAATGAATAATTGATATTCATGATTAAATTATCTATTTATTTAATTTTTTACTTATTCTTCTCAAATCCCCTATAATACATAGCTAATATCATTTATATTTGGATTCATGCGCAGTTTTTCTGTGAGGAAAAAAAATGGCGGGAAATTGTTCTCTAGTCCATACTCTCCTATTTTCTCTTATTGTTTTCTTTTAATATTCTTGCTATTTTTAAGTAAATTTGTTTTTACAATTTTTACTTTATATTATTTTAGATTATTATTTTTTGTATTAAATGTTTGTTAATTTATTATTATAAAACATTGTTAATTAAATTAAATAGGGAATATGTCTTCTTATCCACAAATAAGGTTTTATTAATTTTATATTTTCTAAACCTTTTTAAAATATCATTTAGATATGAATATGCCGATGAATCAAATAGTTCTCAACACTCAATTTCTGCTGATCCTCCATTGTTTGTTAATTCGCGACCAATGAGTCAACAACAAGGTTTTGAACAATTTTTACATAGTTGTGACGATCCAGCAGCTCCACCATTTTCGCCTATCGGAAATCTTATAGGGCCTGATGTTGATCTTTTTCAACAATTTAATCAACCTTCATTTGGATCAAGTACAACGACAACAACGTATTGGCAACCACGTTTGGATGATTGTTCTTTTGAAAATTCTCAACAAGATTTACTCTATACACAAGTATATTTTTTTGATAATCTTATGGGCTGAATTCGTTTTCTTTTGGACTAATATATTTCTAGTTTGCGTTTATTTTGGATTATGTTTCTTTATTTGTTCCCTATTTTAATTTTTATCAAGCCCATTTGACCCATTTGAGATATTTAAAGGGGGAAACCTTTTTTATCCTCTAAATTTTTAATCTAAAATTAATTCTTATTACAATAGAATAATAATCAACACTCACAAAATGAGCAATTTGATCCATTTTATGAAGTAAACAATGAGAATCTTCACAACAATCGATCGATTACTTCAATTCCAAATATTTTGCATAATCAACAGTCCCCAAAGCGTGAACCATTTAATCGACTTCAAATTATTGAAAATACTTCATTACGCCCAGTAAATAGATTAAAGGTTTATTTAAAAATTATTCTATTTTTAAGCAATTTTCTCTGTCTTCCAACAATCAAAATTTTAAATTGGAAAAGAAGGAAGTTTCGAATAATAAATTAATTTTGGAAAATAATATTGATGAGACACCTAGGCTTATTTCTGGGCCTCCTGCTCATTGGCGATTAGATGAAGATTCGGCAGAAGGGACAACTTTTCCTAATAAACGACAAAAAATTGTTAAAAACTCTGTCAATATAAAATTGGAAGGAAAAGAAAATAGTGTTGTTGAAGTGGTTGAAGAAGGTTTTTTTTAATTTTATTTAAAAAAATATTTTAAATTATAATTTGAAAGAGCCTGAACAACCGAGAGAATTGCCTGTAGCACCTAATGGATTTGCAAAGCCAGCTTATTCCTATTCTTGCTTAATTGGTCTGGCACTAAAAAATAGTACTACTGGAGAGGTTTTTGAATTTGGAAAATTATTTTATAAATTAGCATGTGTAAAAAAATGACTTTTTATCCAAATTATATGGAAAATTTGGTATTTATTTCATCCCCCCCTCCCCTCTCCCAGTCCGCGATTTAATTGAAGTACGAAATGGTCAGTCATTTTTCCTTGCATAAGTTTAAAAAATTTGCCTGTGGTCACATTAATTCACTCACTCTCCCTTCAATAATTGCACTTTTCATTTGTAACCGTCTTTAAATATAAAAAAGGAACATTGATTTATTCAGTCATTCACAAATAACCAGGGCAAATGCGCGAGACAGGCAATCAAAACATAAAAAAATTGCCTGAATTAAAGGAAAAGTTAGTGAATGATGTGACTACAGGCAAATTTTTTAAACTTTGCAAGAAAAAAATGACTGACCATTTCGTACTTAAACTAAATTGCGGACTTGGGGGGGGGGGGCGAATAAAATAAGTATCGAAAATTTTTGGTTTAAAAAAGCCAAGAAACCAAGATTTGCTTCTAAAGTAAAATTTGTTTTTTAATTACTGTACTTTCATTTCAAATACAAATACAACCCCTGTATTTATTTGATTTTATAATTTTAATTTTTTTAAGTTGACAGTCTCGGAAATTTACGCTTTTCTTTGGTTTGTTAAAGTTAGAAAATATTTGATTTTTAATTTATTTTTAGTCATCATTTCCCATTTTTTCGTGAAGCGCCAAGTGGCTGGAAAAATTCAGTTCGGCATAATCTCTCTTTAAATAAATGTTTTCGAAAAATTGAAATCGAACCGCCAAATAGTCATGGACGAAAATGTTTTTTTAATTATTTATTTAAAAATAATAGTTAATTTCAGCGTGTCTTTGGACTATGAATCCTCCACGCCGAGCAAAAATGGATCACGAATTAAAAAAATGGCGTGAAAGGGATGAGGTATTACATTTAAATTGAAAGATCTTTTAAAGAATGGGCAGTTTGAGCTTATGAAATTACGAATCTAAAATTATGTATAATATTTTACAAACATCTCCCCGTTTACGCGTTGCTCTTATTCATAAACTGGCTCGACATACTATTAGCTAAATTCAATTCTATTTTATTTAGCCTGGAATTTTAATTGCAATGGAACGACCTAATGAATTAGATGCACTTCAAAGTGGTTCTGTTGGAATGCCTCCAAATTTAAAACCGCGGCGTTTTTCATTTCCAGCAACAAAAAATTACTCAAATCATCAAGAACGTTTAAATTTTAGTTCAAGTTGTTCATCTGCACCTTCTACTACAAATAATGGGAATTCTCCATTTGCTTTATCACGAGAAGAAATACAACAACGAATGTTTTCTGTTAGTCAAGGATCTTCATCTTCTAATAGCTTGGTTTGAAATTTAAATTTAATCTTTAGATCAAAAATTCTGATATTTTTTTACTCCGTCCAAAACAAGTTTAGGATATTTAAATAAATTATTTTTTATTTTTCAGTCTACACAAAACAACGCTATTAAATTAGAAATACAAACTCCAACAAATTCTTCTGATTTTTGTCAATCTCACATTAATCGACAACGAGGCCGGCCGTCTGCACATGCACAAGCAGCTCGCAAATTGGAAAATTGTCTTTTGCAGCAACGTCAAAAGATTTCAAAGTAGTGAGAAATAATTTTTTAAATAGCCAAATAAAATTAATGATGGCTATTTTCCCTTTGAAAATTCTTTTTTCAATTTCAATATCCTTTTTTTAAATCTCATTATTTAATAAATTATTAATGCCAAAAATTGGTTGTTATTTCTTTTATTTATTAAGTAATTATTAACAATTCTTTGAAAAATGAAAATTGAGAATTCTTTGGATAAAAAAATTAATTTCGAGCAATTTGAAATACCAAAAATTAAAATACCCTAAAAATACTTTTAAATTGCTCGTATTTTAATTAAGGCATTTTATGTATGTATATGAAAAGGTTTTTTAATATTTCCTTCTTTACAAAAAGGTTCTTTTTTGGTTTCTGTCACCCGTCGTGTCGTTTTTCCATACTTTACCATTTTTCTAATAAGAGAGGCAGAGCTATTTTTGTAAAAATATTTTATTGTTTTCCTCTGTTTATTCCCCCATTTTGTTGGTTTGCTGTCGAAGGCCCTAAGAGAAGTTTTTTTAATTAAAAAAATATATTTTAACCTGGATATCGAACAGTTCGTGTCATTCCTCCACCTCCTCCTTGACCACCACCACCCCCACTTCTTGATGTTCCTGAAGACATTCCTCCTCTTTTTAGTGTTGGTGGTTGGTGGTGATGATGATGGGGGTCTGTAGAAGTTGGAGTTCTCTTATAAAAAAAATTTAAAAATAATTTTAATTAAAAAAACTTGTTGATATTGTCTTTCCGCAGTCATTTCTAATTCTTCCATTCTTTGGGTAATCATTAATTTTTGTTGTATACTCATTCTAAGTAATTGATTTAATGTTTTCTTTTCCTCGTCTGCCGTTTTTAATAAATTTTGTGCTGATTCTAGTTGTTGTTGTAAGTCTTCTGTACGAGCAGTAAACATTGCTCTATGAGAAGCAAAAGTAGCAGCATCTTCTTTAAAGAGTTTTAATTGGGAACGTAAATTCTTAAAAAAAAAAGATTTCCTTTTTAATTTAAAAACAAAAAAACCTCCAAAGTTTCATCTTTTAATTTATTTTCTGATTCATATTTTTCTTTTAAACAATTAAATGCCCCTTCTGTTGAACTTTTATTTGAACGAAGAACAGACCGAAGAGAAGAAACTTGTTCCCTTTTAACAGCCAATAATTCTTTTAATTTATTATTTTCTTGTCTAATTTCTGTTTCATTTTTATTTCTTAAAGTAATTCCATTTAATAATAATTTTTCTTCTGTTGCTGATTTAATTATTTTAAATAATTCAATTATTGTTATAAAAGATATTTGGATATTATTATTTTTTTCTTCTATTGGAAGTCTTTCTCTTAAATCAATTTCTTCTAGAAATGAATTTTTTAATAAAATATTTTCTTCTTCAATTAAATTTTCTCCCAAATTATTACAAATTTGAGAAGATGAAATTTCTTCTAAAAATTTTTTTGAAAAAATTGGACGACAAATTTCTGGCATTAATGGAGTAATACGTGGGGAACGAACATTTAATAATCGATTATTTTGTTGTTTTGGATCTGGAGGAGCTTCAATAATTGGTGGGGGAGAAATTGAAGAATTTGACTGAAATGATTGTGATGAGGTTTGTAATGGTGTTAAAAGTGGAGGAGAATTAATTGAAGAAGAGGAAGAATTATTTAATTGATGAGAACTAATTAAAATAAATTTATTTTAATTTTTAGACAAAATAAATTAAACAAACTTATTTTCTTCTCTTTCTTCTTCTGTCTGTAAACATTCCTCAATAGAATTTAATTTATTAACTAATTCATTAATATTTTTTAATTTAATATCCAATTCTGGAGTTACTTAAAAAAAAGAATATTTTTAATTTAAAAAATTTTCAAAAAACCTTTTTCATTATTTATTTGTTCCCCAACAATTAATTCAATATAAAAAGAATATAAAGCTTGTCCCATTTGGACAATCATTTGCTGAGAATTTAATAACCAAGCGTCTTTCCTTGCTGCTAAAATTATTGCTTTTCGAAGACTTTCTGAAATTTTAAAATTTTTTTAAATTTTTAAACAAAAAAAACCTTTTAATTTTTCTAAACGTTTTTGCATATTTTTAGCTTCTTTTTGAGGGCCAATACGCTCTTCAAGTCTTTCCATTGCCAAAGACATATATTCTTTTAATTTTGTTAATTCAAATTCTTCTTTAAAAATAAATTATTTTTTTAATTAAAAATTTAATTTTCAAACCAAAATTAACTCCAACAATTCCAATATCCAATTTTTGAAAAAAAGGAATTAACATTTGGGCAAATTGTTTGGATTGTTCTGCACGTAAATTAATTAAACGTTGATTTTCTGTTTGAAATTTATTTAATTGTTCTGTTAATTCTGATCCGTGTAATTCTGAAAAAAGATCTTTCTCTCCCCCATTGTTGCCGTTTTTGATAATTTCTTAATAAAAATATTTAATTGAAAGAAAATTTCTTTTACCATTTCCTTTTAAACAATTTAAAGATTCTTCAGCAATAAAAGAACTTTCTAACTAGAAAAAATAAAATTTATTTAAATTCTCAAAAATAATTCAAAAAACCTGTTTCATTGTATCTCTGTCGTGAACTTCATGAGCACCTTTAATACCCAAATATAAACTATTTAATGAAGCTAAATGTTCTTGATTTCGAAGCTTGAAAAAGATTAAAAATTATTTTAATAAATTTAAAAAAAGGGTGGACATTTCTCGAAAAAACTTCAAAAAATTTCTTACCAAAAAATTCAATTTATTTATTAAAATATAATCTAAAAACCTGTTCAAATTCCTTTTTTAAAGCCAATCTATGTTCTCTTTCATGTTGAGCAGTTGCCAATGCATCAGCCACTTGATGTTCAGCCAATGAACGAAGCTGTAGAAATTTAAATAAATTAAATTAAAAAAAATAAAAACTTTTTCAGCTTCTTCAGCAGATGTTTGTAAAATAATCATTTCATCCAACATTCCTTTTATTTGTAATTTCATTGATTCAAATTCAATTTGTGCAGATCTCAGATTTGAAACCTTTAAAGGAAAATAAAAAAAATAATTTAAAAAAATCAAACTTGTTTAAGTAAAGCAACATTTTCTTCTTCCAATTCATAATTTTCCCCAATTAATTGCTGTTCTCGAGTACGTAATTCTTTCAACTAAAATTAAATCTTTAAAAAAGAATTTCTAAAAACAATTTAAAAACCTCTTCTTTTAATGTTTTTCTTTCAATTTCCAATTCTTCTACTCTTGTCTGAATTAAAATTAATTCCTGTTGAAGTCTCTCAGAATCAGATTTGTAAACAATTAATTGCTTAAAAATTAAAAGAAAAAATATTTTTTTAAAAATTTATTTCAAAAAAACTTCTTGTAAATGTTTTTTAGCCAATTCCAAAGTTTTCACTTTATCAGCAAACCGAGCCTCTAAAGCTGCCGAATCTTCGTCCATTTCCTGATTTAATTCATTAGCCTCAGCATTACATTGTGAAGAACGAAACAAAGTTAATTTTTGTTGTGTTTTTTCAAGTTCTGAACGAATTACTTCGAATTCTTTTAAAAGAGCCTTTAAAAAAGAAAAATAAATTTATTAAAAAAATTTGAAATTTAAATTAATTTTTAATTAAAAATATTTCTCTTTTATTTTTTCAAAACCTCGTGTGTCAATTCCAACTGTTCTTTTTCCTTTAATAAATGTAATCCCAATTCTCCAGCCTGCGCCTTTTCTTTATCAGCAATTTCCAATCTTTTAGTCATTTCCAAAATTTCATCCCGCAAACTCTAAAAAGAAATATCTTTTTTAAATTAATTTAATTAACCTGTAATTCCTTTTCTTCATTATTCTTCATTATTTCAAAATAAAAAAAAATAAAAATTAAAATAAGAAATTTGTTAGAAATTATTTAAATTTAATTCATTTTGTAATAAAAATAAATTTAAAGAAAATATATGGTAAATAAAACAGTATAAAAATTGACGTGCTGCGCAAGGTAATCAATCAATTTTAAACAAAAATGTGAATATATTTAAAATTAATAGTATAAACAAATAAAATAATAATAAAAAATATTTTTTTAAAAGAAAAGTTAATTAATAGGCTTTCTAAAATTAAAAAATCAAATTTATAGTTAACACAAAAATTAAAATGGAAAATATTTTTACATTAATTATGAATTTGCTTTAAGATTTTTAAGAATTGCCGGCCGTCTAGCTTCGGCTATAATATACATATTGTAGAGGTTGAATCCTGATCATGAACTTTTCAATTTCGAATTAATCGAAATATACTTCTATTTGTAATACCAAATATATTTAATTTTTAAAATAATTTGCAATAATTGATTAGTAATTTAGCAAAAAAGAAAAATATTAAATAATATCAAAATAAAATGTTTAGTAAAAGAAGACACACTTCTCCTCTCTCTATCTTCTTCCTCTTTTTAAAATGCGGCTGGAAATACTCTTCACAAAACGAAGAATTTTAAAAATAATCGATGATATTCTCTTTAATGTTGAACTAAATATATTATAGTATATACTAAAGTAAGTAACAAAAGAATGTTTTTTACAAAGTGGAAGATGGACAGACGTGTAAAAAATAAAAATAAATTTTATAAAAAACAAACTTTTATTTATTTAAGTTTTCAATATTTTAATAATTAAAAGTTTATTTTAAAGCTAGGAATTTTGAAAAAACCGGGTCCGGGAAAACCCGTTCCCTGTTTCAACCCGGTTGCTTCAAATAACCGGGAAAAAGGACCCGAAAACGGGTCCGAGTCCCGATCCCGTTCCTAGCTCTAGTTTATTTCTCTTTTTTAGTCTGCTACATTAATTTTCTAGCTACATTAAGTATTAAATATTTTCTGTTTAAATAAAAATTAAAATAAAAAAAATATTTTTAAATATTTATTCAAAATCTAAAAAAAGGATATTTAATTAATTATATACACAAATTCTGTTTATTTAAAATAATACAAACACAAACACAAACATTTAAAAACAAAATATTTTCAATTTACTTTAAAAATATTTCTTTTTATTTAAAATTGTGCTTATTTTTGAAAAAGAGACTGGCCGGAAGCATCGGTCTGTATTTGTCGGTTAAATATAAAAAAATCGAAATTTTAAATCTGAAGTTTATTAGTATATTCAAAATATTGAAATAAGTTCAAAACTAGTATATGTATATTATTCGATGAAAGATGCCACTCTGTTCGATTAATCGAGACACAAGAAAGGATTAAAGTTTGTGGTTTTTTCGGTTAAAAAATGGACATCAAGCCGGTCTCTAAAAAACTATCGACAAAAAGTTGAGAATAAGGAAAGAATTACAAGTAAAAAAAGGAAAGAAAAACATTTAAAAATCACAACATAAATAATTACTTTTACATAAATTTATTTATTTATAATTTGAGGACTTTATGGACCCTTCCTACTATTTTTGTGTCTCACAAATCAGAGTTTTCCTTAAGATAAATTAACTAATTAATATTTTTCCCCATTTAATTATAAATAAATAAATTTATTTTTGAATAATGCGGTAATTGAGAGTGTTAAAATATATACTAAATAATACAAATACAAAAAATATATATAGTATAGTAATTGTTCTATGGGATTTTGTGGTTACCTGGAATTAAAATAAGAAAAAGAAAAAAAAATAAAATAAATAAATACATTTACAGAAAATTTAATTCAAAAAAAATCAAAATTATTAATTAATTAAATGTATTTATTTAATAATTAAAAAAAAAGAAAAAAAAAGAAAAATGCCTTTTCTAAAAATATTTTTTTGGTTTTCATTGCAACAATTATTTTATTACAGTTTATTTAAAATAAAATATATGCGCGAATTTGGAAGGAAAAAAAATATATGCACTTTTTAAGTATTTATTTAAGAAAAAAAAGAAAATGAACAAAAGAATTGCAAAAAAAACTTTTTTAAATAAATAAATTTGGAGATTTAAAAAAAGAGAAAAAAAAGAAAAGAGAATTTCATCCCATTATAGGGATATACAAATTATGAACAGCAAACGGCCAAAAAAGGAGAAAGGACTCGTTGCTGAACGTTTTAACTTGAGTAACTAACTCAAAAACATTTATTGTTGTTTATAACGAGACAACAATTGGTGATTTACAGAATTTAAAATATTTGGTCTAAAATTTGGAAAAAAAATTAAATTAATTTTCTCTAAACATTTTTACCTTAAATTTAACAAAATTCCAATTTCTTCAGAACTTAATCCACCATTTATCCCTCCTTTTTTATTTATTAAAGGTAAAGAAGCAACAGAAATACCCAAAAGAAAACGTGCAAGTTTTGCTAAATGAGGGAATTGTTCTTCTCCAATTGAAGACCAAAATTCAAGAATATCACTAAATTTAAATAGAAAATTTGGGTTTAAATTATTTCTATTGTTGTTTAGTCAAGTTTGAACTAGGGTTCCAAATTTACGGTCATATGGCAGTTTTCACGGGGACAGTGGTTGCGGTGGTTTTTGCCACGGTGACGGGGAGGACGTTAGACTGGGAGGAGAGCCTCCCACCGTCCCCGGTGAACCACCATCCTCGGGGACGTGGTTGAACCCTAGTATGGACAGTTAGGTACTCCCTTGTATACCTATGTTGAAATTGATTTCTAATGGAGGGATTTAGGGGATTTGAAGGGATATCGGGGGTTCTTGAATATCTAGTCTGGACTATAAATATTCCTTCAATTGTTTACCTAGTTTGTGAAGACGTAAATGTTGCTTTTAAATAACAATCTAATTCATCCTCTTCTTTTACTTCTTGTAAAGAACAACCTTCTAATTGATCCAAAAATCGCCGTCTTTTACAAAAAGGTTGTTGTTGATGTTCTTCCTCTTTAAATAAAATAAATAAATATTTTTATTTTTATTTAGAAAAACTTTTTATAGATTCTTTCGGTTTTTTGTCTAAATTAGCCATTTCACGAATTTTTTCATAAACAGACAAACGCTCAGAATCTGAACAAATTAAGGGTAAATGACGAAGACGAGGATTTAATGCTGTCTAAAAATTGTTTTATTTTTTCTTTTAATTTTCTTTAAATTTTCACCGCAACTCGATGTTCTAAACAAATATTTTTATTAGCCCATTCTTTTAAATATAAAGTAGCAGAAAGGCGAACAGAAGATAAAGAGAATATTCCTTCTTCTTTTTCTTCTTCTTTAATTGTTGATTGTTGACATTCATGTATTAAAGCAAACAATTCAGGCAAAATCTTTTTTTTAAATTTTTTTAATAACTCAATTATTTAAATAAAAACCTTATGGAAATGTGGTTTATTTAAATCTAAAAATATTTGAGAAGTTTCATAAAAAGGCTCCAAAAAAGTTTCCAATTCATAAATTATTTGCCAATTAATTTCACTAAATTCTTTAAATAAATTTATATTTTCTCCTTTTTCTCCTCCTCCTTCCTCTTCATTTTCAATTTTTTCTTCCTCCAAAAATGTTAAAATATCAGCACAATGCTCCCGAATAAATTTTATTGAAGGGTAAATCTAAAAATTAAGATATATCAATTTAGAATATTACTCTCATGTCAGTTTTAAATAAAACAATTTCTCCATCCCCAACAAAGAGAGGGTATTCAAAATTTAACTCCAACTAATTAATTAAGAAAGAGTTTAGTAAATGTTTAGCCAACGGCAGGATTCGAACTGCGACAACTCTGACAATGCTCACTCGGCCTTGCCCACACAAATGCATGTGTTCTACCACTGAGCTACCAGGGCACTGACTAATGCCTTCTCTTTTTCCCTTTAACTCACGCCTAAGGATTTTAAATACTGCTAGATAAATCATCCTTACAATATTTGTAAAATCAAATTTTGTTTTAGTTGTTTGTTGCTTTATTTGTTTTTCCAAATTTTCCAATTCCAAAAACTGTCCACACCCAAAATCTGATTTAGCCAAAACTTCAATTATTCGAATAAATAAATTAATTAATTTAATAATTAATTGTTGGTTATTTAAGCATTTAATTAAAATATTATTTAATTCTTCTTTTAAATTAAAAAATAAATTTGGAGGAGTGATATTTTTTGAAGAAAAATTAGTTAATAATTTTGTTTTAAACATTTCTTTCTCCTCTTCCTCATTATCAAAAATTTTAATATTTTCTTCAATTGTAATTGTTATTAAAGGACTTTTATCTAATTTAAATTCTTTTAAAATATCCAAAATAAATTGACAAAATATTTGAAATGTTATTGTTGTTGATGTTGTTTGTTGGTGTTGTTGATTGTTACAATAATTAGTCTTTAATTCTTTTAAACTTTGAACTCTAAAAAATTATTTTTTTTTTTAAATTATTATATTAATAAATAATAGTTTTGATTTTCGTGCAAATTAGGGATCTAGGAGAGTTAGTCTGATCGCCCTGAAAGTTTCCCATTGTTCATGCTACAAAGATAATGTTAAACTGAGGGAACCTATGTTAAAAAAAAGTTTCGGACAAAAATTTCTGTAAAAATCAAGGCAATTTCTTTGAAGGGAAGTTATAAATTCTTAATAATTTTTGAGAAAAAAAGACTCGATAAAAACTGATTAAGTAAAATATTTCTTAAAGGATTTTGTGGCAGTGTTTATAAATTTTCTTTAGAAATTTCAGATTAAATGGACAATAGGATCTTAGAAACACAGAAAAAACTAGGTGGAGTTATAATTTATTAATTTATCCCTTCTCCCTATAAATTTATTAATTACTTAAGAATTCTTTGAGTAATTCTCCAATCATCAGTTATATAATTAATTGAAATAACTAATTGTATTTCCCCTCCAAATTCTATTTGATGACAATTTAATGAAATTCCAACATTTTTAATTTGTTCAAGGTCATTTTTAGTTGATTGAAAAATAGCCTTTTCTTGGGATAAAAATATCTTTAAAAAAATTTCTTATTTAAAAAGAGAACATTTCCTTTAAAAAAACTTTTTTCATTTGATTTCCTGTTTGAATTAATTGCCTTTTTATTGGATCAAATTGTTGTTTAATTGTTGTTGAAGTAGAAGAAATACCCGTAGATGATCGGCGTCCAATAAAAAGTAAAGTTTCAACCAAATTTTGAAACCCTTCCCCTTCAACAATTTCCCATTTTAACAAATCTTGAGAACAAAAATTCATCACTGCTTGAGAAAATAATTGGCGGTCTGTTGAAGTAAAATGATGGCCAGAAAAGGAAGAAGTTAGTAATTCTCCTTTTTTAGTTGATAATTGATCTTCCTGTCCAGTTAATGACGATGTTGACCCGCAGTAATTAATAATCTCCCCTTGTGTAGGGCCAACACTTGGGGCAGAAGCAGCAGAATCATATTCTGGTGATATTGTAGAGAGAAGACCAAAATGTGTTTGTTGGTGTTGTTTTTCCTTAAAATTAAAAACTTTTTATTGTTAAATCCTCTTTGCAAAAAGATTCTAACAGTTTATATAAATACATATTAACAGTTGTACCTCTGATTGTCGAGGAATTTCTACAGGCATTGGTTGAATTAATGGTTGTTGCTGTTGTTGTTGTTGAAACATACAAACAGCGGCTGCTGTAATTGGACTAATTAAAGAAGCAGAAGTTGTTGAAGAAGAAGAAGAAGAATTTCCCCCTCCTCCCCCAAATAATTTATTAAGCATTGTTGGAGCAGGGACAGAAGGTAATGAAGATAAATTAAGTCCTGTTAAATGTTGTTGTTGTTGTTCTATTGAAGTAGTTGTAGATGAAGAAGAACAAAAACTTCCCAATGATTGAAATCCACTACTATTATTACTACATCCACTACTGCCAGAATGTGAAGCAGAAAAATTTCCAAAATTTCCTGATTGATGGATTAAAACTCTTTGTTGTTGTTGTTGCTCTAATATTAAAGCTGCCGCCGCTGCCGCTGCAGCAACTTTTCTTTGATGTTGTTGAGCTAAAATGCGTAAATTTTGTTCTTGTTGTGTTGTTAATAATTCTTGTTGAGGGGATGTTGGGGGAGGTTGGATAGAAGTAGTTGTACTTTCACCGCTTTGATGACGAAAAGGGCCGCCGCCAACTATTTTTGTGATAAAAAATTTTATTTAAAATTTAAATATTCTTATTACCCCCAACAGATTCAAATGAAGAAGAGGATTGATTAAAGGAAAGAGAATCATTCCCAACAGTCGTATCAGAAGAAGAACTTTAAAAGAAACAAAAAATATTTTTAAAATTATTTCAGATACCGTCTAACAGAATTTCTATAGCTAGAACCCATCGAACATCTGTGTCTTGTCATATTCCCAGTACCGCCCCCCGTGTCTGTATAAAGTACTTTACAGGCATAACAAGCAACATAAGGTAATCTAGCATTTGTTAATGTATCCACAACTTGTCCAAATAAATTCCAAACTTCAGAACGTCCCCGTTTTCTAACTAATTTAAATCGACCACGATTCATCCGAATATCCGTCTACAAAAATTAAAAATTAATTAAAAAATTTATTCAAATTAAAATACTTGAATATCTTGTTTTCGAGGAATTGGTTCAACATTGGTTGTTATTGAAAGTTTTACTCCACTAGTACTTGCTGTAGACTCTGTTGATTGCTAAAGAAAGACGAGAAAAATTAAGACAACATCAAGCCTTATTGATAAAATTCTGACAGAATTTTTAGTGAATATACATACTAAATACTTTGTTTTTTATTAACTTACATTTCTCTCAAAATCTCCTCCAATATTATCTACAATTGATTGTTGTTGTAATTGTAAATTAATTTGTTCTTCTTGAATGGCAGCTAAACGAGAAGTTGGAGCAGAAATTGAAGAGGAAGTGGAGGAGGAGGAAGTATTTAAATGTTGTTGTTGACTTTCAATATATAAAGGTTGTTGTTGGTCTAGTAAATTTTGTTTTTGTTGTTGGATCTTAAAAAATAGAAAAATAATTTGAAAAAGAAAATAATTATTTTCGAAGTACATGTCCAATTAAATTAGCCAAAACATTCACAGCTTGTTGTTGTTGTTGTGAAGTATTTACAGATAAATTAGTGTTAATCCAAGAAGGAGAACAACTAGCTGCTGAAATTTGTTCTTGATTTAATTGTTGTTGTTGCTGAAGTAAAGTTGAAAATAATTCTTCTCTATTTACTTTAAAATTTAAAAATTAAATAAAATTCTCTCTAAATATTCTTTACTTTGTTCTTCACATTCTTGTTTAATTGTTGGCCTTGTATTTGTTGCTGGTTGTGTTTCTGTAATTCCGGGGATTGAAATAGCTAAAGGGGAAGGGATTTGGTGGTGTTGTTGTTGTTGATTATGGTGATGGTGAAGTAATGCTAACTGAAGGGCAGCAGCTGTTGGCTAAAAAGTAGGGGGAAAATTAGTAGATGGAGTTTAATAAAAAGAGAATGAATGGTTAAATTTAAATACAGTAAAGCAGAAATGGGCTATAGCTATTTCTCCTTCAGCCAGTGCAAAAGATTAATCGGCACTGAGAGCCGGACTGCTGTGTTAATCCACGCCACCTCCTGCATAGCTTTGGGAATTACCGTATAACCTGTATTAATTACCCTCCCTCAAATAATTACCCCCCACTTCTATTAATTACACCCCCCCCCCCCCATCAAATCCCCTAAAACACGTTCAAATTTCAAACCTCAAATAATTACCCTCCCTCAATTAATTACTCATTCCAGCGGAAGGGCGAAACAACAATTACCCAGGGTAATTATTCAATGTTTTACGGTAAATAGCTACATATATGCTTTACAATATAAAATTTAACAAATAAATCTATTTATTTTTAACCGAAGGAACAAAAGAAGTATGGCCTTCTGACGGTATAAATTTAGATAATGGTGGGGAAATAGCTGAAGATGTTTGTTGATGAGTAAAGTGGGGTTGTTGTGATTGGAATTTAGAATGTTCAGAAGATGAAGATTGTTGTTGTTGTTCAAATAAAGAAAGTACTGAATGTTCTTCTTCTTCAACAGCTAAATAAAAGAAAGATTTAGAATAAATTTAAATAAAAATACCTGGATATTTCCGTAATGTTCTAATACCCGTTCTTCCTTCAAATCGACCAATTCCCTGAGTTTCAATTGGATTGCACTTTTGTTGTTGTTTTTCTTCTTCTTTTTCCATTTCCAATTTTTGTTTATTTTCATTAGAATTATTTTTAGAAGATTTTTGTTTTTCTTCTTTTTTATCATCAATACTGACCCGTTGAACCTTTAGAAAAAAAATTTTTTTAACTAAAACATTTTCTTAAAATTTTTTTACTTCAACCGCAATAGCAGAAGGGGAAATCTGTTGTCTATCAAAAATATCTTCCTCCTCCTTTCCCTTCTCTTCCGGGGAACTGCCACCAACGGCGGTGTTGTCCCCACTTTCGTTATTCGAACTTTTTGTATTTAATTCAATTGCACTAAGAAATTTATTTTGTTTCACTTCCACGCAGTTAAAATGCAAAGGTAAAGGATTACTATTTTTGTTGTTGTTGTTATTACCGTTGCTTTTTGAATGCGCGGTTAGTGACTTAAAATAAAATAAATTTATTTAACTTTAATTATTACTGTAATTATTAAAACTAACAATAAATTTTTGTTTTTCTTCCGTTGTTGTTTTTAGTAAATCTAAATTTTGTTTTTGTACAGTATTTTCTTTTTCTTGTTCAAATAAAGAAATAGGTAAAGATTGTTTTTGTTGTTGCTGTATTTCTTTCCCAACTTTTTCCTCCTCAATATTTAATTGTTGTTCAGTTTGTTTATTATAATAACAACTTTCTAAAAATGCCAAAAATTCCTCTTCTTCTTGTGTTCTCTTTTTCCCTTCCAAATTATTTTCTTCCTTTTTTTCAACTAATTTTTCACTCAAAACTTGAAAATTTCCAATTGTTTCTGTTGTAAATGGTGGAAGAAAATTGGGTTTGGCGGCACTTGAAAATTGGCCGCCTTCAAAAGGCCCAAAAGCTTGTACGGCTGCAGTATTAGCAACAGAATGGGGTGGAAGGTCTGGAAAGAAGAAAATGAATAAAAAAACAAAATTTAGAGTAGATTATTTATGTAGAATAACAAAAATTCTGATTTGAAATTCTTTCTCTCTCTCACCCTGGTAATTTATATACAGACTAAATTTTATATATAAACACCCCTCCCCCTCCCCATTGAACCTGAACCTTTCAAGGATTAAAATAAATGTCTATTAAATTTCTTACATTTGTTATAAAAATAAAACTTTAAACAAGCAAAACCACTTTTCCTGTATTGAAGTATAGGGAAAAGAATGTCTAAAGGGGAAATGCATAGGAGAGAATATACTTCCGGTCGACCGAAAGTAGAATAGGAAACAATTAAACAACCCCAATATTTATTGAAATTTTAAAAATCCAAATTTCGCCTTTCGTTTTTAAATTAATTTTCGCATCTTAGCCTTTCATTTTTCGCTTTTTTAAAATGTTTCGGCACACCTTGCTGTATATATATTTTTTAAATTTAATTTTTCAATTTTTTGAAAAAAATATTAATTTAAAAAAAGAAAATATTTAATTAATTAAAATAAACTGATTTAAGTATATATGTATTTTTGTGTGAAAAATAAGCAAAAAAAAGAGAGAAACAATTCGGGAAAGAAGAACAAACTATTTAATAAAATGAACGAAATAAATTTTAAATAAAAATTTCAAAAAAAGGAGAGAGAAAGAAGGAAAGATTGGTTGATTAGGTGAAGGACGATAAATAAATTTTTTGAAGAACTACCTAACTAACTATAACTACTAGCAACTAACCCATGAAAAGAAAGAACTGTTCGTTCTTCAACTTTTTTTATGTTTAAGTTTTGAATAAATTGGGGGGAGAAGGAGAAGATGGAAGTGCAATTTAATAGAAGAAGTTATGGGCGCGCAAAATAAATTTTAAGGGTTTTTAACTAAAAAAAATATATATTTTTGTGGCGACCTTGTGATGTGGTTTTTGGCTTTAATTGATGAAAAATTAGAAAAAAATATTTTTAAAATTTTTATTTATTTTTTTACCAATAATTTGTTTTTGATTATAAAAGTTGAACATTAATTTATTTCCATTATTAACTATTAATTGTTGAATTAAAGATAATGGAGAAGTTAACATTTTTGTGTGTTTAGAAAATTTATTTAAATCTTAATAATTTTTTAAAAGAAAATGTGAAGATATATATTTATTTAAAATGAAAAGAAAATATTTTAAAAGATTTTATTTAAATAAATTGAAAGGATTCAGAAAAGATTAACGGAAGCTCTCTAATGGATAAATAAAAAAAAATTACTTATTTAAAAAGAATGTCAACAAAAAATATTTAAATAAATATAAATCGGATTAAAAAAAAAGTAATTTTAAAAGCTTTTCTTTAATAAAAAAATAATTTTAATATTTGCAAATAAATATTAGAGTTTTTAATTAATTAATTTTAATTTAAAATATATTTTTAATTAATTTTTATTTAAACGTGCTTGACTTTTTTATATTTTTTTGTTTGCGCATTAATTTTCATTTCTTTTTTTTCCGGAAATATTTCTAACAAAAAAAATAATAATTTTTTCCCAAATCAGCTCAAAAGTATTTAAAATTTTTTAAAGGCTTTCGTTAAAGAGAATTTCCGTTGTCGAAGCACTTGGGGAGGATTTAGGGGATTAATTACGTAGTTGTAATCCAAAAAATATTTTTTAAAGTCAAAAGGGATTTTGAAGGGTTTTGCTTGTTTAAAGAAAGAAAAAAAAGAAGAATTTATTTAATAAATTTAAATTAAATATAAAAAAATATGTAAATCAACGTCATATTACATAAATTTAAAGATTCTGTAAATTAAATATTTTGTCTAGAATTGTTTAGAATAAATAAATAGTTAAAAGAGAATATTTATTTTCAGAAAAGTTTTTCAAAAAATTTTCCCAATCTTAATTAATAACTCTAAATAAATATTTATTTATCATCTCATTCCAATCTCTTCAAAATTAACTAAATAAAGGCTCAACTTCTTTTAATTACCGTATTTCCCCAAAAATAATTGGTCATTTGATTAAGTATTTATTTAAAAAAAATCTCCAATATTTAAAAGAATCCTCATTTAGAGTTTTTTTTCGGAAATTTTACTGTCGGGGTGGAACCATAGTTGAGATTTTGAATATCAGCCTCGCTAATATTCAAAATAATTACATACCCTGATTTTGTCCCTGCTGGCCTTATTTTTCTAAAAACCAAATTAAATTATAACCCCGATTCAGAAAGTTAAACTTTAACGACTCTGATAATTTAATGAGGGTGAAATTTACTTATCAAAAAGTGTATTATAATAATTCTCATAATTTATTAATTTATTTATTTTTTGGGCTTTTAGATTGTCCGGAAAATACCAATTAAACTCCAAGCTCTTGAAAATTAAAAAATTTTGAGGATAGTTGACAATTTGGTTCTGAGGAAAGACCCGTATCCACGACTTTTCTTTGAGGTTTTCGGTATAGGTTTTGAGATTGTCTTAGTCTCGAGATATATAATCAGCACATCCATAGCTCCAAATGTTTCTTAAATAACAACGATTTTTGAACTTTCCCATTTTCTAACAAGAAAGTTATTATTTTAGAGGAAATATGGTAATTATATTACGCAATAATTAAATTATAATTTAAAATATATACACGCAATTGTTTAAAAGTAATAAAATAAATAACCGGAAATGTCAAACAATTTAAATACAAAAAACGAAAAAAAAATATTATTTTTTTTTTAATTTAGATCTTTACTTAAAAATAATTTTTAAAAAATAATTACCCAATAATTAATAATTATTTTTTTTATTTATTTTTAAAATATTTCTAAAAATACTAAAAAAGGTATTAAATAATAATTACTAAGCTAAACCTAAAATTATTTTTGTTTGACGCAAAAATATATAAAAATAAAAATATTTAATTTAAAAAAGAAATATTCTAATAATGTTGCGCAAATAAATATATTCAAAAAACCCCAATATATATTTTTAAATATTTAATTAGAAAAAAAAAGAATTATTTTTCTAAAAAAATAATAATTATTTTTTTAAGTTAATTATATTTATTTATATATTAAAGCTTTGTCTGTTGCCAAGTAATGAATGTTTTTTTATAATTAAAAAAAGAAAAAAAATAATTTAAAAATATTTAAAAATAAATATATTTGTGACAACAATATAATTTAAATCAGCTGTTTTATATAAGAAAAAATAATTGTTTTTTTTGTATTTCTTAATTTTTTTTTCAATTGTCCTTACAACAAAAAAGAATTTTTTTGCAGAGTTCAGCATTTTATTTGTGTGTATGATTTGTCGTTTTACTTCTTCCCCCCCCCCTTTCAAAAAATTTTTTTTCTCGTTTTTGCATCATTAGTTGTTTGTCACTTTTGTGTTATAAAATTGCTGTTTCCAGCTCTTTTCCTCTTATATATTTTCAGTCAGCCGTTCGTAGACTAACACAACAAGAACAACAAAATAACTAACCACTAACTTAAAATATCTCATCAATGTGTTGGTGAAAGGAGAGAAAGAGAAAAGAATAAAAAATAAAAAATGAATGTTTGGTTGGTTGGTTGAGGGGAAGGAGGAGGAGAGGAGGGGAAGGAGAGGAGGAAGTTCACATTCGCCTTTGGCCTTTGACTCATTCTACTCTTTAACTTGAGTCAGCAAAAGATATTTAGTATTAGATGAGGGAAAATGTGGGTATATTTAAGTGAAACAAAAATACTAAAAATTATTTTGAAAATAAAAAAAAATATTTGCGCAAAAATATAAAAGAAAATTCAAAAAAAAAAGTTGTTAATTAAAATAAGAAAAAAATAAATAAATGACAAATAAAAAATAGTGATAAATGTGGAAATCAACGATCGACTGACTGTTCTGGCCGAATGGATCATCTCTCACTCAGCTGTGCTCTTTGACATTAATTGTCCTCTTTCTTTTCTTTTTCTAAAGCTTTTCCTTTTAAATTGCTAGCACGGAAATAAATAGATTATATATTTAACGTTAAATGGATGGGTCAATCAGGTGATCAAAAAATTGAAAAAGAAAAAAGAAAAGAAATATTTCGAAAAAAATGGAAGGAAAGAAAACGTTCAAGAAAAAGATCGAAGAATAAAAGAATTTAGAAAAAAAAAGAAAATAAAATTTTTATAATTTAAAAAACATCAATATACATATTTAGTACATAGTTGAATTTTTTGATTTTCTAAAATAAAAAAAGAAAACCCCAAACATACCTAATTCTTTCAGTATATTTATTTTCTATTCAAAATATTAGATTTAGCCATTTATCACGAGGGATTTTTCATGTGTATTTACTAGAGACCGGAATTTTGTTCCGTACTGATAAAATACGGCTGTCGGTACTCTCTAGTATTTATGTATATTTTCTTATATGTAAAATCTACAGCTTATACAGTTGACGAAAATTGTATATTTTTATTTTTTGTGGGGTTTCAAATATGTGAAATCATCTAAATCTGACATTTTCGCACTCATCTCTAATAGACAACGGAAAGAAAACCCATAAAATTTTTATAAATTCAAAAAAACCCCAAAAATGGTTTCTCGCATTAAAATGACAAAACGAAGATATAGCTTAAAAATAATTAAATAACTTAATTTAAATCAAAAAATATTTTTGAAAATTCTACATAGGTATATGTAATTGTCGACAAAATTAAACGAAAATGGCCAAGACTTAAAAAAAAGAAAGGAATGTTCATTTAAATATATTAAAGGTTATATGACAGAGAAATAAAAAAATTTTTTTCCGTTGCGTGTGTCACAAGCATTCCCAAATACTAACTAGTATATATAGAGTAGGTCTTTACATAAGCATTAAAAGCAATCGACCCAAACTGAGTCAGTCAACTCAAAAAGCATTTGACGTTTTTAAAATGAAAAAAAAGAGAGAAAAGGAAGGAAAGGGAAAGAGAAAAAGAAAAAAAAATATTTTAATTGTTATTCTTTTATTTTTTAAATTAATTATTAAAATTTTTAATAATTTTAGTAATTTCTTTTTTGATTTTCAAAGCTTTGTGTCTACTTGTAGGCCAATTACTCCAACATTCAATCATTAAATTACAAATAATTATTAACTAAATATAAAATTATTTAAATTTAATTTAAATATACAACAAACATTTTCTTCTTTTTTCCATTCATTCAAAATTGGGGGACGAATTTTCTTTAAAAAAATATTTTTATTTTTTAAAATTAAAATTTTAAAAGAAAACTTTATCGCAAACAATTTCCCTCATTTGATCAAATGATGGATCTAAATAAATTTAGGTAATTATTTTTATTTTTTAGTACCCGTTTCAACAATTAATTCAAAAGGAAGTTTATGTTGGTAGTGTTGTTCTTTTAAATTATTTAAATTATTTATTTCATTTAAAGAAGTAGATATTGTTGATATATTTGAAAAAGAATTGTTTCTTGTTTTGATTATTTCCTTTTTTTAATTTAAAAAATAAAAATTTTCTTTTAATTTTAAATACAATTTCGCCTCTCAGAAATCTTTAGACAATTAACAATAGGCTCGATGAGAGGAATTGAATACATATTACTACTCAATACTTAAATAATTACCCCCCCCCCTACCCAGGGTAATTATCTAGTACTAAATATTGAGGCAGAAAAAAATCTGAGTCAAAAAATACATTTTTAATTAATTAATTTTCTCCAAAATATTTTTAAAAAATTTACAATTGAATTATTTGAAGGAATTAAATTATTATTATTTGTACTATTTATAAAAGGTAAAGTTGTTGTTGTTGTAGTTCCTCCCCCACTTGCAATTCCACTTGAATAATTTGTTGATTGACCTTTTTTGGGGTTAATTAAAAATTAAAATTATTTAAAGGAAATATTTACAATTAACTAAATAATTATTTTGTTGTTTAATTAATTGTTGTTTTGAATAATTGTTATTTGTTGTTGGTAATTGAATACAATTAATTATTTCCCATAAAACAAGGGAAAAAGAGTAAATATCTGCACATTTAAATTCTTCAAAATTATTTGGATTTAATGTTTTATTTAAAATTTCTGGTGCCATATATCTCTTTTTTTAATTAAAATAATTTTAAATAAAATTTTAAATTACTTTAGTCCCAACTTGTATATTTACCAAATTATTTTTCAAAAAATTTTCTTCTTTTTTAACAATTGCCAATCCAAAATCAGCAATACAACAAACACCAGGCCTTTTAACCAGAATATTTTTTGATTTAATATCCCTGTGGGCAATCTCTAATTTCTGACATTCCCCAGTTCCTCTAACCGGATTGTGTAAATGCTCTAATCCAGTTATTGTACTTTTTTTTAAATATATTTAATTGTTAATTTTAGAAAAAAACCTTAAAGAAAGATTTAAAGCTTCTTCAAAATTTAAAGAATAATTTGAACGTAAATAATCATAAAGAGAACCCAATGGATGAAAATCAGTTATTAATAACCTTTTTTTAAATAAATATTTTTTTGAAAGTTTTTTTAAACTTACATTTGTGTTAAAGAATCTACATTACTTAACTAAAAAAATATTATTTTTCCCCTTCTCTAAATTAAAAAAAAACTACTTACAATATCCGCAGCTATATATTCTAATTAAAACAAAATATTTCTTTTTAAAATAAAAAAATAATTTACGTAAAATATTTTCGTGATTAAACATTTGGCTAAGGTAAATATCCCTTTCATTTCTCCAAGATTCTTCTTCTGTTGTATTAAATATCTAAATAATTAAATTCTCTTCTTCCCCCCCCCCCTCCCTCATCCCCCTTACTTTAACAGCAACATAACTTCCTCTATAAATTGCTTTACATATTTCCCCATATCTTCCTTTAGAAAATATTTCTTTCATTTGTAAATCTAATGCTATCCGCCTTTTATTTAAAATTATTCTACCAGCTCCAGACCCAGAATCTTCAAAAAAAGATTTTGAATTTTCTAAATTATTTTTTGTTAAATTAATTATTTCTTCTTCTTCTTTCCCTCCTCCTTTATTTAAATTTCTTTTAATTAATTTATCTAAAAATTAATTTTCAAATAATTATTATATATTTTTAGAAAAACTTTTTTTTCGGATTAAAGGTATTGCAAATAAAATAATTAAACATAAACCAATCAAAAATCCAAAAAATGTAAAAATAAAAGATTCTAAAGTATAAATTGAAGAATAAGAAGAAGAATATTCAACTAAAAAAACAAAATTAAATTTTTGTTTTTATTTAAAGAAAAAACTTTTCTTTATTGAACGTTCAATTAAAGGAAAAGAAGGTATAGTTAAATGTTTATTGCAATAATTACCCTCATAACAACAAAAAATAGATTTTGGACTGGAATGGGCAAAACGCCAAGCATTACACTAAAAAATATTATTTTTAGAAAATTAAAAAAAATATTTTTATTTTACCGTTAAATGAGAACCATTCGAACCTTTTTCAAGAGGAGCACAACCAAATAAATGTATTAATTCAAAATTTTTTGTTTCCTCATTAAACTCCTCAAAAAAGAATATATTTTAGAATTTTATGTCGCTAGCTAGTTTTTTTTATGTCGCTAGCTAGCAGGGAAAGTCGCTAGCCCTTTATGTCGCTAGCCCTTTTTTCTTTTATTTTTTTTAATTTTAATACTGAAAGGTAAGGATATAATTTAGAGCTTCAGAGCTTCTTTACAATTAAGCACTCCTTTCCTCATTTAAGTAATTCAGAACAAAATTAACATTTTACCTGTTTTACAGCACGAAAACAAGCAGCAAATTCATCCTAAATAAAATTTAAAAGTTAATTTCTACACAATTTAAAAAATCTTTTTCTCCTAAAAATCCTTCTTCAACCCGCACCCCTTTCTTCAATTTAAATTTTAAACTTACTTTAATACAAGTTTTCTCATCATAATTACATTTTTGTGATTCATCATTATAATTACAAAAACAATATTTTCTAACAGAAATATTCATTTATTTAAAAAATAATACATATATACATTTTAAATAATTGATAACAATTTAATATAGATAATCAATATTAATTAATTAATTGTTTTTTGTAATTATAACCTCCAAAAAATATTTTTAAATTGATAATAAAATTATTTTAAAATTAATTTTTAAAAATATTAAAAAAGAAACAAAGGAAAACAAAAATGTGCTAATAATTTTTGTCATCATCTTTGTCACCCACCATTCTTCAAGTCCATCAATCATCACTACATATAAGAAATGCCGCCCATCTGTCGCCAACGGAAAAAATCGATTTATTGCGCGGGTGCCACAAATATTTAAATTTTTTTTAAATCAATTTTTCAGTGACGAATAAATTTTTGAATATTTATTGTTCTTTACCTCCCCCTCCCCCTCCTTTCTCTCCTTTCCCTCATTTTAATATAAATTGATGAAATTATCAAATAATTTTTAAACTAAATTCAGATCACAGAATTAAAATTAATTTTTGATATAAAATTTTTAAATGATTATCATTGGGATTGTGAATTCATTCCCAATTATCATTGGGAATGGAATGTTTTATAGTAAGATCCTACGGGCTTCCTCGTTCTCTTTCTCAAAATATGCTATAAAAGCAACGGCTTCACCTCGTCAGTACCACCACTCATCTCTACTCATCTTTATTGACCGTCGTCTACAACTACAGCAGTCGCAACCGGCAGATGTCAGGAGCTGATTCTACTCTTGGTGGCCAGCCAAAAACCCGAACACAGCGCCTCCGTGGGCGGGATTTCTATCACGGTCAGTTTTTTCTTTCATTCTGTTTTAATCTTTCTTTGCTTAATCTCTCGTTTTTTAAGGGATGATCCAGCGGGCTGACGTCAACGAGCTTCTGGTGAAGAATGGAGACTATCTGCTTCGAAAGACCAACGCAGGGGAAAGTCGACTTGCTCTGAGTGTTAAATGGGCTGATCAAATCCGTCACTTCGTTGTGCTTGAGCAGGAAAAGGACGTCTTCTTCGAAGAACAAGGCCATCACGAACCGGAGGTGGATGCCCTGGTCAAATGGCATGAGCGTAAAAAGAAGCCAATAACTCAACAATCTGGAGCCATCATAAAAAGAGCAATTGCGAGGGAGGAATGGGTTTTGACACACGAATCGGTGACGCTCGGTGAACAAATAGGCGCTGGACAGTTCGGAGAGGTGTGTGCACACCTTTTTTCTTTTATTTAAATTTTGGTTATTTTCTTTAAGGTTTTCAAGGCCAAGTTCAAGACTACACAGGGCACCAAGGTTGACGTCGCAGTCAAAACACTGCGGGATGGCGAAGCTGTAAGCAATCAAAAGAGGTAGATAGGCTCTGAGGGTATTTTGCCCCATTAATATTTTTTTCTTTTTTGCAGTTTCCTTTCAGAGGCTCGTCTTATGCGACAACTTCGTCACGAGAACGTCGTGCGGATGTTTGGAGTCGCTGTCTATGAGCACCCAATGATGATCGTCATGGAACTGTGCACAGGTGGAAGCCTTCTTCATCAGCTTCGTGCTCGTCAGACATCACCCGAGGAGAAGTTTCGTTGGGGTTTTGAGGCGGCCAAAGGCCTTGACTACATCAACTCCATGGGGTACGTACATCGGGACATCGCTGCGCGCAACTGTTTGCTGACCGAATCGACGACACTCAAGATAGCTGATTTTGGACTCACGCTCAAGACGAAGCAGGCCCAGATGGAAAGCCTCGGGAAAGTTCCAGTCAAGTGGTTGGCTAAAGAGGTATGAGATGGGTCTGGGTTCTGGGGGATCTAATAAATAGCCTCAAGGTTTCCTTCCCCTAATATTTCTTTTCGTTTTTTACAGACGCTGGAGCTCGGCATCTACAACGCCCACACAGACGTATGGTCATATGGGGTCCTCTGTTGGGAAATATACAGCAACGGGAAGGAGCCATATCCGGGCATGAGCAATATGCAGGCTAGAGCGCACATTCTACTTCATGGCTACCGAATGCCGATCCCTGAGGGTACACCTGAGAAGGTTGCTGAACTGATCACCAGCTGTTGGAATGGAAATCCATCTGAGAGGCCACACTTCAAGGAAATTGTCGAGATGCTACAATAAGAATAATGATGTCCTCTAGTGTTTTTTCCTCCCCAAAAACTTATTTTTGTGATACTAATTGTTGTAAAAATGTTCACATTTTTGATTGTATAAACTTGTTTTTGTTTGTATTGTATGCTTTTAATTGTATGTATGTAAATTGATTTTTTGTAAATAAATTTTGGTTTGATTTGATGTTTATTTCTTAGAGATAGGTCAGAGCTTTAGGTCAGATAGGTCATAAGTCATACAAATCCTTTGTTCTTGGAAAATCGTTGACTATACTTAGGTGTATTTAAACAGATGGTTTTTCTTAGATTCTTCCATCTCTTGTCCAATTCAATTAAATTACAAAAGCATCTCTTAGATAGAGGTGTGGTTTTGATTTTTAGTGAGATTTTGATTAAAGTAAACGAAGGCTAATTTAGATTGATGGAGTGCTGTTTAGTTCCTCCAGATTTCCATTCATTTAAAAAGGATTTTTTGAAGGTCGCCACTTTACAATTTTTTGTTCATGCAATTTTACATTGCTTCCTAAATCCTTTACAATATAAAAAACTATCTTAAAGAGTGCCTTTTTAAATTAAATTCCAAAACAATACATACATTTTCTTTAAGAATGTGTCAATAATTTTTAATATATAAACTAAAGGCTCTACTCCAGTTTATGCGTCCAATAAAAAGAAAATTGGATTTTTCTTGGTATTACAAAGTTGGGGTATGGTTCCAATGCATTTCTTCATGTTCAGCACCTACGCCCACTGGGTCTGGGACCGTTCCTTACCCTATCTCTCGAAATTTCGGAAAGTTACGGCGAATTTTTTAAAATTTCAGAAAAACGATTTTAACTTTCAAAAATTTCGAGGAATAAGGTAAGAAATGGTCCCAGACCCAGTGGGCGTAGGTGCTGAACATGAAGAAATGCATTGGAACCATACCCCAACTTTGTAATACCAAGAAAAATCCAATTTTCTTTTTATTGGACGCATAAACTTTCATTGGACGCATAAAAGTCGATTGGACGCATAAACTGGAATAGAGCCAAACTAAATTCAGATCACAGAATTAAAATTAATTTTTGATACAAAATTTTTTAAAATAATTATCATTGGGAATGTGAGTGGGCACCCTCTCCTTCTTTTAATTCAACAACAGCCATTTCTCTCAAACTTAAAAAAAATATTTTTTCTTTAAATTTAAAAAAATTACGTATGTCCATATTTTATATGTATAAAAATAAATACAAAACCAAAAATGGCACAAAGAATGCCGACAGCAATATATGCAAAACCTAAATAAAAAATTTCTGTCATTACCCAACTCGCTACAAAAATAATTTAAAAACAACAAACCCAAAAAAGGATTTTTTCCTCCTAACCAACTTGTTGTACTAATTACAAAGGATTTTCGACCAGAAAAGGCACTAACATTATAATTATATCCAATTTCTAAAGTATAATTTCCACGTAAAAGTCCCTGCGTATAATTAGGGTCTTTCAATTTTCTGTAAGGTCTAAAAAAATATTTAAAAATATTTTTTAAAAACAAAAAACTTTCTAAAATCAGGAAATGCAGCAGTCCTCATCCAAATAATAAAATCAGCATTTTGAAATCCACTATTTTGAACATTTTGGGTATCTAATTGACATGGAGGTCTAATCCAATTGGGAGGTTTTGAATACCCCTAACAAAATTATTTTTTATTTTTAAAATAAAAAAAAAACCTGAAAAACTCCACACAAATCATTAATTGTTTGACAATCACCATTCGAACATTTTGGATTAATAAATTTAGTTCTATCGGCTGGCCAAATTAATTCTTCATAACTCCATTCGATTGTTCTTCCCGTATATTTTTCTTTCAAAGTAAAAGTATCTAAAATTAAATTTAAAAACAAGGAATATTTTATTTAAAAACCATTAAACATTGAATTAGCTATAGCCCCGCATGGTGCAATTTTTGTGCCATCAAGGTAGTCAAAGGGAGAACAATCAGAAACTTCCTTTTTTTATTAAAAATTAAAAAGAAAATTAAAAACAAATTTACATCTAAACGTCCAAGCATTTGAAGATCATTTCTACTACGCATATACCGTCTATGATTCTGATAATAATTCTCCAATTCATAATAAAAATAAACATCTCCCTAAAAACTTTTTTTTTAATTATCAAAGAAAAAAAACCAAAAAATCTTCTTCTAAGGATATATCAAAAATACAAATATTCGATCCAAATTTTAATTGATTTTCACAAGCAACGTCATAATATTGAGCCCATTCTTTAACTAAAATTAATTTTTATTTATATTAAAATTTAAAAAAGAACCAGAATTGCTCGTAATTATAAGAACAATTCCAACCGGTATAAAAAGAAGGCTAATTGTAATAAAAACGGGAATAACTGTTTTTGCATCTAAAATTGGCTGCCAAGCCGGAAGGCGTTGTTGCCTTAATCTTGTATCTTTAAAATAAAATAATAAATTAAAAAGGAAAAAAATTCAATTTAAATTAACCTTTAGGTTTGTGTTTTTTGATAGGTTCGTCTAAACCTCCGGCAGCACCTGTAGTTAATGTTTGTTGAGTCGTTCTAGCCATATTCTCAATTCAAAGCTTAAATCTAATAAAATTCATATAAAATAAATTGCTACACAAAAATGAAATTAATCGTGAATAATCTTGAAAATCAGAAACGGAATGACAGCAAAAATATGACACATCTCCCAAGAATGACACATCTCAATTGATCAACAGTGAGACTTTTAATGCGAATAAGCGTGCGTAGTTTTGGCCTTGCGTTGTTTTGGCCTGCGTAGTTTCGGTCGGTTAAGGACGATTCAGTATAGCCGATTCAGTATTGCCGATTCAGTATCCGCCGATTCAGTATATGGCCATAACTTTCCTGATATTCGACCGATTCAAATAATTCTCATATCATTCGAAAGGTCTCATGATTCGACATCTTTTTCATAATTGGCCCGATCAGATCTGATGATCACAAAAAAAGTTACAGCGTGAGAACCGATTTTTTATGCCTGTGACGTTGTTTATCAGTGATAACTTTTTGTAGAGTGATCAGATCAGGTCGGTCCAATTATGAAAAAGATGCAGCACCCCAAGGCCTATCAAATCAAATAAAAATTCCCACAATATTGATTGAGCAAAAAGTTATAGCCAAAAAGCTCGAATACTGAATCGGCGATACTGAATCGGCGATACTGAATCGTCCCCTGCCCGTTTCGGTCGCGTAGTTTTGGCCCTCGGGGACACGCCCGAAACGGCGCGGGCCAAAACGGCGCGACCGAAACGGCGCGACCGAAACGACGCAGGCCGAAACGGCGCAAGGCCAAAACGGCGCACGACCCAAAACGGCGCAAAAATTTCCCATAAGCTATTGTTACATGAGGTTTAGCTCGAATGGTGATCGTATCTTTTGGAGATGTGAACAAAAAAAAAGCAGATGTAAAGGTCGCATTTGGACAACATCTTGTGATAACAGAGTGATAACAAAAACTGAGCGATAACAAAACTAATTAGATCGTATACTTACTAGTAAGTATAACTGCGAGAAATAACTGCGGGATTCAGATAGTTCCAATAACTATATTACTAGTTAGTTTCCCCTATAACTACATTTATTACTAGTTAGTTTCCCCTATAACTACATTTATTACTAGTTAGTTCTCCCTATAACTATATAGTTATCGCCATATTATTACTGTAACCAGCTAGACTTAGGTTATTTTTATTCTGGTCGTTGATGTTGGAACAGTCTTGACCGTTGCTGGAACAACTTATCTCAATGTTGGAACGATCTTCCACATTGTTGAAACAATTTTCCCGTAATATGCAAAACCTTATTGTAGAATTTAAATAGTTCGAAGGATCAATGTACGCAAGGGTGGTTATCGATTTTTGATCAATCACTAAGGTCAGATCGATCACGAATAGGTTGATCACTAGAGATCAATTGAGCACTCTCACACTTGATCACATGATGATAACACGATTAATCACTATCATTGTGCAGTTTAGGGTTTGCGCCGTTTTGGGCCGTGCGCCGTTTTGGCCTTGCGCCGTTTCGGCCTGCGTCGTTTCGGTCGCGCCGTTTCGGTCGCGCCGTTTTGGCCCGCGCCGTAATGGGCTGTACCCTGGCCCTCGTTGTCTTGGGCTTTTTCGCCGGTTCAGTATCCGCCGATTCAGTATATGGCCATAACTTTCTTGATTTCTGACCCACCCGAATAAAACATATCATTCGAAAGGTCTCGAGATTCAACATCTTTTTCATAATTTTATGAAATATAATATTGTTTGAACAAAAAGTTATGATCTAAACCCGATATACTGAATCGGCGATACTGAGTCGTCCCCTACCCGTTTTTCTTTAAATTTCTAAATTCGATGAAACTTCTTTGGCAATCCCGGAGGATTGGGGTCTCTGCGCTTTTTTTCCGCAGGGACCCCAATTCTCCGGGATTGCCACTTCTTTTACTTTTTTTAGAAATTAAATATATAGGAGTTTTAAATTTGAACATACGAATGGATTTCCAGAATCGGGCTGGCGGAAAGACTGGTGGAGGAGGAGTAGCTTCTGCTACAGATGCCAATGTTGACCGTCGCGAACGTCTTCGGCAGCTTGCACTAGAAACAATAGATTTGCAGAAGGACCCTTATTTTATGCGCAATCATATGGGTGGATTTGAATGCAAGTTGTGTCTTACTCTTCACAACAATGAAGGATCTTATCTGGCACACACGCAAGGAAAGAAGCATCAAGCAAATTTAGCTAGAAGAGCTGCAAAAGAAGCTACTGATATTCCATATCTGCCTCTTCCATCTCAACCAAAGGTTGAACCTAAAAAGTTTGTCAAAATTGGACGACCAGGATATAAGGTTTATTTTTTGTATTTGTTTTAAATAATTATTTTTAATAAATAAAAGGTAACAAAAGAAAGAGACAGTGCTTCTGGTCAACAAGCTCTTCTTTTCCAAATTGATTATCCTGAGATTACTGAAACGATTACACCTCGCCATCGTTTTATGTCCTCTTACGAACAAAAAATTCAACCGCCGGATAAGCGATGGCAATATTTGCTTTTTGCGGCAGAGCCATACGAAACCATTGCTTTTAAAATTCCAGCACGGGAAGTTGACCGCTCAGAAGACAAATATTGGTGCTTGTGGAATAAAGAAAGCAAACAAGTTTTTATTTTATTTTTTTAATTATAAAGAAAAAATATTTTAAAGTATTTTATGCAATTTGCATTCAAACCTATACAAGAGGATTCTAATTATGCACGTAATTTTGCACCAAGTGGTGCTATAACAATTCCACATGAAACACCATCTCCTATGTTTCTTCCAACAATGACGACGTAACAATCGAAGTTTTAAACAGATAGTTTTTTTGAATTCATTTTCAAATAATTTTAAATTTTCGTTTTTCATTGCTTAAAAATATTTGCTTTAATTTATCTTTTTATTGTTTAGCATTAATTCTGCTTTCATTATCTAATTAATTCTCCAATTATTTTAATTTGCATGTTAATAGGATATTTAAAAACAAAAATGGTGGAAGGCGTTATTACAATCAAAGCAAGGAAGGTGCTTACAAATCCACTTCTTTATCGTCGACAAATGGTTTGTTATTTAAAAATTTCCAATTCATTTAAAATTTCCAGTCTGTTGATATTCTTCACCCAAATCGCGCGTCGGTGCCAAAGTCTGAATTGCGTGAGAGGATTGCAAAAATTTTCAAAACGACTTCGGATGTCGTGATTCCATATGGATTCCGTTGCCATTTCGGTGGTGGACGCAGCACTGGTTTCGCTAATGTTTATGGTTCGTATCTTATTTTCATTTAAATTAAAACTTATCCTCAAACTAACTCAGATTTGAGCTCACATTATTCAAAACAATAAGCAGAAAAATTAGGACTGCAGTACTTTTAGAAACACTGCATTATCTAAATTTACTATTTTTACTAGCACATGTTAAAATTGTCGTTTAGATTCTGTGGACTATGCGAAGCGCTTTGAGCCTAAATTCCGTCTACTTCGAGTATGTTTAAATACAAAATTGTAGCTATTTTTTCAAATTATTCCGTTTTAGCAGGGAATTGGTAAGAAAGTGGAGAAGGGTGGCCGAAAACAGCGAAAGGAACGTAAGAACCGACAGAAGAAAGTCCGTGGGACGAAGAAGACTAAGGTTCAAGCTGGGAAGAAATAAAGTTGATCTTTCTCTTATCGAAATGTTATACTTCTGTTACTTTGTTGCGAAGAATAAATTGTTTATGACTTGATTGATTGAGTTTTCTAAGATATTTTAAAATTAAAGATAATTCAAACAAATGAGTATATTTTATTCAGTTTAAAATTACGCACGGTTAAGTACGTTATAATGATCGCAACTGGTTCTCAGGCAGATATAATATAATAAAATGAAATAAAACAAATCAAAGTATTTTGTGGCATTCAATTAATGATTCAAACGAAGATCAAGCGAAGGCGGAAGTCGTGTGGTTGGGGAGGGGTTTGAGTAGTTGCCATTTATTGAATCATTGGCGATAACAACATTCGGTGAAGTAGTCGCGGCAGTAGTTGAGGGAGTGAAGGGCATCGGAAAGTGTCGAGTACCAAAATTGTTCATGGAAAAAGAATTTCCGGAGAGTGGCGTAGGTGAATTTTGTTGCTGTTGGTTGACCGAGGCAGTAAAAGGAGTTTGTTGTGTGAAAGTGTTTGATGTCAGCATGGTGTTTTGTTGTTGATTATATTGTTGACAATAAAGATAGGTAGGGCCTATTTGTAAAAAAATAATAATAAAATTCAGGTAAAAGTACCTCCGTGAGTAGAAATACCATTACTAAACCCAGGTGGAGGTTGACGATGTGATGGAAGAGAAGGTGATGGATATCGATTCATCGTAGGTTGATGAATGATATCAGATGGTCTGTTTTGTGGAAGCATCAAAGCCGTTGCAGGTAGCGCTCCAAATTGTGCAGGCTGCAGATTGCTATGTCGTTGGATTCGCTGTTGTTGATGAAATTGGTGCGCCTGTAGCTTTTGTTGGTATAACATTGTTTGCGTGTAAAGAGTTTGTGACTTGTTCGAGTCAATAGTATTAAGCGTCTGTAGGTCCTGATAAAGTATTTTACTGAATTTTTTAAAGATTTTTTAAACTGACCATAAACGGTTTTACTTGGGTGGAAAGTGATGAAGAATTTGTGGAACCATTATCCAAAGAGTTTGCATTCGGGATACCGGGCAAATATTGCTGTTTATGAGTTGGCGTTCCACCATTATTGACGTTCCATAGTGACTCTGTCCTATTTGATTTTTCAGATGTTATGTTAGATGTATTGGGAGGGATACTAACACCAGCCTAAATGCAAAAAGGAATTACTTGGTACAAAAATTCTATAATTCAAACAATGTTAGAAATAAGTTGTGGTGAGACATTTTTTCGTTCCTCCAGTAAATAACTCCAACTATTTTGTATAGCCCCAGTTACAGCTGAATCAGATTCTTCCACGACGTCGAGAGCGTTTGTAGTCCAACGTGCAGCTATTGTATCAAACAGAGACGGCGCCACTGGTGGATTTGTCAACTTCAAATAATAAATTTTGCTTCCTTATAATAATTAAAAAATACCTTTTCATTGTAATTGTTATGTAAATAATTCATTGAAATCATTGAAGATTGTGGGCGAGCATAACCAGGAGCCTAGAGGAGATAAATTTAGAAAAATAATTTCATATTTCAAGGCATACCTTGCGTTGGTGTTCCTCTTTTGTAAGAGCAGCTAGTTCACCAGTATCGTCAGATGTTTCAACTCCCTGTTGTTTCCCAACTGTAGATTTTAGCTCGTTATTGCAAATCACACTTGTCGAACCGAACGTTGAATGTGCGATGACATCATGTGAGTAATTGATGAAAGGCTTCTCTCCGATAGTAAGGTTGAGCTGTGGATCTACAAATTTCCGAATTTTTTTACAAACTTTTTATTTTTTAAGTAAAAACTTTTCTTTTCACGAATAGCTTCAGCTCTTTTTTGCCAAATGTTTGTAGGCGGAGTTTTTTGCGCTACTGGTGCATTTAACGGAATGGTGGCTTTCAAAGTTTTAGTATAACTCGGTGAATTATTCATAGCAATTGTTGCTGTTGTTGTAGCACCAATAATTCTTGGTACCTGCTTGGGTGATTTCTGCACTTCTTCTTTAAATGTTATCGGATGATGTTTAGAAACTTCTGTGTTTGTCGTATTTGTTTCCGTAGAAGCGGAAAATGAGGGTGACTTGCTTGTTGACGTACTTGAAATAACACGATCAACAATATCCGTGACCGGCATATTGTGGTCCTTCATCAACAAATTGATCATCATAATAGCATTTCTTAAAAATTGAATTGATCAAAAAACATTTAAATTAAAATTTTTTACTTAACAGCCTCTGGAGCGCCTTTAATTGTAATTTTGCGCGTTGTTTGCTCCTTACGCAGACACTGCTTCTCTACTTCTACATGGGCACCCGTAGCCTCTCGAATTGTATTTACATTTGAACCGCCACGACCGATTACACGAGGAATTGAACTTGATGCAATGTTTAACACCTGTAATGATGGTCTACGGCTTCCAACTGCACTTAGATTTTCGTTTAAAAAAACGTCATCAGGAAAAAGTGGAGGAATTTGTGTTATCGAATGAGTTGTTGGAGAAGCTCGAGAAGTGGCATCAGTTTTATCAGAAACATCAGTTTTCGTTGTCACCACACTATTGGAATGAGTAGAAGCACTGGGTTTTGGTTCGGCAGGCTTGTTAACCTGAATATTTAATGGTACTTTATAAAAGTTAAACTCTGAATTACAATGGATTTCTTTCTGTTTGCAGAATGCCATTCTACTTCTTCTTCAGAGTTCTTTGAAATAATAGCTGCAGAACTAAAATGATTTGATGCAGTAGTTGAAATAGAGACATCTTCGTTAATATTCTCTTTTTTTGACGTTCCTCTTGTTCGTTTTACAGTTTTAGTTGTAGCCACCCCATTAGAATTCTTAAGATTCTCTTTCCCCTGCTTAATCGACATCTTTTGATCTTCACAATTTCCAGCTTGAAAAGATGCTAAGTTATTGGATTTTTGATTTATAGATTTCTGTTGCCGAATTGATAAATTTTCTGTGGCTACTGATTCCACAGGCTTTATTGATAGCTTTTCAAACTCATTGTTCACTTCATTTTCATTAACACAATTATCTTCATCATCCTTTTTCGCTTGCTTTTTGGCTTTTTTCTTTTCCTTTTGGCGTTGTTTTGTACGCTTCTTTGACTCTTCCAAAGCTTCCTAAATAATTATATTTAAAATAATATATAATTATTTTCTACCTCTTTCGCCAACATCTCCAACAAAGAGGCCGCTGCTTTGTTCGCTTGTTCTGCCTGCCTTGCCTTTGCTTCTTTGATAGATATCAAGCATTTTGTGCATTTGTTAATTAAATCCTAAACAAAAAATATAAAACTATTAATGTATGCAAAAATTCACCTGATCAGTTTGTGAAAGAATGAATCGTTGACAATCTCCATCACTTGGAAACTGTAGTACATGTTCAACCAGATACTCAACTACCTAAAGTTAAGAGTTAGTTTTTCCCTTATCATATCTAATTGCTCTTATCATTAGTGGTACGGCTTTTAGGGAAATTGGAAATGCAACTCAGCGTAAGTTGTGAGGGCAGTACTTGGTATAAAAATAAACCCAAATGAATAAAACAAAAAAAATAGAAGAAAATTAAAGTTAATTTACATGATCTAATTGATAAATGCTAACTTATAAACAAATTTTTACTTAATCAAAAGTTGTACTTTCCCAAAAAATCCCCATCATTGCAATATTTTAAACATACTTTAAAATGCCCCTTCCGAAATGCAATCATTAGAGGAGTCAATTTTCGATTATCTAGCAATTCCGTGTCAGCTTTATAATCTACTAACACTTTCGTCGTTTCCAAATGGCCTCCACTGCAGGCTAACCACAATGCGGTACAGCCCTTCTTGTTTCGTGCATTAATTTGTGCTCCATAGTCTAGTAAAAGTGCCACAAACGCATGATGACCCTTATCTGCAGCAATAGTAAGTGCCGTATCTCGACTAGTGGGTACAGGAGAAGTATTAACATCAGCATTAGATTGAAGTAGAACCCGTCCAACTTCAACATATCCACCGTTAGCAGCCTCCATGAGAGGTGTAAGACCAGTCTAAAATAGAAATATTTTTTATACAAAATATCGTCGATGATGATGAAAAAATGCACAAATGTTATACTTTTGCTCGATGTTCAACATTGGCACCATGACTAATCAACAAACGAGTCACTTCAACACGTCCTTGAAAACAAGCTAATGTTAATGCAGTGTTTTTGTTCGTTTCAATTTGAGCATTAATATCTGAACCATTTTCCAATAAAACTCTAGTTGCCTCTTCGTGTCCATTCATTGCACTAAGCATCAGGGGAGAAATGCCTAACTTTGAGTTTGTTCGCGAATTGATTTCTGATCCATGTGTAAGCAAAAGTTGTATAACATCCACATATCCACCAGAAGCAGCAAGTGATAAAGGTGTATAATCGCTCAGATTTCTATGTTCCTTGTTTGCCCCATGCTTAAGTAGTAATGCAACTACGCTGCTTTTTCCACCACTACAAGACATAGAGAGAGCTGTGTCTTTGGTTCTGTCTGCCTGAGCATCTGCTTGCGCACCTCCCTCAATGAGAAGTCTGCAAACTTCTTCATGTCCCCTAGCGGCTGCTAAGATCAAAGGAGTGAATCCCTTTTTGTCACGATGTTCTAAGTGTGCGCCACGTTTAATCAGCAGTGAGACAAGTTCTTTATGTCCTCCATCACAAGCAAGTGTTAGAGCAGTGTCTAAATTGGAGGAACATTTGGAAATAATCCCATAAAAATAAACCAACAAACCATTATTTTGTGTATCACATGCCGTTGCATTTTCCATCCATGCAGAAGGATCTGAAAGTGTAGCACTACTGCTGCTTGTGCTTAATGAACGTTGATGCCTATGTGCTGCAGATACATGATTTCCTTTGTTTGATGTTGACTTTGTGCATTTGTTTGTGGTTGGCGAACTGCTACGACTCGGTGCTGCATGTCGTTTCCCTCCTGTCGACGCATTCGAGGGATTAACAGTTGAGTGAGAACAAACAGAAGAAAACGACATCGTGGCTGTATAAAAAAGTCATTTTAACAACTTATATATGAAAGTACCCATGTTTATTTGAGAATTTGCTGTAGAATATGGCCCAGTAGTAATTCCAGCAGCAGTACATACTTCTTTTGCACTTTTTTGAAGCGAAGGAGGAATACAACACGGGCATTTTAATGCAGGACAACAGTCCTTTTGTGTTAATTTCTTAGAGTTTTTATTTGATTTAAGTGAGCATCTGGTAGCTGGTTCTAAATCCTTGTTGATACTGGGGGCTATCTTGTTTACCTATAAATATTAAACTGATTGTGAGTGTGAATATAAATAAAACAAAAATAACATACATCAGATCCCTTCTTAATAAGTAATTCAACAATGTTCAGAAAGTTCTGTCGACTTGCTTCCATAAGAGGAGTTCGATTTTCCTTGGAAAAACAGTCCTTAACAAAAAATACAATATTAGTACTACTATAGTAATAATTTTTTATACAATTTGAGCTCCAGATTCAATTAATAGATCACACAACTCTTCATTGCCAATACTCACAGCACAAAATAAAGCTTCGTTAAGGTCTTTTTGAATCTCAGATAACGGGTGAGATTTTTGCAAACAATTTATAATAAATTTGCATACTTCCACACGGCCTACAATAAATAAATATATATTAAAATAAGAAAAACAAACATTCTTGACAAGCCTCATAAAGAGGCGTACGGTCTCCGAGTGTTAAATCGCCACCACGGTTAACAAGTAATTCAACAATATTTCTAAAAGATTAGAAACTTTTTATTATATTATTAGTTTGATTTACAAGAATCCTCCCGAAGAAGCTAAAGTAAGCGAAGTCTCAAGCCCATCTCCGGTTTTGGCATTAACATTTGCACCTCGATCCAACAAATATTTAACTACATCGTAATGACCCTCGCGACTTGCTTCCATCAAAGGAGTAAAACCTTCATCATTTGCCTCTTCTATAATGGCACCAGCGTCACAAAGAAGTGTAACCTATAAATAATTAAATTTGTCAACTTTTTTCTTAAATTAAAAAAACATATTCAAGATGACCACCACAAGAAGCCAATGTTAGAGGATTTTCAAAGGATTCAGTAGACAAATTAACTTTAGAGCCAACAGCCAGCAATAATTTAGCTACACCCACATGTCCATCCATTGCTGCTTCCTTTAAACGAAAGAAATAGAAACATAATTTAACAAATATCAACTCTTGTCTAGTTTATATAACCAATCTTTTAATTTTTAAACCCTGCTAGGTAATAGTTCGGTTTGTTTGCATTCATTTTTCATCTCCCTAGAAAAAACGAAGAAGAAGCACTTTTTCGGCATTTTTAGGGTTACCAGTGGGTAATTAAGTGTGAGTTCGAATGTGAGGTCAAATATTATTTATTTCGAACCCCAGACCCGAATTTGAGCTCAAAGAGACGTGTCAGTCCATAAACACTTAAATACCTACCGGCAAAATTCTAAAATAGCGAAAAATCACTTCTTCTATTTTTTCCTAGGTACAAGAAAAAATGAGAAAAAAAACGCATCCCATAATGTAGAAAAAATTAAATTTGTTATGAAAACGTCAAAACATATATCGGTAAAGTTCTGACTATAAACTAGCCAAGAGCCCAAATGTTAATGTAAATTACCATCAAAGCAGTGTGCAGTTCTTCCTCATCCTGAGCATTTTTTTCCTTGGGCATCAACGAAAGAAGAAAATCAACAGCTTCGCAATGGCCTTTATATGCGGCTAGTGTTAGTGCAGACTCCTAAAAATAATTTTTTAATTATAGAAATAAAAAGTGGAACACTATTAAGATAACAGAAATTTTTAATAAACTTATAATTTAAAAACCAACCTTATAATCAGCGCCATCCATCGTGTATGAAGGCTTTGCACCATGCTCAATCAAAAATTTCATTATTTCAACATCTCCAAAGTTTGCTGCTTCCATTAATGCATCATGTCCTGCCTCATTTCGTAAAGTCAAATCACAACACCCAGAGTTGACTAAATCTTTAATACACTAAATTAAGAATTTTTATTTGAGATACAAAGTGATTATATATTTTAATTAAAATAACCTCAAGGTGTCCAGAAGCACAAGCATAAAGTAATGCAGTATCTCGTGTTGAACTTAAAGCATTAACATCAGCTCCGGCTTGAATCAAAGTTCTAACAACATCGGCATGTCCACAATTACAAGCCTGCATTAACGGAGTGCTGTCACTTTGTTGCGAAAATTCATCAGAATTACGTCTTGAAACAATCAGTTTGGAAAGGTCCTCGTACATAAATTAATAAACTACCAAAAAACAAGTTCTAACAATTTAAAATCAAAATATTCAAATCTGAAAATTACAAAAATCTTTTATTCAATGGTTAAATTTAGTTTTTCATAGACGCTTCAAGCTTGAAAATTCGGGTACGTCCCATATAGTCGTGGTTCTGTCTGCCTAATCTGATAAGGACGATTCAGTATCGCCGATTCAGTATTTGTGGCATATTTTGGGTCATAACTTTCTTTATTTTCCTCCGATTCGAGTAATTCTCATGTTATTCGAAAGGATCGAGATGCGGCATCTTTTTAATAATAAACTGATCTGATCTGAACATTCAACAAAAAGTTAAAGCCAAATAAAGACTGAAAATCACGATTGACCTCTCCTATTCGGCTGTAATTTTTTGTAGGATGATCTGATCAAATCAATCCTGCTAAGTAAAATAATCCTCCCTTTTAGAGCTTTCGATTGATTAATAATTATTTAAATGGGTTAAGAATCAAAAAAGTATGGCACAGAATATGCCCCAAATACTGAATCGTCGATACTAAATCGTCCTCCACCCCTACTTAGTCGCGACAGTTAATCGCGAAACCACGTATTTAGTTAGGTACGGCCCACTTAGTCGCGAGCCACTTACCACTCGACCCGAACTCTTCGGTTTTTCGGTTCCGAGCTTGTGCTTATCGTCTATGCATTTTTTGTGCATTAACAATTTTTTAAAAGCAGTGATTTATTCCCCTCAAATCACTCATAAGTATTTTTTAATTGTTTTTTTATGTACATGAAAAATTATTTTTAGACCGTTTATTTATTATCCTGAAGCAGTAATTTCTGAATCAAATATTCTCAAACTTGATCTACCCTTCATTTTTTAATTTTTTTATTTGCTTCTTATTTTCTTTTTTTTTCAATTTGCTTCCGAACTTTTTGTCCATAACATTTTAACCGGTTTTACTTTAAATATGTAATGAATCAAAAATTTTATTTTAATTTAGGTTGTAATTTCAGCCATGTCTGAAATAAGACGAAGACGTAAAGACAAATTTTCTGAACGCATTCCATTAAAAAGGGAAACAATGGCCAGTCAATTAATAAAAAATTGGCGTTCTAAAATATTTTTACTATTATCAATATTATTTTCCATATTTCTTTATGTTTATATACGAAATTCGTTCTTTATTCCTACCAATGTTTTACAAAAATCTGAACTTCCAAGAAGTGAAATTGAGGATATTTATAAAGAAGTAATTATTAAAGTAACTAAAAATATTTTTCTTATTTTTTCAGACAAGTTGGGGTACACTTCGTCCTCATCTCTATTTTGGTCTGAAAACTAAACAAATACTTTCACCACTGTTTGGTTTACTATGGTACGAACAACCTCGTCAACAATTTATTCAAAATCTTCCTTTACGCCATTGGTGCGATCATGGTAATAAAACTGAGAAATTATATAAAATTTTAAGAAATTACTTAAATTGTTTTTGTCAAATTTATAAATTTATTGTGTCAATTAATCAATCATTTAATTTACCATAATTTGGTTTAATCTAGGGATTATATAGTAATTTCTTTTAGATTATTTATTGGTAAAACTTCGGTTTGTACATACATATGTATGATACATTTTTTCTCATTTTCCCATCTCCCTAGAAAAATAGGGGAAGAAGTGCTTTTTTGATATTTTTTGAGATTTGACATTTTTCCAGCTGATCCTGTTAAATATGGTTGGGAGGCGCATGATGGACGTACCTTTGGAAGGCAAAAAATTACTGACGGAGATTTATCTTTTTTTATTGACTGGATCTCCAAAGGTGAAAAATCTTGGACAGTTCGAATGTTTGGAAGAGCTGAGCAAAACTCTAGTTTTTCTTTTCTTCTTTATTTGGCACTTCAAGTACGTATATTTTTTTATTAAATTAATTATGTAAATCTTGTAGAAAAATATTAGCAATAATGGTGAAATTGAGGACGGAGTGTTAACTCCATTGAACCTTCTAGAAGATGGAGGACTTACTTATAAATTTATTAATGGTCATTCTTGTAGCATCGGTCAATTCGACATTAAAATTCTTTTTACAAATCCAATGACAACTGAAAAATTTTCAAATGTTGCTTACAAACTTCCTGCTCATTTGGGAATGGTTCACATAAAAGATGTAATTCTTGGCTCATTTGCGCGTCCAGAAAACCAATTAGATCTGATTTTGCATCAAAATGAACGAATCGCTTCGTTCGAGTCATCTTCAGGGAATGTTGATTTTAGTGTTGTTCAGATAACAGTTTCTGGTATTTTTGAAATATTACTAATTATATTCTCACCATTAAACAATTAATTTTGTACTTAATTTTTAGGTGATTTTGACTTCATTGTCGAATTGAATGCTGCAAATGATGGGATTTTGAATGATTACTTTCAGACAGTTTTCGATAAAAAGTTGAAGGAATTTGGAGATCGTTTTGATGATGCCTTTCCTATTGATTTAAAAAACGAAGAAGGACTTGAACCAAATAAAAATGATGTTAATGATAGAAATTATAGAAAATTGGCAAAAACTGCTTTGGCTAATTTATTGGGTAACTTTATTTTTTAAATTTATTTTCAATAAAATAATTTATTTTATTAGGTGGTGTTGGTGTATGGCATGGCTATTCTCTTGTTAGGACATCTGAAAATCCCAATGAAGATGCACGTTATTATGGTCCATTGTCTCTGTTTTCTGCCGTTCCTTCTCGACCCTTTTTTCCGCGTGGATTTCTATGGGATGAGGGTTTTCACAATCTTTTGATAAGAAAATTTGATCCTCTTTTAACTTTACAGGTTTATATTTTTGTTTAGACAATTAGCTTAAACATCAGATAATTCTTTCAATTTGATAGATTATTGCGTCTTGGCTTGATACAATGAATGTTGATGGCTGGATTCCACGAGAGTTAGTTTTGGATGATGAGGCACGAGCACGAATACCTTCAGAGTTTTTGGTTCAAAGTCCAGAAGTGGCTAACCCGCCTATGTTTTTCTTTCTATTGGATAAATTCTTGAGGAATTCCGAGGTTTTTTTTCAACTTTTAAATAATGTTACTGGCCTTATTGTTCCATAATTCAAGTTATTTAAATATCATCAAAAACGAATTAATGCTCTTTATCCACGTTTAAAACGTTGGTATATTTGGTTAAGAGATTCTCAACGTGGTCCGAAGTTTGGCACAATGCAATGGCAGGTGCCTTTTCTTTTTAGAAAAAATATTTAAAAATGTTAGGGCCGTAACAGAACCACAAATCTTGAAGTTAACCCAATGACATTACCAAGTGGTTTAGACGATTTTCCCCGAGCATCAAATCCGTCACGTGAAGAATACCATCTAGATTTGCGTTGTTGGATGGCTCTCAGTTCAAAAATACTAAGACAATTAGCTGAAACGTTCGACGATTCCGATTGGGTGCCAATAGTAGAAGAAGATATTAAAGAATTTGGAGATATTACAACACTTGATAAACTTCATTGGAATGAGAAAAAACAGCAATATTCTGATTTTGGTTTACATAGTTATAAATTTAAAATGGTTTGTTTGTATTTATAAATAAATTTTTTTTATTTTTTCAAGGTCCCTGTTAAAATAAATGACCAGGAAATACAATTACAACGAAAAATAATTGAGGAACCTCATCTACGTTTTGTTGATGATGTTTTTGGATATGTTAATTTATTTCCTTTACTTCTTAAACTTTTGCCTTCTGACAGTCCAAAATTGGGAGTAGTTTTGAATTCATTAAATAGAACAGAGGATTTATGGACGAATTTTGGTCTTCGTTCACTTTCTAAAAAATCTTCATATTATATGGTTAAGAATACAGAACATAATAAACCTTATTGGAGAGCGCCTATTTGGATAAATGTTAATTTTTTAATTAATTTTAAAAAATATTTTTATTTTAATAGATGAATTATTTAACTTTGGATGCTTTAAATCATTATTCAAAATCTGATGATCAATATGCACATTTAGCAAATGAACTTTACTTCCAACTTCGTTCAAATTTAGTACAAAATATAGCAAATCAATATTCAAAAACTGGGTTTTTCTGGGAGAATTATAATGATACAAATGGTGAAGGGCTTGGGACACATCCATTTACGGGTTGGACAACTTTGGTTGTTAATATTTTAGCTAATACATATGATTAAATATTATATAAAAATAAATTGTTATTTTTTGTTTAGAATACAAAACATATCATTGTGTGTTAATTTAATTTAAAAAAATACTTGAATAAATTTTATAAAAAAATATTTTTTAAAATTTACTAAAATATAAGGATTGAACTTTTTACGAAAAGTTTTTTGGAAATTTCTATCTAATCTGAAAGTCTAGAAAAATTACTAGAGAAAGGCTTTAAAGACTATTCCTAATAAAATCAATTTTGTAATTAAAAATTGATTTTATTTAAAAATTACCCTTCTTTTAATAATTTACAAATCCAATCCCCAAATCCGGTTGTTTCAACTCAATTGCTCAGTCAAACTTTTCCCTCTCTCTCTTTTTAAAATTCTCTTTTATTTTTACTGAAAATATTTTTGTTGTCCCAATAATAAAAAAAGAGAAAGTAAAATAACTTAAAAATGAGAGAAAATATTTTATAATAATATTTGCTGCACCGGAAAAAATAAAGGGAAATGAGAGATCAAAAGGTCCTGTGTAGAATTTCTTGTTGAAAATCCAGATTTAACACAAAAGAGTTTTTTTATAAATATATTAAAATTTTAAATCCCCTTTTTTAATATTTTTATTTTGTTTCTTTTTAATATTTATGACTTATGTTAAAATTATGCCTAATTTAATATTTCATTATCCCTACTAAAATAAAAATTGTTTGAGGATAACTTCAATTTAATTAAGTATAAAATCTGTAATAAAAGTGCGAGTTATAAAAATCCTAATCTTTCGTGGCTGTAATTCGGGGGGGGGGGGTCTATTTTTTAAAACAAAAAAGAAAAATCAGCAAGGGATTTTTAAAGAATAATAGAATGCAAAATATTTTTTACCTAAGATTTAATTTTTTTTACTAAGCTTTCCAAAATTTTTGTCTGCGACGTTAAAAATGAAGAAATCCAACTTCGTCTAACTTCTCGTCCTTCTGAAAATTGTGAATTCGTAGACCAAAGCTAAATAGGCGAGTTTTCTTCTATTTAATCCAAAATTTCTTAGTTTACTGACCATTAATTATCTCCATTAATTCTGCCTAACTCGATAAAAAAGTGAATTTATGGACTCTTAGGCTATAAATATTTTAAGCTAAATTTTCTCAATATTTTTCCTTTCAACCCCAACCTTTTAATAGAATCCGACCCAAATATTCTAAATCTCGACCAGAGGTTTTCGACCCTGAAAGGTCGGGCTGCAACGTTACCATTGTCCTTAGTATTTCGGTTTCTAATTCAAATTAGGAAATATAATTTATCTGATTTTTTGTCCAAAATTATGACCTAAATATAAATTGAGCTGATAAGTATTAAATAAAATTTATGTAAAGACAAATGTTTTTGCCAAAAATTTAGTATTAAAATACAAAAAAATGACCTAAATACACTGCCCCACAAAAGTATATGTATTTCCATGTATGTCCACTCCTTTCGGAAATTTTTTCGTTTGCAGTTATGCAAATTTTCTGAAAATTTAACTGATACTTTTGTGGAGCAGGACTGATTGGAGAGAATGGCGATTATCTTTAAATTAAATAAAATTAACATTTCTATATTTTATAATTCCGGAATTATAAAAGAAAGTATTGTTTTCCTTTCCATCATTTCCTTTTATCTTTTAATAATTGTACTATTATTTATTAAAATATAATAAGTTTTTTAATAGTTTTTATTATAAGCATTTTCTCTTTTATTTAAAATGAATATAAAATAATTCTTTTAAAATTAATAAAAAAAGAAATAATAAAGGAATAAATAAATAAAAATATTATTGTTGACATTGGCATTTAATTATATATATTTACTTTAAAAAGGAAAATAAATATATAAACATTAAAATATGAATTATAAAACTTTCTCTATTATTCCATCAATTCTCACTAAACATTTATTTCCTTCTCGATATTTATCTGTCCTTAATAATATGTGTTCACCTTTGTGTTCATTAACAATTTTGGTTGGACTTGCTGCTTGTTGTATTTGTAAGAACTTTTGTTTAGATTTTAATTTGTGTGTAAGGGAAGTAGGGAGAGGACGAGGGAAGAGGGCGAGGAGGTATTTTAAATCTAAGTTGAAACAGCAACCCCCGATAATTGTGTTTACTCAAAAATAGAATAAATGCTTTAATATTTTATTTAGGTTGTTCACGACCGGTTTTAAAACCGAAAATTTTGATATTTTTTGCCAAAAATTAACCGTTTTTACAAAATTTAAAAAACCGAAAACTTCTGAAAATTAGTGATTTTATTAAAAATTCCCACAAAATATTTATGGGAATTTAATAAAATATTTACTAAAATTTGATAAAATATTCCCACAAAATACCGGTATTTGTCTACAACTCAAAACTGAAACCCGGGGGTACTGGTTAATAAGTAGTGAATAACCCTAATTTTATTATACCTTTTAAGCACTTCCACAAATTCAATATGTAAATGATAAACCTTATCATTTAATGCAACAAACAGAATGTAGAGGCGGTAAAATATATGAAATTAATGATGTTCAAGTTAGAAAAAAGAAATATTTTTTTAAAATTTTTTTAAATATTTTTTATAGGATATAGATGAATGTAAAGCTGCTTGTTTTCATAAAAACTGTCAAGCAGTTAATTTATATCAAGTCGGGGAATTCCAATTTAAATGCGAAATACTTGGTAAATATTTTTAATAATTTGGCTATATTTATTTTTAATTTAAGCATATGTTCGAGGATATTTCCCTGCACAAGGAGCTGCTTGCTATATTTCTTACATTTAAATAAATATTATATAAAATTATTAAATTCTTTTTTAATTTTAAATTTTTATTTGTATTATTCGAATTTTGATTATTCTAAATATATTTAAATATACAATAGTATTACATAATAATTACAGTAAAAATACAATACAAGTGACAAAGACCAAGACTTCACCCCCAAAATAATGACTGAAAAAACTAGTCTTAATATCAGAACCGGAAATTTTGGATATTGGGACCGGATATGGACATTTTTAGACTGACTGTGAGCCTTGAGAAGATTTTCTGGTAAGAGCAAAAAAGTCGGAATTCGGCGGAAGGAATTCCATTTTTGGCATTGAGGCAACCTGGGGCTGGATTTGACGGTACCAATAAGGAAATGCGACCCACATAATATCTTTTCCTAATTTGTTTCGCCGTTTCCATAAAAACAAGATATATATATCTCAAGACATATTAGAAGAGATGTTTTTTTCTTGTTTTACAATTTTTCTATTTACGAGGTTTGATTTTTTTAGAAAATGTAAAGCCAATTTTTTTTAAAAATAATTTCATTCTTTTTTTCTCACAAGAATTTAATCTTTTTATTATTTAATTACACCTATATATTATTTATTTTTAAAAAAATAATAGTAAAAGTAATTTAAATTTATTTTAATAATTTCTTTAATCAAAAAATTTTCTATTCGGGTTAGGTCCAAACAAAGCCGTTCGAATATGTGGAACAATTTGATCAGCAATTAAATCCAATCTAGATTCTAATGTTGAAGAAACACTAAAAAAATTATAAAATTAAAAAAAAATATTTCCCATAAAATAACCGAATCTTGCCATTTCTTGCCAATAACTCAACACCCCCAGCATTTTCTGGAGACAAATATTGGTCATTATCAATAACTACCTAAAAATTAATATTTTTAAATCAAAATTTTTTTAAATTAAAACCCAATACCAAATTTTGTTCATAAATCGGGATTGGTTCCTATATTCTCAGATTCTAATACCAATTTTAGGTCCTTAACCTTGAGAAAAGGAAAGAGAAAAAATATAGGGACACCCCCTTTTTTATTTGATACCAAATAAATTATTTATTTAAAAAAAGCAACAAACCTGTGAAGTATCACCCCAAGCTTTTTGCAATTCTTCGATACATTCAGGTAACAATTGCTCAACCAAATCAGCATCACTTTTACGGCAACGAATTACTACTTGTTTCTCCAACAATTGAAAAAGACCCTTAAAAATAAATGAAAAACTTGTAGAATTATTAAATTGTTTGTGAGATATTTGTAGAAATATTTAGGATTCTTAATTATTAAATAATGTAAATTCTTTACTTGTTTTGATTAAAATTAAATTTTTTTTGAATCAATTTCTCTTATTAAGTACACCTAAGGAGAGTGAAATAAAGGAGGAAAGTCTGATAATTTTAATCTTCCTTTTTTTATAAAGGATAACATGCAAAAAATGGGCATAAACAAGACTGTCTCCTAAAAATACCTGCAAAATTAATCCTTTCAAAATAGGCGGATAACGATTGCGATCAGCAGAAATCTTTGAAAGATTAGAACGGGCCTCATTTAAAACACTCTTAACATGTTCATCCCGAGCTTTTAAACATTGAAGACGGCCTTGATTTTGCATATTAGAACGCTAAAAAATAATTAAAATTAATTTATTTTAATTAAAAATAACCTGAATTTTTCGTTGAAGTTCGACTTGTTTTTCCTTCTTTTCATAATATTCCATTATTTTTTGTCGTTGCTGTTGAACTAAACGACCCTTGAAAAGAAAAATTTAAAAATTATTTATTTATTTCCAAACCTTTTCCATATTAAATTCTTCTTCAGCTTTAGCATCAATTTCTTCAGCTTTTTCATTAGCTTCTTGCTCAATAAATGCCATCATGTGGCGTAATTGTTTTTGAACATCATTATCAGAAATACCCATAATTGCCTTTAATTATCTATAAAAATATTTTTAGTTAAAAAATTTGAAAAAAAGCATCAAAATCGAATAAATTTTTGATTAAAACTTGACAAAAAATGTTTATTATTCTGTCAACTAAAGATCATTTAATAAAAATTCAGATTTTCGTTTCAAGAAAAAATTCAAAAAAATACAGGAAATACTACTGTAATTTAAAAATTTAAAATGCAAATTAAAATATTTTTATTTAGTTGATATTTTTATTTAAAGAAATACAAATAAAATTTTAGAATAAAAAAAAATAAATTTTTAAAAATTAAAATTAGTAAATACAAAAATATATTCAGTAAAGATTTTCTTTTTATTCTTTTTTAAGGCAAAAAACGGCATTTGTGCATATGCGCGCTGCCTTAGAACAGCTTTATGCCGTTTTAGTGGCACATTAATGGCATTCACGTTGATGCCCGCGGCACAGTTTGCCTATAACTCCTAAGCACTTGGATAAATCTTTTTCTTCTACACCTCTTTAATATTTATATAATCCAACCAATGTCCGCTTGAATGCCCCCCTATTTTGAAGAGATACATAAAAATTGAAAATAAAGAGAATGTTTCATAGCTTTAATAAATTATTAAATATTTAAAATTAATAAAAATTAAAATTTAAATGTTTTTTAAAGAGTAAATACAGACATTAAAATAACAAACATAAACATACATATATTTATTCATAAAAATTAATTTTTAAAAATTAACAACAACAAAAAATGCATGAAAATGAATTATTTGGTGATAATAAATGTACTAATAATGAGTTTAAAACAAAAGGTATAATTTAATTATTTAATTTATTTAAATATTTTAATTTTAATTTTTAGGAGGCATTATTAGCAGTTATAACTATCCACCAAATACAAAATCAAATAATCAATCAACAACTTCATTAATTTCACGTTTATGTAGTGCAGAGCCATTTATTGGAAAAAATTCACCAAACAGCGAACGTTTTTCAATTCGAAAAAAGTTGTCAGAAACACTATTTTCCCTTAAAAGGCCCCCTACCCACACACTCTCCTCGAGTTTAATTGAATTGGCGCCTTCTTCTTCAATTTTACAGAATGCCACAAATTCAATTTTAGACAAATTTTCAGCCAAAAAATTGCTTCAAAATAAATGCTCAAGTAATGAATCGCTTAATAAGTGGGTTTCTTCTGATATTTTTAAATATTTAAATTCTCTTTTTTTGTGTTTAGTCCTCTCTCTCTTTTTTTTGTTAAATTTGATTTTTAAATCTTTTATTTGTTTAATATATTTATTGTTTTTTTTTGTTTTCTTTTAAAAGTTTTATTTAAATGTTACAACCCCAACAACAACAACAAATTAATTCAAAATCATCTACTAATTTAAAAACTCACTTTCAAATTAGCAAAATAAAAAGTGGCAGAACTGTTGAAAGAAATTTATTATTTTGGATCAGACCGCGAAAATCAAAGAAAAGAATTATGTGGGTTTATTTATTTATTTTTTTTTCTTTTTGTGTAACAGTAATTTAATTTATACTTTTAACTAAGCTAAACTGTAATTAACAGTCGTTTTTTTATTTAAGTATACAAGTCCGTAAATAAAAATATTGTCTTTGAAAACTAAAAATTTTTTAAAAATTAATGTACCTATTTATCTAAAAGATTTTTTAAATAATTTTCTTTTTCTTTTTTTCTTTAATTTTATCTTCTTCTTTTTTTTAGTATTGAATTATTAAAATTAAAAATGTAAACACAATTTTTATTGTGAAGGCTTTATTAAAATATAATTTTCTGATTAATTCCGAAACCTTTTAAAATAAATCTCTTCCTTTTCTCTCTCATTTTAAAAATTAAAAAAAAAGCTATAATATATTTATTTATTTTAGTTGTCAAGACAACAAATCCTCTTCCCCTCCCCTCGACTTATCTACTTTTTATTAATTATTTAAAAAAATCTTTTATTTTAAAAATACAGTCGTGGAAAAAAGTATGGAAGCGCTAGAAAATTTTCTCTTAATTTTTAATTTTTCATTCAAAAAATACGTTCTATATACCAATCAAAAGCTCTATTCGTATCTCAGTTGACATGTTTCTGCATTTTTCATGAAAATGAAAATTGGCCGAGATAATCCGGATCTACCGGATATACCAAATCCCACTTTTTCGGAAAAATTTTTCGGAACAAATTTAACAAACCCAAATGATAAAGTATATTTTTTTGAGTATTTTCCACAAAACCGCTTTGAAATATCTTTTTCCGGAGCAGAGATATGATTTTTTGAAAATCGCATTTTTCGTCTATTTTTGCAAAAAATTCAATTTTTAAGCGAAAAATGCCATTTTTAAAAAATCATATCTCTGCTTCGGAAAAAGATATTCCTTAGCGGTTTTGTAGAAAATACTCAGAAAAATATACTTTATCATTTGGGTTTGTTAAATTTGTTCCGAAAAATTTTTCCGAAAAAGTGGGATTTGGTATATCCGGTAGATCCGGATTATCTCGGCCAATTTTCATTTTCATGAAAAATGCAGAAACATGTCAACTGAGATACGAATAGAGCTTTTGATTGGTATATAGAACGTATTTTTTGAATGAAAAATTAAAAATTAAGAGAAAATTTTCTAGCGCTTCCATACTTTTTTCCACGACTGTATGTTCGGTTTTTAATAAAAAAGGGAAAAAGAATTTTATTCTGATTAATTTTAGGTAAAATTTGAAAAAAAAATTAATTACCTATCTGCAACTATTTAAATAAATTTATTTTTTAACAAAAGAGAATTTTTTTTAATTTTTTTCTCTAAAATTTTTTACAAAAAATTTTTTCCCTTTTTCATCTTCTAATACTTCCAAATATTTAATAAAAACATTGATTTTCTACTAAAACATCCCCTCCCTCCTCCTCTCCTTTTTTTCATCATTTACTTCACTATCGTCCACTTCCCCCCTTAATGTGTGTTTGTTGTTGTCACCGTTGCTTTGCTTTGTACGTCCGATTTTTAACCTTGGCTTGCTTGCTCCTAGCTCCGCCATCCTTCTCCTCTCCCTCCCTTCAATCTCTTTTTATATTATTTTGTTGTATTCATCATTTCCTCATCCTTCGAATCTCCCCCACCTGTCTTCTTGAAATGACCGGTGGTCTACATTTTTTATTTATTTATTGATTTCTTTAAAAAATTTTTTAATTTTAAGAATTTTATTAATTTTGAAAATATCTATTTAGAAAATAAATATATTTTATACATATACCATAACTCAATTAATATTTATCTTTCCATTTCATATTTTCTTAAATTTGTATTAATCTTATTCCAATTATTTTTTAATTTTATATTTTTTTGGTAGCAATTTCTTTGCTGGGACTTCACAATAATTAATTCTAAAAAAGCCGTAAAAATTAAATTAAAAAATTATGTAAAGATTGGGCAAATCAAATATTAAATTTAATTTTATAAATTTTCCAATCCTTTTTACACAAATCCATATACTGACCAATTCATTTTGCTTTGTTGAAGAAAATTGTTGTCAGCTACAAATTGATTTTGTGCATTTTTGAGTAAGGGGATGTCTACTCTCTCTCATTTTTATTCTTGTATAATATCCACACAATTTAAATGACCTCCATTTTATAAATAAAATTAAATTTTTTTTTAATTTTATTAAATTTATTTAAACCAGGGCTCTCATTCGTACTTTATTTGAAAGTACAGTACTTTAAAATCGACCTCCGTACTTACAAAATTGAATTTGTACTTTATTGAAAGTATGTACTTTAAAATCAACATTTTGGATTGAAAATGATATTAGGGAAGGATTGGGCAAAAAAGTGAATTTTTTTGGCCTACGGCCTTAGAAATTCTCAAAATTTTCGCCTGCGGCGCTGAAAAAGGAAGAAATCTAGCTTCTTGGGTCTAAATTTCAAAAAATTTTCGCCTGCGGCGCTAAAAATGGAAAAAATCTGTCTTAAGAACCCCGAAATTTCCCAAAATTTTCGCCTGCGGCGTTGAAAATGGACGTAAGAAAGTAGCTTGCTTGAGGTTAAGACTGTCAGGGCTTTACTTCTTGTGACAGCGAATTTTGACATGGCGTGTATGAAATGCACAAAATGCTCAGTGGAAACAAGAGATTATTAGAAAAATTCATTTAGCAGAGAAATAGTATAAAAGATTTGAGGGCGAATAAATATTTTGTAATTTAATTTTGAGTGTCCTTTAAATTTGGAAATTTTGTCCCTATGTACTTTAAAATCGAGATTTTTGTACTCTTGATTGGTATTTTGTCGATGAGAGCCCTGATTTAAACAATAAACTCCCTATTTATTTTCTCATATTTCCAGCTAATAATTTGCCGTAGGCCATTCTATATACTTATATTATTTGCCAATGATTGGTTGTTTAGTTTAGTTACTGCTTGTTATTTAGTGTTGTGTCCCCTCACTTTTCTTCCAACAAACAGCCATATTCTCTGCTTAACATAAACCGGGGATATTTTCTTTTCTCTGCAGTATTTTTATTTTTCTTCACTTTCTTTTTTTTTAAACTTTTAGTCAATAAATAGCCATGCTTTGTTGGCCGAAAATATAAAGTAGCCAATTGAAAATTAAACTTTATTTTTAATTAAATTTTTCTTTTTTTAATAAAATTTTTATTAAATATTTTTGATTTGGGTTTCTTTTTCGAAAGGAAAAAATAAGGGAATTTATTCGAGGGTCAGGGGTTTTTCTTTTAATCGTTTTCTTAATATATGGAATGACCTAGTTAGTTTTTTAATACACTCTGTTCCAAAATTATAAGGTTTCTTCAATTTTTACTTTAAATGAGACAACAAGAATGTATTTGTATCTTGTTTAGTAACAGTTACTACATAAGTCAGAAAATTCGGACAAATTCGGACACTTCATCTACTTTATGTAAATTTACCGTATTTCCTATATTAGAGCCCCAGCCTCTGTTAGAGCCCCACCCTCTAATACAGCCCCACTTTGGAGGTTAGTTGAAAAATAGAGCCCCACCCTCAATTAGAGCCCCACCCCAAATACAGCCCCACCTAAAAAATTTTGGAGGAAAAAATATCCAAATAACTTTATAGATGTATTAAGAGAGTTAAGGAAAGAAAGAGGGATATCGATGATTCGTGATCATGGAGGAGGAGGGATCATGGGGATATACCAGTTCTAGTTCTGGAACTGCTTTTTGAATTTCTTCAGTTCCAGTTCTGGAACCTGTTCCAGAGCCTCGTCAAACAAAATCACTTCATATGCCTCCTATTACCCCTAGTCCAGAATATTCCTCTTAATCCCGCTAAATCTCTCAATATAAACTTAATCCGCTTATATTCACCATAATCCCTTAAAATCCACTATTATATCTTTGATCCATCGATGTCAAATACTGGTCCCCTAATATTTCCCTTAACCCGTCCAAATCTACCAAAATTTCATAATTGATCTTACTCTCATTGAACTATTGCTACTATTTTGTTATTCATTGCTTATAAAATTTTAATTTTTGTGAAAAATCGAAAATTTCGATCCTCGTTCGATATTTTTCGGTTTTATCGACCACCCCTCCGGCCTAACTCTAGTTGCAATGGATATTTAATAAATGGGATTTTATCTCAAAAGAGGGTTGAAAAATAGAGCCCCACCCTCAATTAAAGCCCCACCCTTTAATACAGCCCCACCTTGGAGGATAGTTGAAAAATAGAGCCCCATGGGGCTCTAATATAGGAAATACGGTATATGTATTTATTTACTCCCTCTATTTTTTATCTTTTCTATTAGAAAAAGGGAAAAAGCTTTCTTTTATCCTTTCCAGGCCAATTTTATTTCAAGGGACATAAATTGGCGTACGCCACACGTAAAGCTGCGTGCTTTGCATATTGGCACTTTAGCACATATAAAGAGACATTAGTAGAGGGAAATAAAAATCAATTTACTGGAAAAGTTGTTTTTGACCATTTTTATTTTTTTTGTTAAATATTTTTATATTTAATTTGTGTGTTTAGTTTATGTTATTTATTTTGTTGTAAAATTTGGAAAAGTTTATTTTTTAAATTAAATTTTTTAGAGATATTCCCTCTTCATTTTTGCTTAATTTCCAACCACCAACAAACTCATCCAGTGTTGTTGACACTTCCTCTTTAAATTTAAAATCTTCACCTCCTTCTACAAAACAAAAACAATTTCCAAATTCAGAAGCTTCTTTTATCCAACAAACACAAAATAATATTGAATGTCAATGCAACAGTTTAAATAAAACAGAGCAACGAGTAGATTTGGTTTCTTTTTTTATTTTTTAAATAAATTTTTTTAATTTTTTAAAAAAATAGTTTTTTTTTAATTTTTTTTATTTATTTTTAGGCCAAAGTTAAAAATAATTATTTCTCTTCATTTGCTGACCAATCCTCTTCTATCAACAATCATTCAACAATTAATATTTCCTCTCCTTGTTCCTCATCTTTTGTAGCAAATATCAGCAATAGTAGAGGTGGTGGTTGTTCTCATTTGGTTGGAGACAATTTATTAGTTAATAAAGGTAAGGGGAAGAGAGGAAAGAAATTTATTTTTGAATTAATTAAAAATTTAAAAAATGTGACTCATTACTAAAATAAATATTTATTTATTTTTAACTTTATATATTGATTATTTTTACTTTTAATTTAAAAATAGAATTTTTAAATTAAAAGATTAAAAAATATTTTTGCAAAAATTGGTGTCTTTTAAATAAAAACAACTGTTTTTTTTTATTTAATTTTATTTTGTCATCCCCAATTGTTTCACGTGTTTTGGGAATTAATATACAAAATTAGCAAAAATATTCTTAAAATTAAATTAAAATATTTTTTTTATTTTCTTTCTTTTTTAAAGTCAAACTGCCTTCCTCGGGTACAATAGCTATTGCCGAGGGGGCTGTCAGCATTGGACATGAGCCTTCTTCGGCAAATGTTCAATTACCAGCAACTTCTTCCTCTACAGCCTCTTCTGCCTCTTCCTCGTCCACACAAGTAGAGAAAATTTGGAAAAAATTTATAAATTTATTTTTTTAATTTTTTAGGGTTTAAAAGTCAGTTTGGGAACTAAAGGACATCGACCAGATGATGCAACTAGAATTTTTACCTCAAAACTCACCCCTTTTGAAAGTACAGAAATTTACAATTATCAACGGGTTTGTTTAAAGAGAATTCTTTCACAAATTTTTTAAAGATTTATTTTGTTGGTTCTCAAGCAAAGAAACGTCAATGCGTGGTTGGGGGCTCTAATAATAATAATTTTGATGACGAAAATGGATCTTATGTTTTGGTTTTACACGATCATATTGCTTATAGATATGAAATTTTAAAAATTATTGGAAAAGGAAGTTTTGGGCAGGTAAATTGAATTAAAAGAAAAAAATAAATAAATTTTATATTTTTCTTTAAAAAAGGTTATTAAAGCTTTTGATCACAAATATCAACAAGTAAAAATTATTTTAAATTAAAAAATAATATTTATTTTATTTTTAAGTATGTTGCTTTAAAAATTGTTAGAAATGAGAAACGTTTTCATCGACAAGTAAAAAAGAATATTTTTGAATTATTTTTGTAAAATTAATTTTAGGCAGAAGAAGAAGTTCGAATTTTGGATCATTTAAAGAAACAAGATGTTGATGGTGTATTTAATGTTATTCACATGTTGGATCATTTTACTTTTCGAAATCACAAATGTATTACTTTTGAATGTCTCAGTATTAATCTTTACGAATTAATAAAGAAAAATAAATTTCAAGGATTTAGTTTGGCTGTAAGTTTTAAATAAATATAAAAATATTAATTTCAATTTCTTAGCTTGTTCGTAAATTTGCCCATTCAATTCTTCAATGTTTAGAATTATTGCATTTAAATCGTTTAATTCATTGTGACTTGAAACCAGAAAATGTTTTGTTAAAAACTCCAAATCGTTCCTCAATAAAAGTTATCGACTTTGGGTCTTCTTGTTTTGACGATCAACGGATATATTCTTATATTCAATCGAGATTTTATCGGGCGCCGGAAGGTGTTTTTTTAAATTAAAATTTGGGGGGAATTGTGAAAGAATCCTTTATAATTCCCTCAAATTTTAAATTTATTTTTTTAAAGTTATTCTCGGTGCAAAATATGGAATGCCAATCGATATGTGGTCGCTTGGATGTATTTTGGCTGAGTTACTTACCGGCTATCCCCTCTTGCCAGGGGAGGATGAAGGAGACCAATTAGCCCTCATAATTGAACTATTGGGAATGCCCAGTTCCAAACTTTTGGAGGGTGGAAAAAGAACAAAAAACTTTTTTACTTCCAAAGGCCATCCTCGTTATTGTCAAGTAACACAATTAATGGATGGAACTACTGTAAATTAATTATTTAAATTAAATTTTGATATAAACTTTTATTAAAGGTTTTAACTGGTGGGAGATCTAAAAGAGGAAAATTAAGAGGCCCTCCAGCATCTAGATCAATGCAAAATGCTTTAAAGAATCAAGTCAAAAATACAAATTATTAATTTTTAAAATTAACAAAAATTTTTTAGGCAGATGAACTTTTTTTGGATTTTTTAAAGCATTGTTTGGATTGGGATCCAGATGCACGTTTAACACCGATGCAAGCGCTCAAACATCCTTGGTTACGTAGAAGGCTACCAAGAGCTCCATTGGGTGGAAATGGTGGGGGAATTATTTCTGGTAATGGAAATGGTTTAGATAATTCATTAACTATAAGTTCTGGAATTTTAAAATAAATTTTGGGTAATTAATTAATTACACTTGTCTGTATTGATTTTTGTTATTTAAAAATGTTTGATTTTCTTTTTGTTTTTAAGGCAATTTTATCTATTAATATATTTTATCTACTATTAAATTTTCTTCTTTTTTCTGCAAAAAGATTTATGCAAAAACTTATCAAAAATAATTTTGTCGGGCATTTCTTTTGTTTCCCCCCTATTTTAAATTTTTGTTTTATTTTTATATATTTGTATTTTTGCTTTTTGAAAGATTTTTAAATACGGGTTACTTAAGAATATGTCATTTGAAAAATTTCGGCAGGTTGGTTAAGATGTTATCAAATGTCAGTAATTGTCAAATAACCCAGACAATATTCAGAGTGGCCCGTGTCGTAAAATTTTTCTGCATTTTTAATACATATTCAGATTTTCGATTGTGCGGGTTGGGATACGAATGGAATATTAAAATTTTTTTAAATGGTTGCGACCTGATCTGCCGCTGCCCAGTTGTCGCAGGGAATAGTAGTTTTAAGTATAAATCAGAATTATACCCTACTGTAACCAACCAAATCGAAAAATTTTTGTACTATCGTATAGAGGAAGGACGATTTCCTATAACAAATTTAGCCAATAATTATAACCAATAATTAGTTGAATTTATGTCACAAACAAATAAGATACCTAAGGAAGGAGATTGATAATTTTCTACACGATGGTATAAAATTGTTTTTTTTTAATTTGGTTGGTTACAGCAAGAAATATAGTTCCCTAGATATTTCCTAACTTCATAAATTCATTCGGCTTCCTTCATTTCGCTTTTATTTTTTGCTTTATTAGTGTAATATATACATATATTATTTATTACACATTTTAATTTAAAAAAATATTAAAATGTTTTGTAATTTTCCAGCACACCTGCCGAAGTAATTTAACTTTGATCGTTTTTTCTCAACAAAATTTAAATAAAATCTCTATTTTCTTTCTTTAACAATCTTTCATATTTTAAGAATGAACGTTTAAATTTATCAAAAAATATATCATCCAAAAATGTTTTTCCCCCTTTTAATAAATAATTAAATTTACATTAAAACAATTTAAGGAGAAGTTGTAAATAAAAACTTCCATCGACTATAAAGCAGTCCAAATTATTTGTAAAATTATTGTTTAAAACTAATTAATGCAATCTTTATTTTGTTTAAAATGTAATTTTTGTCATAATTATTTGTCCTTGCAATTATATTTTTATTTTTTCATAAATAAAAGTTAAAATTTTGTTTTTGATTATTTAGAATTTGTGTTGAAAGTCGATTATATTAGTTATTCTTAGAAAATATGGAAATAGGGAGCTCTACTCATTCAGAGTTACCGGACCTTAGATTCTAAACGCAGAGCGGCACTTATTGCCATGGGTTAAGTCGTGTAAGGATGATTCACCTAGCAGCATTTAAAACGCTTAGGCGGGGGATAAACGGTCTAAAAAGGAAAAAGAGAAAGCATTAGTCGATGCCCCGGTAGCTCAGAGGTAGAGCTCCTGCATATGGTGAGCGAAAGCGCCTAGCAACAACTAGCAGGTGGTCGCAGGTTCGAATCCTGCCCGGTGGCTAAACTTTTGCAAACTCTTTCTGTCGTTCACACTTATTTTTCCTTCTTTTCTTTCTACAATTTTTCCTTACGTCAAATATCAAACATCAAGGACCAAGGAAAATTGACCATTCTAGCCAATCCAAGGAAGTGAGAAGTAAAAATATAAAGCCTATTTTCACAGAGTCTCGATTATCTCATATTTTCTAATTATTTTCCAAGCCTAACCGTTTGAAAAAATGGTAGGCTAGGAACCGATTGGGCACATAAATTTTGATTGGACAGGCTGGACTACAATACGAAGATTTCTTTTTGAAGTATATTTGTTGCGGTTAACAGGAAAGAACAAAATTAAATTAAAAATTTGAAGACATTTTAAAAAGTTATAGCAAAGAAAATTGACCATTACGAGGAATTATTAAGAAAAATATTTCCTCAAAGCTTTTTTAATTAAATTTTTTATTTAACCTATTTGAAATTCAAAAAAATTTAATATCAATTAAATAGTTTATTAAATATTCCCATAACAGAAAAAGCAAGAAAAATGGGAGAGAATGTTAAACTTGACAAAAAATGCAAAAATATGCAGATGAATGTAGGGAAAGAGGAGGTCAATTTTTAATGTTCTGTTTATTTATTTAATTCTAAAAATACAATTAATTAATCAAAATATATTTATTTTGGTATTTTAAAAACAGAACTGTTAAAACCAATAAAATAGAGGAGGATTGAATTTCTCAAAAAAACCAAATTTACTTTAAAATTTCTATTCACCCCCAAAATTACCATTTCCATCTTCATATCCACCATATTCCTCAGTCAAACCACCATCATCGTCTTCTTCACACCCTTCTTCGTCAGCTGCCTCAACTTCTGGTGCCAAATAATATTGAAGTGGATTTGGCCAAATATCGTCTTTAATTACCTTTAAAATTAAAAAAAAATTTTTTTGTGAAAAATTATTAGATTTCGAATGATTATTACATTCATCAATATTATTTACTGCATATGCTCGAGAAATTTCGAATTCCCGATGGTTTTGAGACTTTTAATGTTTTAGACCACAATTCTCTGAATAAACCAAAATGAGAACATTTTACGGAAAGTTAGCATTTTAATCAAAGCCTAATAAATAAATAAAAACAAACTTCAGCAATATCATCAGCCATTGGATCAGATTCTTCACATAACCATTTAAAAAAGCTTCTATTTTCTGCACCATTCTTTCCAGCACCATTCATTAATTGCTAAATTTAAAAATTAGTTTCGACCTCAAAATGTTGTAATAAAATAATGGAATAAAAGAATTTTGGTATTTAAAATTTCCCTTTACCTTTTGTTTTCCCGGTTTCCATTGGATTGGAGTAGAAGAACAACGCGGGTCAGCACCTGACCAATTATATTCTTTGAAAATTTCAGTATTTTCAAAATAAGGATTGACATCAAATGTAAACTTTAAAAAAACAAAATTTAAATTTAAATAATTTAAAGAAACCTTAATTTTATAACCAGCTTTAATATCCTCAAATTCTTCAATCTGAAGAAAATTAAAAGAAAATATTAATTTAAATACAAAGAATTTAAATATAGAAAATTGTTTCGGATTTCAGGAGAGAGGTTTGTTATGAAAAATTAAAAACAATTTTTTGTAATTTATCATCTATTGATCATAAATTTTTCAAAGTCCTAAAATTTGACTTTAATACAAAACATGATTGACTAAAGCAATTAAAAAAACTGTTAAACTAACAATGCCCCAAATTAGGAAATTTTTAAAAATTTAAAATAAAAACCTCTAATTTAGTCAAATAATGCAAACATTCCTCCTCTTCTTCCTCCATAATGGAGCTAATTTGTGGGTGGTTGATAAACTAAACAAATACATATATTCACAACAAAAAATTCAAAACCAAAAATTTACCACTGTGACCCAAAAATTTGTAATTTTTTTGATTAATTCACTTCGCTGTTCGAAATAAGGTTTTCTTTGTTGATTATATTTTTGTTCAACTTTAAGAATTTCTTCGCTGGCAATCTCATTTAAATTGTCCAAAGCACTTTGCACATTGTCCAACTCTTCTAAAGCTTTTTGAGTTTCTGTGCCATGATCCTTAAAGGAATAAATTTATTTTTAATTAAATACGTATTTTGCCTGTTTATCATCATTTGCTTTTTCAGAATTTTCAATCTTAGCACGCTTAACATCTGGCTCGTTGTTCATTGTAAGAAATTATAAAAATACTCAAAAAATCTAAACCAAAAAGAAAAAATATAGTCCGTAAAAATAAAATTGTTCCATTTTAACGCTGAAGGATAAAAGCAACACTTTCGTTGGGTGCTGACTTTATGTCTTATTGACGTAAATAGAGTATAATAATGCAATTGCTTTCATGCGTCCTATGCAAAATTTTGGAAATTCCATAAGGCCAAAAAGCCGCAGACGGTATTTTTTTCAGAAAGCTGTCAGAACAAAAAAATGGGAAATCACACAACCGCGATCCTAAATCCGATATAAAAAGTCCAAAGATCTCGAGAAAATCCCAGGATTAAGGGCCAGAACTCCGGAAAAATTCAGCCGTGTCCGGAGACAGGCACTAGTAACAACTTATAGACCAAAAGAGGGTATTAGAGATTTTAATTTTTAAATTAAATCTCGTTTATCTAGATGTAAATAGATTAAATAAAAAAAATATTTTTATAGTTAAAAATTAACTATTATATACTATCTACAATTTAAAGACATGTAGGATTATACTTTAATAATTAAAAGTCAATATAATATAGTAAAAGCGGCGAGACATATTAATAAAGTCAAACGGCGGAAGTAGGAACAATAATAATCAATAAAGCAAAAGTCTGAATTTTTCAATAGTAATTTTGATTGAAATGTTTATTGGTAGAAAACCCAGAAATTTCATTTTTAAAACTATTTTCTCAAAATTTAATGTCTTTAGAATTTTTCTTTAAAAAAGCAAAATTACAAAAAATTGAAAATTCCAGAACTTATCAATATTAAAGAACGCCAATTATTTTTTTATAAAATATTAGATAATTTATTCGTCCCGTAAATACCACTTTTTAATTAATCCTTCACAACCTTCATTTTTAACTATTATAATTTTATTTTTTTTAAAGACCAGCCAGACGCAACACCTAAAATTTTAATTTCAAATTATATATTTTATAGAAGACTTACTTCTTCGCAAATTCTTTTATAGGTGAATGGTTCACCATGAACTCTTCTGCGTTTCACACCAACATATTGTAAACCCTCAATAGAAACAACTTCAAGTTCGACAGTGGCATCTTTTTTCGGATTATTTGAATTTTTTCGAGATCCACTAACCTTCCATCTATTTTATAAATTAAAAGTTTTTAATTGTATTATAAAAACCCATTCTGCGTAGCATTCATTCCCAAATTGCAAAGTACCTTCCACAATTCCTCACGCACTTTTACTGGATCACTAGACGATGTAACCGAAACGTTAGCCATTGGCTATAAAATAAAAATTAAATTTTTAAAATCAAATCAAACTACTACCTCTGTACATTTAAGTTTAGTTGGAGCTTCTGATTTAATCTTCTTTGGAGTTAGCAAACTAATCATTTTATCAGCTTTTCGTTCTAATGACGAAAACACGCGTTGGCGGAACCGATGCGGTGATTTGTTATTTTGTAACTGTTTACTATTGTTATTACAACTGTTATAAACTCGGCACATATCAATACGCGATCTTCTTTCACAACTTTCGGACTTTTGGGTATTGTTGTTAAAATGAAGACTTGGTGGAGAATTTTCATCAGCAGGGTCATTCTTCTCTAATCTCACTAAAATTTAATAAGACTTTTATATTGCAAAGTTGAAAAACAAACAGGAAGGCGGTCTATCCACAGAATTCGGACGGCGATAAGCAAATCCTCCTACAATTGGTCCAGGAAATTCAACAGCGCCTCTTCTAGGTGTTGTATAAACACTACAACCACCTTTGTTCGAAGGTGCTGGTCTATGATGTGTGGGTGCCTCATAAGAAGGTTTACGTTGCTGTGGTTTACGTGGCGTGATGGAATTAGCGTCAAGTTTTTGGCCTTGTTTACCACCTTCATATGGAGAGAATGTGGAAGGCTGGATAAGTTAAAAAGTTAACTTTTATATTAATTTCGAAAAATATAATTATTTTTGAAACAAACAATTGAAGGCATTTGTTTTGTATTTGTGAAGACAGGTGGAGAAAGTAGAGCCAAGGATTTCAACTTCTTAAGAAAAAAATATTTAAAAAAATAAAACAAAAACCTCTGTCATAATTTCATTTGCCTCATCGGAATTAGAGAATTTAATAATATCTTCAAAGCCAGATAAATCCAAATCATTTTCCAATGAAGAGTGAATAGTTGGCGAGCATGGAAAATTGCAATTGAAGTTCTTATCGTAGAAAGGAAGAGCAAAGTTCTTTTTTTGCTCCTCTGAATAAAAAAGAAAATTCTTTAAATTTATTTAAAAACATACTCCTTTGTAAAAGAATAAGATAAGTTGCACAAATATAGTCAAAGCGCCACTGTTTTATTCGCGCGATCATATCATCGGTATTTATTTTAAAAAAGCAAACTAATTCTCTAATAATTTCTTCATCCACAACATCTCGATTATAAATACTTTGCCATTTAATTTGTTGTTCATAATTGGAATTAAGCCATGGATGGACAAGTATTTGTTGAATAGTTGCACGTTTCTTTGGGTCAACAGTGAGCATTGAACGTAATAAATCTTTGCAAGATTGTGACAAGAAATCAGGTTCAAAATATTGTCCCAGCTAAAAGGAATGAAAATAACGTCTAGAATTATATAAAATTTACCGTAATTTGTTTGTACAATCGAGGCATATTTGTGTCATCTGTTAAAAACTTTTAATTAGTAAAAAACGCTTTCAAACCAAAGGGCAAGGTACCACAGAGCAATGCATACAACAAAACACCCATTGACCAGATATCGGCTTCGTTCCCAAAATAGGATTGATTCTAATAAATATAATTTTACAGCAATTAATTCAGAATTATTTACCTGGATAAGTTCGGGCGCAGCATAGGCAGGGGAACCACAACAAGTTTCAAGTGGCCTAGTCAAACCATTTAAAGGTCTTGCACAAAGCCCGAAATCAATCACCTTTAATTGGAGCTCTTGGGTCAACAACAAATTTTCAGGTTTTAAATCTCGATGAGCAAAACCTAAATTTTTTAAACAAACCATTGAAATCACAACAAACCCATTGAATGAATGTATGCCACTCCTTGAACCAGTCTAATTGTAAGAAAAAATTTATAAAAAAAACAAGTTAAAATTAAACAAACTGTCTAAAGAAATGGCGTGCCTCAGATTCCCCAAGCCGCTCTTTGCGAACAATATAATCAAACATCTCTCCACCATTGCAATACTCCATCACAATATAAAACCTACGAATAAATAATCAATTGTTTATATGTTTAGGATTAAAATTATTTTACCAATAATCAATATTACTAATTAAAATTCCATAAACTAACCTGTCTTCCGTTTCGCGGAACTGGAATAGACGGCAAATATTCTGGTGCGCCAACAGCTTTAAGGCTTCCATTTCGCTGAATACTCGCGGTAAATCATTCTTAAATTGGAAAAGTAATTATAGATAAAAAAATAAAACATACAGGAATGCTCTTCTTATCAATAATTTTAATCGCAACTTGGTCCCCTGTGAGGATATGCTTTGCCAATTTAACCTTCCCGAAACCACCAGAACCTAATTCATCCAGAAAGAGGTACATTCTTTCCATACAGTTCTGATCGGAAGAATAATTTTCAGATTCATAATAATTATTGATCTTATTAGAAAGTATTTGGCGTTGTCTAGATTCTGTTTGTATTGAAGGAATGTCATTAGAACAAATGAGATTAGCACCGCAATCCATGTTTTCACCTTTTGGCATATTAAATTTACCAAAAAATTAGTCTAAAAAATAAATTCAATGGAAAACTTTAAAATTATTTTTATAAAATCAATAATGAAAAAACTAATTAAAGTTTAATAATTTAACGTAAACCAAAATTAAACAGCATCCCAAGCTTTTTAAATTTAAAAATTTTTGAGCTGAAAAATTTAAAACGAACTTTTATTTCATTTTATTACATTTCAAAATGTCAAATAATGATAAATTACTCATTTTGTCAGAAGTTAAGTTTTTTATTTTTTATTAGAGGAAGATTTCTACATTTTTTGTTGTTCTCTAATTTATTTTTTTAGTGTTATCATCTAGTAATGGGGCCAAAAGATAGAGGTCGAGGTGTGAAAGCAAGCACAACTTTAAACTCGAATAGTGGAAGTAGACGCATTGTAGTGCCAAATATTGCAGCCGCAGCGAGTCGTATTCTCGCGCCAAAGTGGGCAGATACAAAGTATTTTTAAAATTTTTTAATAATAAAAATGTCTGGAAAAATCATTTTTCCGAGTCTGAATACCGAATTTTTCTGTTGGTTGTACCCTGGTATATAACTTGAACATAAAGATTTTTTAAATATTTTTCACAAATTTTTAATTTGTTTAAAAAGGCCTAATGCTTCTGATGCAGTAAAATCTGAGCACATTAATGGAGAGTCAAGTTCAGTTAAAAGTGAAAAGGGTAGAGGCCGTGGAAGGCCTCCTGGACGTGGAAAGGGACGAGGCGGTTCAGCAAAACAATTCATTGCTTCTGAAGGTGTTTTTTCTCAGGGAATTGGCGAGGATGCTTTCGGAAACCAGAGAACGAGGGGGGTTCGATTGAAAAACAAAGGTTTTTGACGTCCTTTTAATTTATAAATTTTATTTTTAGATGAGGAAATTATTGGGAAATTAGAAAGTTCGTTGCAGGAGGACACCAAAGATGACGATAAATTAAATGAAAAAGATAAAGAAAAGAAGCCAAAGAAAAAGAAAATTAAATTGGAGCTTTCAGAAAATCTTTATGAGGAATTTTGGCAATCAGATGATGAATTGGACCGCGAAGAGTTAGATGAACTTTGTGGAGGAAGTGTAAGAACTTTCAAAAATAAAATTTATTTTTCAAACATATTTTTAGTTTATTGCTGATTTAAAGAAATGTGAACAATTACCATTTGTTCTCCCAAATAATGAAGCTCAACAATTTAATAGAATAATTAAAAAAAGGAGAAAGGAAGAAGATGGGGAAGAATACCAAAAAGATATTAAAGATATAAAATTGTAATAGAAGAGGGGTTGATTTTTAAATAAATTTATTTTAAGGAAAGAAATCTTAGCAATGGAAGAAGCTTCAAAACAATCAAAAATTTGTTTAAGAGAAGAAAAATTCCAATCAGCTGCTAATACAATACAAAGACTGGCAAATGGTTTTGAAAATAAATTTTTTTAAATTAATTTTAATATTTTTAAAGATTCGAATAATCAATTACTTCTTTTTCAACTTCCTTCTATTCCTTTATTGCGGATAGCAGAGACACGAAAGCAAAATATATTGGAAGATGAACAACAACCAAAAAAATCTTCAAATAAATCAATTCAAGAACCTCAATTAAAAAATAAAAATTGTTTAGAATCATTTCCAAATGAAGGTACAAAAATTGGAAAATTACAATTTTTGCGTAGTGGAAAGGCTGTTTTAAATATTGGGGGGCATCAAATGGACATTTCTGAATCAATTAACAGTGAAAGTTTTGAGGTAAAAAAATTTTCTTTTGTTTTTATTTAATTAAAAAAATTATTTTCTTTTAGACTCTGCTTCGAGTAGAAGTTGCCAGTCGACAACCCCAACAAAATTCAAAAGATATTAATTTGTGTGGACTTCCATTTAGCTTAAATAATGGTTTTAATATTAAATTTTTACAAATTTTTTAAAAGAAAATTTAAAGGAATTTCAACGTCACATCATTCAATTCCCGGTACTGCTCAACTTTTGGGCTCTTTACCTTTTAATTTTGTTTGTTCTTTTGATATTAAACGTGCTTTGCAAACAACAAATGATGACTCAGCTCCTTCCACTTCGTCTATACAAAATTAAAATGTTGTAGTCTTAAAAATTTTTTAATAAAAATAAATTTTAAAAGTTTATTACACTGTGTTATTTACAAAAAGATAATAAGTACATCTAAAGTTTTGCTAACTTCTCTTTAAATAATTATCCTACTCACATTTTAAACTTTGAAAATAAAATCCGTATATAGTTTCCCAACGTATGGTCGCATTTATTCTCTTAATATCTTGCATTTTTAGGTAATTTTTAAGCATTTTAGATGTGTGGCCCCATAACGGAAAAGTACCAATCTCTAATAATAATAATATAAAAAAATATATTTATAAAATAAATTTTTGTATCAAAAAAATTACAAAATTTAATTGAGAAAAATATTAAAAAAAGACACTTTTTTACATAAAAATGTGTCAATTCAAAATTGAATTGACAATAAAAATTTAATCGTTTTTAAGGCAACAAATTAGTAGTAGAGTGTATAAATGATAAGAAAGTAAACAATTTACAGCAACTATTCCCTTTACTAAATTTTTTTTATCAAAATATTCTTTTTTTTTAAAAATTCTTTTCCCCTTAAAAAAATTCTCTATATAAATATTCTTTTCCCCTCAATTTAATTTTCAAAAAATAAAAAATTTAAATAAAACTATAAAATACCCGTATATATTTAGTTAAGGATTTAGAAGATATAAATTGTGGGTAGGGGAGGGGGAAGGGGGGAGTTTTTAAATAAAAAAAGCTCGAAAGAGTTTAAAAATAATTAATTATTATTTTCTTTTTCTTCTTCATTTTCTACATTTCTTTTATTATTTTCAATATTAAGTGAAGTTGAATTCTGATTTCTTCTTGTCACGGCTGTCGGAGGAATCCAAAACTCGTACGGGTCCGCCCGCGCGTAGTTCGTTAGCGCCTTTGAAATTGAAAAAGTATTTTTATTTTTAATTAATTTGTTTTTAAAAATAAATAAATAAATTCCCTCTTCTTCTTTTAATTTTTTAAGAATATTTCTTTTTATTAGTTTAACTAACTTTTTTTTAAATTCACAGCACACAAAAAATAAGCATCCACTCAAAGTGATTATTTTTATTTAAATAGTGCCAAACAGAAAAAAGAAGAAGGGGATTAATTAAATAAACAAATTAAAAATTAAATTTACGTTCTAATTCTTTAGCAATTCTCAATCTTCTATATGATTGTCTAAGTCTATCCCCAGCTTGGATTGTTAAAGAAGATGGGTGTGAATTGTTTATATTAGATTGAAAAGCACGTATAACTCTCATCTAAAAACAACAAAAACAAAAAAATAAAAAGAAAATATATTTTTGTTTGTGCATTTAAAAAAATGATTTTTTTTCCTTATAATTAATTGTTAGTTGTGGTTTTAAAAAAATAATAATTTACAAAAAAAAAACAAAAACATTAAAAAACAAAAAAAAAACAATTTTAATTTAAAAATTAAATTTACTTGTGTTTGTAATCTAGTAAGTCCAAGTAACCACAATATCTGTCCAGGTCTAGCCCCACTACTCCCTGCTGGCACCCCGCCAATTTCACGTCCAGCTGTTTGTCGAACCTTTTTTTAAAAATTAATTTACACAAAAATAAATTTATTTAAAAGACTTCGGGTATATCATATTCTCCAGTAACAAGTATAGATGTTGGCCTAACCTCTCCTCTTCCAAAAGCAAAAAATTTGGGTAAAACATTTGAAGGAATTGTTATTATTATCTGTAAAAGGAAGATTTAAAGAGAATATTCTTTCCCTTCCGTTTACCTGTCCCCATATTAATTCACAAATAGCAAAAAGAAAACAAAATCCCCAATGTATTAAATCTAAACTTTTTGTAAAAAACCATTCACCAGCAAATTGAACAATTAAAATTTGTGAAATTAATGTTAATAACCAAATTATACAAAAAATTGGATTTGAAAGGAGTCCCTTTTAAAAGAAAAGAAAATTATTTTTGATTGAAGTAAAGAAGATTAAAAAGAAAAAAGAAGGAAAATATATTTAATTTAAAAAATTCTTTACTTTAAAAACATTTCTTTCATTATGTATTTTTCTCGAATCAATTTCATTAGCCAAAGTCATTAAAACAAAAGAATTAAATATAATTGTAAAATGTTTTGTTGGGGGTGCTTCATGTGGTTGTTCTCTTGCTTTTTCTCCTTCCAAACCGGGAATAAATCTTTCAGCAAAAAATAAAAGTCCAAAAAGAACAGATAATTGATATATTGCATGCCCAATTATGTTTTTAACCTTTGAAAATATTTCTTTATTTATTAAAAATTCAAACAACTTCAATTTGCTATGCCCAGATTAAAAGCGGTTTTGGTTAAATATAAAAGAATTGTGAGGACCTATGACCGGTGATCTATGGAGAGTTTTTCTAATTTTGTCCTAATTTCGTTGTTTATAATAAAGCGGCCAACACATCCCAGAAAATAACAAAAATTAGAAGGGACTTGATCCGATACAAGATTATTGACAACTCCATCCCTTCACCAAAAAATCGTTTTCATTTTTTCTTTATTTAATAGGCTAAAAGGAAACTTGGCCGATTTTACATTATCTTTATTTTTTAAAATTATCAAAAAAAAATTCTTTTCACCATAGTTCGAGAAATTAATGATTTTGTACGTCCATAAGGCTTTCTTTTAAGCTAAAAATAATAATTATTATCTTTAAAAAATATTTATTTCTTAACCAAATCTTCTGTCGGCATTTCTGTGGCTAATGCTAAAGAGGCTAATGTGTCCATAATTAAATTAACCCAAAGCATTTGAACTGCTCGAAAAGGTAAATTTTTAATTGAACAGGCCCCGACAAAAGCTATAGTTACTGCTACAACATTTACAGTTAATTGGAATTGAAGAAATTTTGCAATCTTTTGAAAGGAATTTAAAAATAATTTTAAATATTTTTGATTATTTTATTGGTTTCCCAGTCTTTTTTTTAACTAGAAGAGGATAGGAAATAAGAGGATGGAAGTTTTTTTAGAGAATATATTTTTTAGGGATATTTTTTATGTTACAATTAAATAAATTTCTCTTAAATAAAATGTATTTACTTAACCTGATTTGCTTAATTTTTTGTAAATTTTGGAAAGTCCCGAATTCCTTTAAAGTTCTGGTTTCGGTTTAGGTAAAGGAATATACTAAACCCCAGTAGGGACTATCGGGGAAAGAAATGGAATTTGGAAATTTTAAATAATTTTTGAGAGCATAATTCACCTCTCATAATTTATACCTATTCTTAATTTAACCAAAAATTATATTTTTCCCAAATTTTATAAAAAAAATTACCGAATCATAAACATTCCTTCCCCACATTACAGCTTTAACTATTGAAGTAAAATCTATTTTAAAAAATAAATTAATTTCTTTTAATTAAATTTAAATTAACTATCGTCAGTCAAAATAATATCCGAAGCTTCTTTTGCCACATCTGTGCCAGCAATTCCCATTGCAAACCCAACATCCGCCTTTTTTAATGCTGGGGCATCGTTAGTTCCATCACCAGTTACTGCAACAACTTCTCTTTAAATTTAAATTAAAAATAATTTAATTTAAATTTAATTTAAATTTACCTGTTTTTTGTACATTTAGATTCAATTATTCCTTTTACCAAAATATATTTATCTGAAGGTTGAGCTCTGGCTAATACTCTTAATTTTGGCCTAAAAATATTTTTAATATATTCCAATTTTTCTTTTTTTACCAAATTTGGTCCAATTTTCTCTGATCAACAATTCCATTTTCATCCCTTATTCGAGAATTAAAATCTTTCCCTTCCAAAACCAAATAATCATCTCCAGGCTTTAAAATTCCACATTGAATAGCTATTGACCTAGCTGTGTTTATATTATCTCCAGTTACCTTTAATTTTAAAAATAATTCTTCTTATTTTTTAAATTTCTTCCTTACCATTCTAACAGTAATTCCCGAACGTTGACATTTAGCAATAGCTTCAGGCACTTCTGGACGGACCTTTAATTTAAATTTAAATTAAATAAAAGAAAAACAAATTTACAGGGTCTTGAATACCCAAAATAGCCACTAAAGTTAATCCTTCTCTCAAAGATTCTTCATCATCCCAATTAATTGAAGAACTTTCTCCTTCAGACAAAATAACCTTTAAAAATTAAATTAAAATATTTTTTTAATTTAGAAGTTTCAGAATTAAATAAAGAAAAAAACTTTTTTCTTAAAAAAATCTATGTAGAATCGTTAATATAAAATTATTAGTCAAAGCCTCAATTTCTTCAGAATTAATGGGTATTTAAAACTCTCCCTCCCTATTTATTTACTTACATCATTTGGATATTCACTATTTCCAACAAAATCTTTATAGGCAATAGCTATAGTTCTCAATCCATCAGAGGCCATAGGTTCAATTACTTGTTTAATCATTTCTTTTTGTTTTTCATTTCCAAATGTCAAAATATTTCCCTCAACCCCAAGAATATATTTACAACGACACAAAAGTATTTCTGAAGCACCCTTTGCATGAAGTCTAAACCCTCCACCTTCCCTTCTATGTACAACAGTCATCATTGACTTTCGAACAGAATTAAAAGTAAAAACCTTAAAATTAATTCGTGTAAAAATATATTTTTATTTTCTTAATTTACTTGATTTAAGAAATTTAAGAAAAAAACATTAAAAAATAGTTTTTATGGAATTTTTGGAATTTAGGGATTTTTTTGGTTGGAGGGAGGAAGGGAAGTCAATATTAAAGATTGGAACAATGAAGTATCTACCTAAATAAACATTCAAATACAGACAATGTAAATTAAATTACCGTATTTCCTATATTAGAGCCCCATGGGGCTCTATTTTTCAACTATCCTCCAAGGTGGGGCTGTATTAAAGGGTGGGGCTTTAATTGAGGGTGGGGCTCTATTTTTCAACCCTCTTTTGAGATAAAATCCCATTTATTAAATATCCATTGCAACTAGAGTTAGGCCGGAGGGGTGGTCGATAAAACCGAAAAATATCGAACGAGGATCGAAATTTTCGATTTTTCACAAAAATTAAAATTTTATAAGCAATGAATAACAAAATAGTAGCAATAGTTCAATGAGAGTAAGATCAATTATGAAATTTTGGTAGATTTGGACGGGTTAAGGGAAATATTAGGGGACCAGTATTTGACATCGATGGATCAAAGATATAATAGTGGATTTTAAGGGATTATGGTGAATATAAGCGGATTAAGTTTATATTGAGAGATTTAGCGGGATTAAGAGGAATATTCTGGACTAGGGGTAATAGGAGGCATATGAAGTGATTTTGTTTGACGAGGCTCTGGAACAGGTTCCAGAACTGGAACTGAAGAAATTCAAAAAGCAGTTCCAGAACTAGAACTGGTATATCCCCATGATCCCTCCTCCTCCATGATCACGAATCATCGATATCCCTCTTTCTTTCCTTAACTCTCTTAATACATCTATAAAGTTATTTGGATATTTTTTCCTCCAAAATTTTTTAGGTGGGGCTGTATTTGGGGTGGGGCTCTAATTGAGGGTGGGGCTCTATTTTTCAACTAACCTCCAAAGTGGGGCTGTATTAGAGGGTGGGGCTCTAACAGAGGCTGGGGCTCTAATATAGGAAATACGGTATTTATCAACGTCCAAAATCTTAAATCAAGACTCCTAAACTTCCCATTTTTTGGGAGTCAGTGACGGCACAATCCCTTATACATAAATTAAACATAATTTAAGAATTTAAAAGTATTTACATATTCTTTTAATTTTATTTTTAAATTCAAAAACTTACTTTAATTAAAGACTCTTCTGGAAAATAATGCCTAATTTGTTCATAATTTTGCCCCAAATCCAAAGTAAATCCAAGAAGTGCACATTCTGTTTTATTTCCAATTTGTGTTTTTTGAATGCCCGGCAATGTTGGAAGTAACACTTGTGTATTATATCCACTATTTACTGAAATTCCTTCAACCAAAATTTCTCTAGTTTTTTTGTCCAATTCAGACCAACTCGGAGAAATTTCTCGATAAAAACGATCTGAAATTAATTAAATTTAATTAAAACATAATTACTTTAATTTGTGGGCCTAACATAATTGGAAAAAAATGGAGGGAAGGGATAATTAATTTAAAAAAAAATATTTTTTTAACTTAAAAGTAATATTATTTTCTCAATAATATTTTAATTCTTCTAACCATTAATAAATGATTGAACAACAGCCATTCTATTTGTAGTTAAAGTTCCAGTTTTATCAGAACAAATACTTGTTGCATTCCCCATAGTTTCACAAGCATCCAAATGCCTAACCAAATTATTATCTTTCATCATTTTCTTAACAGAATAAGTCAATGAAAGAGTTATTGCTAAAGGAAGGCCTTCAGGCACAGCAATCACCAAAACAGTTACTCCAACAATTATAAATTCTACAAGATTAGAGAAATCATTTGGATTTAATTGTCTCTCCTCTGGCGGCCCCCAAATAAATTTAGATAATGAATATTTAACGATCATAACTAAAACTGTTGCTGCTGCTACAATTGAACCGATATAACCAATTTGTATTGCTAATGATGATAACTTTAAAGTTAAAGAGTGTTTAAGTGTTTATAATTTCTTTGTATTACCTTTCCCTGTAGCACCGATTTTGTTTTTGTACTTGCTGTTGTTGTTCCTTCATCAACATTATTATTTGGGGCTAAAGGCACTGTACTTCCACCATTATTTTGCCCTAAACTTTCATCTGTTGCTGTTGAAGGAGGGGCAAAAGCTGCAATTTGGCCATTTGCTGTTTCTTTTTTAATTCCATTTAATGCTTAAAAATATTAAAGTTTAGATTAGACAAACTTTAAATTTTAAAAAATTTAAAGGGATTATTTAAATCTTGATAGATAATTTAGTCCAGTCTCTTTTCAAAAGAATAAAAAAAATCTAAAAAGTTTTAAGAAACAAATTAAAGGAAAAAGTAAATGTTTTTTGTGTAACTTATCTTAAAAAAATTTTAAAAATATAGACTTCAAGGAGGAGGAAGGAGGGGGGAGGGGGTAATTAAAGATTTATATTTCCTCCCTAAATAAATTATTTTTCCATTACATTTATGGCTAATATTATTATTATTAATTTTTGTTGATTTTCTGTTGTTATTAATAGAATGTTGATTATTTTGAGGAGTATTTCCATTATTTCCATTATTATTATTCCCTTCTTTTGTAACCCCCAACAAAGTCATTATAATTCCAGTTTGTGAATTAACCCCAACAGCACAAACAACCATTCTCCCACTTCCCTCCATTGCATGAGTTCCTTTAAACAAAATAATTTTAAAAACAAAAATAAAATACAAACCAGAAAGTAAAACAGGATCTACTTCCGGACTTTTTCTTATATGGTCAGACTCTCCAGTTAACGAAGATTCATCAACCTTTTAATTATTTATTAAAAATATTATTTTAATTTTTTCTTACCTTTAAATCGTTACTTTGAAGGAGAATTCCATCTGCTGGAAGTAAATCCCCATATTTTACTCTACAAATATCACCAACAACTATCTAAATTTAATAAGGAAAATATAGTTTAGTAGTCCAATGAAAGTTTAATATGTAATAATGGTTCTCGGGTATTGCAACTCCCGAATCAGGAAATTTTCCCGACTCCCGATTACCGGGGTTTTTCTCTTCCCAAGCATCACTACCATGTAGTCTACTCATCAAAGTTTATGAGTCCAATGAAGGTTTTTTAAATATTAAATTTAATTTTTTAACCAAAAAAGTCCATTTTTCAGTACAAAATAAGTATCCGAATCGCCCCCCCCCCCTAATTTAATATAATACTTTTCACTTGTCATAGAAAAATTATAATCCCAATTTAAATTTAAACATACTTCATTAATAACAATATCAACAGGTTTACTATCTCTAATTACAGAAAATTTATGTTCTGTTTCAATTTTTGATTGAAGACCGCGAAATTGTTTTTCTTTGGACCAATCATTTAAGGCTGTTACAAGAACAACAACAATCACCTAAAAAATTAGGAAAGAATATTGTCTCAATTATATTATTTGTAAAGGGGCCTATTTAAATTATCCCATAGATCCCTCATTCTGTTTAAAATCTGTTTCAATTAAGTAGAAAAATTATAAAGATAAAAATTTCTCTCACAAATCTACAAAAGTTTTTGAAATTTCATAACGATGAAATTGAAATTTTATTTCGTCCAAATTTTGTTACATTTTTGGCACCGTCGGCGAAAATTTTGCTATTTCAAATGTGTCCTTTGAGGAAGTTGGGGAACAAAATTTCAAAAAAATAAGAACTAACAGCAATTAAAATAGCCACTCCTTCAATTCTGCCTGCATGTTCATCATTAATAACTTCTTTACTTGTATTATTTAAATCGGGAATTATTGTTGTTGTTTTAATATTATTTAAATTATTTTTTGAAGTATTTCCAGTATAAAAAGAAATACAAAAAGAAATAATTGCAGCTATTAACAAAATAATTAAAGTAACATCTTGTAATGCTTCCCAAGCTAAACGAATAAACGATTTTGGAGGTAAAGGAGGGATTTCGTTTCTTCCAAAAACATTCCTTCGCCTTTCCAATTCTGCTGAACTATTTGGCAATCCACTAAAAGGGTCTGTCTGGATTTTGGCACAAAGCCCTTCCAAACCCCCATAATCAGCATTTATCTATTTTTTAGAATTTTTATTTAAAAAAAAATTTTTAAAACTTTTTCTAAGGCATTAGGCCCTCTCATATCCATTAATTGACACAATTCTTTTAAAGAAACATCGAATCCTTTTGTATTAACAGATGTTGATTCAACAGCTATAGAATCTCGTGTCGGCATAATTATTTTAATTTAAAAGGGGATTCTCTTCTTTTTTTTAAATTAAAATAAAAACATTTAAAAAATAATTTTTTGTCGTTAAAAATTAATTAATTAAAAGCACCAAAAAAATTTAAAATAAAAATTAATTGGAGAGGGCAGCGAAGAAAAACGATCAATTTTGAACGTTTTTTAATTAAAAAGAGAAAACGTTTTTTCTAAAAAAATTAAAAATTATTTTCATAAAAATTATTTTTTTTAAATTTTCGAAGGTTATACAATAAATGAGGAAATAAATTAAAAATAAAAGGAAATAGAAAAAAATAAAATAAGAAGATGACATAAACACACAAATAAATATTTTTTTTCCATTATTTGAGAGAATTTTTATTATTATTATTAAATTAAAATTTTTTTCTAAAAAAATTTTTTTTAATTAATTTTAGTAATAAATAAATGTTAAAATTAATTAAAAAAACAAGTATTTTTAAATAAGAAAAAAATTATCTAAAATTTTTTATTCTGTCAATTAAAATTTAAAAATTCTTTTTTTTAAATTAAATATATATATACAAAAATATACAACATGGATATGATTCAACAAAATATTTACAAAAAAATTTTTGTAAAAAATTAGAAAAAATAATAGCCAACAATGAGTAATAAATAAATAAATGAAACGTTAAAAGAAAATACAACATGTTATTTTTTGTAAATTTTTAAAAAAAAATTTAAATATATTTTTTAGAAGATGTGATTTAGAAATTTTTAAAAATAAACAGGAAAATATTAACAAAAAAATAAAAATATTTTTAAACAATAATTTGTTAAAATAAAACTCCTCGAATCCACTTTCCAACGGGGTAATCTCTCAGTAATTTAAAAAAAATATTTAATTAAAAAAGTCAATTAAAACATTCGATTATCATTCCAAAAATTAGGCAAATTTAATTAAAAATTATGAAAAAATGAATGATCAATTAACATCAATTAACATCAATCAATTAACCTTTTAGAATGATCAATTAACAAATTGGCATACCCCTAATTTGAAAAAACAAAAGGAGAACAAAAATATTTTTTTGAAAATTATTTTTAAATAAATTCAATAATTAAAATATATACATATAGTCAATAATTACAGTTAGGGGGAAGGTAAAAAAAATATGTAGAAGAAATGGGAAGGGAAATAAAAAAAAGGCTTCCTTCACCCAACCTGCGCACATGCATTTCTCCCCCCCCCCCCCCCCCCCCCCCCCAAATATATTTTGTTGTATATTTAATTTTTTAGAAGAAAAAAAATATTTTTTATTCTCTTAAAATATACATACTCTCTTAATTGAACCAACGAAGTAAGTCTATAAAAGTCGCGCGAACATATTCATGTATGTGTGGGTAGAAAAAAAGATTTAAAAGGGTTTCCATGGCCGCCCCGTTATTCACATGGTAGGGACAAAACACCGTCTGACAAAAATGCCGTCTGGAAATTAGAGTAAAGAAACACTGTCCACATTTACAGATAATAAACTTGAGTTATGTCAATATTATCTTAGTGCATTTAGACTTTCTGGTTTATTTTGATTTGTACTTTAATTCCTTTACCTAAAATTTTATTTTAAAACTTGTTTATTTTAAGTGAAATTAATGGTAGATTTTGCTCTAATGTGTGGACGGTGTTTTTGTCAGACGGTGTTTTGCCCTATCACGATTCACACACACACACACACAACAATTTATTCACATATATAAATACAAATCTATATTGATTAACAATTTATTTTAATATATATTTTTATCACTCTTTATTATCTGGACATTAAATATATTTTAAAAAATATTTTATTTGACAGACAAAAAAGGGAAGGAAAAATTTTAAAAAATTGTTGAGCAAAAAATATCTTTATTTTTACCTCAAACAAAGCATGGAAATGTATTACTTAAAAATGTGAAAAAAAAATTTCGAAAATTTTATAATTAACCCTTAAACCCGCTACCAAAGATTGGGGTTAGACACGAATCGAAGAGTAAATTTAAAAAAAAATAAAAACATGAAAGTCTCTGATTGAGGGGGGGGGGGTGTTAAACTTTACTAATTTTGATTGACAAATAATTAAGAATATTTTTAAAAATTAATTTAAAAATTAAAATTTTATTAAATTCTTAAAAAATAAAATCATTTTAATAAATTAATTTAGGTTTTAAAATAAATTTAATTTTTGCAAAAAAAAAAGAAAAGAAATTAATACTAAATTAGAACAGTTTCTTATGATAAAAATGTAGTTTTAATGACGTTTATAAAAGAAAAAGAAATTATTTTAGAGTTCAGAGAAATTAAAATTTAATTTTAAAAAATAATAAAAATATTGTTAACCCTTTGGATAACTGAGGATTTTTTGTGTTTATTATTTTCGGTTGAGATCTTTTGATAATCAAAAATTTTTCAATAACTTTGGTATTCATTTAAAAAGTAAAGAAAATAAAAAAAATGTGTAGAGATAATCGGTTAGTATGTACTAGGGATCCTGCCGACAAAAAACATAGGGAATTCCCGATTTTCGGGAATTTTCGTGAATTTTATTAGTCATTGACTGGGGGCAGTTTTAGAGACTGAGTTAAGTATGGATACTGTTATTTTAACATTAAAGTAGATTCACTGTAAATTCAAACATGTACAAAGGGTTAGAGGTGATTAAGAGGGTATTTGGGGGATTAACAGGGATCTAGAAGTAATAAAATATCGATGGAATAGGAGAAGGGGGCTGCTCAAAATTTTTTAAATGCAAGATTAACAAAAAATTTTTTTTAGAAATTTTCAAAAAATATTTAAAAAATATAAATTATGAACCGAATTCTAAAAAGCTCGGACAAGCGTAAAAACAAACATTTAAGTATGCGTATTCACTTTTCAATTTATACTTTCAATATTTCAGAAAATATTAAAAAAAATATTTAAAAAATCAATATTTCAATTTTATTTAAATAAAATTTAATTAAAATTAATAGTAGTTAACCCACAGTCGGTGTCGTGGCTTTTTACTAATCCACTACCCGTCAAGTGGTGGAGGGGTCCGACAAAAACCAAAAGGGAGAGGGAATGCAGCGGTAAAGATCAAAGGGAGTGGACACTGTCGTGGGGAAGGAGGGGTCCGATAAAAGGAAGAGAAGTGGACACCCAAAAAGAAAGAGGAGAAACCAAAAGAGGGAGTGGGTAATTTGTAATAAGCTGGTTAACGTCGCGGCTGGCAATAACACGTAATCATGTAGAACGAAATGAATGAGTGATTAATTAGTAGAGATGAGCAATTTACAAATCTTCAATGTCGAGAATTCGTATATTACTAGATTAAACCTTGTAATCCACTTCATATCAATAATGAAAGTGATTACCCAGATTGATATCTCAAGTGATTACTATACAGTTCGATTATAATGTCTTAATAATGATTTGTTAGTGATTACTCGGGCTGTTAATTAGACTGATACCCGATAATTTATTAAAAAATATTAAAATTCTCTATTTTCAATTCCCAATTTCTTTTTTTTTGCTCCCCCAAAATTTGGCCTTTGTTTTTAATACTTTTTCATAAATATAATTGACCTTGACCTAATTAAAATTTGACCTTAATCCTTTATTTTTTATTAAATTTCAAAATTTTTTAAATTTTTTCTATTTTCTCTTTGGAATATTTTAAATTTATGCAAATTTTTGTTTTAAAACCTCTTTGAAGATGCCGCCATATTTTAAAAATTTAGAGGTTTTTGTAAGATTTTCCTTGAAATTCTTTGACCTTTACACTAAAATCGTAGGTAATGGTGTAGGGGCTTTCGGCAAATTTCCATGTTAATTAGTATGACTAATTGACGACTTAGCACTACTAATTGGTTTCCATTTCATCTGACCAATGAATCGGTGTTATGTTTAAGCGTAACAAAATTAGTAAATAATTAATGACTTTGGCTGTCAAGCCCAAATAATGGGTGTTGGTGATTATTGAACAATTAATGCCTAATGAACAATTCCCTTTGTAGTTCCTACTTGTGGTAACTACTAATTGATTTTATTTTATATTACTACAGAGTTGAAGGTCAATGACACCCCTACAATTTTTTTCCCTTCTTTTACATCTTTTTTGCCCCCACGACAATATTTTATGGTCAAATTCTTTTGAGTGGCTGGTCAAAGACTAAGCTTATGCGACTATGCAAAAAGGCATACCTGCAGATGGAAAAAAGAAAGGCAATATTTAGGGAGAGTGGTCTGACAAAAAGAGATTATATCTATGAGTGAGAGTAAACCAAAAGGAAAGGGTATTTTTTGGCTAACCCTAAAGAAAACTAAAGTATAGCCTAACTAAAACCTAACCCTAACCTAAAAGAATGTATTTTGGCACCCTCGTTGGTCAGAAAATGTGGAAAGATGCCAATATTCAGGACGATAGGTCAGACAACGAGAAATATTAGTTTTAAAAATCAAAAGGACGAGAAATCTTTTGAAATTGGCTACGACTTAATACCACTTTTCTCCTGCTCCTTCTACACTTTACTCCACTCTCTACTACACTCCTTTGATCCTCCTCCTACTCCTCCTCTGCCTTCCTCCTACTATCTCTCATCTTCTCCTGTTCTTTTTTCCCTTTGCTCATACTCCCTGCTCTTCTCTTTCCCTCATACCCCTCCTCTCCATTCCGTTTACTTATCTCATTAACTCCTACTCCTTCTCTCCTTTCATTATACTCCTCTCCTTTCCTCTTCTTTCTTCTTAACTCCTACTATTACTCTTTCTCTCCTTTGCTTCTACTACTTCTTCCCCTCTCCTTTCCTCCTACTCCTTTGCTCCTCTCCTTTCCTTCTACTCTTATTCCACTCTTCTCCTCTCCTTTCCTCATATTCATTTGATCCACTCCTTTCCTCCTACGCCCCTGCTTCTCTCCTTTCCTCCTACCCCCTGCTCCTCTTTTCACCCTCCATATACATGTCAGAACCTTTGGCAAAACTACAGTATACAATTGATTCAAGGAAAA